ACGGGAATGTAAATGCAAATCTCGCGTTTCTTTGTTACACGATTGTAATAGAGAATAGCCTTAATTATGCAATGCAATACAATGCGAACGTCATTTCGTTCTATAGAAAATATGACTTCACTTTAAATTCCTCGAAGGTAATATCGCGTTTTGAATTAATAGATAGAGCTAAGCGTGCCTGTCGGCATGTTCCATTAATTATTCCGCTTACCTCAATCATAAGCAAAATGTGATTGCAAACAATCTTAATGTACTGTTAACTTTTTTTATATTTTTATGTCCTTGTGTAATGAACGAGAAACAGGATTTTGCGTTTGAAAAAAAATATATATACATATTAATATAAAAAAATACATATATAAAATAATCGTCTCGAGTAAGTTTATCGAACAATTCGTTGGCTTCGATGCCGCAAGAAAATTTCGCAGTGATGTTCTTATTGTTTCACGTAAATTACCTTATAACGAGGCGTGAAACGAAGACCGAGATCGCTCGTGTTCCGCTTTATTCGGAATAAATAAGGGCCATTTTTAATCGAGATCTCGGAACGACCGCGTAATTAACGTCGGAACCGCTCACGTTAATTAATCGCAGTCGATACGGTTTCAATATGACACGGGCAGTTTGTTCATTTTTCTCTTTTTTTCTTCTTTTTGCGCGATTTAATACACGGCTCGATGTCCCTTTTTATATATGCGAACGATGGCGAGTCTCACCGCTAGACGATGTTAATCTACACGTCGGCGATAAATGCCCGCGCACGTGTGCGGTAATGGGCTACGCGTAATAGAGGCCGATCGCATTTGTGACGCAACCGATTCCGGGAAGTAGGATGAAATTATTTTTGTAAAAAACCACGCGACCGTCCGTATATCATGATGGTTTAAGGCCCGAGAAGCAAATTGATGTAAATCATGCTCATCCTTTTTTTTCCTGAAAAAAAAAAATTCATAACGTAATGAGATACATCGAATAAGCGTGACTATATTTAATCAAGCTAAAAGTTAGGCGTAACATACATAGGAAAAAAGGCCATTCTTGTTTTGAAAATATATTTAGTTTTAACATGGAAATCTTGAAATGAGAATATATTGCGATAATTAAAGAAAAATATAATTGCTTGAATGATTGCTTACTTGAATGTAGCCATTTTATATAGTTCAATCAAGAAAAATATTCTTATGATTTAAGATTTAATTTTCTTGAATGGAAAAGAAACAATGTTAAATAGAAAATAATCTTTTTAAATCAAAGATTATAATTTTCTTAAAGTAGAATTGAATAATTATATATTCTTGAGGTGACAATTACAATATTAAAATAAGACTATAATATTGTTGAAATTTAAAATTATTAAATTCTTCTTAGAAGATTATAATAAATTGTTACGTATATACGAAACAATGAACGCATTAGTTTAAGTATATAAATTTTGATTTGACACTTATTTTTTTTTCTGTGTAGATTTTTTCGGTTGATACACAGTTTTATATAATTTTTTTTTAAATATACGGACAAATACATTAAAATGATGATTTTATGAACTTCCGTATAAAATTGTTTTTATTCGCCTGAGTGGTAACGTTGTATATTTTTTCTTTAGTTTACTCAAAATTACATCGCTCGGATATACGATATCTACTTTAAAGAGCTCCGACACCGACAACTCGCATGAACGACGCGCGGAGATCTGAATGAACGCTAGAAACGTCAGAAGAGAAGGCGCACGAGACGATACTATCTGTAACGTGAGAAAATGAGGTTTCTCATTAAACGGTCTTGTTGCGTGTTACACGACGCGTGTGTGTTCGTATACATTGATTGTTGGAATCGGAGAAAACACCGGTACGAAGGATATTAATAAATGGGTCGCGATCGCCGACCGATATCTGAGAAAATCGCGCGGTAAAATTCTTAACGGTATTATTATTAGCGTTGTAGTATCTTTAATGTAATACTTCGTTTTATTATTGGATCATCGATTGTTGCTGCTGCATGTATAGCAAGTACGTAAAGTGATATACATAACTAACAGAGAACATTGAACTGGTATTCGCCGAGAAAATCAATGGCTCGTGTAGTAATGAATCGTTATCATTCCTTCTTTTTTATAATTATAATTTATAATTATTATTTTAGAATTATTATTTTACTAATTATAATTTTTATTTTATTATTTTAAAATTATTATTTTATTAATTGTAATTTTTATTTTATTATTTTAGAATTATTATTTTATTTTAGTTTTTATAATTATTATTTTACATATATCATTTAAAAAAGACATCAAACTTTCTAAATAATTGACAATTCACAATATATTCTACGATATTTGTATTCATTAAAAGTTAAACTGAATGCGCATGATAATTACATTATTGATTTTTATAGCGAGGGAGCGATTAAAGCTCATTAATGGTTTAGATCTGTACAAAGCTCATTAACGGTTTAGATCTGTACAAAGCTCGAATGGCATGACAAATATCGAGTGCCAGGCAGGCTTGCAGAAAAAGAAAGAATCTTTAGTGTACCGCTATAAACGGCCTCACGCAGCTGCATATTACAGAACCTTCTTAATGCGAAAGAGAGCGCGTGCATGCGCTCAATACGACCGTAAAGAATGCTCGGAAGGTAGATAATAAGGTGCTTGCGAGAAAGGCAAGAGTAAACATTAGGAACTGTTACGTCGACAATCTTGAAATCCAACGGAAAGAGAGAAAGAGAGAGAGATATAACTATCGTTTACTGTCGTCATTTGCTGCAAACTGCCAGTTTACGTCATAATTCCAGTAATTTTCCCTTAATGATTTATTAAGCGGTTCCATTCGATGCTGATTGCGACTTTTGCAGATTTCATCGATTGAATTCTTTTGCTGAAAAATTGCGAGAAGATTAAGAAGAATCGAAAACACGGGAAGAATTAAATTGCGGTGTCTCTTTAAATCAAATTTTCGACATTTATTTTTCGGTAATAACTTGTTAGGAAGAGATAAATTTTTGTTGGAAGCTTGTAGTATTACTGAAACGTTCCTTGATCGAATACATTATGAATGTACATGGTTTTGTGCGAAATAAAATCCGGTAGCTCGTCGATTAATCCTACTCGCTAAATCCGTGCATCCTGCGAGATTAACCGATTTAATGAATCGCTTAAAACAGCAAATTAATAAAGTGCGTTCGCGAGAATCCAATTAGGATTTAGAAATTAATTTTACAACGAAGCAGCCCGCAGAAAAAGACGAACGAAGATTACTTTCACTATGTGCGCGCCGCTCGCATTTATGAGTTTCGCCAACATTCGTTTCGAGATTTTACACTTTCGTGAGCTCACATAATGTTCATTAGCGAGAATGAATCGGACAAGAGTTACAAACTTGAATGTTAAGTTGTCGAAACGTAATGCTCGACGCAGAGCTATTTAGACTGTTATGTCATTATGTGCAATAAACATGGTCCCATTATCGCATCCTGAGAACAAAATTGTTGCTCTTACACAGAAAAAAACAAGTCAAAACTTATATACTTAATCAAATCAAAACTTATATTTATTAACTATTTATTTAACTATTTATTAACTATTTATTAACTATTTATTAACTATTATTTAACTATTTATTAACTATTTATTTAACTTAAATTAACTTTTGTTCATTGTTTCGTATATACGCAACAATCTATAATTTTCTTGGAAGAATTTAATAATTGTAAACTTCAACAATATTATAGTCTTATTTCAATATTGTAATTGTCATTTCAAGAATATATAATTATTTAATTCTATTTTAAGAAAATTATAATCTATGATTTAAAAATGTTATTTTCTATCTAACATTGTTTCCTTTCCATTCCAGATTAAATCTTAAATCATAAGAATATATTTTTCTTGATTGAACTATATAAAATGGCTTCAAGCAAGCAATTATTCAAGCAATTCGTTTTCTTTAATTAACGCAATATAATCTCATTTCAAGATTATGTTAAAACTAAAGATATTTTCAAAACAAGAATGTCCTTTTTTTCTGTGTAAGAATTCAATTTTTCACAAGTATAATTATTATCTACTTTTGTCGATTAAAAGTTTTTTTTCTTTTAAGAGAAACGCATAAAAAAGGGATAATAGAGTTTCTTGTAGAGTCTCAAATTTCTAAATATGTTTAGCATAATTTTTTTTCAAATCGATAATGTGACAGTATCGTTCTCAGATTGCTATTTATAACACCTGCTGAAAAAAAAATTACAACAGAGACGGAAAAAGATTCGCTCGCAACTGGTTTATTAAGATGTTGATGACGTTGGCGAAATGTCAACGTCGTTATAATTCTTTTGCGATCTGCGGAGAAGTTTAACCTTGCTGCTTGCGCTAAAGTATTATACACATTCGACCGCAATGAATGACGCTGACATATTAATACCAAATGGACATTGTTGCTTGCATCGGGGATTAAAAAAGTACCCTAGTATCGATAAACAATTGTGGGACGCGAGCAGCAGGTGGATATTGCAATGGGATAATATAGTCAAACATCCTGGTGCAAGAGCGCGAGGATGTCACTGCGACATTCACAAGCCGCCTTGGCTGTATCCAGATTTAGGTATATGAATTAAAATTTTTGCCGTAGAAAAAAAAAACAGAATTATTCTGCAATAAATATATAAGATAATTGTAATATTAATGTATAAATTAAAAGAAATTGTCTCAGATACATTTTTTAAATGATAACATTTTTTACAATATTATCTTACGTAATGTAATAATATATTAATATTAAAAAATACCGAGAGACTATGATTAAAAGAGCAAAAATGATAGAGTTAATATTATATTATAAAGTAGAGTTAATATTATATTATAAAGTATTATACATTTCGTATAATTATTATATTTTTAAAATATTTTTCACTATTTTCTGAGAAGTCTACAATTTTTAAATCTTTTAACTAGTGAAGAAGAATATGCAAAATTTTGATATTGACCATGTTTTCTTTTTCTTTTGTTCCAGTTGGCAAGGATAACGATGAAACCGACAGAGCGGTAAGTATAGAGTTCAAAGGTGTGCATTAAAGCACTTTATTGCAAGTTTATAAATAGATATGATGTTTTGTGAAGAAAAAGTCTATTTTGCAGATCAAATCGGCTCCTGTTAAGAGGCTGACTGTGCCTCCAAAACGAAGTCAGTTTGGACCTGCTAAGACATCAGCTTCTGCCTTAGGTATATTGTCATCATCATTTCAAATCGTTTTATATATCTCACAATTGTGACTTACATTATCTGATATTATTTACATTTTTTTAATTGACAGCATGACATTGCAAGAGTAGAAATAGTGAAACAAGTTTCTCTAAAATTTTAATTAGCATCTGTTAATGTGAAAATTGCAAGTAGCAATCAATGTTAAATATTTGACATGAATTTAATTATTTTAATTTTTATATAATTAAAATTGATTATATTAAACGTAATATATATTTTTATGTCGTATTTGGCTAGAGTATCAATATTAAATATTATTTTTCTTGCATCGAAACGATAGCAATGTTAGTTTATAAAACTATGAGCTAGTCATATGTCAATGAGCTTTTTTGTATGAGCATTTTTTTCGTATATATCTTACTTTTGAAATGTGTCATCACTTCATGTTTTGCCTCAAATGTGTGTGAATATTGTGATTCAATGTTAACTAATATAACAGAAACACCCAAGTCGCATCGATAAATGAAATGCATATATGGAAAACACGCCTTAATATTTTATTTATGCTTATACGTTTTAACCGCAATGCGGCTTTAGTTTGGCATTATTAATAATATATAGTCAGAGAAACTCGCCAACAAAAGGTCAACGTAGTGATGTTGACGTTTCGATGACGAGAATATGCTAACTGTTCGCTTGCATGACAGCTCCTGGTTCATCCTTCACGGTCCCAAGGTCAACAACCGTCAAAAGAACTCTGTCAGTAAGATCAGCATCAGGTATATAATTTCCAAATTTTATTATTGGCAATTATTATTCTTATTTTTTGAAAAATCATTCGATAAAGACTTTCAATTGCGAGAAAATAATTGATTAATTAATTTATTTATTAATTTATTTAAAGATCCTACATGAGTAAACAAATTTTGCAATATACCGAAGTTTATTCTGTCAATTAATTATGATAAATTCATTCATTTTTATGATATATCAATGTTTTTAATTAGAACAATATAGTATATGAATGTCCTACGCATTGTTGCTCTGTTATCAATTCTCAGCTTCTCATTTGTAAATGATACATGTGCTTATTTATTATCATTTGCAATCATCATTTTTGTTAATCTGATGTATTTATTTCGTACGTCCATGTGTCTTTGTATGACGTCCGCTTATATAGCAATCTATAACAAATTATGTAACTTTTTGTATCATAATCATTGATAATTTTTTTTAAAAGTGTAAAGCATGAAGGACATTGTTTTTGGAAATAATTATTATTTAACACATATTATATATACAATGTATAATATTTTCGCATTAAAGCGAATATAAAGAAAATTATCGCTGCTTGTCCAGCGCAAGCCGGAGCTGTCGACGAAGAATACTTCATCACTTCATTTGAGGACGTACCTACTGTAAATATATTTTCGGCGAAAGACCTCGAAGAACAGATGAAGATTATCAAGGATACGGTGGGCGACGACAAGAAGGACTGGAAACTGAGAACGGATAGTGTACGTTTCGGAAAAATGCACATCTCCCTTACGAAGCCTAACGATCTTTTCTATTTGCCTCTTTTGTTGCAGATGAAGAAATTAAGGGCCATTATACTCGCAGGTGGCACTAATTACGAAAATTTCCACGAGTGCCTAAAGAACGTACAGCGACCATTCGAGCAGGCCTGCACAGATCTTAGATCCCAAGTAGCACGAGAAGCGTGTGTAACTCTAGCCTTTCTGAGTCAGAGTCTGAAGACCAAATTCGCCAGTTTTGGCGAGGCAGTTTTGCTCACGTTAATGAACCTCATACAGAACAGTGCCAAGGTAAATATCGCGAGATAATACTCAATTTCTGTCATTTAGATTCAATTATTATTCAATTCGTCGCATCTATTTCATTTATATATTTCTGTTACAAATTATATTCATAGAATTTTATAATAGATTATGTATATTCGTTAGTTTTTTTACCTCTGTTTTATTTCCATAAAAGGTTTTAATTAGAAAGAGTTTTAATTACCCGTCATTTTCATATGGTAACTAGGTCGTGGCGACAGCTGGTGCGGTGGCAGTTCGGTTTATCCTTCAAAATACCCATTGTAGTCGATATGTGCCTATTATTATATCGTGCGTGAGCAACAAAAGCAAAGACATTCGCAAAGCGTCCTGGGAATATCTAGCTCTAATTCTGCAAACTTGGCCTACGCAGATATTGCAAAAGCACATAACAATATTGCCGGACGCGCTTAAAAAGGGTATCGCGGATTCCGATGCGGAAGCGCGAGTTTTCGCCAGGAAGTGAGTGTCTTTTTGATATTTATATGTACTTGTGTACGAAGAAATCTGTTTATTATTATAATTTTATCATTTTTTTATAGATCATTCTGGGCATTTAAAAATCACTTTCCAGAGCAGGCTGAGATACTACTTAATAATCTGGACGCGTCATACAAACGTTCTTTAATGTCTCTCAGTAATAGCGGTAGTAGTAACAGCTTAAATGTCGTAGCTAATGCGAGATCGTCGAGTGTTAGTCCACGGACAGCAAGACCTGCGATGAGTGCGGCAGGTGAAGATTTTTTGCTTGTTTATGTCTGTAATAAAACGCTCCATTAAAACAGATTACGTTACACTTGAATATATTGATGTATATTCTCGTGTTTATGATTTTAATATAAAAGACTTGTCATTCTGTTTTCATGCTGCTCTCTTTGTGACTTCTTCTCTTCTTTGTATTAAACGTATGAAGGTAGTACGGAAAATTTGCATCAGACCATTGGTCAACCGCACGGTCCGCTTAGACGTACTCCGTCTTTGCCTCGATCTTATCGTCAGTCTGGTATCCCGATACTACAAAGACCAACAGATAGTCATTGTAATTTTTCTATTGTCATTTGCTTCAGAAATAGAGGTCACACTTGCATACATTATGTTACATCACACCAACTATAAAAGATTTGATGCACAAATGGAGCTGTTGTTTTACACTGATATTTGTTTTATTTTTTACGTGCACAGTTGTTATAAAGTGCAAATTAAAATTAATATCATGTAAATTAATATTTTCTATATTTCTACAGACCGAGGAACGCCGGGAGGAGTTAGATCTACTAGCGCGATCGATTTGCAAGCTGCTCAAAGAGCAAAAGCCAGAACAATGTATGCAAATATGAGTAGACAGAAAGCAGCAGCAGCACTTCGTGAGTAATGGATTTATTGCCGAAAGATAAATTAACTATTAGTTAATATATGAATGTAATAAAAATATTGACCAATTGACTATCTTATGTTATATCAGCTCGCCCTAGTAAATCTCCAGATCCTAACGCGATTGCTAGTCCAGAAAGAGTTGCAAGGACGAGAACAAGAATGTCGGGAGTTTCTCAATCTCAACGTATGTTTATATATTTATTATATAGTTATAATTTTTTGTGAAGAAAGATCTGTAACGATGGATCTTTAATAAAATTGTTTAATTTTTTCCTCTACAGCCAGCAGCAGATCAGGTTCCCCATCGTCTAGATTGAATTATGTCACATATAATCGTGAAGGCGAGTCACTGATAGGCAGACCGAGGAGATTATCCGGACATGGTATCGGCAGCACAAGCAACAGTCGTGAACCCAGTCCACAGAGATTTGGAATGGATAGAAGTTTCGCAAGCAAACTAAGGTGCGTACAATTCGTTATTGTTATAAAAATAAGTTGAAGCAACTACTTAATGTGAATTCTTTAATTTGATAGAGGGAGAAATCTACATATGTCACCGACAGACAGTACCAGGCCACCAGTCATGGCGCAGAAAATGCTACTAAAGTCGCGCGAAGCGGAATCCGTTTTGGCAGATGCTCTGACTCTTGACAGTATCGATAATTATAACAGAATACCGGGCAAAGGAGATCACAGTGATGATAGTGAAAACAGCAGCATATGTTCGGAACGAAGCATAGATGGTTACAGACGAGCTAGCGATGTAAGTGAAAATTTTATCAGGAATAAAAAATTAAATAATGGCGCCCTTATCAGCTGCGATATTATTTTTGTTACTTTGATCAAAAAGTAAATATATATCGCATTTGATATAAAGATAGAAGTTACATAATATATCTTTATCTCGTTAAATGTATACTCTTCTCATAAACTAACACACTAGCATTGACAAAAAATTAAATTGAACTAGATACATCTTCATGCATATTATCTCATCATTATATCATGCTGCATTAATAATAAGAATTTTTGCACATTTTCGTTTTTTATGATAATAAATTTATCGCTTTTTATAATTAATTAATGCTTATATAATATTTGTTTCATTTCAGTTCCAATAGCATGCAAATATACAGAATACAAAAATGTTGTTTTATAATTTCTAGAAACTTAATATTAATTTTTGTACGATTCAATCTTTTTTTTATTAAATGAGATAAACAAGAATACTTCAGAAATGCCGAAAAAAGTACTTTCAGCATTGTATGAAGATGTAGCTAATGCATGTGGTTTGGTTTTTTTACTTTTGGTTTTGTTGCGGCGTATTTGTTGACTAACGCGACACGCCGTTCTGTTCTCCATATCTCTCCATCGCCCATCTACCCATTAGTCGTACTCATGGAGTGGCTCTCAACCGAGACTATACCGTGATCTATGGGATCAATCTATCCCAAAGGTTTGTTAAATTCTTTCTTTTTATTTGTGCACACATTGAAATGAAAACACATATTATAACTCATTAAATATTTTTAAATCAATCAATGCAGCAATTCTATTTTAATGTTCAGAAAGATTATTATGTAGAAAGATTATATTGTATAAAAACATTTTTACATTACATCGAAGATACTTTGAAGCAATTATGTATGTTGAAATTGAAATATATATTGAAACTAAAAGTTTGAAAGAAACACACAACAATCTTTTCTCATTTTACAGGACATCAAAGAAATTATTGAAAACTGTGCTCATAAACATTGGGGAGATCGGAAAGAAGGCTTGGTGGCTTTACAGCATTATTTGAGTAGTGGAAATACATTAACAACATCAGATTTGCGTAGAGTGACAGATATTTTTACAAAAATGTTCATGGATTCCCATACCAAAGTCTTCAGTTTGTTTCTGGATACGTTAAATGAACTAGTGATGACTCACAGTGAAGGTCTTGGTGATTGGCTTTATGTTTTGTGTGCAAGACTGCTCAATAAATTGGGCACTGATTTATTAGGATCTATACAAACAAAGATCCAGAGAACACTTGATATTGTAAGGTAAGCATTTGTACGAGCATTGTAAACGATACTTTACATTATATTAATATTATTAAATGTATTATAATTTTAAATTTCTTTAAATAAATTTTTATAATATGATTTGTGATCCAGAGACTATTTCCCGGAACAACAACTTCTACCCGCTGTGATGAGGTATCTGACAGATCCAACACAAACACCAAATTCTCGTGTGAAAGTAGCAGCATTGAAATTTATCACGCAGATCGCCGAGACGGCAGAACCGTCCGCTCTTACCAGTTCTTCAGCGTCAGCACTTGCGCGACTGCTCGACTGGTCGAATGACGGTAAAAGTCAAGATGTCAAGAGGCACGCGCAGAACGCTGTGATATCACTTTACAATCTCAATCCGCCTCAAGTTACTATGATACTTTCCGAGTTACCGAAATACTATCAAGTATGTTGCATGAATTATTTATTAGCATTGTTTTGTTTCATGTCGTCCTCGTATTAAATCGTATTTTCTTTCTTTAGGAAACAGCCTGGCCCCTGGTGCAGAATCATTTAAGGAAATCGTCCGGTTCTAGTAATCCGGCTTCGCCCGGTACACCACCGCCTAGAGCGCAAAGCTCGCCAGCTCGAACGAAAGCGAAAAATGATATTAAGATGGAAAGAACCGAAATCGATGGAGGAGATGAAAACATGGAGGAAGTGTACAAGTACGTGAACAATTATTTCATCGTATCAATCGTGCAACATTATTTTATAAATGCGTTTTAATGATTATAATTTTGAGATATTTTAATTTTGAAGATCACTACGACGCACAACCGCTGAAATCCAAAATTACGGCTTCGAGCGTCTGGAAAGAGCTACCACTAGCAAAGATAGTGGAATCAGCAACATGGCCGATGTGGAAGAAAGAATGGAAGGTCTCACTTTATCCAATTCGGTATGTTGAATAAAAAAATGCACATGATAAATAAGAACGAGAGAGCCACAAAAATATAAAATCTTGATTGTTTTAATATTTTTAGGGCCGATCATCGTCGGTTTCTTCGCCAACGCAACGAGGACGATCTGTTAATAATATAACAGTGAACGGATCCGATACGATTGCTGGTGATTTGATTCTACCTCAAGAAAATAATGGTTACAAAACGCATGGTATTTTTTAAATTAAACAATTACTTTTTTATAAAAATATTAAAATATCTTATCATGTTTTTTTATATACAGGATCATCATCACCCGATTTATCGAATAGACCAGAAATCGTAGATAATATGGTTAAAACTTTACAATCTAAAGTAGCGCAAACTACAGAGAAAGTATCAGTGTTACAAGAATTTCAATTATATGTCCGCGAAGGGGATGCGTTGTATGTCAAACGAAATTTCAAGTACGTTTCGACTAATTTTACGCATTTTCGACAATTTAATTCAAGTGATTTAATAAATTTTTGATATTTCAGAAAAGTGCTCAAAGTTTTATTAGATAGCTTATCCAATGATGGCAAAGTGATACAAGTAGAAGTGCTTCAAACGCTAATCGATATGCTTAAATGTCAAGAATTGATAGAGAACTTTTCCTCTTATAATGAATTACTGGTATTGAAAGTTATTTACGCTTACAAATCCGATGATCAGAAGGTCGATTCGTCTAGCGGTAGCGGCGGTAGATCACCAGTAAGTATCGATTTAGCTATTTTAATTAACAATAATTGAGAGATACATTATATTCACAACACTGTATTTTTAATAGGTACATTGGAATGCGGAGAAGTGTGCGGCGACGATGGCTATGGTTTTAAAGCCTGAACAGATTATACACTTAGTTTCCACTATAATCGCTACAGAGTCATATCCACTAAATATGGGCGCGATAAAGATGTTGCACAAAGTCGTGGAGCATTGGGGACGCGACGCTATCGAACCTCATCTTGCCAAGGTTATGCCGGGTCTTATCAAGGTAGAGCATTTGAAAAAGTTTCTTACAATCTAAAGGAAAAAACATCGATTTATATATAATACTGAATATGTATTATTTACATAGGCCTACGATGATGCTGAAAGCGCAGTTCGCAAGAGTGCAGTCTTTTGTATGGTGGCGATTCATCTCGCGGTCGGCGAGGAAGCGCTGCAACCACATCTAAGCAACTTGTACTCCAGCAAACTGAAATTGTTAAATATTTATATACAACGTGCGCAGCAACAGGCGAACAGTACACCTGCCAGTCCGCGTAGCAACAGTAAGAATTAACTAACATCCAATACCACGACTCTCAGGGTCGCGATACTTAAGAGATTCGCCCGTTTCGGCGCGCGGCATGAGCGAATGCTTATGAGCTTCCTCAGTAAGTCCAATCCGTGATGATCGACGATGGTTTTACCAATATGACTCGGAAGTTTTGATACAATAGAGACTGATGATGTGTATGTGTGTGCGTAATTTCGCGATACGCGTGTTTGTGTAAATCGATGCTCGAGACGACAGTGATGTTGCGGGTGAGATCAGATGATAATCTTGTTGTGTTTATCATCTATTTGATTATATAAGAATAAGTAAGAATAATCTTGATTAATTACAGATAAGTAAAAAAACCTTATATGAGCATCACATAGTAATGATTGATAAATATTGCTCCCGTTTGCTTTCTGTGAAAGGATTATGGAATTATTTGTGTATTACTTATTATTCACTTACGAAGTAAACTGCTTATGATTTGTTTAATTCTGTTAATTGGTGTTTTTATTTTATTTTTATTTTTCTCACTACGATACATATATTCTACATGCAAATATATACATAGTTTATACATGTAAATTACATTGTGTTTTATGATGGAGTTGCAGTATTGGAAATGCAGTATTTTCGTCAAGCTTTCATTCACATTTTTGTAAATTACACATAGCAATAACATTTTTTTTCATAATGCTTTAATTCTTCCATCGTCGTGAGATATTCACTAAACTAGATAACTAAAAAAAAAATACAAGGCAACATCACTGTCTACAGATTCGATATCTCTCAGTGCGCAGCCGAATACTAATCATGCGAGCTATCAGTGAACGTTACATAAAATATAGTGTATGCTTGTTACCGAGTGCCGAGCGTAGTCGCGTTGTCCGGCAATACGTCGTGGTGTATCTCACAGCAACGACACGTGATAAGAAAAATGTGTGTATAATTTATTCATTTGAAATCTATGTGCTAGTCAGATTCCCAAGGACCGCACAATGACGTAAAAGACACAAACGGAATAGTCTTTCTCGACAAACCATGCATAGACACACAAATAATACATATATACATACAAGAAGAAATATGTGCGTGAGAGAAATAAAAAAAGGAGAGCAATTTTAATGAGAGAATGAGAGAATATGTGGCTGAGAGATTAGCGCGTGTTTAAAAAATAAGCATAAATAAAGTAATAGCGATTAGCCAATCGATCTGCTCGAGACTAACGTTAACACTTAAACTATTCATCACGTTGCCAATAATTGAATGAACGCTAAATCAAACGCTAACGTAATGAGTTTAGTAACACTTTGTGCCATTGTCGTTTCTGTTTACTGTATAAGAAAAAAATTATATATATATATTATATGTAGATCCTTTTTGTCCTTTTCTTACTATATATATTTAGTCGAGAGATACAAAATATATATATATATATATATATATATATATATATATATATATACATACGTATATATATATATATACATATATATATATACATATATATATATATAAGTATAATAAAATTTTTTTAATTATAAATTCAGCAAGATGAATCATTGAAGAGTATATTGGAAATTTGTTTTGGAAACTGCGTTGTCTAACGTAAGTATTATAAATGTACCGGTTATAAAATCGTATGTTATTTGGTATCAAACGCCTTCTAATACGAATCTCTAATAATACCTCGATAATTCACTTCAGCGTGATGACGCAGTAATTTGAACATCTCGAACATAATACGGCCAAATAGTGCCAAAAAAAAGATATTGAATATACATAGAATGGAGGAGCAATTGGTGTAAACACGAAGAGAAAAAAAGAAAAATATGACAGACTGTATTTCTTTTACTTGGTGCCTTCGGCGTCGAAGCGACGGGATTTGATTGTCTTTCATCATCACTTAGGAGCAATTTCGCAAATAGTACAGACGAAGATTAAAGAAAAAAAGAAGATACAAAGTCTAACTCTGTTGCCGACGTCGTATAAAGTGAATACTTCGAGATAAACATATTGATTAATCTCGTGTAGCAAATAGCGTATTACGATGCGGACTCGATATTTTTCTCATTCTGCGCTCCGAATGGAATCTCGAAAGTTTCGCGAATAAATATTTATTCTACGCGCGTATTGCTTGCGTGACATTTTATTCGAAAGCTGAATTATTGTCAAAACAAATGCAATTTAGTAGACTCTCTCCTGAGATAAAGAGTGAGGAAGAAAGAGAAAGGCGAGGAGCTTTGTTGTGCGCATTTAATAAACGAGATATTACGCGCCGCATTTTCACGGAATAATCGCACCTTTAAATCCGCTGAAAATTCATATGCGTTAATTAAAAAACAGGCCGTTCGCAAAATTGTCGCGTGTAGAATTAGAGGATTCAATGTAAGAAACACATCTCTATATGTCGGATCCATTTGAAGTATGAATCTTGATGAAAAACGGAATTACGGATTCATTCTAGCATTGAACGCTCTAATTTTTGATATTCAGAGTTAGTCGGCAAATTTGATTTCACGCCGACTCAGAGCCTGATGTGTATTACGATTATGTGTATATACATATACATATACAATATATGATATGTAGAACCTAATATATAATAATTGATATACAGATATTAGGTAGCTCATCGTCACTGCCTGCAGCGTTGTGGTCGTGCTGAGGATACGAGAGGCTCTTTGACACAGCCAGACTCTGCGTGGTGATCGTGTTTATCGATTCGCTTGTTCTGTTAAGTTTTACGAGCGTTATTATTATTATTATTATATACCGATATATTCGAAACTTGCGTTATAACTGTCAATGCGTGTGTGATATACGTAAGGATTTACTTGTGTAACAAGCGTTACGAACGATCCTCGACAATCCCCATTTTTCTCCTTTTCGTGCGAACCGGGATCGTTCAATCGATGAAAAAGCTAGCACATAAGCTTTGTGCGTTATCATTTTAATGTTTGTTGATACGTGTTACCCTTCTCTCATGCGTATAATGAATTTCATCTTTAAGCGTTTCATCAACTCGCCTTGTATATCGCTACGATTTTTTTTCCTCCAACATGTCAATATTCAAAGCTCCCCGCTTTGTGCATAATACAAGATATCCTAGTATACATTTATTATGCCGAGATGCGAAAAGAATTTAATTATTATCGTTATAAATCCATTTATATACATGATAATTGATTGACAGCGTAATTCGTACGATCTGTTACGAACTTGTCAAATTTGAAAAATCATTAAGCAGGGATGATCTGAAAGTTTTTTCAATAGTTTGCAGGAGCGAGAGTAGTAGTATGATATCGGTGAAAATTAATTCTTTCTTATTATCATTTTTGTATAAAACAATTTTTTTCTTTAATAAAATTACGCCTTTTTTGAACTTCTGGATTATGTTCCAAAATTTATTCCTTGAGATAAAGTCGCGTTCGATCGACCAATCGGAAATAAAAATTCTTCGCCCTGATTGGTCGATTAAACGCATTATTTTATTTCGAGGAGTAAATTTTAGAACACAACCTTGAAATATCGTGACGTCGGCGATGTGAGCGTCATTTGAAATTTGAACTCGCGTCAGAGTTCATTCAGCTTGCGATAGTTTCGAGCCTTTGAAATTTCGTGCTTTCGTTCACAAAGGTTTTAATTGGCGCGAAGAAATTTTTTTCTCAGTTATGGCAACGCATATGTGAGTATTATTGTTATTCACCCAATTAATTACATTAACTCGCCTGTGCGCGAGTAATTTTCCAATAAATCATGCGCTAGAACGAGAGATCTAATTAAGGTTAATCTATCTTCGCGAAAGAGTTCCGCGAATTAATCGGTTAAATTGTTGGAAAAGAGAAATGGCGACTTTCTATTATTCATATGTTACGATTCACATTTATTAAATTGCGTGGCACAATTTATTCCGATTATCTTCGTCGACTTGCGCGATTATGATTTCGTCATCTTGCACGGATCTTCGAAGTTTCGCGCATTCTTTATCATCGTACTGTATTTGTACCATAAGCATACAAGGCATTCTGAAAGCATCGATTAAAGAAATATCCGCTGAAATATTTTATATTAGCGATCTTTCGCGAAATATTTGTTACATCCTTTCCCTTTTTCGCTCTTCTTACGAAAAATAAAATGTACACGGTGTCTCATTTTTACCGCGTCCAATCCTTCCTTCTGATTCCTGAGAAAAATAACGCGCGTAGTGAGTTTGAAACGAGGCAGAGAGGAAAATTATAATAATAAAAGAGAGACAAAAGAACTCTATTGAGATTTTTTCACGCCGATAAATCGTAAACTATTGCGAGAGATGATATATTACTGTATTGTTATTGTAATTGCCAACTTGTGACATAATAAAGTATTGCTACAAAATAGCAACCATTTCTACTTCCTGTATTTTCATTGGCTATTTCGAATTACATTTTTTGTTTTAGGTATAACATTTTTTTATGAAATTGTCGCGCAACAAAGCTTGGCAATTGCAATAATAATTTCTATCATTGTTCGCTCATTATTTAATTCAAAGTCAAATCTTATCAGGAATACTGCGAGATTCTTCCAAGGAAATAAACGTTTAGTCCCAATTTGATCTTCTTTAATCAATCCTACATTCTTATTGAAAAATAATTAAAAATACGCATGTAATCGTAACTTATTAAGAACTAGTTTTTATCTCATTAATTGTTACACAGTAATAATTTTTAAACAGTTCTTATTATTTATCTGGTATATGGCTATAATGAGACAAATTATTTAATACAATATTATAATCACTTTATTCAATATAACTTTACAATGGCATTGTGTATACTGTAGTAAAAGCTTGTATAACGATACAAAATATATCGATATAAATATTTTGATCGGATGAAGGTAACGGAACGCGGAAAAGACACGAATTTTCTAAATTTGCGCATTTTTGCGATAATAGCACCATCCTATCGATTGTTCAGAAAATTATGTAATTTATTCAAATTCTCGATAAAAATTTACTTGTCATATGTAAAGAATTTTTTTTATTCGCAAAAATGCAATATTCTTCAAGTCATTTTTTACATGCAAACAATTACATGAAAAAATATTTTACTACATTCTTAATGTACAATAAATTGAATATTTTAAAATTTGTCCATTTTTCGTGGAGAACAAACAATAAAAAACAATATCACATGTGATAAAAGTATGTTTGTTGATGGCCGGCTGCATCGAGTTCATTGTTAACTTTATTGATTTTTTATTAGCTAAACGATTAATTGAATAATAATCGAATTTTAATCAACTTCGATGAAACCGGCCATTAATCGGAAAAACGGTGTGTCTTGCGCAAAATCACGACGAACGACATCGAGTCGTCAACCCGAGCTATGAATCGGAAGGTTTATTTATTATTATAATCTATCAGTTATAAAATATATCGTATTTCGAGATATAAAAAATATAAAACTCCGATCTTTGTGCGAATTGACGAAAGTGTTTATCGCAAATTTGCGCAACCGATCATGCATTTCGAAATCTATTTAGACGGAGCAAACAAAATTATGTGAATCAACTACGGTAATAGACTTTTAATTATTATCTAGTTGGTACAGTGATAATATTGATAATATTTTTTAATTATTTATTGATTAATGGTAATTTATAATTAATAAGTTAATATAAATAATAAATTTTAATTATATATTTAATTTATTTAAAATTTATTTAAATTTAAGTAAAAAGTGTCTAATTATATATTCACATTGTAGTTTGTCATTCAAATGTTTTTGTACGATATTAATAAATAAAATTAAGATATAGTTATTAAAATATTAGTAAATGAACATTTCTGTAATGTCTTTATGATGATTTCTGCTTCTTTTTTTTTAAACACATAATCCGTCTAAATAATTTCTAATGCTAAATTAAGTATCCTTTGAGCATAACTCAAATATCTGCTTTAAGTAAACAACGCCATGCCTGGAATGACGCAATCACGAAATCGAGCGAATTAATTAGGTAATTGATTAATTTATTATCATCCGCATAACTTTTTTTTTCGATTTTGTAGACACAGCAAGTGTGTGAAACTCAAATGGCTCGACTTATCCGAAAATATCACTGCAAGTCCGTCGCTATACACTCTTGATTTTTGGCAGAATGCAAGAGTGCAACAACAGAAATATTGTGAGTTTTCGTCTTATATACTGCATTTATATATGTTTGACTACATTTTTTATCTCTATTCTTTTTTATATTATCTCTATTCTTTTTTATATTATCTCTATTTTGTTTTTCCATCGCAGAATTACGTTAGAAAAATGGTATGCAATTGAAACAATAATATCATTTAAAAGAAAATAAAGAATCCTTATCGCGTGAACTACAAATCATTCTGTAACAATAATCTACCTAGCTATGCAATATCAGATCAATATTATAATACTGTAACAATGATTCTCTCGCGGAATCTTTATAGAAAAAAAAGAAAGTAAAAAAATGAAAGTACCATGCGTAGACATCCTTGCCGCGGAACATATATATTTTCGCAAATTGCAAGACTACTCTCTGTCTTTCTTTCTCTTACATGTTCCCGTTATATAATAACATTCTATATATTTCAATGCGTATCATTTATCACCTTCAGTCCGGCGAGAAACGGTCATTGGAGAAACATTCTTCATTTGTTTTGTCTTACATGTTTACGTGTTGCCCAGCGTTTGAATAAAATATTAAATCTATTATTAAAATCCATAATTGTAGGTTTATTTTTATTTAAATATTAAATTATAAATATAAAAAAAAAAATTTAGATATAAATTATAAATATAAATTAAAATCTAAATTATTTAACAATATATGTAATATATATATATATATTTATTTAATAATAGAAATAAAAGTAAATATAAACAAAGAAAAATATATAAAGCTAAATTTTATTATTTCACATTTCATTCTTTATTTATCTTTACTTATTCTTTCATTCTGTATCTTTCCAGAAAATTGTATATATATTTCCGAATATTCTCGCCGGATATTTTTCACTAAATGTGATTCATGAACATTGAATTCTACAATCTTTAATATTAAAATCCAAGTGGCATTTTGCGCGAATAAATATATTTCGTGCCTGCAATTCAATGCATGGCAACGTGATTATAAAATTTCATGTAAGAATCGGCTAGTCATAATTTAGATATCTAATACTTTGGTCACTTTCTCTGAAACCACTCGAACTCTGTATTCATACAAAATTCGTAAATCGCGATAAAAAAAGAAAGGAAAACTTTAGACAGTTTGCATATTTTTCGGATTGAGCGGCTCGGTTGCCGGCGATTTCGTCTTTTGCTGAGCTCTTCTCTGAGCTTGTCGTTTTTTGTTTTTCGTCTCCGCTCCCAAGGCCAGAAAATTGTTGTGAAAGTACTCCTCGATCTCTGACAGCTTCTTCCCATGCGTCTCTGGCAGCATTAGCCATACAAAGAGAGCTGCACCCACAGAAACACCGGCGAAAAACCATTGTACCGCGTATGATCCTTAACAAAATACAATTTTATTAATTGGAGTAGCTTTATCATTTTGAAATATGGAAGAAATTCTTTGACTATCTAATTTTTATCACTTATAATTAAAAGCGTTTAGATTAGATTAAAAGTGTAGAGATATTGAATATAAAAGATATTGAATATAAAGAGTTGAATATATAAAATATCAAATATTGATAGAATTATCTAATCGGGATATGAAAATCGCCACAGATAAGATTTAATATATAATAATCATAAGAGTATCGAGTGTATCGCGTACCTCCTAGAAAAGCTTGCAAACTTCGATAGCTCTGTAATGCGGCGAACATGAGCACATTCGCCATGGAATAACTGATAGAGTGGGCGATCCCGCGGATTTCGGTCGGGAACAATTCCGCCGTCATGGTCCAAGGAATAGTCAGCATCCCGACCATCGATGTGCACACGTAAAGTAACAGACAGAGCACCGGCACCTGCGAACATTAAAATCACCTTTTTGCGTGTCGGTAGGAATTCAAAAATTAAATTTAAAACAAAACCACACGTATATCAAGTGTATGGTTCCTTCCCGAAACTTACCCAGTAACCGCTGCGATCGCCATTTTTGATATTCAATGTGAAATAACCAGAGACAGTCATACATATGGCCATCCCGAAGGATGAAATTATGCACAACGCTCTTCTCTTATATCGCCTCAGTAACCAAGTGTTTACCATGGAACATAGAAACCGTGTCAGGCCCACTAAAATTGAAGCCAAATATTCGTCCACTCCCGCGCCCACTTCCTATAAAAGATTATAAGTTTGATAGCATTTTTACTATTATCAATCACGATAGGAATAAATATTCCTATATACGTACAAAAATCACTATGATAAATTAAATACGTTAAGTTAAATCGTTAAAAAATATAAAAGAGGAAAATCAAGAGAAAAGAAATCAAATGTTTATATTTATTGGATACATGAAGGATTACTATTATTATTTGATACATATTATTTGATTACCTGGAACCAAGTCACCGCGTAAAACAACGTAATGTAAATGCCAGAGAATTGCTGAAATGCAAAAAAGAAAAATAGTATCGTCATAGGTTTCCATCCTGTCGGTTTCAAGAATCCTCGCAATTTGTTGGACATATTGCCGTGTTTGCTCCGCCGCTGCTCATTCAATTTAATTTCGTTCTCTTTCATAATGGTAGTAAATTGCGCCTCGACCACTGATATTTTACCTTGCGATTTCTCGTTTTTATAAAGCCTAAACCAACAAATTATAGTTGGTAATTATTCATACACACGTATGCGTGTTAAAATAGAAAAATTACATAAAGATTGTGAAGTTTTGAAAAATGTTGAAAGTTTATCACGAAGAATACTTTCTATTTTTGCACATATTTACAAGTTACTAATTTTTATAAAGTTTGTCATTACATCAAATTGCAATATTTAATTACAAAATTAAATTGCAGAGTTTAACTGCAAAATTTCATCGATATTATAATTGATCTTTTTATTAATTTATAATTAATTACTATAATTATAGTAATCATACAGTAATTATTTAATATGTCAAATAAGAAACTAAAGCATCCAATTAGTAATTTATCGGCCATATTAATTAAAGTCTGTAAAGAGATTTTATGTATTAACAAACAAATTATATATTTTATATATTTAATAAAAACAAATTAAATTTACCATTCTAGGGATTTTTTGGCGTCGTCAATGCGCCCTTTCGAGACAAGCCAGACAGGTGATTCTGGCACCCAAAATTGCACCATGATAACGGGCACAATCGAGTAAATGATGCTGAGCCAAGCGACTAATCGCCAATCCAGGTAAGCGCCTTTTAAATAAGACAATAACATTCCGAATGATGCCAGCGTCGGTCCGAATGAGATCAATGAGCCGCGTAGTTCCGGTCTAGCCACCTCAGTGATGTAGACTATCGCTGGCGAGGTTGCCAAAGCGGTTGACAGTCCGCCTAACAAACGACCGATCAGCAACATCGGTACATTATTCGAACAAGCGATAAGGATCCAGCCGATGACACTGGGGATCGCTCCGATTTGTAGGGTCCTCAACCGACCAAATATTTCCATCAGGAAACCCCCCAACAGAGCACCAAGGGGCGCGCATATGACGACCAAGCTGGCTAAAAATCAAATCAATCTTATTTCTCATTTCTTTTGATTCCATGCCTTTTTTATGTACATTTTTTTGTTATTTTATACTTTATTTTTTACTTAGTTATCTGAGATATATTCAAACTTCTATTATGTAAAAATATTTTTTCCTACTCTATAAAGATATTTTGATCATAGAGAGTCGTCTTCGAATTTACAATTTCTATACGGATGTTTTCATACACTTTAAAAATAAAATTTTACACGCATTATCGATAACGTAAAAATTCAATTAGGATTGTCAACAACGATTGTTGGCATTCTAGATTAAAAAGCATGTCTGTAACACAAAGACAGTAAACGTCCATTGTTGTGCGAAGATTGCGATGCGGATGGACGTAAATTGAATTGCGTAACGCGAATTTAATCAGAGCATGAAATTTGATCGAGCGTTGTCGCTCTGACAGCAATCACGCACGTGACTCTTTTCTGATAATTGCAACAACTTTATGTAATGTCTATTCTTGCGATGATACTTTATCGATGGAAAAACCGGCTACTTTCCAATGTTATTTCTAATGACAGCACAAAAGTTGAGAGAGATTGTGTTTACATACACATTTTACATACACTATTTTTCAGTGAACATTTCCGATATCAGAATAAAATCTTGTCTTGTATCGTTTCGAGGAATTATTCGCAGAACGGCGCAATTAAAGATTTATTGTAATTCGTAATTATCATTATAAATGCTTCTATTATAAATAGTCTCCTTGGAATAATGTATATTTTTGTATTACTGCTCATACGCTACGTATTCTCGCAATCTTACTTATCCAGGAAGTCTGCTCTTTCGTGGCAGGTAATTCCGCATCTTTCTTCTCGAGATGAGGAATGAGAGTTGCTGAGTATGCCATAGTGAGGCCTACTGCTATGTGGAAAGATGCTGCGACGATGCACGCGACAATCTACAAAGATTCAAAGCCGACACATGTACCTTCCGCATAATAAAGATCTCATTTCGCGAGGCTTGCTATTTTTCTATGAAATTCTCGATCATTTTTTTTCTGCATATATTTTTTCTCTCATATATGACGATTTTATTTCTTTTAAATATAAATAAAATAATATATTTTAATTTTAAATATATTTTAAATAAAAATAATATATTTGATAAATTGCTTATATATATATTTTTTTCAAATTGCTAATTAAAACGAAACAAAATTTATTTTTAAATTTAATTTATCAATAGATAAAAGAGAAAAGAGATTGGACGCGCGTTATTCAGTGGAAGCATAAAATCTCAAAAAGTCAGTTATAAAATAAAAATGAAAGGTTTTCTAAAATTAAATAATTAGTACCTCTCGAATGGCATTTCTAAGATTCGTCGGCTCGACAAAACCTTTGTTGAGGCTTCTGCTCGAAACGATCGCGTCTTTGAAGCACTCTCGCTCGTTTTCCTCAATATTCTTCGAAGCCTCTCGCTCCACACTGAAACACACAATCGTCGACGTCATCAATCGAATGTCAAATAAACCGAACAATAAATAAAACTATCGTTAATATTACTTTGTGCTGGCGCGAGTTTTATTGACGTTCTTTTACAACTTTTTTTAAACTCCTAATTTATGGTGACAGTTTGTAGCGTACATTTGTACATCTCTGCATAGCATTAAAGTGACGACGCAAATATCACTTCATCTATTATTACAGATTATTTTTTAAACGATGGCTTATAAATATTTATCGCATCGATTGTAAATTTTAATTTCACGAGAATTTCAAAACACGATGCATCGATAATGCATAAACTTTAAATTGAATTTCAATATACAAAAGATACAGAACTGTTAAAAGAAGCGAAATTATATTAATAGAGATATTAAATTAAAAATATATAGAGATATATTTATCGAATCATGATTTCTCTTATATAATTTTTTTTCAAATTTAACATATTATTACGAGTTAAGAAAACTAGTTTCTCTGGAATATGGGTTCAATAATTTAAATTTCTAGATACAATTATGCGAATACAAATATCATTGATTTCATTGAATACAAAATTCATCGATGTGTCATGAAATAGAAAATATTATTAATATTATATTTCTTTGCAATAAATTTCTCTGTTATTTATGTCAACTCTGCTATTTATGTCAACATAAGACATCTTGCATTTTTTATATAAATCGGTTTAAAAAAATATAAAGAAAAAAATGATCATAACGTAAAATACACATGACACAAAAGCATATCTATGAAATAAATAATTCGCTATTGATTATGATTTGACTTTATTTATAAAAAATATAGATATTTAATTTTTAATTTATGGACGTTTTACATATTATTATTTAAATTTATGTGTATCAGAGGGAATATAAATTGATAATTGTAAATAATTATCGTGCTGAAAAAACTGCTGCTGTCTACTAAATACGAGCAATGTCAAAATATGATAATGTCCAGACGATATTGTTTTACATAACAATGACATCATTGAATCGATTATCGAACGTATTGCACTGTGCTTATCATGAAATCCGATTTATTGCAATAGATCAATATCATTTATATTGACAATTATAAGAAAAAAATGTGCGTTCTCAAAATTTTTAAAATATATTTTGTTCATCATCCAATATTTTTTTCTGAATATTTGAAATAATTTAATAAATAATAATTTTAAATAATTTAGTTAATAGTCTTTTGAAAATAATCCTATTTTATTATAAATATTTCGCATATACAACTTACGTAATCATAAAAAAAATTCATAATTTTTTTTATGATTATTTTATAATATATACAATTTTTTAAATAAACTTGGCAAACCTCTAAATTTTTTTGATTGTGATAACTTTCTTTGCACAGGCACTTAGCTAACATGATATAAAGAATGTTCAAAATATTCTAGTTGAACAGATGATTGCGTTTATTCTTGGTTAAAAATAAACCGAGGATGTCTTGGTTAGATACGATTATATGCTTAATGAATTAACGCAAGCTAGTTGATATGTAATGAAACACGAACTATTGAAACTAATTTTTTATAGTAACTCTAATAACAGAGTTAATGAATCTATGTGCAATATAGTACAATTTTATCTTTTATCAGATATAGTTTTGAATACAATTTCTTCTTGTTAAATTCAACTAATTATTATATTACATTTAATAATTTAATTAATTTTGTAACATTACTGTATTGTGCTATTTATAGCAACTATTTGATATTAAACTATACTTTCTGCACAATTTATGATATAATAAAACAATCTAGTCCATGTGAAACTTGCTTCTTTAGATTGTGTTGCTAACGTCATAAACATAGCGTGGGCGGCAAATTGTGCAACACTTACACTCACAAAGTGTTTATAGGTAATTGAAGTATAGAAAGGATTAATAATCTTTACTCGGAACTTTTTGAGTGTATTCGTAGTGCATCTTCACGGTCATTTCTTTCACTTATTTGAAAGAATAAAATTATTACATTCTTAGAAATTCGACGCGCGAGTATATATTTTTATTAAATTCGCATGAATAGATTCAATAATGACTGACTCCTTAATCATTATTATAGCAATCACTCATTTTATTTGCAATGTAATTATATCAAAACATATGATGATTTTCAAAATATATTTATTTTTCAAACGTGTCTCGAAACGATTATAGGCTTATTATTTCCTTTTTTATCAAAAATCTACTAGCCGAATCTAGTTGCCGAATATTGATTAAAAGCAAAAAATTGATTTAACTTTTTCTCATTTGTATAACATATTTATATAAATTATTTAATATATAAATATCTAATATATTTGATTTAACATTTGAATTAAAAATTCAAAAAAAATTTATATTATTATTATATTATTTGAATTAAAAATTTAAATAATATAATTTAACATTTAAATTAAAAATTAAAAAAAAATTTATATTATTATTATATTATTATTCTTATCTTACATGTTCACTATTTGAAGAAATAAAGAAAATCTCAGTCGAATCTTATTCGCAAAGTAAATTCTTTGTAAATGTATATTTTTTGAATCGTGTTTTTTACAAACAACATAGTAAAGACTCAGTTATTGTTGTCTTTTATTTTCCTGGTTTTGTTTGCAGAAATGCCAGAATGGAAAGAAGGACATGACAAGATTCATTTTATTCTCATGGCTCATATATTTTTTTATTATTCCGTCTACATATCTCAATTCGTCATACTAAGTTAAGACTAAGAATAATGCGAGATTCTTCGCGATAAACAAAGCATATATCATAGACATAAGTAAATTATTTAAATTACCGACTCTTTGAATAACGATACTATCTGATATAATAGTTAGTTCGTGAACATAAGGGGTGTACTTTTTGTCTCTTCAATCTTTACTCATGGAGCATACTTAAATTTTTTATCCCACTTGTTTAATAGCTACATTTTTATGATCGCGCGCACGTGCGCACTTACGGTATTTGACATTTCGCATAAATGATAGACGGAAAGTAGTTATTTCACTTTGCTACACGTCATCGGGGAATTAATTATTATAACGGATTTTACGTGTTTTGTGCGTTGTTGAAGATATATTCATTCGCGAAACTAATTATAATGTATTCTTATCTGTTCAACTCTTCAACGATAGGCGACATATTGATTCTGTTCTTTTAATTATTATTATTATTATTAACGGGTAGAATAGACGCGCTTATTATTCCATACAGGTTTTAAATCATGGTTACTGCTGATCGAGAAGGATTCTTCGTAAAATTGTCCTAAGGCTACGTTGCTAAAAGTAGACGCGTCGAACTCGTGATGTTAACCTTGGCCCTGATTCAACAAAGCACAATACTAGCATAACACAATAGTAGGCGGATAATATATTCGCAAAACAATTTTTTCCGATATGTTTTATTCATTATTAATATTGCAAAAATCAAAGAAATATCAAGATAGAAAAGTATATATAAGCATATAATAAGTATGCCTATAAATAAATGACTATCTCAATGAATATCTCAATGATAATATTACATAAGCATCATCGATAAATACGATATCTTAAAATCATTTATAATAAATCTTAACTCGGTAAAAATACTATTAAGAAATTTTTAATATATGTATATAGTGATCAAAATTTTTCAAGTATCATCTTGATACAAGAGTCAAGATATTTCATTCGTCTTTTTTTTCGTTATCATATCATTTTATTATATTATCTTTATTACCTGTATCCTGTCGACAAACTGTATGTAATTCGACGCATATAAAACGTAAAAAAAATAGACCTTCAAATCCGTTTTTTACGATAAAATATTCGCGTAAAAAAAGACTTCGTAACGTAATTTCCTTTCATTTCGACTCAGAGTGATCATTTTCCATGAGACGATCACGCACGACTTACATCATCACAAGCGATTTCGTATCGCATATGCATTCCTTATGTTAAACGTGATGAAAATTAACGTCTTAAAATTTCATAGCAGTCTCTTTTTTCACGATAAATATGTGAATATATAAGGAATCATTATCGATTTGTAAGTAACCATTTCTCTTTATCGCACTTTTTACTGGTGAAATTCCAGCAAACAAACACATGTGGGTATGTTTCTAACACAAAAGAAATATCTGCAAATTCTTGTGCCTATCGAGTCTCACAATCTTTACGATGTTCGAAAGACAATTTGTCACGAGTTTGACTAACGTCACATGCATAACTCGGGGTCGAAAGTTAATTGGAGAACGATCAAGTGTTCATTCGCTCTCCTTTCAAATGCGACCTCAAAAACCTGTTGTTGATAATTGAAATCATTATGTATCGAATATATATCATATTGATACACACGAGATTTAGTCCATTTCTATTTGTTTAAACTATCTCGGATTATAAAAAGCTACTTCAATATCTGTTAGGAAATCATGAGGATCATGAGTTAGGAAATTGTTTTTTATTTTAAAATATAAAACAGTATCCATTAATTTAAATTGTTAAATTATTAATAATAATTTAATAATAATTTGAACGAGCTCTTATCGATACTTTTAAATATTTACATTAGCAAAATTTTACTGTAAAAAAAAAATATATATATATATATATATAATTTTTTTCTATGAAATTTTTTCTATAACAAATTTTTTATATTATACAATGTCATTTCTCATAAGGATTTTAATAATTTATAATTTTAAAATAACATATATCGAATAATTGTGTGCTTATACATTTGTAAAAAACATGCTAGATTTGCGAAATATAATTAGTAACATCATCTCTGCCAAATCAAAGATAATTCAACTTTACGTCAGCCAAACTGGTACCTCGAGTAAGTCTTCCTGTTAAAATAGCAACAAGCGTCGAATCGCTCGTCGTATTTTTAAAATGTCTATTATGTTTTATTTCAGCTGAGAGGATCATTCTCTGATAATTACATAATTCTTAGAGATTACTGGGAGATATCAAAATTCTTATATTTATGCTAAATACTGAAACAAAAGTTTTCCATTGAAAAATAACTTTCAAAGAAATTTTAAATAATGTCTCTCTTTAAAAATATTTTTAAATTGTGCGTTGAATTAATTGTAAGACAAAATTAAAATTTCTCGAGGCCTAACCAAGAAAATATCTAAATAAAAAAAAGTATCAATAGACTAGTCTTTAGTTAGCCTTCATCATGTGTTTCATATTACAAGTAGGAAAGGATCGATAAAAAGCAAGAAAAAATTTTGTATAAAATATTTTGTATATGTTCGAAGATTTGATGGATCATTTTTTTAGTGGTGTGCTTATTTATTTAATGAATATTTACGTATTTTCGATAAAAAAAACTTTTCATATTTCTCTAATTACATTATAAAACGTGAAAAATTATTCCTGCATATAATTGAAATTAAACAAATCTAATTTATCATTGAAGTAGAAACTTTATTCGATTCATTAATCCGATTTTATTTATCTTTCTTCTAAATATATTCACATTAAAATTAGATAAATTGAGGATGATTTAAAATAACTTGAAATAATTTGTTTTATATGGTATTTTTTCAAATTCTCTATCATTTTAACTCTATCAAAAACATGAAAAGCAACATCATATCGCTTCTCATTATATAATCGTAAATCTTTGCGATTTCTTTGATGTAAATTGATCGATAATGTTCACCTTAATGAATAAGGATCCATTGTGTTTCTCGCTTCACGCTTGAACCGCTATTGACAAGCAATGTGTTTCTTCTCTTCCCTCTTATTAGTCAATTAGGTGTCTCTCTAGGAAAAGGCCTTCATCAACTCTGCTGGATATTGTCCTGGCTAGCCAACATTTTATAGCCTGAAATTAATTCCACTTAAATTATTATTATATCAATTTAATATTGTTATATAATATTTATAAAAAGGAAAAATTACTTTAATTAGAAGCGGTTTTAATAGATAAGACTCAAAAAATTAATAATTAAAAGGCAATCAAACTACAAGCGTTCATAGGCTATAAAGATAAAAATCTGTAATCTCTATTTTTTATCTTTATAATCTAGCAATTTTTCGACGATTCTTTGTTTGACATTGCGTTGCGAATTTAGGTCTTTTGAATTTTTTTGATTATTACGTTTTTTAAGTAGCATTGAAAAAAATCCATAGAGGATCGAAACATTTGCTATTGTATTGAATTTTTTATATCTAACGACCATGTACTCCTTCTTTCGCTTAAATATTATTTTTGAAATTTAATACACTTTTAAATTATTTTCTTTTTAGACATTTGCATAGTCTATCAACGCTTGTGGTTTGATTGCCTTTTAATTATTAATTTTTTGAATATTTATAAAATTCATCGTTTCTAAAATTCTCTGTTATATAATATTATCACATAAAATTTATTTTTTTCTTTGACTTAACATCATCTCCATCGAATATTTGTAAATAGATTACATCATCTCCATCGAATATAATTATTTGTAAATAGATCAGATGCTTATAAATAACGATTTGGCCCGCGGACTAACGGTTGCCTCATATCCGTTCTTTATGTATACACGACATTTCCAATAAAACTATCTAATATCTCGGTCAGAGCGGTGCAGTAATTTCGTGATTAGTATATTGCGTGTATACCTTTTTCTGTCAGACGCGTAACCGATTTTTCTGCTTGCGCTTCACAATCAAAACAATATGTGATGCATATTTGTCATCAATTTTTCGACAGAATTTTTGTCTTCCGTGCATTCTCTTTACCACTTCTTCTTTTCAATTATAGCACTGGACAAAATAAATCATACATCTTTCAACAAATTGAATTTGTTAATGTAACTATTCTTTTAACAAGCAAATAGATTATTAGATACAGGAAAATCGAAGCATTTCAAAGTATTTAAATAAAGAAAATAGAAAATAATAAAAATTATGCTCAATTATTTTGTAAAAAATTATTTTGTAAAAAATTTATTATTCAATATTGTTACATTTTGCCCTGGACAAAATAAATCATATACTTTTAGAAGTAATAGTTAACAAATAAATAAAGTTAATTCTAATTGTGATTAGTACTTAGTATTGGCTTTCAATACCGCTTCCAGTCAGCGAGGCATACTTTCGACTAATTTCTTTAAGTATTCAGGATCAATTTCCTTCCGAGCCTTCTGGAGTGTTGCATAGGACGATGTCTTGTCACTTACGTTCGTTTTATTCACGTTTACGTCCAAATAAGTCCACATAATTTCAATTGGATTAAATTTGATGATTGTGGCGGCCATTCAACCAGTTTTACCTTATTAGATTTGAAAAATGCAGTAGTTTTCTTTGCCTTATTCTTCGCTTAGAATCAAATTCTCGCACAATACATCAATATATTTTTCTGCCATCATGATGCTTTCAATTCGAGTCAAATTACCGATCCCAGACCATGTAAAGCATCCCCATACCATAATATTTCCGCCTTCATATTTTACAGTCTTCTGAATAAAACCGATTCGAGTTTGCCAAGAAATACGTGAATATATCTCTAGGCTTTTCGAAAAAAGTATTGTGGTCTTTAAAAGCCTCATCAGGTTTTCGCCACACCCTAGACCGCCGTTTTTGTCCAAATAATTCAAACTTGTTCTCATCAGACCACAATATTTTTTTCCAAAAGTCTAAAGGCTTCTTGGCAAACTTGAATCGGTTTTATTCAGAAGACTGTAAATATGAAGGCGGTAATATTATGGTATGAGGATGCTTTACATGGTCTAGGATCGATAATTTGGTTCGAATTGAAAGCATCATGACGGCAGAAAGATATATTGATGTATTGTACGAGAATTTGAAAGAATCTCTTTTGAAATTGGATTTAGAAAACAACTTTATCTTCTAGCAAGATAATGACCCTAAGCGAAGAATAAGGCAACTTTATTATTACTTTGAAACTTTGTGGGCTTATTTGGACGTGAACGTGAATAAAACGAACGTAGTAACAAGACATCGTCCTATGCAACACTCCAGAAAACTTAGAAGGAAATTGATCCTGAATACTTAAAGAAATTAGTCGAAAGTATGCCTCGCTGACTGGAAGCGGTATTGAAAACCAATACTAAGTACTAATCACAATTAGAATTAACTTTATTTATTTGTTAACTATTACTTCTAAAAGTGTATGATTTATTTTGTCCAGGGCAAAATGTAACAATATTGAATAATAAATTTTTTACAAAATAATTGAGCATAATTTTTATTATTTCCTATTTTCTTTATTTAAATACTTTGAAATGCTTCGACTTTCCTGTATCTATTAACCTACTTGCTTGTTAAAAAAATAGTTATACTAATAAATTCAATTTGTTGAAAGGTGTATGATTTATTTTGTCTAGTACTGTATTATTAATTTTTTTAAATAGAGATAAATAAAATAATAAAGAAAGTTTTTATATAGAATTTCTTATGGTTAACGTTAATCGTCGATTTTCTCCATTACAAATCTTTGTATATATTTATTCGCAAGAAATCTTGCAACACATGTCAAGTAAACTGCATGATTGCGTGAGCGTAGATTGCTATCAAATGTTTCTTCGGATCTGATTGGTGGCTAACAATCACCAGAGGTTCCAGAAGAATCGAGCTTGTCGTCGTCGTAACCGGCGATTTCATCTAAATTACTCGCATGCGCGCGCGTTTTACTTGACTTTCATCCCGCATGACTTCCCCAATGACCCGTGAGCATCAAGGAACCGAGAAATCATCATTGAATCATTGAATCAATGATGCTAGAATCCGACAGCATGAAGAATAAAGTTGCTCACGAATATAAAACGGAAAAACAGGCAAAAAAGAAATGATGTTGTAGTTTCACGGTTAAAATTTGTCTTCAAAACTATAATAGTGATTTAAATTAAATTAAATTAAAATACAATGATGTTTTAATTAAATTATAATTAAATTAAACTAAAATATTTACTTTAAAATTGGACTTATTAAATTGGACATTGGAAATATAGTCTTTGCGTATTGATAAACAAAAAGTTCATTCGTGATAAGATAGTTTGGCACGAAAGAGTCATCGGTGGTCTTTTTACGTCACGATTTTTTTCTCATCGACATACGTAACATAAAAGAGAAAGAAGTAGGCGGCATTCATATTAGGCAAATGTTATGCACATTATGGTACAAGGAAAACTGTTTGCAATGAATTTACAATTTTGTTTTGTTACAATTTACTGATATAAAAATATGAGAAAGTTAAGTAAATTTTCTCGAGAAATATTAATACATGTTAATGTAGAATTTCCCTTCACAATTTAAGAAGCCTTTCAAGCCATATATACTTGTGAAAGCAATTTTAAATTAAATGTCTTTCAACAAACGTGACATTTCAAGAATCTTTAAAAAAATCGATAGTGATATTATTATAAAAAAATCAAATCAATCGAATACAATTTTATTTAATCAGTAATCTCTCTTTTGTGTATATAAATATTCTTTTCAAATTCTTTTCAATATTTTAAAATATTACGTTTATTCTATGTTATATTTTCCATATTTATGTGTTTTGAACGTGTTTCTTATAATCTCTTTGTATAAGAGCGCAAAGTATATTTCACATTTTTTTATTATAGATTTAAATGTTTTAAGTTATATAGCCAACAATATTACATAATTTTATCACAGATTAAACGATATATTAACGTGCGATCATATGAATTTAACTAGCAGATACAAATTAATTAACATTATTCCATTATTCTAAATTAAAAATTTACCTGCAACATACACAGAAAGATGAACAAAGAAAGCTCAATCATAATTAACACTAATTCTGATTTTACACAAAGTTAGTAGAAAAGCGAAAGTCAAGTGTAATGTGAATAATATTTCTTTGCTATAATAAAACGCATGAGAGACAAATTTAGTAAATCAATGTTTGCCTTTCTTCAACTTCGACTTTGTATAAACCTGGTATAAGCAGTGTTGCTGCAATCGATCCTAAAGTCATTTTATGAGGTTCGTGAGGAGATACGTTGCTTCGCAGGGTAAAATCAACTCTTGCAATGCTAAAGCAATTGCACAACGTCAATAATAACATGAAGTTTGTGAAGTTGTATGTGTAGCTTGATTTAAATAATTTATAGCAAGGATTAATACCAATGTATTTAACGATGAGTTTCAAATTACTGATGTTTTAGATAGGAAGGGTAATGTTATTTTTTTATCATCGTAAGCATTTTTTTGTTTATCGAGAAAAAATTCTTGTTACTTAAACATAACATTTAACAATTATATAAATTTGAACATCTGATTTAAATGTAAATCTTACTATGACTATGACTATTGATTGTCTCGATAAATATTGTATATTGAATGCGATTAAATTTCCTTTCGTCTTCTGAATCACACTGATATGATAACATTTAATTGTTAATATCTATTTTCGCTGATTCACAAAACATTCTTTATCGATTTCGTAGCATCCCTACGTTATCTGTGATAGAATTCTTTTATGTTTTTTTAAATCTCTAATTTATAAAAAGTTTTCAAATTATAATGAAAGTAACTTGCTTCGCAAGCTTTTATCATAATAATTTCACGAAAAAGTATTTTCTAAATTCAATTTTATAATATAATTATTATTATGTGCGACAAAGTATTGTATTAACGACGAATAAATTTTCAGGTACAGAGCTCAGAAATTCGAAAAATTTCAAAGAATCGATCTGATTGGATATTATAATGGCACGAGTTGTTCTCTATACACTACCAGTATTTACAAGACCTCGGAAGGATTGATCGATCTGGAACGGATCAACGCCCTGATACAGCGTCACGAACGACTGACAGTAAATAAGCCAACAGGTACAAGAAGTCTTTTCCTTTCTGAATTCACTTGCTTCGTTTAATAAAATAACACTAATAATAATATAAATACTAAATAAACAAAAAATGAAATCAATTGGAAATGTAATACTATAGATAAATCTAAAATATTTAATTTAAAAATAACACATTTATATATAATATGTCCTAAGAGATTCGTAACACTCGTGAGATTTTGAAGTCCTATAATTTGTCGAATTATTATACGTAAATCTTTACGGCTCCTATCTAGCGTAGCACTCACCTCTCCAAGCCACCTCCTGCTCCGAGAATCGATCTCCCGCCGGGTGCCGTAAACGTCCACGAAAAACAAAGAACGACAGTAAGAGTAGTTTGATTGAAACAACCGAAAGGGTGCAGAGATTCCTCTCACTTCCGCTTCTCGCTATTGTCGCGGAAAGAAGAGTTGTGACGTAATGCGACGTAATCCGACGTCTCGGACGATTCGGGAATCGAACAGCAAATAAACCCGCTTCTCTGTTCGACACCGCGGTCGGTAGGCGACTGAGCCTGAAAACCTCGTCGCCTCGTTCCCCTACATACGGCCCCGATTCTCTCAGCCCGTGTTCATGCACCGTCCACCACACATTGCCAACAGAATCGTTCTAAGGGTTGCTAAGAGCCTGTTATCGTGTTGCGAAACGATTTCAACCCTGCCCTATTTCCTGATTCGTTCTGTGCATTAGTCTCACAGTGTGATATTATATTTATTTGGAAAGATAAAGAACTTTAGTACTTAACAAAATAAAATCAAAATATTATTCAACTGCTAAAATATGAGTAACATTTTAGTCTATGTATTAAGTTAATGATAGTATTATGTAGTTATCGCAAAATTTCGAGATTTTTAGAAAAACAATGTAAATATTTCATGTCACAAAGGCTATATAGAAGATTCAAGCAGTTTTGTGACTTTAATACTTATTTATTAATTTAAAATTTGAGAGAACTTATAGCTTTATTCCCACCTTTTTGTTATTTTCCTAATATTCGCATAATAAGTGGAAACAATTCCACTTTTGTTAACGCACGAAAAAATAAACGGAAGAGCGATTCATAATCTACATGATCTAGTTGCTTAGATTCGATAGATGAACAATTGTTTTGTGAAAATTATTTTTGTCGAAAATATAAAATTTGCGAGGTGTAAAACCATCAATTTTTGTTTTAATTACAGATTTTTTTAAATAAAGCAAGCTGAAACATACTGATATTTAACTTTTTAAATCTTTGTAATTAAATTTGAAATTAAAATTTTGAAAAAATTACATTAAAATTTATTTTAATTTTTAGACATAGACTATTTTTGTTACTTATTTGCAGAATTTTAATTATGACTTTTATGAATTACTATTATGAATTTTAATTATGAATTTTAATTAATTATTTATTAGTATAATTTAATAGAAAGAGATAGTGTAAAGTTAATAAATAAAAAAATAAAATTCATAAATAATAATAAAATTAATAAATAAAAAAATTAGTACTTTGAAAAGTTAAAGAATTTTCTTAAAAATTTAAATTAATAATAAGACTAATCAATCTCATTATTATCAGTTTTCAAAGTTTTACAAATAAAATAATAAAAATATATTTATCTGAAAAAGAAGCATGCAATGGTAATTTATCAACGTATTACATGATTACGCATTTCACTGTTATCATACCGATCGTATCGATCTGTATAAAATTAGTGGTTCATATGCCAACATATTATTTTGCTATCTTTCTATGTCGTTATCTTTAATCCATTACTTCGTATAATCGATAAAAGAGTAGGAAGTGTTTGTATGACAATGCGACGTATTGCACACTTGAAATTCTTATGACTGTGAGTCAGCTGTATACAAACAGCGTATCATATATACGTATCAACTGTATACAGGCAGATCTAAGTCCTGAGACTCATGAATATGGAGGACAACTTTGTGATACCTTGACGCTTAACTGTAAACGGCGTTTTTTATTACATAAGAATGCAAAATTTCTATTAATAAAGAAGTATTCTGCACTATACGATTTTGCAATTTTTGTATCAAGGTTTAATTAAGATCTAAAAGAGTAAATTTATTATTTTAACTTTGATGCAATTGTTGACATTAACGTTTGATATTGCCAACTTTGAATGAGCGTAAAATATTGAAAATTTGTAGCATTAAGCATTAACGCAATGGATCCGTTTCTTTTCTTTTTTAAAGGCATTTTACCATCGTATCAGTATAATTGGTACATATAATTGCACCATTATTATATTTTATTTCGCATATAATTGCGCAACCATTATATATACTTTATAATTATATGTAGAAACAAAACTACTTCAGAAAAAAGAAATACTCGTGATGAAAAAAAACTATATCAGCAATAATATCCAATTTTCTTGGATTCTGTCACGAGAATGAACCAAGATCATAATTAGAATCGCTTCTCAAGTTCAATTGTTCACTTAACCCGACTTAATTGAAGGTATCGCTGTCTACTATTGCGAATCATATTGATGTATACTTGTTAAAACACTTGTAACAAAACAATTTCCGACATAATAACACTTTTATTGTTTATCTAAACAACGAAAACAGAGTGCTTTGCTAAAGTTACGAATCTCTTTTATAATATAATAAATTTATGTTATTAAAATCATTATTAAAATTAACAAATTATATTTTAATTGGAAAAAAATGTACAATTATTAAAATAATATTATTTATATTAACATTTTTTAAACATTTTTTTATGATTTAAATTAACTTTTTTTATATGAAGTTATCACTTTTATTAATTAAATACTTATTTATTGATAAATTAAAAATTATTATTTTTTAAATAATTCTAATTATCAGTATTAGATAGTATTTTTATATAATTAGATAGTATGATATTTTATTAATATGATTTGATAAAAATGAAAATTCTTATTATTGATATATAATAATTAAATTAATAGAATAATATATATATATATATATATATATATATATATATATATTTCTATATATGATTAACTATAATTAAATAGTATAATTAAATATTACTATATTCTAATTAATAGTATATCAATTAAAATTATATTTTAAAAATTAGTATTTATTCTTCCACACATTAGATTGAAATTAAAGATAAATATTTTTATTAATATTTTATTCGATTGTGATAATAAAATGTTAGTGCCACCTAGTTATCTCAATAAAAACTAGTATAGTTTGCGACTCTTTTCTGTAGTCGGCAAGTAAGGACTCTATTTTGATATAATTCTCGAATCTCATTACATTCGTGCTCGTTCGAATCGGAGAAAAATGGCGGCGTGGAGTAACATTTTGCGTTCTGCGAGTCAAAAATTGCTGCAAAACGGCGGATTTAGAACGGCATCGTTGAAAAACGGTGATTATCTATGTGTAATTGATGACAATTATATCATTAAATGAATATTTTTTACCTTACCGATGAGCTTTTGTGAAAATTGGTGTTTTGTTACGCAACGATTGCACACAGTGTTTTCGAACATGTTTTCACAAAACTCATCATATCATAAAATAAAAGAGAATACATTCGAAAATAAAAAATATGGCTATGAAATAATTAAAATACTAAAAATTTGTACACAGTTTTCTTTTTTTTCTATATTTTATAATTATATATATATAAATTAATTTATTAATATATTTATATATAAATTGTAACTTGTGATAATGTTAGTTGATTATGTAGCTATTGATTGATTGTTGGAATTTTATTTATTTGACTTCTGGTAATCTTTGAGATTATTATATCTATTCTTTAATGAACTTTAGAAATTTCTGAGCTTTCTTTATGTTTTCAGAACAAATAAGATGTATGTCCGAAGAACGCACATTTTTCATAAAGCCAAGCGGCTTTCAGTGGCACAAAACAAAAGATTGGTTCCACTTTTACCTTTTACTGGGTGCTATTCCTGTTGGAATTACAATCACTTTAGTTAATGTCTTTATTGGTCCTGCTACACTTCAGGAAATACCCGAGGATTATGTACCAAAAGAATTTGAATATCTTCAGGTAAGATGTACATGCTACAATGATACTTTTTACAAGATTTAAATGTTTTTGATACACAAGATATATCAACTATGTAACTATGTAAACATATTTTTTACATTTGTTTTAGCATCCTATTAAAAGATTCCTGCAACGCTACTTTTTTCCATCGCAACAAGAAGAATACGAAAAGTATCTGCATTACATGTATCATCAGGACCACCTCAGAAAAGTTAGGCTTCTTGAAAATAAGGTGTATACTTTGATGGGTCAAAGGCGCGATTACAGAAGTCAATACTTTAAAGAATCCTATGCTTCTAAGTATCTGTACAATTATAAAGAATCGATAGATGAAACTCTCCATAAGCGTGACTAAAATTTATTTTACTCATAACGATTATTTCTGATTGGAAAATATTAGGGGGAGCTAAAAAACTATTTTATCAGCTATATATATGTGTATATATATATATATATATATATATATATATATATATATATACATATATATAAATGTAGATCACATATATTCTAGGATTTGATCAATTAATGCTGCAGTTTACAATGTTAAGTCACTGCCAGCATATCGTGTTGTACAAGTATAGTTAATAAAATAAAATATTAATTAAAAACTTTGGACGAAAGTATAATGTGATACATTTTCTTTTGTCAATGCATACTTATGCATGTCATTGCAATATTATTGTCAATGCATAAATACAATATTTATTTAATTGATTATTGTATTATTTATAATATTGGATACATGTTTCTATTATTTTATTAATTTATTATTCTCGTCTTTGATAATTATTAAAATGCTTAACACATATCAATTGATTATATATTGATGTATTATATTGATCATCCATTTTAATTTTCGCTAAATGGTAATATGTTAAGCATGTTAGTTAGATTTTAATGAAAATTAATAAGTCTATAAGTGCACATTTTAGATTTTATTATGTTGATTTATATTTCTAACTTTATTTCTAGTTTACACATGTTATGTTTTCTCAGTTGATATATATCTAATTGTAACATACACAGTATATATATATATATATATATATATATATATATATATATATAATATATATATATATACTGTGTATGTCACAACTAGATATATATTGCTGCAATGTTCCAAAAACGATTCTAATTTACGGTAAATACTGATTTTTAGATATATAGATTTTTGAATGCTTTATTTTTTCGATTGAATGACAGTATTTGCTCACTTGTTTTCAATCTGATAAAACAAATGTAACACTCGAGTAAGCATTATTTTATTAGAGTTTTACGATTCATTATATTATAAAATTTTATAATCTGTTATTTTATCAAAATAATTCTATCTATTCTTTTATTCAAATAATTTTTGAGTACAATCTTTTTAGCAAGAAAAATGTTACATATAAAATCAATGAAAGAAACATTCCGATTTTAAAAAAGAAATGACATCATTCTCAAGTCCTTACTTTAATTCTCTCATTGCATTTCGTTTGAAATAAACTAAATCTTCCGAGACACTATAAGAAATATAGGATCGATCATTCGCGTTATTGAATTAAAGTACACTGTAAGAAACAAATGCATCTCGATAATTATCCCGATAATCCGGTTATTTTCATCCGGTTAAATTCATTATTCGAAAACCTTTGCCATGGCTAGGAATCAAGAAGGTCAACAACTTTTTTTAACGAAATTCTGTACCAATTGTTTTTCTCACTCTTATTTCTTTCTTTCTCTACGGATAGATCACTAAATATTCCGAACATTTCTTTTTACTTCTTTCTATTTTCTTAACATCTTCACAACTTGTTTTTTTCCACTGAATAAAATGCTTTCGATTTCAATCGAATGATAATGTATAATATTCTCTTTTAACGGGATGTAAAATTCGCACAGCATTATAATCGTTCTCATATTGAAATATTATTATTGGAAGATTTTGTCGATATAATGTGGAAAGTGAGCGGTAAAGTTTTTCGATTCGGGGAGTCGATTTTTCTTCATGAAAGCGCGTACATTTTCCTAAATGTTTACAAAAAATAAATAATAGAATCATATATATTTCTTCCTACTAATTTCACGTCCGAGTTTTACATATACAAACATTTTAATTTGATACTTAAATACTTAAAAATTTGTTAACAATTATTGGAAAAAAATAGTGAAGGAAAAAGAATAATGTTTAATTACAAAAATCATTGAGGAAAAATCGATTTTATAATTGGTCGAAGAATTCACACGGAGAATACGCACTAATTTACGATTTGCAATTATATTATCATAAGCACATTGCATAAGAATGGACAAATATTTATTTTTTTCCCGAGAAAGACACGGGTGCTCGTCTCTTACATTCTTATTGCGTTAGTATAATTATCTGGTCGGCACATTAACAACACGTACAGAGATTGTCGATGGTATAACTCAGTAGCAGTGGTCATTGTCAAGGTTGCTTTGCGTATCTTGCATAACATGTATCTCGTACTTCGCATACATATACAAATCGCCTCGTCCAGCACGTAAACAGCATAACGATACAAAATTGACTTACAATTTAGCATGCGATTTTTGTTATTTCCTATTAAATACGCATGCAATCTGTGTAAATCTTTGTAATTTGTCAGATAATAATGCAACACATAATAATTTTCGTGCAATTTGACATTGCGTAATTTAGCGCCAATCGTAATCATCACACCTTTTCCGTCATCATTTGACGTAGTAAGTACTCTTAAATAATATACAATTCAAAGAAAAAAGGAAATGGTGAATAATATATTATGAATATCATACGTTATTTGTCACTTCCCTTATTCTTCGCGTATTGTATTAAGATTAGAATTTATTTTTAATTACATTTGAAATCGTTTATTTACGTTAAAGAATGGCGGAAGAACACGTATATAGCAGTAATTAAAAATTTATCTTTAAATGTATCATTCAAAAGTGTTTATCACGTCAACGACAGAGAAATGTGTTAATAAACATCACAGTTGACACTGAATTATGCAGATGTTAAAAATTATATAAAAAAATTACATAAAATTATTTTAGATATATATCATGATACACGCGTGTGATTCTTTTTATTTTAAAATCATACAATTGCGCAATAAATCGATCCAGATATAAGAGATTGATAAAATAATTAAAGTTTAAAGTGGCCATATATTTTCGCTATAAATCGTAATGGAATATTTTCGTAATTATACAGGGGGGGCAATTACAAATAATGCCATCGTATTGCATAAAAGATTGTTGTTTTTATCGCTTCGATGCTTTAATGCATTTGACTTTGACGATTCCGTTAAATAGAAAATAATGTATAATATACGCAGATAATTTAAAAAAATTGCGATCTTAAAGAAATAAGACAATTATCTTCGTCGCATTGAAATATATAGGGGATTTGATATATCAATTTTTTCTTTGCGAGTACAATAAACTTGTTATCTATTACAGTATACGTGTGAATAACAATGGCGTAACAATCATAACAGATAATTAAAATGTCATTACACACAATCACGCGGTCATAAACACCGCGTTGCGAGAAATTTCCAAAAACCTTTCATTATGCGAGATTATATCTTATAAGATAATAGCGTCTCTTGGCTTCTTGCAATTAAAACTCCATCTTAAATAAATTGCACGCGAGGATTAGCAACAGTTGCGCGAGAGATATTCAGGAGCAATTATGCGAAACGTTACGTATTTTATCGCCCGACTACGTAAACTCCATTATTATACCATACATTATATAACAATACGTACAATGAATCATCGCGATCGAGTCGTTTTACCTTTAATTGAAATTTCCATGCAAATGTTCGCAAAACTTCTATGAGTATTTCTTTCGATTGATAGAAACATTTCCATAGAACTCGATGTCATGATCGTATGTATATGTACGAGATAAAATTTTTCTACCAATCATTTTTTACGCAATTGCAACATTGTGAAAATGACTTAATTTCGACATCGTACAATTTTTTTCCCATCGGTATTCATTCATTATTTATTTTCGTGCGACTTACACCGTAATCAATTTAAAAATGGTATAGATATTAAAAATTATCTTAATCATTACGATACGCGAATTGATATTGATATAATTTTGCGATCATTAAATAATCAAATCGTACATGTATTTCATTATTATGTCATGTATCTGCGCGGTCTTTTAATTTATTCTAGTAAAATAAGCACACTATCTATACTTCTAATAATCATAAATCTTTTCTTCGGAAGGAAGCAAGATATTTTGAAACTATGCATTTGATAATGAGTACATCGTGAACGTCGTGACATGCATGTTAGTAATGAACTTATGCCAGATGTTTACATCCGTAACAATACGGTATAGCGATTCGTTTTATGCAGTTTCAAATATATGATATTTCACCACCAGGAAATCAAAATTATACGTCACGTCGATTGCCATCGTAATGCTGAATTTACAATAACGGGAATTATTGCAAGTTGCATCTCGAATAAATTCTCGAACTTTCTTATATCAGTTATTACCACGCCATTTAATACAGTTTAATTATGCGTTTGTAATTACTCATCGTTCTTATTCGCATTCTGTATATTTGATGGTTTTAAAAAATATTGCAAAAAATGTAGATTACATCATTAAAAGTGCGAATGCGTTGTAAATTATAGTAATTAGAGTAATTATTGAAAATCTATCAATACTCATAATCTAATATATTACAATTATACGTAATAACAGGAGTGGTGTATTGTCATAATGAAATGTCATAATGAATTCGTTTTAATTAGATATATGTATTAGAAAATAATACGAGTAATATAAATAAAATATATTAGGCATAAATGAATAGATCGTCAAAGTAAAAAATAAGAAAAATGATAATTGATAGAATATTAATCGAAAATCCTAAAATATATTCGTGTTTCGTGATCAACAACAATTTGAATCGTATAATTATAACATGAAATTTTTCTCAATCATCTGGAAATACCCGAAAAAATCTCATTGACAACGAGAAGGAAACGTAGTCGGAAACGGAAATAGCCATGAGGGTTGTGGTTTCCGTGATTTGCATAAGTCATTTGTCACGGAGATAGTTGCTTCTCGAGTTAAACAGGTCCTTGACGTGTTTCCTGATCGAAACTTTCCTTCGTTCGCATCATCGCCGAAATCAACAGACCGAGGCCTTCGAATGAAACGTTGATTCGCGGAGGCTTAAATCCTTTCTAATAATCTCTCGCAATCGCGATATGCAACGATTTTATTTGAGATTTACTTTTGTGTCGAGAAATACAATGGAAATCAAAAAATTGAAAAGAATCGCATGAAAAATAATGTAAAATTAAAGAAGTGAGAGAAATGAAGGAATTTTTTTATTGTATTTTTATGCATCATATCTTAATCATATGTATCATCGAAAACGATATATAGTATATATAGATTATGTCATCCAATACTTATCGTAAAACATTGATTTATATTGCCACGACACGATGCTATTTAGTGTTTACGATAAACTAATATATGCAAATTAAAATCTATATATGCTAATTAATACGTGCAACTCATCGTGTCAAAATATGGCAAATCGTGTACGAACGGGAGAATGATTGAAAATTAATCTGACGAATCGATCTACGAATACAAACCTATGAATATTATAGTAACTATAAATTATAGTCGCTATCGAAGCAAAAATTAAAATGATCCACCCACAAATTATTCTCAATCGCATGCGCTACTATATGCAATATTGTAAATTGTGATGGATATATAAATTTTGAGATAATAACTGCAAAAAATATAATCATCAATTATCATAGATCAATTGCTAATACAGGACGATTTACTTTTTCTCTTCTAATTATAAGTATATCGAAAATATGTTTTTTATGATAATGAATATTAATTTTATCTCTAGCGGGAGGATTCCTTATGATGAGGAATTTACACCTAATCAACATATCGTAATAAATGTAGTTTCTCTATATAATTTAACAGGTAAGAAAATTTAACGCAATTAACAATGAAATCGCAGCAAATATATGTATACATAGATATTATACATATATTATACATATATTATACATATATTATACATATATATACAAATATATATATGCGGGCGTATTTATATTATAATTTCCTTATATCTCATCTATTTCCACGTATAAGCTTCCATAAGGAGACTCACATAAGAGGGATTTTCAGGTCATGAGAGAGATCTCCTTGGATCGGAAATTGATTTCGAAGGCCTCTGCGATTCCGTATAATTCTTGCCGGTGATATCGAAAGAAATTTAAACCGTAAAGGCGCATCAAGGAAATCTGCGCAAAAAAATAGACACCAATTAATCAAGTAAGTTCTTGTGATCAGATTGTTAGACACCAGCATATTGAATTAATTAACGCGTTAAATTAAATGGAGATACGCGATTGAATTGAAGAGTTATTCGTGATTCTACGAGCAAAGGTAAAAGACGTTACTTTCTCCTGATCAATAATAATCTAGGTGAATAAATGTATAAATTATGCATTTTAATATATATATTACTTAAGATTAATTAAATTAAATTTTTAACAATACTTTTATTTTTAAAACTTTGGCAACATTCTCTTCTTTTAGATAATTTAATTTTCTCCAAGAAGTTATAATTTGCAAATCGAAGTATTACTTTTTTTGCAATATATATATATTAATTTAAAAAGAAACGAGATTTTATTAGCACAAAAGTATATCGAGTTTTCGCGAGAGGGGCTGAAAGACGACGATCACATGGAATTGAAATACAAAGATGACGTTTTCGCAGTCATTGTTGCAGGTCGAGGACGCATACTGGTAATTGCAATTGCCCCTATTGTCGTATATAACATTGACTTTTTATTGCCGGCATAGGACTTTGCAATCGTTAAGGAGGAGGACATACCTCCTGCCGTGAATGGATGCAGATCGTTACCGTGCTTATATTTGCATCGATATGTGAGCCGATCATAATCGCGCCTACTGAATACTTACTAGTGATCGTAAGATCGCACAGAAAAAATGAACTCTTGAAAAAAAGAGATCTCGAAGTTGTATCGACTATTGACAACGTCATATTTCCTTGCGAGATGCTGGACGATACATTATAGTGAATTTAAAAGTTGTCTTCTTTTTTTATCTCTCTTTCAGTTTTTTTAGCTATTTATTTCTATTTTTTTCTATTATTTTAAAGTGTTTTTTATTGATTACAGTGCAAATTAAAAAAAGTTGTATTTTTTAATTTATACATTTAAAAATTAGTAACGCTTTTCTAATATTAGCCTTACCTCGTATTTGTTTTGTTTCATTTTTACGACATGACTATCGTTACATATTTTATCAACAATAATTCACGATGATATCATCGTTAAAACGCATCTCCTTTATTGTTATAAATATCCTTATCGTTTCAGACAGAATTGATGACAAAGTGACTAAACATCTGTTGCGATACATAAAGAAAACACTGAAAAACGCTATATGGGTATGAGGATGCGACATATAATTTATCGTCCCGACAACAATGACGCTATTTTTATTAGCTCATTTTTTTTTTTAAAATGAGCCATTGCCGGGGCTAAACTGGCGTCATTTAGAATTTTTTAGCCTTCTCTTGCGCCTTTCGCGAGATAGGTCAGGGATGCACAAGATCGAGATCTCGATTGCAACTATGCACGTAAGTTATTTGTTCGCATTGTTATTAACAGTTGTACACTTTTTATCGTGAAGACTGACAGATCTACTCGAGCATATCTTTTGTCATGAATGAATAATATAATGGTATCTTTACCGACAAAAAACGCGCTCGCGATTTAACTACGGGAAGAAGTCATTATCATCGATGAAAAGTTGGAACAATTCGGTGATCTATATATTTCATTTTTTTTTTTTTAGAAAAACTCAACATGCATTTTACTTATTTACGTGAAAATCGATTTCGAATTTCCATCCTGTCAAGAATATCCGGACATATCTCCGAAACTTATTTCTCGCGCTAGTCTCAATATAATCCCATTCTTTCTTTCTTTCTTTCTTATTTAATCGATAAATTAATTTGGATGTGTATAAAATGAAATTATTCTAGAATTCAACTGAAGAATATTTATTAAATAATCTCCGTTCATTGATCGCGAAGATACTCCGGGAAGACCTCGGAACAGACGGCGCTTTGAAGATACTTCGCAAGCAAAGCGTCGAACGTTTCGAGAGCGGCCGGCTGCCTTTGCCGCTATAAATGCGAAGGCGCGGACGAAAATGATTTCAGTGTCGAGCGCGAAAAAAGCCACGACGGTGCGCCAGCAGTTGTGCCTTCGCGAGCCATCGCGACACACGCAACGTGATTCTCGGTTCTTCTATAAATCAAACACGTGTATATGTATATATGCGTACGCACGTGTTCTTCGATATCGCGAACAGAACCACGGTGAAGAACATAGCGAAAATTCGCAATCCGGAAACAGCCGCGAGTGCGGGACTTTAATAATCGGTACATTCTATCGTAAGATTTAGACTTCCGGTGTTTTTTTTTTCTTTCTCTTGTTGATTTAATTCGTGGATTATTGTCAGATAGATAATCTATCTCCGCTTGTCCTTCAGCTCTTTAATTCGTGATCTATAGTTAAAGTGTTTACGATCATCGCATATAAGCGAGTTTACACCACTGATAGACCTTTCTTGATTCAAGAGGGATGTATACTCTACATAAGTCGATAAGAGAGACGGCGTGAAGATTATACAAGATATTAATATCCTTACCATTGTTGATTCAGTCGAGGTCGCAGCGGATAATATAACAAGGTTTTTACAGTCATATTTATTTCTTGATTGTAATATATTTGAATTAATTAGATAGATACTAACACAAAATTAATATTTTCTATTAAATTAATAATTTAAATTAAATTAAATATAAATTTAATTAAAATAATTTGATAATTTAATAGTAATAAAGTTTAATTTAAAAAGAATAAAAATTTGACAAATAACCTACTTATACGCGTCGAAACGAGGTCTCGAGTTTTGCCAAGTTGGTAAAAATAGCAATTGGAGCTTGTAAACAAATTGTATTAATACATTATGACGTGCAAATATGCGTTGTGTTATCGAAATTAATCTATCGAAATTAATGCAAGTAGCGGTTTCCGGTTTTAATCAAGCATTCTTTTGACGCGTAAATTTAATCTTCAGGGTAATATATATGTTAAATTTTTCAGATACGATTATGCCACTATTTCATTCTCTCTCTCATTTACTTATTTATTTATATAAAAAAAAATTATTGTATTTTCTCGCAAATAGTCCGTGTTTGCATTTGTTAATTGAATTATCGTAAATCTCACGATAGATTAGCATTGTTTAATACTCTTTGTCCAATAGTCTCAACATCCATATAATTGTGTCAATGACAATGTGTATTCTACTATATCGAACGAGTGTGAATTTCATTAAGACGCAAACCGGAAATCGGAAGTGCAATCATTCTAAAATGCATCTAGCATGCAATGTTTCAATCCATAATTTTACGGTAGCTTTATTTATTTGCATTTTTTTTGTTACGCAACAATCTGCAGGATGCACAAATTTCTCTGATAAATTGTAGATTGAAAAAATGAACTTTAAAATTATTTCTCTCTTATAATCCAATATAAATTTCTTTAAATGAATAAATAAAAAGCGTGAAGAAGAGAACAAGAATTTGTGACATGAAAATAATGATTACTCTGATTCGAATATATTATTCGCGTGATTAGCCTTAACCGTTTGATAGACAGGAAGAAAGAATGGGAACGTTTCGTTCAAGGCCTTTAAATTCACTTATGATCAAATTAATAAAATGGTCTTACATAGTCGAAACACGTCTTTTGTTGCATATAAAATGCATGAAAATCTATACACTTATATTTTCAAGCAGATTTATCGCTCGCTGTCATTAATCGATCTTATCAATAAATGCAAGCGATATAACGTAGCCATAAAATTTCATGAGGTATGATGAATGGAAGCGCGAGATAGAATAGAGACGATAAAGTTGATCTCTAATTCTTCTCATGCTATATTATATTGTATTGTAAGACAGATTGAAAATCCAGCGATAGTAATCATCTCAAGAAGTCTCATGAGTTACAAAATAAAATATTATTGCCTCTAAATATTTCGATTGCCGGCGAACAAACATTTAATTGTGCGTATGTATTCAATGTATGTATCGTATTGCAAATTTACAAATAATAATAAACATAGCTCAGTAAAGCTTTTTAGATTATTATTTCAAAATTTTATATACAAACATTTTTATACAAATTATTTTGATAGAGATTTAAATTATAGCTTTAACTGAAACAGAAGTTTATTTGAATAATTATATTAATTCGTATATAATTACATTAAAAGATTTATACAAATAAATATGTGATAGAATATGGAAAATTAATGAATTACAAAGGCTAATACATCATAAACAAATAGATGGAAGCAATTAATTCGAGAGATGTATTTGTGAGAATATCTTAATTTTTTTATCGCAGAGATTCACTTTGTAGCAATTATATGTGTAATGTAATTGATATTGAAGATTAATCATTGTTTTTTCATTTAAATTAATCATTGTAAATCATTTAAATTAATCATTGTAAATCATTTTAAATTAATCATTGTTTTTCATCGTGTATTATATACGATGTAGTTATACGATTATAATCAATAAGTGTGGGATATTCACGTGGCATTTTCTGGAACAACTTCGATCATTTGTACGATCACGTAATTACTGTTATTAAGAGACGAGTTTCAACGGAAGCGAGTTCACTAAACACAACTTTTCGAATTTACAAGAGTTTTTCCAAGATAAAAAGACATGTGTGAATATAATCAATTTTTCGATACTCGACAATTGTTTAAAGTAATCTATAATTACGTAATGCCGCTTTTAAACTATATCAATGTAATAACACATAATGAAATCATTTAATTATAACATCGTTTTACAGTTGGCATACTTTGACGTGCACGATGATTACGCAAACGAAGCAATGGTCGAAGATCCTTTACTCAGGCAACAAAAAAGATGTAAGTTATTTAATTCTGAATTACGATTACGCGATTAGCGATACCACAATTAAGCACGCTCGCGATGATACCGCATTCTTCCGCGGCTGGAATGTGCATTATGGAATTTTGGTATTTTATTGCAAGAGTAGCAAATGTCAAATAGCACATAAATAAGAAGAGAGTCGAATAACAAAGATATATCTAATATTAGGTATTTATTTAATCGAACAAACGGAACAAAGCAATACATACACACTCACACACATGCAACTTTTTCGCTAAAATTTTTGTTCTTAGAGAACGTGAAATGTAAGATATTGCCGGCGCGAAATAATTACAATACTTAATCAGATAAATAGTATGTCGCTTTTTGCGTCGATTATAATTATAATATATTTAAGAGAGAATCAAAGTATAATAAAATAAAATAGTAGAAGTAATATATAATATATAAGTATTACATATTAATGTAAATAGAATGAGAAAGGTAATAATAAATAATATAGATAATATAGATAATATTACAATATTAGTAACAACATATGTAAATAAATAGTATAATATATATAGTAGGTAGATAATATAATAGTTACAAGATAAAAGTAATATATATAATAATAATTTATTAAAACAACAGTTAAATAACAGTAAATAATAATTAAAACAATAAAATAATACATAATTATAGATAGAAAGTTAAAATCTATATATAAACAAGATATATATTTTTTGCTTTTTATGTATATCTAATGTTTTTCAACCCTGCACATTGCAATCGGTGCAAATAATTATTGTGAAAACATCAAGCGCGAACAGTGGATTTACATTGAACGAGGATATGTAGACGATTTATAAATAAATAAATGAATAAACACAGCGAAGGCGATCGATAGATCGGCCTTCTCGATCCTCGTCCTTCGTGGCTTGCGCACGATACCGCAGAATTTTTTAAGCCAACGTGCGAATGTAACAATACATTCTGTTTCCTTTCGTTTTCATGCTACAACTTCAACACTCGTTTTCTTAACTTTAACGATGTTCTACCTATGTGCAAAATAATTTACGAGCGATATTGGGCAGATTGATATAATTTTTATCTATCAAAATTAATATATATATATTTAATAATTTAATTATTTTTTATTTATTATTTATTATTTTTCTATCCATTTTTATTTTAATAAGAAGAAATTTCAGTTCTTATAATTATATTAAAATCGTAAAAATATGTTAATATATAGATCTATAAAATTGAATGTCTCGAAAATAAAATTTCTTTTGGAGTGGGAAGAGATCGCTTTCATGTTTAAATTATACTATTCGGAAACAAATTTCCATGCGAAATCGTATGATAATACATAGATATCATAGCCCCAAGCGCATATGATTCTTGATCCGACCTTTGAAAAGTATACGGATCTCTTTCTCGCAATCTGAGTAATAATGACCAACAACGAAGACGTATTGTATAAATGATTTATTTATCTATTGGCAGTCTGTCGCACGAATTTTACATTCAGATTTGTTTTGTCTCTTATATGCAATATTACATATTCCATCCTTTGATTGAACGTGCCGGATGAGAAATGATAACGCACGTCATCCGCGTCACCGTATCGCTATTCATTATTATTCTCGTGTCAAATTTGCGGAAGATATATTTGCGGATTATTCCACGGATTATTCATACATATCGAATCATATCAAAACAATAATCCATTGCTGTCATTCCTTTAATACAAATGAAAATTTCTTTATGTCAAAAAAGGGAAATAATTTTTTATTTATAATTAAATATGTATTATAATAATATATATAGAATTTCCAAAATATGTAAACTAAATTATTGAAATGTTTGAGGTAATTGTATATATAATATGTTGTTTTTATTTAGATTTTAAAATAAAATAAAATTTGATTAAAAATATTTTATAATTATAATTTCATATTTATAAAAAAATATAAGATAATAAAAGTATAATTACATATATATGAAAAAGAGAATAATATACATCGTCTGTTTGTTTGTCTTCTATATTAGTACAAAAGATAAATAGTTCTTGTTTTTTTATAAAAATATGTTGAAAGAAGACAAAAATTGTTTCGATTTTGAAATAATTAAAACTAGCTTTTATATATCTTATATAAAAACTTCAATACTAATCGTTCACTATCATTCTGCGAGATACGATCTGCATGAATTATTATAATAGTCTAAGTCTAATACAAGCATTTCTTTAATTTTAAATTAATCATTTAAATTATATAATGTTTATTACATAATGTTTATGTACTACTTAAGGCGAGATGAATTCGATAAGAACATTTTACACAAAATTTAGAATCTGCTTGTTAGCCTCGAATTATAATGTATCATTCGATCATTAATATTTCAATACATATCCGCGGAAATTGATTAACATTTCAAACACGTAATATTTCGAAAGAAAAATGTATACAATTCTAATCGCTTCATTGCCAAAAACAAATTGTAGAAAAAATATCTCCAAACTTACGTATCTATCGTATATATATATATATGTGTGTGTGTGTGTGTGTGTGTGTGTGTGTGTGTGTGTGTGTGTGTGTGTGTGTGTGTGTGTGTGTCTACATTAATAATTATTATCTTCAATTTATTTTTGTAGCAAGCAATTTTTTATTTTAAATTGAATATTTAAATACAATTATAACAAAAAATATAAATTTCAATTTATTAAAATTTATCGATAATCGGATTTTAATTAAAATGATTTCCTCTATACGCATTAAATTATAATAATAATGATTAATTAATATAATGAAGTAAATTATATTATCTTATAAATTATAATAGTAACGTTATCATTAATAAAATTATATATGATATACTATATAAAAGTACTTCATTGGATGATCTAACATTGTTTCTAGATCCTCGCGGCTCTGGCAGCGCATTCCAGTCAGATTTCCGTGGGATTGACTCAAGGATATAGCGCGATCTTGATCCCGAGGCTCTTGGAGTCAAATCTCGCGGACCTGTCGCAAGCCTCATGGATCGCCTCCCTCGGCGTCGTCTCGAATCCCCTCGGCGCCCTTGTCGCCGGATTCTGTGCCGAATTCTTCGGCCGCAGATTCGCAATCGTCTTTGCCATGCTACCACACATCGTCGGCTGGCTGCTGATTGCGTTATCGAGGAACGTGCCGATGTTATATGCCGGTAGATTCGTTAGCGGTATCGGCAGCGGTATGGTCAATGGACCCTATCTCTACGTCAGCGAGGTACATACGAAGGCAAATGCATCCTTAATAATCATGATCAATAATAATCATGATTACATAATTGCAATACTTTTTATTAATACAAAAATTTCTCTTTTTATAATGATAATTTAAATAATTTGTTTTATAATGGTGATTTTTGAACGTAGATTTGCGCGATGATCAATCCTCAATTAGCCATGTGATAATTAATTACGCGTAACAGACGATGCACATGTTTTTCGTATTCGTTTCATTTTTGCAAAGATTAAATATGTTGACAAACATTTTTTTTTCAGACAGCAGCACCAAATCAAAGAGCCTGGCTTGCGAGTTGCGGACCAATTCTCGTCTCTCTGGGCGTTTTGATAATATACATCTTGGGTGCCATCACAACGTGGCAAAAGGCGGCAGCTATCAGCATTGGACCAGCAATTCTGTCGCTCGCATTAACACGGTAATTACTTTTTTTACAGTGTATATTAATCTTTTTTTTATATTACAAAATAAAAAAGTCATAAGAGTTTATACAATAATATCATATACAATCACACACATATATAAAGTAAAAATATTAAAAATATTTCCATGAAGGATTAACAATTTTTTAATTGTGAGCGATTGTTAAACATGAGATTTGTACCTCCAGAATGCTACCGGAAACTCCTGCCTGGCTGATTTCGAGAGGTCGAACGGACGAAGCTAAAGAGGCTCTTCTATGGTTACGTGGACCCGGGTTTAATGTCGATAAAGAATATCAAGAGCTCAGTGACGCGAACGCGAAACGGAAAGAAAAGAAGATTAATTTATTGCGGGCGCTTCACAAGCCCAACGTGTGGAAACCATTCCTGATATTGCTCGTTTTCTTCACGCTTCAACAGCTATCCGGTATTTATGTGATTGTGTTTTACGCCGTGAATGTACTTGAGGACATCGGTCTAGACGTAAACGAGTATATGGCTACCGTTGGCATGGGTGTCATCAGGTTCTTTATGTCGATTCTCGGCGCCGCACTAGCTAACACCTTCGGCAGGAAGAGCCTGGCTTTTATTAGCGGTTTCGGAATGGCTATCGCGGCGATGGGAATTGCCCTTTCCTTCAGGTTCGCATTTCTTATGCAATACAATCCAATTTTTATTATCTCCTTGTCTATACTGATTACACGCGATTTAAGAATGTTTTGTACCTATTTTCAAAATATTGAGACTTTAATGAAAATTGTACAGAATGTCCTTACATATGTTTAGAATCTTCAGCACAATTTTTAAATCGATTCACTAAAGCGTTCACAAGTTATAAGGATTTTAATTTGCACCGAATTAACATGTATTCTTATGGGAAACGTATAATCATATACGTCTATTCAATACATAGCTAACTTCATTAAATTATATTTAATATCTTTTTAACCAGCTAGTACTTGTACAATATTATTTGACCAAATATTTCCTCTGTATCTAAACTTTTGCAAATTTTAAACAAATTCTGAATATTATTTCCATGTGTTTTTGTCATTTGAATAGACGTATAATCATATACGTCTATTCAAATGACAAAAACACATGGAAATAATATTCAGAATTTGTTTAAAATTTGCAAAAGTTTAGATACAGAGGAAATATTTGGTCAAATAATATTGTACAAGTACTAACTGGTTAAAAAGATATTAAATATAATTTAATGAAGTTAGCCATGTATTTGTCACAAGACGAAATTCTCTGCCAAAAGTTAATTATTTCGATTAACAAAATTCGGAATATTTTAGTAAAAACGCAATAAATATTAAAAAATACATCTCTGCACTGCTAAGATCAAATTGTAATATTCCACACAATTTCTCACACTCATACTCAAAATACACCAAAAGTGGATATTCATCAATTGATTTTCAGCTACTTTTTGCTGGGATTGTACATACAAAATATCCTTAATCTTTGTCTCCTATTCCTCTTTGTAATTTTACTTTTAATATTTTCTAATGTTTCTTATTTTGATTATTCATTATTCTCGCTCTTCGAAAACTCTAACTGAAAGTAACATTTTCGCTATGATTTCCCAGGTTCAAATTTCCATCATGGATACCATTATTCTGCATCGGGACCCACGTGGGCGCATCCATAATCGGCTTTGTCACATTACCGTGGGTTATGACCTCGGAGTTGTACCCGTTAAGATTTAGAGGCAGGTTGGGCGGTCTCACGACTAGCATCGCGCAAGTACTAATATTTGCCACGATAAAAATGTATCCGGATTTGAAGGCCATTGTCAGCGTGGAAATTACGATGTGGATATTCAGCGCGGCCAGTCTGTTAGGCGCCATTTTCTCCTTAATAATATTGCCGGAGACTCGAGGACGAAGTCTCGATGATATCGAAATGAAGTTCTCCTGTAAATCGAGCGACAGCTCAACAAATGCTCGCAAGATTTTCTCTAATATGTTTTCGCAGCCAAAAAATATTACCCTCAAACGATTCGTATCGATTTCGGAGGAGAAGCAATCAAGTATCGTCACGAACACGTATGCTTACGATAACTTTTGCCTAGAGCTGTCGCCAGAAAATTCGGAAAAGAGTAGCAAAATCTCCAAGAAAGAACCAATTCAGGATCAACAAGTTATAACCAGCATCGCAATCGAACACGCGTTTATTTAATAAAAAATTCGAAATTTTTTTACATAGATAATAATTTGTATGTAAAATTGTGAATTAACTATCATCATCTGTATCTCCGAAGAGTGCGGGCGCTCCACAAACATATTTATTTATTTTATACTGCTAAACCGAGAGTTACATTAATTTACGTTATTTTAATTAGTAAAATTATTGCTTCGCATTTTATCGACAAATGTTCCTTTATAACTTATTATGAACATTCCTAAAAGGATATCAAAAATAAATTATGTAAGTTTTTATAGAGTAATTATATATACAAAATACACATATTTATGTAAATATGTACATATAGATACATATTAGATACATTTTCCTTAATTTAATTTAGCATTATTTTATTTCTAATGATACATTTTGTACATTTTTTAGATCTTTTTAAATATTCATATATGTATACATATAATATTAATATAAGATTCACTTATACGATAAGTTGTAAATAACGACTACAAAATTTTGTCGTGTATTTTAATTAATAATATATTTGTATTAATAATTGTATTGTATTTCTTGTAAAATAATTGTATTGTATTTCTTACATATGATAAGAGCTTTATTTGATCAAGTAATGCATCTTCATTATATCGTGGTATTCTCTCGCTATCGATTCTTGAAGCGGTAATCTTGCAGGCAAACATGTTTGCCTAATACCAATGCGCGTTGCCGACAGCCGATCTTTAAAAATTAACTAATTTATACACGAGATATTCATCAGACGCCATCCCACCACGCCTTACACATCCTTGTCGCGCTGTCACCGCGCATAGTTCACCTCCTACAAAATCATAGTATTCTATTACCGGCACACGAATTTCCGTGCCTTTTCATTCTCCGTTGCATACTGCGGCGAATACAATCGCCAATTGTATCAGCTGACCATCTACTCGCTCGCGTGCTCTTCGGATACCCGTTCGTCGAACCTCGTGAATTTCCGTCGTTACGACCGAGCGACCGCGTCACCAGCTCGCTCGTATGCCTCCCTGACCCTCGATCGTCGAAACTTGTGAATTTCCGTCGTTTCGGGACCGGCCGGCCCGCCATCCCTCTACTCGTGCGTGTGCTGCCTTGATACCCGTTCGTTAATTCTCGGGAATTTCCGTCGTTTCCATCGACGAGCCGCGCGTAATTCCGCGTCGGTTCCTGCTGTCCCGGTCGCGAGGCACGAGTAATTTCTTCGGTCTCGTGGCGCGCGCCATGACAATCAGCTGTTCGCGCGCGTGCTCTCCTGATAGCCGGTCGTCATTTCTCGTGAATTTCCGTCGTTTCGAGACCGAACCGAGACAGACGCTCGCCGACGCGGCTCCTCGGCGTTCCTGCTCCTTTGATCGCAAAACACGAAATTCGACCCTTTCCGTTACCGGTCCAAAGTTAGAGGAATTCCGTTCCTCGGACAGCGCCGGTCGAGACTATTCGACCCTTTCGCGCGACCGATTACCGAGACCAGGCACCGAGGACAAGGATTGGGAATTGGGGGTCATCGCGGCGGTTGAAGGCCTCTCGCACAATATTCTCGCCTGATAACAAGCCGTCAGTTTCGACTCTTTCCCGGCGTAGACGTTCACTTTTCTCTTTCGCGCGCCGTTTCGGAATGTCGAACGAATATAATCGTCGTTCGACTCTCTTGTCTCGACTCTTTTTTTCATGGATTTAATCTACTTTAAAAATCAATTTTTGATCTTTATATTTAGTAATTTGAGAAACTGCGAGATATATATTTTTGAAATAAATTTTTATTCAATTCACAATATCGAATTAAAGATTCCGAAAGGGATGATTCGGAGTGAATCGGGTAAATCATTGAGTCACGTGTGAAAATAAAACGTAATGACGTATATTGATTATAAATGTTCGCGATACAAATGCATGATATCCGCGGTGTGGAATCCCTTAAATTCCTATGATAATTTTCATGTAATGTACGATATTACACATTTTGCAAAATCTATCATATATGCGAGAGAGAAGGGCATATAGAAAAAATAATTTTATATATATGTATATATATATATATATATGCACATGACAGCGATGAAGTTTCGCATGTCTCTGAGAGAGCGATAACGCGTGATGTATTCAGCTCCTTTTTTCTCGCTTTCCTGTTTTATACAACAGTCACAAATACAAAATCATGTACAAATCGGAGATCGCGATTTTTCAATGTATCAACAATTTCATCAGTTACATTAATATTATTACGTTTAAGCAATATATATACATGTAAAAAATCGTATATTTATCGCTCGAAGACGATATATATATATATATTGCAATTTTATTGTACTATATATAATCAAATCATATGTGTACAATAAAACTGCCCGTAAATATCGTTTTCGCGCGATAAATTTTCTGATTTTCTTTGATATATATTGATCACATTAGCCTTTTTTAAAAATTGTCAATATATACCCTCGTCTAAAGATCTCACGCTTATAATCTATTAAATGCAAAAATTATGGGAAAATTGGTATATAAGTACAATTATAATAAAAAAAAAATTGTCGCGCGTTAAACTTTCATCATAATATTTTGATCACACATATCACATCATCACACATAAACGAATAACACTTACTTCCATGGAAATTATAATATTCGGGTAATTTTATTTTTTTCATTCATTTTCTATTCACGTATTGATAATATAAAATTAAATGTAAGATTCCCCTCCCCCCTCTTAAGCAGATTTTGAATAAATCATGATTTTTGATAAAATGCAGGTATGAGTTGTGTGATTTGTGACATTGCTATGGCAATGTATTAATACAAAAAATACGAAGAATACACACGAAACACACTTAAAAATTAAGCACTGATTCCAACATATTCCAATTCACTTTCACTACATATCTCTTTTACTTACAAACTCTACTTTCTCATTCGACGTACAATTATAATCAGGCAGTTTAGGCTTTACTACAAATGTCTAAGAAAATAGCTTAGATACTCGTTCCTCTTCCTCTCTTGTCGAGTCACCTTATTTTATTCGTATGCAAAATCCTCCCAGAGAAAGAGAGATAAATTCGCGATTCGCTTCGATATATTTACAATGGGATGTTGATATAATTAAATATTCATACTTTCGGCATTTTTCCTTACTAGAATTCGTAATTCTACGTACTTTTTTTGTACGACAAACCAAATCAAATCACAAAATCTTCGTGAATACACGTAATCTCTAAATATTAAATGTCCAAGTATAAAATACGTGAAAAAGTAAATGATCATTCAACGAAAAAGATCTTATGTAAATGCAAATTAAATACAGTTAATGTTATAGCGCTGATTATGCGCCAATATTTTCAATTGAAAATACTGCTCTGAAAATGGAAGACGTCTGTCTAAATAATTAGGAGCGAACCTATAGATTAGTAAATGCAATTGATTGAGCATTATCTATACGCCGATATTTGCATTGACATCTAATTGCTTGCCATAAAGGGCAAATTGCGCTTTTGATTTGTTACATCTATTCGATCGCAAAATTAACGATATGCCGCTGTTCTACCGCTTTTGAATCTATAAATGCATTCGAAGACCTACTTAACATAATTATTATTATTTATTATTACTTATATTCATTAGTAGCTATTATTATTTGTTATTATTCATGTTCATTAGCGATTATTATCATTATTATTATTCTCCATGGTCCAATCGTGATAAATCGATCGTGAGAGAATTCTATTATGCTTTCTATTATGATACATTACCGATATCATTTGAAAAATCTTGCGGAAACGTTTGAAATATATAGAGAAGATTTATTATGTGCATTAATTTATACTAATTTAGAAGTTATAAGCTATAGATGGAAACTGCACAGGATGCACATACGCGGCGAAATTATAATATGCATCTTCAATATATGTAAAATACATATATGTATATAAGATACATACATATTTAAAAAAAGAAAAAAATAATTTTCCACGTAATCTCGATATTTCTTTGCTTTTTTGTTAAAGTTAAAAAATGAATAAACCTCAATATGTATATGTGTGAATACCGCGAAAATGTCCAAGAGGAATACAGCTGAGCGCTAATTGCAAAACTTGGTACTCGTCCCAATTAAAAATCCGCTTCGTAATAGTATTAGTTTGTAAGATTATTTTTGAAATAGAAATATAATACACGATTGAAATTAAAACATCAATCATTCTACTGCTAATCGTACATGGATATCGTTATACGACCCGGAAACATTTTTTTTTAAAAACGCATCGTTTTCTATTTTTATATATATGATAGACTTTTTATACATGCGATAGACTTTTTTTTTAAACAAAATTATAATAATACTTAGTCTTTATATACAATGTCTTGTCACGTAATATAAAATAATTTTGTCTTAGTGCACTTTTAAGCATTGCAAATAGAAAGCTGGATAATTTTGAACATTACAACTCATGTGTAGCATGTCTATCAGATATTATTATACTTTAGTTATATATTTATAAACGCATCCGTACCCCTCTTGGCAGTTGGTTAATAACTCTATCGAGTTACAGACATAGGTATTGTCACGATTGCTACAGTGGGTAGTCATGAGAGATTTGTCGACTTTTTAATAATTTTTCACGCATTCGTTCGAGTTAGAGATCTTAATTATACTAGAATGGATAAAAGCCAACAGCTAGTCCAGATTAATCTAGCGGTCGCGGTATTGCCGTATGATCGATTCCATGTTCAGATTCGCTTGGAACGCAGGGCGATCCGAGCATGTCGACGCTCGCTGTCAGTAAAATTCCGAGTCGGAACTGTGTTGCGAATCTACGCCATTTCGATCATTCAGATACACTTCCGATGTTTGCTGAAGGGATGGCGAGTATTGCGTGGTTTGTCCGTTTTGACCTGTGTGACCGGAGAAAAAATTGCGATTTTATATCATTTGATTGTTTAAACAAACAATGTAAAGGACACAACGATATTACACGTACCGTGAGCGGCGAGAATAGTAGCTAGACACTCTGCCACTGCTGGATTCGGGGCGCAAGCTAACGCGGGCGTAAGTCCTACAGCATCGACAGCCACGACGCTCGCGCCTAGTTGCAATAATCGACGAGTAATCTAGACAAAATAATGTATTTCTCACAAAAGAATCTAATATATTACGTTTATTACATTTATATGTTTCAATGCAAATTTAGCTTACTGCTACAAGGCCATTTCTCGCCGCCAGATGCAACGGCGTTCTTTGCTGTTTGTTGGTCATATTGATAATAGCCACTCGTTGTTGTTGCGATATGTTTTTGTCGATGTCGGGACCGCCGAGCGACTCGATCCAGTTTAGAAGCAACGATGCCGCAGCGGAATGCCTTCTCTGGCATGCCAAATGTAACGCCGTATTCTTACTGGAATCGACAGCGCGTACATTCGCCTTCCATTCGAGCAACAATTCTATTCGGATCAAGATGCAACTTTTATTAATATGAAAATAAAAGTGTATGTAAACGTAACTTCATTTAAAAAAGTGCAATCAGCAATTACCAATGGCGTTGCATTGTCCATTGACAGCTGCGCAAAGAAGTGGTGTCCGTCCGAAGTAATCGGTCGTTTCGAGTCCTGCTAGTTCCGGTCCGACCGAATTTAGAATTAGTCGCGCGCACTCAACGGATCCAGCACTAGCTGCGACGTGTAACAAGCCGCATGACGAATCTTTTGGAGCGACAACCGCTTGTCCGCCAAATTTGCTGATTAGCAAATCTAAGCAATGCGCGGATCCCTGATACACGGCGCAATGTACCGCGGAGAATAGATTGTCTATAAATAATCCAAAAATTATCCAATATTAAACTGTTGTGCTTGTTATGTTAAATGATTTTTATAATTTAGCCACAACAGAGAAACCGTTCACCTTCTAAGGAATCGTACACGTTATGATTCAAAAGATACTCGACGCAATTGGAGTTGCCGTTATAACAGGCCCAGTGGAGCACCGTGCATCCCTGATCGTCCTTCAAAGCAGCCGCGGTTGGGTCGGCTTGAACAAGCGCTGCTAAAGCATACAATCTAGAAATAAATATTTGGAATATAAGACAGACCATTCTATAAAAATGTCTCGAAAATATTTCGTACGAATGTAATTTCTCCAACCTGCCGCAAGCTGCTGCCAAGTGTAACGGCGTTTTACCATTTGCGTCTTGCACAGCCACTCGTGCGCCGTGTTTCAACAGCAACTTCACTAGCTGATTATCTCGCTCATTAATCACCGCCCGAAACAACGGTGTGTGCTTGTTGACATCTGGCAAATTGCAATCAGCCTTGTGTCTCAGCAATAACATCGCACATTCCGGATGATTATTCGCTACAGCTAGAGTCAGGGGTGTTCGTAGCTTGGAATCGTAACGATTCACCACGTTGGGATCGTCCGCATTTTGCAGGAGAAGAGTCAAGCAATCGGTGTGACCTGCCGCGGCAGCGCAATGTATGGGCGTACGTTTCGTAACAGAATCCTGAAAATACGATGCACATTAACAGAAATGCGCGCAACGTATTTTTCGAGCAGAAAATTTAAATTCTTACCTGCACTGATACTGAAGCGCCGAATCGTAACAAAAGTTCGACGCACTGTTTATGTCCTTTGTAAGCGGCTAAATCTAATGGCGTTTTCCCGCTGTCTTCTTTGATGTTTGTATCGGGAAACAGAGGTAGAAGCAGTTGTAAGATTTCGTCGTGACCGTGATAAGCCTGTAACACACATTTTAAGTCAAGTATATGCGAAGCTTCGTATTTTGTCGTTGTAAATTCCAATTTTATCTGTACCGCGAGATGAATCGGAGTGAGCGCAGGCAAAGATGGTGGTTCCTGTCCGGCGGTTCCGGTTGTAGAACTTGAGTTGAGCGAAGAAGCGGTTATACTTCCCGGTGATGGCGCGTTCAATAGTGCCTCCAGTGCCGCTTGATTGCCACCCGCCACCGCGTAGTGGATCGCGGTGAAACCTCGTTTGTCGCGTAAATGCGGATTAGCTCGATGCTGCAGCAAGTACTGCACGCACTTGTAGGATCTAAGGAATTACAATAAATCGTATACTCAGATAATGCGAGAGATAAAGGTCCATATTCTGAATCCTCTTTTATCGATAAAAGAGCCTCTAAAAATGGCTTATAGCCAATCAAAAGGCTTATAAGCCACTTTTAGACGCACATTTATTGATAAAGAGGATTCGGAATATGGACCAAAGAGTCATGGTGAGAAATGAAGAATTACTGACTGGGCATTTGAATTTGACGCTGCTGCGGCAAGATGCAACGGCGTAGCGCCGTTCACATCTTGAGCGTTCGAGTCGCTGCCGAAGCCGACCAAAGTGAAGACGCACGGATAGTGTCCTTGGCTCGCGGCGTGGTGAAGAGCCAATCGATTGTCGTTATCGACGAGACGGAAGTTGGCACCGCTAGATAACAGCAAATCCAAGCAATCTACGGAACCCTATTCGGAACGTTCGCAATTTGTATTCTCCCGTGTGTGGTATGGTACAAATAATGCTTTCAAATAAAAAGAAGATATTAAGTGCAATAGTATCATTATTCAAAAGAAAATAGATATAACGGGCGCGCGCGCTTATTACCTTAAATGCTGTCAAATGCAAAGCTGTTCTGCCACCAATGTCTCGCGCGTCGATTCTTCTGCTATCGAGTTGTAGTAATTTTCTACAGACCTATCGAATGATAAAAACAATTCAGATATTGAATCGGAAAAAATATAACGTAGATTATATCGTGATAACATTATTACTCACTTCTATATGTCCGCCGAGGCAACTTAAATGCAAAGGCGTTCGTTGCTGAGCATTGCGTGTAGCCGGAGATGCGGCGCTTTCCATTAAAGATGTTACCAGACATTCGAAACCGAACCTGTAATTTGTTCCATTCTTATATATACATCTTATATGACGCTAATGGTGTGACCTAAAGAAAAGATTTATATATATATGTTCCATATGATTTACCAGGCAGCGATATGTAAAGCTGTATTTCCGTTCTTGTCTCTCGCATCTGGAAAAGCTCCTGCATCAAGCAGCATTTTTGATCGCGTAAATCTTCCGTGAATCGCGGTCATATGTAATGGCGTGCGACCGTCTTCCGATTGAACGTTTACTATCAATCCCTCGCGTATAAGCATCTTGAAACATTGAACACCATGTACACTGGTGGCGGCGATGTGCATCGCGGTTTGTCCGCGATAATTTACGGCCTCTGCGTATAACAGTAAAACAGTTATTTTCGGTCATATCAGAATGATTTGGTATCCTCAAAAATCCCGTCGTAGATGACTCACCTAAATTTACGTGGTTAGCCATGAGCGCCTTGATCACGAGGGGACATCCATTCAAACACGCGATATGTAGCGGAGTGTTTCCGTACACGTTCTTCGCCTCGATATCCGCGCCAGCGTTGATTAAAATATGCACGCATTCTACATTGCCTGAAGCGGCTGCTGCATGTAACGGGGTATATAAATCTCGATCCTTAACATAAAAATACAACATATGTACGACATTATATAATATATAATGTATATCATTTCTCCCCCTTTATAAGAATTAGTTTCGTACGTACTTTAACATCCACATCGGCACCTTTGTCTATTAACGCTTTCACAATCTCGTTGTGACCTTGATATGCTGCAAAATGTAGAGCTCTCCGGTCTTTCTTGTCAGAAGCATTTATTACACAGTCAAACTGCATCAGGTATTCGACCATTTCAAGATGCCCGTTATATGCCGCATGATGAAGACATGTTCTTCCACCTCTGTAGATTAATGATATAATATATTGATTGGCAGTTGAACAGAGGTGGTTTGTTGCGTCACAATGATATAATAATAATTTTATAGTAATTTATATGCATTTATCACAAGTAATTAATGCATTATACCTTATTATTATACTCATTATACTACATTCTATAAAATTATATATGCAATAAATAATATAAGATACATACCTATCAGTGACATTAATATTTAATAAGTGCGGTATTAAAAGTTCTACGCATTGTACAGCATTATTTGCAGCTGCTACGTGAAGAGGCGTCTGCCAACTACGATCTCTGGCGTTCGCGTCTGCTTTATATCTTAATAAAATATCCACCACATTGTAATTGCCCAAACAACAAGCTCTGTGCAAAGGAGTTAACCATTTCTTATCCTTACTATTAGCTGCTGCACCATTTAACAAGAGAAGTTCTACAATAGCAGTATCTCCCCTGCAATATATAAATATAACAAATAATTTAAAGAGTTGAAATCATATATATAATAACAATCAAAAAATTTCATAGTGATTTTACTGATTGAGATAATGACCTATATGCTGCTGCATGTAAAAGAGAACGTTGCTCCTTGTCTTGCCAATTGACATCTTCTTGTTGCGATAGCAATACACGAACTGCTTCCACATGCCCACGGAATATGGCCCGTAATAAAGGAGACTGCAAAAATATAGAATTAAAAAAGTGAATTTTGTAGATTTATATGTATATAATTAAATGTCATTATATGTCATTATAAAAAAAAATATATATATATATATATATATATATATATAAAAGAAAGAGCGAGAGAGAAAGTAAATATATTTTAGAATTGAGGAAATATATTTTAAAGAGATTAAAGTTAAAGATATTAAATAATTCTAATCAAAGCACTTTGTAAAAGATATTTATTAATTAAACAAAAAAATACAATATATATATATATATATATAATAAATATAACTTGAGGGAGTGAAAACAATATGTAAATCTGTTTATTTTAGCTGCATCTATGCAACTTTCTCTCTTTTTTTAAATAAATTGTAATTTATATATATTAAAATAAATTTATGGTAAAATTTATAGATATATATATTCAAACTTCAAAACGAAAAAGGAAAAACATACAAAATGACAGAAAATCCCAATTAACATTTACAAAGTGTACAAATTTGACATAAAACACTCTAACCTAAGCGAACGCTCGTGTGAGGTCTCATTGTTTTGATTTAATGAAACGCGACATACCTCGTCGTGAAAATCCTTGAAGACAGATTCATGCTGGTCAAGATTCATGTTGGCGTGTCTTCGAACTCTTCTCCTTCGTTTTATAATCGTTTCCTTTTCTATGACAGCATCGTCACCTGATTACAAAGACAAGCGACACCGACGAAATGAGTCATCGGATCTTCGTGCTCCGGAATGACTCCCGCGACTCTCGGCGATCGTTATTCGGTGTGTCAGGATCGAGCACGAGAGTCTCACAACTCGATCTCATTCCTGGATGAGTTCAACGACGAGCGACGCGCCGGGAACGCATTTTATCGTTGTGTTATTTATTACGCGCACGTGGTTGGGCTATCTCTTTGATGCGCTCCTCGCTTCCGTCGCCATCTTCGGCTCCAGACTCCCAACAAGCTTGTAAACAACGGCGACGAGTTCGCGCGATCTCGAGAGCTTGAAGGGAGAAACAAAAAAATATGAAAAATATATAAAAATACCAAAATATAAGAAGACATCATGTGACTGACAACTCTTTCAGCATTATCAAATTTATTTATTTAAAATTGCGAATCTTTTAGATCTCTATTTTAAAATTATTATTGGAATTTTTAAACAGAACGGCGATAAATAAATGTTCGAATATGCAATATTTCGGCATTTAGTAAAATAAAATATAATTATTATCAAATATTATTAAATAGCTTTAAAGAGCAGAGAAAATATACATAAAAAACGGCACATTAAGAAATTGTGTTATAGTCTTTTAAATTAGATATTAATTTTACAATTTCACACAACTATTAAATATTATAGTTGTAAACGTGTATTTGTAATTATCTCTCTCAAAAAAAAAAATAAATAAATAAAACAAATTTTCTTGGAAAAAAATATTGTCATTTCATAAAAGTGTTTTCATTATCGATTTCGTTTTATTATAATTTTACAAGTAACACAATTTAATTCTACAAAAATAATAAATATTGAAGATATATTTCCAAGAAAAATAACGGGATATATCAATGGAATTGTGAATATTTTACCGCTAATCTTTATCAGTCACATCTGATTCTGCCGCCATGATTCACTCACGCGAATCAGCGCCAACTGAAAATACCGCCAAAATGAAAGAAAGTTTGATGAAAATCGTCTGCTCCTGAAAGAAGCTGGGTGCTGGATGCTGGACAAAGTGTTGTAAAAATCAAAAAATCCAGGTCGCCTAAATGCAATCTATATCATTGAAACGATTAAGACGCAAGCTTTCATTACAAGTATGTGGCAAGTTTCATTATTTATTATGATATATATTAGTACAATATAACACTGTTATATTAACTGTATAATAATGTAATGTATATGTATGTATAACCATGTAATGTATATATAATAAACTATGTAATGTTGCATGTATAATAATAACTATTAATAAATCATCTGATAAAAGTTTTACAGATGGATTTCGATGTTATCTTCGACTGTAGCGGCAAAGTGAATGTCAATGATTGGCAATTGAACAGAGGTGGTTTGTTGCGTCACAATGAAGTGGACAATGTGCTTTTTCCAGAAACCGACTGTCCTTTTGCCAATACAGAAGTAAGGCTTTTTGATTGTGTCATGCCTGGAGCTGTGGCTGTGATGAATCTTGGACACTTTACTGATTGCATGGAGTAAGTACATATTTTTCACTAAAATATTTTTACTATCTCTTCATTATATTTATCTAAAGCTATTAAAATTTTAATAATTTTATATTGGATGTATATAAGTAACACATGTCTTTTTATGTTGCAGAATGCAATTGAAAATATTGAACAGAATTGAAAAGCCAGCCACAATATCTAGATTACGCAATAATGATAGTGTAAATTACCTTTCTATTAGAAAAATGATTTGTGAATTTATTTTATATGTCCGTTCATATATGAACAGGTAAATGGTAAATTTTTATTTCTGCAATATTTGAAATTGAAATAAATAACTCATTTACATTTGCAGCATAAAATGGGATTTTAGTATGTTAGAAACGATAATGCCTGAAATAAACAAAGATGTAGACACTTTGTTTATATCCATAAAACGCTTTTTTAACACACTCCATGATATGCCAGATTCAATTCTGCACTGTGCTGCTTCTAACATAGGCAATAAGGTAATTAGCATATTTGTTATTTTTCTAAGCAAAAACAATAAATTACATAAAACTAATATAGTTATTTATATCTCAGTGTAATCAAATAGAATTTCACCTGTACCATATGCATATAGAGTTAAGATGGTTTTTTATCACATTGATATATTCAAGGACTATGTGGTATCAATATCAAACACATACATTGCTAGAAGAATTTGAGAATACTACTGAAATGGTTATCAATGATCTTATGCACTTTGCTTTAAAAGTATTTGAAAGGGTAATAACAATAATGTGAATTAGAATCATTTTTATAATAATATTGATATATCTAACGCTTCTTTTTTCATTTAGTTACCCTTAAACTGGACTATGAATCTTACACAACACACACCATATTGCTGCACATGTACACGAGAATTATGGCTTATGCTGCAAATATTTATTGACAGCTTAGAAGAAAGGATGAAAATTAAGGTGAACTATCTTAATACATAATTTTATGAATATACATGTTTTTATATTGTAATTAAATAATTTTAGACATTTTGGGATCATGTAAATAGTTGTATTAATAGAATATTAAATAAAGATCGGTCCCAAATAATATCTTGGCATGGAAGCATGGAGTCTTTTCTACCAGATTGTAAGAATCCTGAACTATTTTGTATCTGGATAATACATCACTTGTCTTTGTTATATGGATATAGTACAGATGGTATACATTTACAATATAATTCACCAAGGGTAATATATAACACACTAATAAAGATTTGACTGTCAAAAGAAAAAAAAAGTATATATATCATTATTTACAGATTAGATCTAATTGTGAACAAGTTGAAAAGATTCTAAAAATGTATGTGTGTAAAGGTGGAAAGGATGGTGAAAGAGACGAATTTGATACTGAACTTAAAATCATAATATTATTGCTATATGATCTTATTATTAATTGGTGGCAACCGCGAGTCCCAATTATATCTTTTCTTTGGGATTGTTTTCATAAGAGATTGAACCAATCATTCTTATTACAGACTTCTGGGCCCTGGGCCTTGTCCCTTGAAAAGTATATGTATAGAAATGACTTGTACATAAATTTATAATTATAACTGTATAATTAAATATATAATTGCAGAATTTTTTTTATAGGAAAACCACTGCAGATATTCTGAAGCAAATTAATGACAGAATTTGCGGCAAATTTGAACATTCTAAGGAATCTAGCTATGGTGTATTCTTATATTTAGTAGGTGAGTTTAATTGGTATTTGATCTGCATATTGATTGTACAATTGAAAAATTACTCAATCTTTTACAGGCACATTTTTAAAAAAATATGGCAAAACAGATCCAAAATATTGGAATCAATTTAAGGGGCGTGTATACACAAAATTTTCAAAAAACAAAGTTGCAGAGTTGTCTGAGAATGGCCTGTACAATTTTATATCTTTATTTACCACTTTGGCAATTACTGCAGATGTTACAAATGTTGTAAGCTAAAATATGTATGCAATTGTTATCATATAGATAAATATTATTAACAATATCTATATTAATACTTATTTTTTTAGTGTACAACGATGCTAGACTTTTTACCATCTACACATGAATTAAACGACGAATACAATAAAAAGTGTAATTTAATTTGGAAAGGGAAATTAGTGTGTCTCTTGTTGTTTAATGAAAGACGATTATCTCTTGCTTCTATAGCCGATCACTTTACAGAAACAGTATGCTCCAATTTCTACAATATTTGTACATATATAAATTATAGAATTTTAATAAAAGAGATATCTTATCTGGATTTTAGGTCAATTTAATAAGTTGTCGAAAAGATGAGACATCTCGTTCTATGATGACCAGTTTTGTTGACGTTTTAAATACGATTTTATCCAACAATGACAAAATAGATTTAGGAGAGCATTATTTCATTGGTGGTTGGATCGATCGTTATCTCTTGGAATGTCCAAAGAATAGGATCGGATTTTTATTGGAAATGCTCGCCAATGTTTTTGACAAATGTATCATTTTGCAGGTTTCTTGTAATAATTCAGGTTGGTATGTCTGTATTATTTTTATTTTAAATAAAACATTATTGAAATTTTTTACTCCAGATATTTTATAATTTGGGAGAGAGAAATCATATACTATAAAATATGAACACTTACTAAAGCTTGTTTATAGATGGTGTCAGGAAAATGTTAGATGCACTATGGTGTTTTGTTGCTTGTAGAATTCGCCAACTTGTTTTTGATCCCATCCTTATTGGTGAGAATTATAAAATTATTTCCAAACTAGCTGTCATATTTACATTAGAAGCAGTTAGAGAGCCAGCTACTGCTAAAAAATATAAGCACTCAGCTATATCTTTATTTCAACATTTTGCAGCATCAATATTTTTGAAAGATATAAGGTAAAAATAATTCATCTGAAAATTAATATCTAAGATATATATGTATCAGAAATACGATAATTTTTTTTTTTTAGAATTACTCAACATTATTTAATATCTATTTTTGAGAATCGACAAGCTGTACAAAATTTAAAGAAAGAAATTCCAAATTTTGATATTATTCTTATCCAAGTTTGTATATATGTTTATATATATTTATTTTTATATATACATTGTAAAGCAATTAATGAATAAAATATATGTGTGTTATAGGCTTGGATAAAATGTTCTATCATTGGTTATGGCACAGACAAAGAAGAAATAAAGATTCTGCATAATTACATTGCTGATCTCAGTGACATCAAAGAAATATTCGTGTCGGATTACGATCTATACGAGTTTAAAAACAGCGATGAACCTATTTTGATATTTATAATATCATGCATGAAGAAGCAGAATGCTTTAAAGGTATTCATTTTTATGAATATAATATATATCAATATCTCTAATCAGAAACAAATTAATACAATTGAAACATTTCTAAGTCTGTACAGGAAAAATTTCAATATAATGCAAAATGTAAGATGTACTTCAAAAATATAGAGAAATGGGCTTTGTTACCTATAACAGAGGAAACAAAAGATTCAGAACTTGCATTTTGGATTTATAGATGCCTCGGAACATTGATCCTCTGCATTTCTCCAATGCTGTATACTAAAGTATATAATCTGATAATTACTAAGATTCATCTTAATTATCAGATTACATACTTTTAAAAAACTCTGTTTTACAGAATCAACCAAACGATATGTTAAGAACACTTATCAACAAAACTATCTTAGTACCAGAGAATTCCACGCATTCGTATATAAAACAATTGGGGAAAAAAATATTCTCAATGATAATACTTGGTCTGGAAAAATTAAACATCAAGAGTGACATATTATTACAAGCAATGATTAGAGATATCTTTGATCAATATTTGCCAATTTTGATAACTGAAATTAATAGTGGTTGCAGTTTTAAAGTTGCTGATACATTGTTAAAATGCTTTAAGGAAGCAAAATCCGAATTTCTACGTTCGATTTTCGAAACGCTCATGTCGAATTTTTACAATATATCCTCTGACAATATCATGCACAAACATTCCAATTTGGTATGCAAAGATATTTTTATATAATATCAATAGTGTAGTTGCAAATATATTTATTATTCATTGACACACACAGATAACGTGGCTTATAAAAACATTGCTTAAAGAAGGAAGAAAATATCCTAAATATATTGTAGAATATATTATTCAAATTTGTTCTCCAAACATTTTTGGGTGTTATATGAAGATTCAAGATCATCATCCGCATAAGCTGCATACAATTGACTTTATTAATGATATAATTAATAATCCTTATTATGAGGAAGATAAATTTATGAGGTAAACAAATCTCGAAATATATTAAATATTGAATCATCTTTATAATTAATCTTCATATTTTCAGAGAAAAATTCCAAAATGCCATTTCTGCTGCAGTACAAAAATATTTAACACAAAACACACAATTTACATTTGAGTTCATGCGATCTATACTGTCAATAAAAAAAGATATTATAATCAATTTGCTCCCGCAAATTGAAGCTATTGTTCTGCATTCCGAACAATTTCGTCGACCTAATGCAGTATCCTTGAGGTTAGAATAATGATAAATTTCTAAACTATAATATGATAATTTTTATGCATGATAGGGATAAAAAAATTATTATAATTTTAGATTCAAATGGAATCAACTAAAAAAACATATGTTGGATATGGACGATAATTCATGATAAGATTACAAAAATTTATTAATAAGTGCTAAATCTCTAAATAATGACAATTTAAATCCTTTAAATTTACACATTAATTGGTATCTGAATCTAACAGATCCAATCTTTTTAGTATACAAAAACGCATAAGTCACTTGCATTAAATGACTTCATCAAGATATGAAACAGAAAAATTTAAATTATATATATCATTATATATCATAATTAATATAAGATTTACATCAAGATATAAATATAATAAAATAAAATGTAAATTATTGTCACATATACTATAGAAATAATAATCAGCTGCGATATACATGTAATCATTCATTAAATAATTGGTAATCATATTGATCCTACCAACGAGGTAGAAAAAAGTGGAATTTATACATCATCGAAAACAAACTTTTTTCACTACTTTCGATGTGAATGCCTCGAACGATGATGTTTTAATGATGTATTACCCGGAGGCGATTGTCATCCAATTAACTCTAGGCGAGACACAGCATTGCGTACAGCATTACGTAAACTTTGTTCGACATTACCGCTCAATAACGATTCCAGCCTTTCGAAGTAACTGTCGATATTTTGTAATGTAGCACCATCATGCGTGCCTATGTGTGAAAACAAAATAATTATATAAATAAAATTTAAATTTTTAAATAAAATCGTCGCTTGAATTTTACCCTGAAGAAACTTGCCTGGAAGCGGTATGGTAGCGAAGCAACCTGCCAATTGAGAACGAAGAGAATCTAAATTGCGCTGTAGAGCTTGATTGTTCGTTCGTTGTTGATTAGTTTCGGATTCCAAGCGATTCACAGCAGCATGCAGACTGTCGATGTGTCGCTGGAGAACTGCATTCTGAGATTCGTAATCGGATGTAGCTTTCCGCAATTGTCTCAATTCAGCTTCACAGGCTATACATTTTTATAAATGAATATTTTTATTAATTTTATTATTAAAATATAAGTAAAATAAAAATAAAATATATTTCAAAGTAAAATACATTTCATTAACCATATATTTATGTCAACAATATATATATTTTACCTTTATTATGATCCAAAAATTCTTCTGTAAAAATAGGGATGTCAAAACCTGTGAAATCGTTGTCCTTATCTTGTTGGACATCCTAAACAAAATTTCTATTAGCATTCTTCTTTGCACTAAAACTTATCTTAAGTATAATATAATAATACTATCATACATTTTGCTCGACGTTTACGTCAGTGCCATTTCTTTCTTTCTTATTTTCGTTTTGTCTTTCTGATTGTTTTTCATTGAAGAGCCGATATGCTTCTGTTTGCTTGTAGTTGCTAAATTCGCGATTGTAGCGCTCCTTATCTTGCTCAGCTGCATCCAAATATTGCTACATGCAAATATTATCATTTTATTAGAATATTATGCAGATACATACATTAAAAGAGATAATAAGCTACAAACTTGTTTCTGATCACCCGGTAATTTACTCCACTCAGAAGCCAGAAGCTTTGTAATCTCTGTGAATGTTAAACTTGGATTTTCGCTTCGAACCTTCTCTCTCCGGTCATTTAAAAACCTATGCATCGTATTCCATTAAAATCAGAAAAACTTAATATATAATCTAGATATTTTTTCAGGTTTAATCATTACAGGAAATAACCACTCAAAGGTTGTTTCGGCGCTGTAGCGTCTCTTGGAGTCTTCTTGCGTTTTTTTGTTCTATTTGGTGCATTACTATTGCCAGTGGGAATGGCATTCCTTTTTATACCATTATCACATACCGAATCTGGTGCTTTCTCTTCTGTACTTCCTGGAGACTTAGCTAACAAAACAAAGGGAATGCAAAAAATTATTCATTGCTATTATAAGACACAAGTTAAATTATGCAAATCATACTTACCAGCATGTTCTTCTGCCTCACCATTGTAAGCAGACTGTTCCATTGCACCATTGCTTTCAGGCACATCATTTGTTGGAGTCTCACTCATTTTCTACAACACAATATTTTTTGTATGATTTGGTAAACTATCTTAAACAATATCTATCATAGATTTCCAAAGTACAAATCAAATTTTTTACATATCCCACAATATATAAAAACTTCCTATATTTGTGCAAAATTATATAATAAATATTATCGATGGAGTCCTCTTAAATTAAAAATATGACATGTATCATTCATTGGAAAACTACTGAAAAATAATATATTAAGTGACAAATCATATATATTAACCTTTTCCGACTGCGAAAGTGTAGAATTAATTAGTATCTCATTAACAATAAAGATGATGTTGTACTATGTTCGTTATCAATTAAAATCATGCCAAATTGCACTTTTCTATGCAAAAAAAAAGGATAACCAAAAGGGTTAGGTTAGATTAGGTTAGGTGTTCATTAATTGATATTCGTTCTTTGGCTTATTACGCTTTTTTTACGATATTGAGTTAGTGATTTTTTTATGTTCTTCGTATCAGAAAGAGCGAGTTTATTTTTTTCACTGTGGAATAATTACAGCCAAATATATTTGCACTAATGACAGTCGAAATATAAGATGGGCTTCGAAAATATACAACAGATATGCGTTTGCAAAAATACTAAAGCCAGTTTCTCATGTTGAAACGTCAGTCGACCAATAAAATCACGCAAACGAGACTTTAAAGTGACAAATTGCGATTAGATAAATTTATACGAAAGAAAAAGATATGTAAATTGAGATTAGCATAGAATTTCGAATTACTTACATTATCCTATAAAATTCTTTACAATGATTTTCTAAATATGCATTGAAAACTTTCTCTCTCTCTCTCTCTCTCTCTGTTTCGATGCTAACCAATGGGAGACGGAGCTTGCCGGTCAATTGCCGGTGCGTGTACAGTTCAGCTCAAAATGTCATTTGACACACGTGTATTGTGTGTGACCAGTTGGAAGGAGACATCAACGGTGTCGGTAGATTTATGAAGAAGATCTTTTATTTTTCCATCGTATAGTTTTTAGATTTTATTGCAACAGAATGGAGTACATTTATCGATTACCATTCTTAATCCTGGAAGTGCCTAATTTAAAATTAAAGAAACCGTCCTGGTTCGTGAAACCTAGTGCTATGATAGTCTTCTCCTTCATTCTTCTGTCATACTTCTTGGTAACAGGAGGTTAGCTATTTAAATGTTTTGATTTTTGAAAAAAGTCACTTTTTATACGGTTTATTCTTTTTTGTTCAAATCCTATAATTTAAAAATATTTTCATATATATCGATAAAATGTTAAAAAATTTTTTGTGTATTAATAATTTTCTTAATAACACATAATAAAATTTGTTTAATATTGTTGAACATATGTTTTGTAGGAATCATATATGATGTAATTGTTGAACCACCCAGTGTAGGCTCTACAACAGATGAACATGGACATACAAGACCTGTAAGTTGAATGAATTTTTATTTTCAATAATTATGTTTCTCTAATGTAAATAATATAAATAATTAAATCTAATGTAAATAATTGTTTCTTCTTATGAATCAATGTGATCCGTACAGGTAGCATTTATGCCATATCGTGTAAATGGACAATATATCATGGAAGGCTTAGCTTCCAGTTTCCTATTTACAATGGGAGGTTTGGGCTTTATTATATTGGATCAAACTCATGGTCCATCGACACCGAAACTTAATAGAGTTCTTCTAATATGTGTTGGATTCCTCAGTATACTTATGTCATTTGTTGCATGCTGGATATTCATGAAAATGAAACTTCCGTAAGATATCGTATTTATAGATTTATACATTTTGGAACATTTATATAAATTGTTAAGTAATAATTCTTTGTGTATTTACAGTGGGTACCTACAATCTTAAATATAAGTTATATAAATTCCATGAATATTGTGAATACCATTTTTATATCGTATATGAGATATCATTACAGTATACAAAATATTGTAACAATTATTGATTGAAGATTTTTGTAATAAAGTGTAATAAGTAAAACAAAAAATAATTTTAATATAATTAATTATTAAAATAATTAAATAATATAGAATAAGTGATATTATAACTCTCTTTTAAATATATAAAAGAGATATTTATATTTAAGAAATACATATCTTGTATTTAAAGGTATTCACAAACTTAATTTTACAATGTACATATACATTGTAAAATTAAGTTTGTGAATACCTTTAAATACAAGATATGTATTTTTTAAATATAAATATATATTAAATATATATAAATACCTTTAGAAATTTATATATCTCAATATAAAGAAATGCATTTTCTAATCAGAGCAACACATTTAAATTGATATAGTATTTTCATAATGTTAATCTAATTATGTTCCTTTGTTTATTAAGATATAAAAAAAAAACAAATTTTGTGATTATTTATTGGTCAAGAGATTTGGTTTCTCTTGATTTCCTGCAGCCTTATATGTATATTAATAAGACCATTATATAATGTATGACAGTTTTAATTAGACATTTGTATAATATATATGTTTGTTCCTATTGCTACATAATATTAAATAAATAAGCTCAATAAAAAATTAAAAAATTGTTAATATTATTTGGTTTAGGCCTAATTGTAGAGCCTTGGCACATTCTACAAATATTAAGTGAGTTTTTTTGTTCTGTAATATGCATTAGGCGTATGTCTACATTGTCAATTATTATTAATCAATATTCAGTCTTTTACTGATTAAAATATCTTGTTAATGATGTATGTTAATCATATTTTTATAAACGAATACGAAAACTCCTGTAAAAAATTTTAATATCATTAATATCATTGGCAAATTGAAATTAAAATTATATGATTTAATAATCAAAAATCTTACTTAGAAAAATCGCTACTTTTCTCGATAATATGTTCAAATTCTGCAAAACTTAGAGCACCATCATCATCTAAATCAGCTTCGTCGAGAATATATTGAAGAAGTTGCTGCATGTCATTATCATTCAATCTTTGAGGCGCAGTCAATCTATCTATCACTTGCCTCAGATCTCCCACACCAAGCATATCATCACCATCAAAATCTACACAAATGAAATATTGTTAGTAAAGTCAATAAAGATACAATTTTACTTACATTGCAAATAAAACAGCTGACTAGAAATATCAGACTTACCGAATATCCTAAATGCATGTTCAGCTTTTACAGCTTTTGGAGCAGCATCACTGAATACAGACATCATATCTAGGAAATCTTCAAAGGTACAATCACCATCTTGACTAGAACTGAAGACTTTACAGATTCTATCTCCAAAAGGATTTACTCTCAACTCAGGATATTGCAAAATTTTAGACATTGGAAGCTTTGCATTTCTATTATGTCCAACTTTTTCTGGTGCAAGTGCTTTAAATTTCTGATGCGCACTGTGACAAGGAGAAAGAAAATATAATTTTTCAATTAAATATACAATAATTAATAATATATATACAAGAAATACATGCTTATAATAAACATAGTGTTTATTTAAATAAATATTTTAATAAACAAAAAATAAAAATAAAAAACTTTAGTGCAATGTTGGTCAAACCTCATTGATAGTATACTCACTATAAGACTTCCTTTTTTGTAAAGTATGTTAAATCCTGTTAATAAATAAGTAGAGTTTTTATTCAATTATACACATTTAAAAAAAATAAAGAACTGTTCAAAATATAATTGTCAATAAAAGAAAAGATAATTAAAATAGAAAAGAAGTACTTGATAGTCTTGCAATTCCTCTTCAGTAAACTGACTTTTTCCTGCACCCATCCTTACACACCTTTACACAATGTCAACCATAGGCGCTTCATTTATCTTTATCATGAAATTCGATCATCATTAATCAGCATTACACACTGATGATTAATGCATGAAATATGTGTGTAAAATTCGTATGACACCTGTCAAAATAATCGTGAGAAAAAAATATCAAATAATGAAAATTTAATATTTTTTCTAAATTGACATTACGCTTAATTTCTCGATTGATTAATTATTTCATAATCATTGAATAAACATTAAAAATCGCTCTTACAAACACAATAGAATATTGACATACATACTTTTACAGTACGCTATTGTTATTGATCAGCGTGATGTCAGTTAAACCTTAGACAGATGACGTTAGCTCTCTGCCTATTTACACTTCCTAGGTAGTGTTCTAAAATTTACTCCTTGGAGTAGAATAGCGTTCAATTGACCAATCAAAACTGAAGAAACAAAAATTTCTCTATCCTGATTGGTCGATTAAATGCTACCTTACTTCAAGAAATAAATTTTAGACGCAACCCTGTACTTCGAATATTCAGACATTGGATGAAGAAACAGAAAGAAAAAGGAGGGAGGAAAAAATTAAAGTGCGAAGAAACGAACAAACGCACGTGGACGCACTTAGTGAAGCGGTAAAAGCAGAAACTGCTACAGTTTTTGCTGGAAACCAAAGAATTCGAACAGTTTCAAACAATTTGGAACGAGTGTTGCGACAAAAGACAAACAATGGCGACAGAAAAAATTAGCAAGATTTTTAAAGATGTTTATTACGACCAGTTTAAATGGTAGGTTAACGCAGAGTGTATTTGTTGATAGATCTTAAAATAAATTCAATCACAAGTCAATATTAAAAAATATAACCAGCTACACGAAGTAGTTCGTGTAACTGGATTCATTATACCTATATAATTTCTAAAATATTAGTCAATAATTTAATTATTACTTTAAAATGAAATTAATGTCATAAATTTTCTTCAACTAAAATCATATGCTTTATATCTATATTGCAACTGTTTCATCAATCATTTATCATTTTTATAGAGGATATATAATTAGGTATTATTTATGTATATTAATATTTTTAATATGTTATGTAAATAATGTTTCATACTAATGTTAGTTTTGTATTAACAGGTCGATAGTGAAAAATATTGCCTTTTTTGTAATTGGTGTCAAGATTGCTATAGAATGCAATGGAATGACTCTTATGCCACCAGTCCCAGTTTAAGTCTAACTTATATAATATCAAAAGACAAAAATGTTCAAATATTCCAATATCATGTCTCCGCATCTCATCGATCACATAGTGTCCTATCGCAATAATTTAACTTTATTTGCATGTAAAAATACATAGGTAATATTTAAAAAATGAAATATTGTTGAATTTTTTAATAAATAGCATTTGTTGTTATCAATTTATAGCTTTCAATTATTTGATAGCACTTGAAATTGCTGTTTTTCCACATATATTTAGGTTCTTCCAGTATCATTGATTCAACGATTATTAGAAAGGACAAAGGATTTTATATTCCATAGTTTCAGGATTATATTAAAATCTATGTAAAGATAAAATATTTTTATTATTAAAAATATATATTTAAGATGTTTTGTGCATATATTTTTGGTCTGCACTTCACCTTTTAAACTTCCTGAGAGGAAAGAAAAATAATTAATATTATTTCTTTTCTTTACATACAATTCTATGCATTTTCTCCTATCTCCTGTCTTAACGAGATCACATTTCACATTTTGAAAGAAAGTTAACATCATAGTGTTTTGATATCAATTGATATTTATTAATATCAATTCATACCCCATGTATCATTTTTAAGTACCTATGATATCAACTATATGTAACCAATAAATGCAACGCAAAATACTCTCAATGCAAATTTCAAGTTAAAATATGAACGGAAATTGAAAAAAATAAACAAATTTATCTTTTTCTAATATAAAAATTTATTATTAGGTTTTAGTTATTATCGTGCATTCTTCTTCAAAGCTCCCTTGACGTCAATTCTACGCCTAATCGGGTTCATTGCGGCCAATCGACATACTCGTCTTTTAATTTTTTTTCCGATGGAGCTAGGTTTATTCTAAAATCTCCATTCGAATGGAGTAGTTTTCAATTGTTATATCAAGATGAACAAGTCTTTACTCTTTTTAGCCTCTTTTAGTCTGATTGGACAATCAAAATAAATAGATTGTTGAACGCAACTTTACATGTGATATAACGCAAAGTCCTTGAAATACTTCGTAATATAAACATCTCTAAAAAAATTAAGCTAAATTCATATACATAGGTATAATAATGCATAGATAACACACTGTAGGTGTAGGTGACAATTGTTTAATCAGCTAAATAAATTAAATATTAGTACAACGTACGTTTTCCAATTTATTCGATCGTGGAAGGTTGTAATATAAGATGATCTTATAAATAAATAAGTAATAATCTGTAAATAATCTATAAAGTGTTATGCATAGATGACAAGTTGTTTGTTACGAGTTTGAAGTGGATAAAAATATAAAGTCTTTTAGTACAAATATAACATTCCTAAGCGTAACGCTTATTTGTTATCAATATGAAAGAAGAACATGAAGAAAGTTTTGAAAGTTCTGAATTACCAGGTAAACATACAATATTATATTATTAGGCAATCAATAATTATCAACTAATAAGTTAAAAACTATTTTGCCATCAAATAATATTTTTAAAAATATTTGCAACAATAAATGACTAGAATATTTTTAGCCGTAATTGGAGTGCTGTTGGATTGTTTGGATGATAAAAATCCAGATGTCAAAGAGTCTATAATTAAATCACTTGAGACAATAAGCAAGAAAAATCCAGAGATTGTTATTCATACTGCTATTTATTTTTGGGAAATGCATAAAAAGGTTAATATTCACAATAATTAGACATTGTTATTGCATAATTCAATTATTGTATAATTCTCATTGTTTTAAAAAGATATCCAAGAAACATATGGCATCTCTGTTGAACATAATGTCCAATGTCTGCAGACATTCAGCGACAAGTTTAAACAAAGATTTAGCATCATCTCTCTCTGAAGTGGCAGTGAATGAACTAATAGGAGAAACTGAGAATGAAGCAGCTCAGTTGTTAATTGAACTTTGTCAAATATATTGCGTACAAGCCATAGGTGGACTTTTGTCTAAGTATGCTCTGTAACATTAAATTTCACATAGATATAATAAATTAATATATTTGAGAATTAATATATTTGAGAAAGAAAATTATAAGAAAATAATATAAAAATTATATGACATAATCTTAAAATATGAATATATTTGTAGATTAGAACCTGGAAAAATTCCTAATGCTGTAATAGTTTCCACAATAGGAAAGCTTGTGGCAGCCAATCCATATGGGATGTTGTCTTTTTTAAAAATAATATTAACTATTATATTACCAATGTTAACTCAAATACACGAGGAAGTTCTTAAACAAGCAGTTTGCTCCAGTAAGTATATATATCTTAATATTTTTGATAGTACTAATAAAACTGTATGCAATTAAGTTCTTTATTTTCAGTGATTAGTAACTTTTGTGAAGCTTTACATGATTATACAAGGAGTGAAGAGATCTTAGTTCCAGAAATTAACAAACAAATGTTTGAGGAAGATATTTGCTCTATTTATGACTTTTTAATGCAATATTGGTTGAAAACATCTCGCGATTTTAATTCAATGCAAAATATTTTAAATGCATTAGGTTATATAATAATTCTTTTATCCGAGCAGAAGAATAGCGAGAGAATTATAAAATTGCTACCCATATGTTTAAATCTTTCTAAGAAATCAAGTATACGTTTATCTTCGTTAAAGTGAGTTTCATATTTTGTAGTAAGTTTATTATTGATAGATTGTACTAGATGTTTCTCTCTTTTTCTCTTTTTATTTTGAATAGCTTCTCTGGATTTTATATTAAGTTTAAAATAATTATTTTCTTATTCAAATATTATATTTAATAGAGTTTTAGCTATACTTTTAAATTGCCTCAAGACTGAAAGTGACAAAGAGGCAATTCGTCCATCTATAGAATACATACATCAAACTTTATTTGAATATGTTAGTATCAACCCTTATGAATCATATTCTCAACATCCAGTTCTTACACATTTCGAAGTTCTACAGTGCTTCAAGTCATTGGTCATTTTGTACCCTTATGAAGGTCTTGACAGGTAATGTGCATGTTCTCGCGTTTAGCTGATAAATATAACTATAAACAAAAAATATATAAACATATAAATAAATATAATAATAAATATATAAATATGAATATAAACACAAATATAAATATAAACAAAATACAAAATTGGAAAATTTATAATCACTTGTTGCACTTTTTTTACAGAATCTTGCAACAATTGAAGTCACCGACTGCTAATCAACGTGCCCGTACTCTAGTAATCCTAAAATATCTCATAAACTTTCTTCCAAAAAAGGTACAGAAATATACATTTTTATTATCAAACAGCACAGTATATATATATATATATATATATATATATATATATATATATATATATAAATTAATTATATATATATATATATAAATTAATTATATATATATATACTGTGGTGTTATATACATGGTACACACACACACACACACACACACACACACACACACACACACACACACACACACACATATATATATATATATGTATGTATGTATATATTGTTTTATTAGAATGATGGAACAATGCAAAGAATTGCATTAAGCCTGCAAGAATCTCTTGTAGAGGACAATTCACTGCAAATGGTTAGTGCTATAGCAGCACTCGTAGCACAATCGATTCCTCTTTTCTTATCGCAGAGAGTTCAATTTATTCGTTATATGGTAAATAATACAAGATGAAGTTAAAAAAAAAATAAAAAAATTAAAAGGAATTAATTTTGTCTTGTTATATTAAATAGGTGAAGCATTGTGAAACGAAAGATGATAACATGAAGGAATGTTCCACAGCTTTGCATTTACTCGCAACAACAGTCAATGGCGTCGAGTCTTGGTTGTGGCCGTGTTTAATAAATGCATTGCTAGATCCATCTTGTGTAGCATCTGTAAGTGACATGGTCCAAAATATTTGTTGTATATTAATGCCTAATTCTAATTGGTTTTTTTTAACACAGGTTATACCAGTATTACGTTCACTGACCCCATTAGCGATAAAAATAATACGTAATGAAAATTCTCTAACAGACAAGAGGGATTTTCCTGGCACAAAAATTTTAAGCCGATGTCTGGAATTATTAAGCGATCCGACTAATCGACTCGAAGTAGTGGCCTTTTTAAAAGCTGCAGCACCTTTAATAGGACATCAAGTGAAACCTTACTGGAATGAAAAGTTGTTAGAACTTACACAGGAATGTTTGCAAAATGAACAAACAAATTCTTATAGTCTCAAAGAAGCGAAAGATTCCATGCAACGGTAATAATATTTTGAGATCAGTTTTTGATTTGCATATATTATTAGAAGAGATTTCTTTAATTTCTTTCTTGATTACTTAGAGATTTAATTTGGGAAAAGAAAATAGTGGAGTGGTTGGAAGAAAGTATGAAACTGGAAGGAGAATCGTGGGGCAACAAGATTGCTGAGGAACTCGTTTCAAAAGCAAGCATACCGAATATAGCCTTGTTTTTAGCATGTACATGCAATAACAATGATCACATTACTCTTCTCATCGAACTTGCGCGTTCTCATAGCACCACCAAGGAATTCGCGCGAGCAGTTGGTATCTGCGCCAAACGACATTTGATTATCGTATTGAAATTAATGGAGGAATATTGTACCATCGAAGACACCAGGAAAGTCCGCGTAAAGCTATTGGGCTTAATGAAAGACTCAAAAGCCGCCGCTACTGCTGAAGCTGCAAAAGCAGGTTTGTTACAATCCTATGCTGAAATCGCTCAGAGAGGGAATCCGCAAAAATTTTTCTCAGCATTTGAAAAGCATGTATTACCGTGGACTATTAAACAGTTGAACGAATGTAAGGAATTATCTACAAAAGAAGCAGGACTGTCAGTTTTGGAACAAGTAATTTAATTTATAATTTTAATAAATTATTAAATAATTTAATCTTGTACATGGGAAAATAGTACCAATATTAAATGTGAAATATTTTTTACTCGTTGTATATTGTCTGGTTTGTTGTTGATTCGTAGGTGGCCAATGCTGTTCATCCTACTAACTTTCCCGAATTTAAAAGTTTGCGCATAAAAACTACTATTTTAGCTACTTTATTAGGAATTTTGCAAACATCAACCGGATATAAACCATTGCAACTTTATCCGGCGATATTGAAAGCAATAAACTCTCTAATGTATGTAACATTTAATATAACATTTATTTTTTAAAATATATAATAAAATAAAAATGCAATCATAAATTAAATAAAAAGTAGCAAATGAGAGCCAATATAATAAGTGGAGCACATATTTTATTATAGGATAAATTTAATAGATATAAAACGAACGTTTCAGTCTTTTTCTTTTTTTTCGCGTCATTTTCAGCATATTAATAATAGATAATAATAATATAATTTTTAACAATATTTATTATTAACAATAGATATAATGGAATAACTAATAAATTATAATATTATCAAAAATAATTGCTTACATAAATAAAATAAATGTTATTAGATAAAGCAATTATATTGTCAAATAAAAATGAATTACATAATTGTCAAATAGAAGAATGTTGCGTGAAATAAATAGAATAGAATTTAAAAAAATTCTGTGTTTATAATATCGAATGATCAAGCAAACATGCGAATCGTTCAGTGGATGAAAAAATTGTATCTTACAATCATTTACACAGTAAAATATTGTAATAAATTAAAATAATAAATTATGCACTCCACTTATTGCATTAACTCTTGTTTGCCGTTTGTTATTTAACTTATGATAACTTATGATAACGTTTATTTAATATCATTTATTTCATAAAAAATAAATATACAATAAGAATATATTTTTAAACATTTCCATATAGATGTATATCGCCAATGTTAAATGATGAAGAAAGAGGGATTTTTCTTAGTGCATTATTAGATAAGACGATCGGTGCCAGTTCAGAGGTATTAAAATTAATATAATCTTATACTTATAATTATTATCGAGAGGAGATTAATCAATAATCTTTGTTTGTTAGATTGTTTGTTGTTTAAATCCAGAAATAATGCGACAAGTCACAAAAGAATTAGCAGCTATATCTAGTGAAATTGTATCCGATTCAGCGGACGCATTAGCTGAACTGGTTGATATATTATTTACATGGATGCAGTCGAAGTCAAATATAGAAAGAAAAACGACTTTGTCGGTGTTACACACAGTGCTTCAGTAAATATTACAACATATCTTCTTGTCTTACATCTATGTATACATTATAATTGATTATTAACAGATTCGTCTTTTATATACAGGTCCTATTATAATTCTTTAAAATATACATACCCAGGTGGCAAATTGGATGTTGGACAACTAATAGGGAAAATTTTCTGCTGGTGCACAGATGATGATTGCAATTTAAGACCATTGGTGATAGATTGTCTATTTCTCTCTCTGGATATTGCAGCCCGTCATCGTCAGATATTATCTGAGAGTGTTTCGATTAATGATATAGAACAAATAAAGAGAGAACTGACTGAAGATAATGAGCTGTCTTATAAAACTGCAAAAGTTAGTTTGTGTAATTTAATTATTTTACAACTAATTATGCAGCTAATTTTATTATATCATATAAAAAAAGAAATTATATAATTTGATACAATTTTTTTATTGCAAACAGAATTTTGCTGATGTGGTATCAAAAAAAATTCCCAATGGTGAGATAGTTGGTTTTGCAGAGGGATTGATTGGTGGCTTACTATTCAATGGACAAGCATGCCTCATAGCAGGAGTAGGTCTTATGCAACATTTTAAAATTAGAGGATCAGAGATATCTAGGACCGATGTTTCTTTAGTCGGTACGTAAAACACATATTATTTGTCATTAATTACTATTTCATCAAGAGAGTCATTTTACTCAATTTTATGATATTTTATTAACGAAAATTTCTCTATGTTGCAGACAGTATTATTTTGCAAATAAGACAAATCGGAAATCTGAGCTGCAAATATACTGCATTAATAGCTATATCAGCGCTGATGAAACACCATCCGGAAGAAGTGGGCGAGTATCTTTTATCACAACCGTTACCATTGGATTCAGGTACTAGATCATGTTGGAGAGAACTCGGCAATGACTTTTTTCTCGCAGGCCGAGTAGGTATCGATCTTCTAATACACATTCGTACATTATATTATATATATAGATCCATACATAATTTTTTTAGGCTTTGGAATTACTACTGGTAAAACTCCAATTTGGCAATTTATTCAGTGAAGTTACGAATTCAGTGAATTCTGGAAGAAATAATACCGCGTCCCTGCCATCCTTGGCAATTATCGTAGGCTTGAAATCTCTTCTGGAATCATTGAGTATGAGAGACTTTATTGAAATACACTTGCCAGAATTATTATCGAATCTCCTTAAGTACCTCTCAGGCTGGCTGCATGTTGAAACTCCCGCATCATTGATAAACACGAAGTACGGATATGTTCCGAATCGGGCAGCGCAGAAGATAAATCCGTACGCAGAAGTGCATTCCATAATAACTAATGTATTGATGGTCATTCAACCAAATATTGCATACAGCTTGCTAACGGACGCCGTATGTATTAGAAAATAGACGATTTATATGTGCGATTGTCTCGATTTTACGGTGTGAATATGAAATTTTAGACTTCTTTCGAGATACAAACCGAGGAGAACGTAATATCGATTGTACAAACATTGATTAAATGCATGTCGAACAGAAATGAGGATCTGTTGAGTATGTCACAAATGTTAAATGATCTGATAACTAGTACCATAGCCATACAACGAGCGGTCGCCGTGACGTTTTATACGGAACTGATCGGCAAAATGCGCGAAGTTGTATGGTTGGAAGCCACAATTAATACCCTACACGAATGTAAAAACGATTCATCGCCTCTGGTACGAAAACACGCTATTATGGGACTTGCTAGAATAGCTTATTTGGATTCGAGACTGGTAAAATATCAATTTTTTCAATTTTATTCTCATATACATACGTCTTTTATTATTCTCATATACATACGTCTTTTATTACGACCGTTTTTCAGATGAACCAATACTTTGACAATTGTTTGGACGCTTTACTCGTTGGATTGGAAGAGACTGCTGGCGGAGAAGGCAGCGCTGAAGTAGTACTCGAATCGTTGCGAGGTCTCTCGATATTGTTATCAGTTCAATATACGAAACCTGTAAGTCCTCGAATTGTCTTAGCTTTGAAACCATTTATCGAGAAGGAAAATTTTGAAATGAGACTCGCTGCCATAAGCGCTCTAGGCGCAATAGCTACAAATTGGCACAGGTCAATTGCATTACCGAACGATGATTTGATCGATCATCTTCTGGGTTGTTTGCCATCCCTGATAATAAGACTGGAAGATTCACATGCAATAGTAGTTACGGTAAGCTTTATATCGCATTGCATTATAAAATAAATTAATAAATATTACAGTGTTTGGATATTTAATATACTTATTTATGCGACAGACAACACAGGAGACATTATGTAAAATTACGTCTGTTCTGCGGAATGAGAAATTGTCGCATGTGATATGTAGTAATTTGCAATCAGAAGTGAAGTTTGATTTTGAGATTTTTTCGAAGGTTTTGATAAATTGTTTGAAGGAAGAATTTCCACAGAGAGCGGAAGAACTCAGGTAGATATAACGCATATATATATATATATATATATATATATATATATATATATATATATATGTATGTATGTATGTATATACAATGTATTTTCATAAAATATAAATTTCGTAAAATATATATATTCTATAAATTTTATCATTTTTGTTACAAGGAATGCTGTTGTTCGAGGCTATTCTAAATCGGAGAATGATCATATCAGAGCTACATCTGCACTGCTTTTAGGGTTGTTTAACTCTCCGAAGCCTGAGGACATACAAAGACTGTTGCAACTTTTGCGGGATAGAAAAAGTATTGTAAGAATACGCGCTTCGCAAGCTCTCTCGTTTTGCTTTACGAATTAATTTGTATGGATAATGGCGATAATTCGATAATTTGTTGCACTAGTTAAAAATTGCATCTTACTTTTAAATTACAAAATTTTTGTAGGGATATAATTTTATTCTTATTGTGATATTGTTTATATGAAATATAGTTATGAATATATATTTATAAAAATATTAATTTATTTTACAATGAATATATGTACATATAAGTGTGTACATATAAGTATAAATATAAATAAATAAATAAATATATATATATATATATATATATATTTATTTATTTATTTATTTATTTATATTTATATGTGCATATGTATTTATAAGATGTATATACATCTATATATATATCATTATAATATATTTGTTGATCCCTAACTATAATTATGTAATTTATTAAAATCATGTAAAAAGACACATACTCATAAATGAGTTGAAAAATTGTAACTTTTAATGGATTGAAATTCTTTTTCTAAAAATGATTCATATGTAATATAAGATTTATGTTATATACAATAAAAGCAATTTGTCATAAAAAATATTTATTTTCATTAATTTCCCAACATGCTCTTTTTCTAATATTTCTACCTGTTCTTGGTTGATAAAAACTATTTTTTATTGCTTAATCACATAAAATCTTTCTTTATGAAAAGGACAATGTTGAAAACTTCCTTTCATTTATGTATTTGACTTTTTCGTTTATTCTTTTTATCATAGCAAACATTATCCATCAGGAAAGAACGACTTTGCATGCTATCCCAATTTTTAGCAACTCCTCGAAATCTCATCGGTAGATGAGCTATTACTTGTTGATCAGTTAACTATAAATCATATCGAGATCTATTAATTGTTATATAATACTTACATGAAAATTTTACAATGGTTGCTATGATAAAATAATACAGAATTATCTAGTTCTTCTACTTGTGATAAGCAAGAGTCTTGCACTTTAAAATCATTCCAAACTTCTTTTGCTGCTTGATTAACCGTTGTTTTATATATAAAATTAATCATTAGTTCTCTTTTATTCTTGTCTCGTACATTATCTAAACTTACACTTGGCGACATATATATTCTTGGCCTTTCTCTAATTCATCAATTGATATAAGATGAGAATTCCAATAATGGTATATATATATATATATATATATATATATATATATATATATATATATATAGATTCAAATGTACATATGTTGAAATTATTAGATAGTTTTTACTTAATTACGGTCTCCAAATATTCGTCTCCAAGAATACGTCTTTTCTCTGTCGCCTTTACATCAATACCGGTTATATCCTTCGGTTTCCATAGTGCATTAAATGCAGGTCGTTTTGTGTAATTTAATTGTTGCAAAGTATCGTAAATCGTAATCATATGTTGCGGTTGCGATGAAGCTGCCGATTTCATTTTTTCTGTAAAACCCGGAAAGTTCTGTAGCAATCTGCTTCAATATTTTATAAAAAGAGCAGAAAAACTAGAGGAAGATTTTGAAATTCTTGATTAATCTTAAATTAAGTATTTTAGATATAAATCTCTTTCTCTCTTGTACAAACACATTTACATAATTATTTTTACAAATTGTGAGAATATATGATTTGCATAATCGGTAAATGATGATTGCAATATTTAAACATCATGACATGTAAAACTTAATATCAACATAACTTTAAAAATAGCAATTGTTTTAGCTTTCATTAAGTCTAGAAGTTAGTTTTTAATTACTCTGAATATTGACATGTAGATATTTACATATAAATATATATATATATATATATATATATATATATATATATATACATATGTAAATATCTGCATGTCAATATTCAGAGTAATTAAAATATATATATATATACATATGGTAATACTACTATATATACATATTACTACTATATATACATATAGTAATAAATATACGTATATGCAAACATAAAAAAATAAATTTTGTATGTCTTATATGTATACATAATTACATATATATGTAATTAATAGAAATATAAATGAAAAATATGCATAATTATATAATATTATGAACTTACATATTTACCCACGTAATCTTTTCTCCTTATTATGTTATTATTTTTTCTTCCTTTTCACAAATATACATGATACATTTATACAGCACTCATACTTAAGATTACGATTTTTCAAGATTATACCAATATAAAATATTATACATGTACCTATATGTACATATATATTATATTACTCAACAATGTATTCTTCATAAAAATTGTATTTAACAATATAAGCCCATATATCTCAAATATAAGAATTTTTTTATAACAATATGCCATATTGCCATAAGATGATAATTATTTACTGTGTAACTTTTCTATACAAATACTTAATTGCTGGAGACGATGAAGCAAATGTCGCATATTTGCGCTCGATTGACGAAGACCCGATTGCTCTCCACCCACTTCTTGTCGTTGGCCAAGCTCAAAATGTAGCCTGGCTAAACGTTCTTGTTGTTCTCGTATTTCCGTCATCTGCTCCATACTACAATCTTTCCCTAAAAAAAATAATTAATGATTTTATTAAATATTTTGCTGTTTAAATGAGACTAGATATACCAACCAAATGCTTGTAAATTCCCACTGTGAAAGTCTTCCAGTAATTGCAACAAAGCTTGTTCCATATGGCGAACATCAGGAACCTCTGACAGAAAGCAATGGTGTTTGCATGACACCATGCCTTTATATAACAACGCCAAAAACAGAATCGAAAAAATGTGCACTTAATAAAAAACTTAAAAAACTTAAATATAAATCTATATTTGTATAACAAAACTATAAACTTCTAAGATTAAAAAAAAAAGGTTTAAAATATATGTGTGAATATTAAATATAACAAGTACATAAAAAGAATTAAAAAATGAAAAAACAAAAAATTAACAAAATAAAACATATTTTTATAAAATATACTCCCTGAACATCTGGAACATCAATTACCTTTGTGCTGTCTCGCGATTCTTGGTGGATCTGGTCGAATAGGCCTTTGTTTCTCCTTTTCATTGAAATATGTTAATCGAGATTGATTGCCAGTATAACTTGAAGTATTAGCGAGTCGACCAGAAACCATAGAACCTTGACTTGTCCCTTGACCAGAGCTTCCTTTACTGATAATTGGTGATGTTTGTGTGTTATTTTCCCACAGTATTTGTTGCTGCAAAGATATTATTTAAAAATACAGTTATACATATTTTAATATGCTATTACTGTATCAATTTATAATTTGATTAATATAATTGAGTACACTATGTGTTGACATGAGATACTGTACCGATACATTGGAATTGTGTGTTTCAGTTTTGCTGGGACGTTGAGATCTTGCTGGTGTTGATGGAGGAGTAGCTTCTCCCCCATGACTAAGGGGTTCCTCGCATTCCTCTTCTTGGACCAGTTGTTGCAATTCACCACATCCAGCTCCTTCCACCATTATGATAATGTGTAGTGTTCTTAATTAAAAATCATTTTTCGAATTATTTATCCGATTTTTGTTAGAAATAATTAAATACATAAATATAACACATTTCTGATTTATCTTGGAATATTTATCATGTTTTTATTTCATACAACTTCTCTCTCAGAATATGTATATATATTTTTATAATTAAATTAAGAGGGAATTTTTTTTCTAATACAAGAATAACAAGAATATAACAAGAATATAAATTAATAATTATTACTCGAGTATTTTATAAGACACTTTTGTCAATATTTATCATTTGATCTCAATACGTCATATATGTCATTAAAGTTTGCTTTATTTCGGATTGGTCAATTAAATGCTCTGCCATTTGCAAGTGTTTGTAACAGCAAGTTGATCATCTAGATATTCATGTACTATGATCGAACAGTTGAATGAGGTTGAACATCTATTTAAAATAAGCACTCGAAGACAATCAGCTGATTATTCTTGTGCAGTGTAGAATTGTGCAGAGCATATTTTCTCAATATTTTTGCCGATTTATTAAATATCATTTACTTCATCTTATATACATATTGAAGATACAATATAGGGATATAATTGTATAATATGCTCTGAATATACAATTAAATTATTTTATTATGGCTGCTAAAGAGGAAATAAGCAATGTGACAACCGAGACGAAGAATAAAGAGCTGGATTCAACGACCGAGGATCCACCGACTAGTTTAGAAACTATTTCTGAAGGAAATGCAGTACGAAATGGTGTTCAGGCAGCACAGAAGGATAAAACAAAAAGTATAAAAGCATTATATCTGTGATTTCATTTGATTACATATTTACAATTACATGTAATATACAATTTTATATTTAAACTGATAGACGTTATCTCATAGTTGATATACTCCTGAAAGCTACTGCTAATGCTCCGATTATGAAACAGAAAAAATGGTCAGTTTATCAAGATAATCCTATTGGACGGATATCTGAATTTATCAAGAAGTATCTCAAGTTGGATCCCAATGAGAGATTGGTATGTGATAAAAGATTCTTTCTAATTAAAATGATAAAATGGTAATAATAATATTTATCTTACAGTTCCTTTATGTTAATCAGACATTTGCACCTGCTCCTGATCAGACAGTAAAGAATTTATATGATTGCTATGGTGCAGATGGAAAATTAGTCATTCACTATTGTAAAAGTCAAGCCTGGGGTTGAGAGTTGTCAAGATTAATTTTTATCATTAAACGAATAATATACAAATATATATATATTATATATATATATATATATATATATATATATATTAGAATAATATACAAATACATATAATTATATATATATATATATATATATATATATATATATATAATTTAATACACATAGTTTATTGTAATATAATTTCTTTTTTTATATTTGTGATATGTTTATATTATCAAGAAATCTAATTTTTATATGTCATTAGATTTATTTTCTCAATAGTGATATATTAAAATCTCTGATGAATTAATCAATTTGATGAATTGTTTATTGTGCATTATTTGATGTAATGGATTTGTTGCTGCACACATCTGAAGATCCTTTCAATTGTTCCATTGCCTTTACTTTGTTAGATGATATATCACTTTTTGTAACTTTACATTGACATTTGTTCAATGTGCCTGCACTTGATTTAGAACTTGCTGATCTTATTGATGTACATTTACAAACGGATATTTTCCTCTCATAAGCGTCTTTTTTAGATCCTTTACTTTGATCAGAAACAACTGATAGCTGTTTTCGATCACCACCTAACAAATACGATTGTTAAATATGAGTTAATTATGTAGTAATGTAAAATATGTATTGTTCTAACTTACTTTATACATATATTCGATGATAAATATAATGTAATTTTTACTTGTACATGATGAAGTAGACTTTGTGGAAGATCGTACAGTTTGATCCGCTGCGATATCTTTATCTTCTGCTTTTTGCAAAGATACTTTCTCATCGTTTCGCGGGCTATGTATGGAGCTAGCGGTTTTTTTTGTTTCACTCGTAGACTTTGAGTCCTCCAAGATTTCGGATGAATATTTCCAAATTATAATCGCTCCATCGGCGCTAGTTGTCACTATATACTTGCCGTCCGGACTAAATTTACACCCGGTGATTATCGCTGCGTGGGAAACACCGACGTGAAGAAGATCCGCACTATCGTATTCCCAAATTTTAACGGTGCAATCGTTGGATCCGGTGACGAAACACTGACCGTCAGGACTGATGTCCAAGCAGTTTAACGTTCCAACATTGGAACCTTCAATTTCTCGCACTAACGAGCCATCCAGAGTCTCCCAATAAGCGATCTTTCGATCTGTACCGCATGTCAAAATTTGGATATCGTCGGATGTGAATTGCGCCATCATGAACATCGTGTTTCCCATGAGGGTATGTTTCCTAGTGCAACGTCTAATGCGAGAGAATCATTTTTATTCCTTTTTAAAAACCTAGGATTTACTTGATATAATAAATCTAGATTTATTTGATTATTAAATTTATATTTCATAATTATAATCAATTAATTTAATGCGAAAGAAAGAGGAACATTTATATTAGATATACTATTAGATTTATTTTAAATGAAATTGTTGATCACGTAAAGAAACGTTTCTATATGAAAAAAATTTATCAAAAGATCAATTATGGCTATATATTCTGATTTTTATTAATATTATGTTTTTAGAGAAAACATTTACGTTATATCCCAGATGACACATGTGCCGTCTGTACTTGAACTAATTAATTTCTCATTATTGTTTGAGATGTGCAAAGATGTTATCGGTCCTCGATGTTCTTTTAATATACTAATCAATCGCTGCATGTTGGCTTTTATCTCCCATATTCGCACCTGAAAATCGAATAAATTTCACATTATTATATGCTAAAATATACTCAAACAAATATAATGCAATCCTGATAAAACGCAATTAATTTTATCATTACTTTAAAAAAACTAATGAATGGTTTAATTTAAATAATATAAACAGGTATTAATTTTCTCCATGTGCAAAATGTCTCATAAATTATTGAAGTTTGCATCAATCGGCAATTGACTAGTTTTTAAGATAAAAATGGTATTTTCTAAAGAAAGAAGTAATAATAAATGCACGAATGGAAAGCGGTTGATAAAGCTAACGATTCTCTTAAAACACAGAGAAGTGTTTCAGTTTCCATATTTTATTTTGTCCAACCTCTTACTATTTACAATTTAAATTAACTACAGAATTTTGCAAGGAGTTGGGGTTCATTAGATACGGAACAAAGAGCGTGACTTTGCGAGGTACGAGGCGAGATGTGCGATTGCAATCATTAAAAGTAAGCGAACAATAAGAATTTTCGCGAGCTCTGAAAGTTCCTCCGAGAGCGCGATGATACCTGAATTTCGCGACTTTTAAGCAAGTAATGGAATTAACTATTTATGGAATTAATTATTAATTATAAGTCACGAAACCAACAATTTTTCACAAGTTTATTTTTAGAGCAAAGGATCACAATTAACCGGTAATTTTTGTGTAAGTACGGCCGAGTCTAATTCTCGAGCGCGATTTTCTTAGCGCGCTACCATTTATGAACGCGAGCCTTCGCAGCAGCTCAGCAAATTTGATCGGGTTAATTTGCCTCCTTTTTAATTATATTAGCTATCATTATGGTTCGATCTCGTATAATAAATTACCTGGCCATCGCAACCACCGCTAATGAGTGTCACACCGTCGCTCGTGACCGCGACCGTGGATACGGCTTTTGTATGGGCGTTATGAATGGCGAAATGAAGCTGCCCGTTGTGCGATGCAAATGCTCTTATTGTACCATCGTTCCAAGCTGAAAAGCATGAAATGTAAGAATTCTTTTATATACGGTGATATGATACATTACTACACGGTACATTATTGCATGGTACATGCTGGATTAGTGTACGTGCAGTAAATTGCAACTGTAAACTATTTTGAAATATATCCAGAGGTATACTTTTGATAAATAAAAGAGATGTATTAAGATTATATAACTGTTTGATGATTATTGTGGAATAATAATGAGATGATGGACAACAATAATAATAATGATAATAATAATAAATTTTCTTATTATATATTATAAATATCTTCGAAATTATATTCCATATTTATATGCAAGTTATGTATACCAGAAAACAGCATTTGATCGTCGCATGCAAATTGTAAACTGGAACAAACGAAATTTGCAACAGTTATACGAAGTGTCTCTTTTTGCTTTTCCAGCTGCCACAATCTGACATCATTTTTGCCGCCTGTCGCGAATATGTCCGAACGGATGCTGCGACATTAAAGTGTCATTAATTGATTATATTTGTCAATCGGTATATATATGTATATGCATAATTGTAAGATTTAATGCTTTTACCGCGGAAACGCGACACTGTATATGCAGCTAGTGTGAGAGGTGACAAGTAAACGCATGTGAAAATTTGATAGCTGAATCTGATAGATCTCGCACCAGTTTGTTCCGATCAGCACAAATTCATTTAGATACAGAACCATGGATGTCACGGCACTGCATACGTTTTCCCTTTGATGCTGATAAAAAAAAATGACAACAACAATCTCTCGCGTGCGCTTCCTATTTTTCTATAATATATATCTCTCTTCTGTGAGAAATTTACGAAAAGAAGATTTACAGTGAGTATTTGCGGCGTATTAGGAAACTTTGACGGCTTGTGCGTTCGACTTTCCTTCTTGCTTATTATCTGGATAAGTTCGATGGTACCGTCTCCAGCACCGACCAACAATTTCCCGTCCTTTAGAAGCAGCAGGCTTCTCACTCCGCCCGCGTACAGATCACCCTCGCCCGTCTTCATTTTTCTTTTATCGCGCGTTATTTTCGAGTAGCAACCGATCATCACCGGCGAACGCGCCAATGATTCTCCGCATTCCAGATCATCGCGTAAGTTTAATCTGCGAAAAAAAGATAATTAAACACAGATAGCAAGAGATAATGCTGAAAAAAGATAAAACATAAAAAAAGCGATTAAAAGATAAGTTAATTATTAGAATTAATAAGATCGAGAGTTAGATAATTAGATTAAATTAATTAATGGAATGATAAGCACAAATTTTTGTTCTCAAGTGGCATTTCTGTATGTGACCTTGCGTTAATGATATCACCAGAAGAAGTGCCGCAGTAAATAATCTCGTCCTTCTCGTCCACAACGATGCAATTGATGAGACGCTTTAATTTGCCCACTTCCACATCGACTCCGTACACCCTTCGTTTCTCCGCCTCGATGCGCCAGATCTTCAGAGTCCTATCGCCCGCGGTGACGAAGGATTTACTATGAAGATGCATCCTTGCGACATTATACGCGTCACCGCTCGTATCGTTGCTGGCGAAAGATCCTATCAGAATTTATTTCTTGCATAATATTACGTCAATTTGTATACGTATAATTGAAACTATTCCACACATTGCGAAAGATCGAGTTGGGAAAACTTCCGAGAATCGAACTCCCTGCTTCTCCAAATCGAATATATTTTCGACTTTTAGATTTGCACGAACGGATCTGATATTGATTTTATAAAAAAAAAAATCTTGAATACTTCAGAGAAGATACCGCATGTAAGAGAATTCTTCTGGACATCCCAGACGATTACATGGCCATCGTCTCTGCCGCCGAGGCTTACGAGAAAATCGCCGTTGCATGTGAAGCATAGATCTTCGACGCAGACTTTATGCGTCTCGTAACTGCCCATCATTGTGCCTTCTTTGTAATCCCATACGATCACCATAGCCTGCGACAAACGTATGGTAAGATTGCGTGAAATACAATATGCTCAGGAAAGAAACGGGAATGTTAAGGATCTTGTATATGTACCTTGAAACCGAGATGATTATTTTGGCCGGAAGCGACGTATTTTCCGCACGGAGAAACACACAATGCCGAGACATTGTTCGTATGACCACTGAGGAATCGTTGCTCACTGGTTTCGATGTTCCTTATGACCACCTTGTGGCCCATCGGATAGAGAAGGTGCTTCTCATCCGGATGTAATCGCAGAGCATTTTTCGTTATGCCTCAAAATGAATAAGTATAATTTATTATAATTACGTAAATATTATTGAAAAGAAACGGTAAAACAGTAATGCAAATATAAATATAACTGTACAATATATTTAACAATTAATATGTATGTAAAGTATATGCTGCATAAAATCTGTTATTGTTAGAATGTCGGGCTATATAAAATATGTTAATTGTTAGAATATTGTTTCCGGATTAAATTTCTTTAATGAATAACATTTACAAAGATTTAGATTTCTCGATTTTATATTCCATTCATATCAATTAAGCTTGTTCTTCGATTTCACGATAACGAATTTAATTTATAAAATCATTTTCGGGACTTGAAGTTTTATCTTGTTATCTACAAAAATTTAGTACGATAAAATTTAAATATTGTTTTTTGCACAAACCATCGAATGCGATTATTCCTATCGTTTCGAGATCTCTAGGCTTCATGGTTGATAAATTACACACTAACTTTGTAGTAAGATAAAGTGTATTATTCTAAATTATAAAAGATACACACGTCGAGAGGTTGTGTAATTGTGTAATGAAAACGATATAAACTGGCGTTACCGTGACGATAAATTGATTGTACGGTATCTATGCACCCTCCCTATTCTTCCTTCGTCGACTTTCCGCAGTGATGTATTTTGTGTATGTATGATTAAATTATACTTGTAAAAAGTTGTTATATAAGAAATAATGAATATTTTTGTTATATGTATTTTAAATAACATTAAAATTAATTTGTTCTATTATTTTAAATTATAATATATTTTTACATAATATATCTTGTATCAAAATATTGAAAAATGTATATGTTAAATTATATGTTAAATCTTTAAATATATTATATAATTAAATTTATCTAACTTTCCATTTTGAGATTGATAAAAGATACTGCCGTAGATTAATTAAAATATTTCTCGAAAGAATATAATGATTGTTTTCAAGTTACATATATAACTATATCAATAATATAGTTACGTGGATTAACATTCAAGTCTTTAATTAATCTTCAATTAAATAATAAAATAATTGTGAGAAAAAAACTTCATCAATTTTATTAAAATTTTATACTAACGATAATATTTCTCTTACTACATTTATTAACTCACTATAATTAATTTTAACAAAATAAATTAATATATCATATCCTTATTTTAATACAATAATATAATTTATTACAATTAATATAAAAATTAATCTTTTTATTATTTCCCTAGAATTTTACGGAAATTATATAGATATATAGTTTTCACATTAAAATTAAGCATTGCTTCGAATGTTTGCAAAATAGAAACACATTATAAAACAGTATTGACATTGCCTTAAATCACTTTTTACATCAGAAGCTGCAAGATCATGTCGGATCCAGCAACCTTACATAATTCTTGAAAGATAATTAGCATCGATATCGCATATCGATATCATACACGTGACAAACACGTATATGTACATACAATCGCGAATCAGAATTTACACGTGCGAATGCAAAGATCTAATAAGAGATGTCGACGTTTGCCATGAAAATATACGTGAAAAGAATTCGTCAAGTGAAATAATTATAAAGGATACAAATGGATGAGTAACTTTTATCTTGAAGGTAAAGTACTCGATTTATATAAGGTGAACGTCTCGTTTCAAGCGCACGTAGAAGCTGATATACCGCAATAAATATTGGCGTACGCGAAACTGATTTGTCGAGACAAATGGAAAACAATTTCGAGGAAATCTGAACAATAAAAAACTCTAAAGACTTTATTGTGCAATTATATTAAAATCATAATTTATATCTCCTAATTTTCCTCCTAATTATAATACGCATTACATAATTCTCTTGCGTAGTTTTCTGCGACATAATTTAAGAATAAGACAGATTTATACCGCAATAAATATTGGCACGCGCGAAACTGATTTGTCGAGACAAATCGAAAACAATTCTGAGGAAATCTGAACAATAAAAACCTCTAAAGACTTTATTATACAATTATATTAAAATCATAATTTATATCTCCTAATTTTCCTCCTCATAATACGCATCATAAATAATTTTCTTGCGAAGTTTTCTGCAACATTCTTCGAGAATAAGACAGATTTTTTAATTTTTTTCCGAGAGATATATTTCTCCAGCTCTATAAAATCCAGCGTTAACAATTTATGATTACGCGTTTGGGAATTTTTTAGCGCAAAAATCGGAAGCGGAAAGTACGAAACACGCCGCGAAATGTTCTTTCAAGAAGAGAAGATCGAATTCGACGAAGATACCCCCGTGATCGTCGCAGCCAGCGTCATTCGCGCATTGGGAAAGATCCAACGGGAAAGAACCGGGGAGATGTATCACGCGTCCCAGTATTTCTATTCAAAACATCGATGTGCACGCGTTGATTCCGCGGTCCGAAGCTGCTTATCGCTTCTCACCTGCGTTCCTCTCTTATTCCCCACCCCGGATAATGCGCGACGAGCAGTATATAAAACAGATATAAAGGGAACTTATCGAGGGTGTCGGATTCAGTCGCTCGCGACACGTATATGCGACTTGTCGGACGACCTGACAGGAGGAAGTTCGGAACGGGTTGAATTTGTGCGATGACTTGTATCCGAAAATTATCGTGAAAAATAAAAGGCGCAACATCGATAAGGGAAAACAAAGTGCGCGAATGCCATTTCGAATTTTAACGAAATAATTAGAAAAAGAGACAGAAACACATATCATCGACACATCTTGCGTGCCTAGTAAATCTTCAAGGATGATCTCTGCATGGAAAGCGTGCTGTAAGTATGGTCTTGATCTCGCATTTAAATCACTAGCGTATTCCCATTTTCCAGTGTATCCGGTTTAGTTGGATAAATATACATATTTTACCGATTTGTGATTTATCACCGTGGATTCCAAACTGATCGAGTGTGATTTGATGATTAATGATTTCATCGATCGCGGCAAATAGTTGTCGTAACATTGCGTGATTTATTTTATCGATATTAGAAACTAGATATCGAATATATCATCAAACTGGATCGTAATAAAAAAAGTGCTTATGCATTTTTCTATGCATATTTTCTCTATCTCTGATATAAAATCATATAATGTTGATATCTAGAATGCAAAAAAGTCAGCCAGTTGACATTAAACAGCTGAGTATTGTACAGTTTCTCGAATGAGTGATATAATTAATAAGGACAAAGCAATTATAGTGGACTGAATTTTATTGATCTAATTTCAATTATTAAAAATACCAATTAATATGAGGAAATACTTGAAATCTGACATTTTTCAGAAAAAAAAGATACTTTTTTCTCGCAATAAACAAAGATATGTGCAAAATAATTTTTTTAAATTTTTTAATAATCAGATATTGCATAATCATAAGAGTCAAGTATAACAAGTATAAAAAGTTGATTTATACAACATGATATAAAAATCAAGTACAACAAAACTGTGATAAAAAACTCATATTGCCTACATATTTCTTGATATATCGATATAGATTACTGTTTTAATATAGTATGTCATTAAGTTGTACAATAAATTTTTTTAAAGTATTGAAAAGCCTTTTTGAGTATAAAACTCAAAATGATAGATAATGCGATAATCGAATAATCAGCTCGAGTATCAAATCGTCAATCTTTATCATTTGCGTATTCATTTAAAAAAACCCGATTGCTATCAATTAATAAAATGAGAGTCATTGATTAATTAGAAATCTTGATTTGTTAAGGTTGCAGGTTTTTAAATCTATCATAATTTTCGTTTGACCGCGTAGGCGGGAATACCTTGACATTAATTGCAACTCGTTCATTTACACAGCACTTCCTGACATTCACGTAATCGCGCGAGATATGCGTGTATCCATATAGTCCGTCAAAATCTAAATCTCTTTTTTTTTACTCGAAACGAATTGAACCGTGACAGAATTGATCAGAATCGCCTCTCGATCAAAAGTGCGAAAAATCAATACTGAAAGAAGTAAAAGAAGTTCCGTGACTTTTTCTGCATATACTATTTATGGTTATAGTCATATCGCATTCTTTTTCCTTCCTTCTCTCTCTTTCTTTTTCTCGCAAACCTTGGGTAGATACGATTGCGACAATTGACTATCGGAAATCGGCGCCATATCACGTTTCTCTGTCAAGGCCGTTTTTTATTTCAAGTTTTTCGCAAAATAAGCTCGTAAAATCCAAACGTTTGCTTTTGCAGAAATATCGCGTTCACGTTCGCGCTCATTACGAGACTTTGGCAATCGAAGCACGATTGCAAATATCTCACTGTATATATTAAGGAAGAATAGTTCAACATGAAGAGTCTGGCATAGAAAACGGATTTCACGGAAGAAACCTTCGGAATTCTTAAAAAAGTCATTGTGTTTCTTAAAATTCAATTGAATAACGATCGCGTCCGTTAAGAAACTTTGCGCGTACGATGAATTATACTTCTAAAATAGAGTGTATATTTTCGTTTACATCTTCAAAGATAATTCGAAAAATAATTTGAAGATAAAAAAATTATCAGAGTCATTTTATTTTAATTTTATTTACAAAGTATAAAACTTTTATATATATGTATTCAATTTTTGCTGATATTTCATCGCGGCTCAATGCATAACACGAATTGCACAATTAAATTTGCAAATTTGCAAAATTTTTAAATTATTTGCTTTTACGCTTTTGGCATGAATAGTTTATCGTGGCTATTTTTACAACAACAAATATGGCAATGGATATAATTTTCTACAAACTTTTCTCTGATTTCGTACGAATTATCCATTCAAAAATTTTTATTCAGAAAATTGTAAATAAATTAAATAAATAATTAAATAATAAATTAAATTTAATCATAAAGCAGTGTAGTTTTAGCAATTTCAGGTAAAAATCTGTCTACTTCTCATCTTTCTTCTAGAAGGATCCCAGGTAGCACATATTTGTTTCAAAAAAATGTTTCACAAATGTTTCTTTGAAATGTTTTATAATCCATTCTTGAAAACAATTTTTGATTAGTTAAAATATGACTTGAAAAACGTTAAGAGATATTTTTTAAACGTTTTTTATCAGAAAAAACGTTTAAAAACCGTTCAAACAATATTTTAAAAATGTTTAAAATACATTTAAAATAATTTTTTCTTTTATTCTTCAAACGTTTTTTTATCGAACTAATTAAACAATGCATTCATACACACTCTCTAAAAATGAATCAGTATATTATTACTGAAAACAGCAAATAGAATCACTACAGCAGCTATAAGTTATTATAGCACTGTAAATCAATAATTTTTCATTGAAAGAATTAATGATATTGACTGTTTTAATCAGTAATATTAATTTATCTATTTACTCTAATATAAATTAAAAATTTTATTTATATTTACATGCATATTAGAACATGAATGTTAAATAGATTGATAAAATAGAATGATTTATTTTACATCTTTAATATATAACAAACAGATCATTTTCGTTTATTCGCCGGATATTTACTTATCTGACTTATAAAATCGATTTAATATCTGAAGTTTCTCTATTTATTACCTAGATTGTATTTAGAAATTAAATCGAAATGATACTTTTAATTTATATCTGTCACCCTTTGCAAGCTTTATATAATTCTCATGACTAAAACTTAAATACTGATTCTTAGCGATTTTATTCATATACATATTTATAAATAAAAATTAATAGTATTTTCGTAATAATTACCCAGGTAGCAAGATGACGTCTTTAAGACGTCTTTAAGACGTCTTTAAATCTTAAAGACGTCTTAAAGACGTCATAGACGTTTTTATAATTTCTATTTATAAATATGTATATGAATAAAATCGCTAAGACGTCATCTTGCTACCTGGGTATATATATATATATATATATATATATATATATATATGATTACAAAAATTATATAAATTAATTTACAAATATGTATATGAATAAGATCACTAAGAATCAGTATTTCATTGATCTCTAGTAGAAATGCTTATTTTTTGTTACTATATCTTATATATATATATATATATATATATATATATATATATATTTATTTATTTATTTATATGTATGTATGTATATGTATATGTATATGTATGTATATATGTATATATAATTTAAAATTAAATTAATTTTTATTTTGTCTATAGAAACGTGAAAAATATGTTTCCTTAACTATGATTTTAAAAGCGTTTTTTATTAATGCTTTACGGTAAAAAAATATTGAATATGTTTAAGAAACACATATATAACGAACGTGTGCTACTTGGGAAAATTACGTAATCGACTATCTAAATGACGATAGTACTATTGCGCTCGTACTTTTCCTTAAACTCATACGTATACATGTGTACAAGGTAACAGCAGTAATCCATCATAATTTTTGCACGATACATGTATAAAATTTTGTACCCTTCGATATTTTTCCTCTTCCTGAGAGGAGATTACGTCATCGCTCATTTTTAATGTCGACGATCTCGCGATTAACGTCATTGGTCGCGTCACTTAATGAAATACAGCGTAAATTTAATTTCGCGTTACATCTCATCTGCGTATCGTGTTTGTTCGATTGCTTGCTCGTTTATTTGCGGGCATAATCACTGTCATTTACTGAAAATAGCAAAGATCGCGGGAATGATTACAGAAATTAAATCGCGAACGCGTGTTGGCCTGCTTCACCACAGCGGAAACGAGTATTCACGTTATCATTTTTCTTGTCGAATCAACATCGAAATAGAAGATATAAAAAATTATGATGGAAAGAAATAGAGAATTGTTATCAGTAAAATTAAGCGCTAAGGCTTTTTCGAGCATTATTTGCATTTCTCGCGCATTTTGAAATAAAATAGCGCTCCCGAAGGCGATCAGCATTCTTTAAAAAAAAATAATTGTATACAATTAGTGTATACTATTAGTGTATTAATTGCGGTGCGTTGTTTAGAATATTTATGCTTATATTGCATGCTAACAAATTATAACGGTAACGATAAATTTAACGTTGCATATAAATGTATACATATATGCTTTATATATATATATATATATATATATATATATATATATATATATATATAAGCGATTCGATGGAGGATGACTTTACGATTCGATTATGCTTATATATATATCGAATCATAAAGTCATCCTCCATCGAAGATTTTAATTAGAAAAATGATCATTCCTTTGCTTCTATCGAGACAAAAATAAAATTCTTCAATTTATTGCACTTTATTACGTATGTTATGGCTTACGCGTATCATTATTATTATTGATAAACGCTCTAAACAAGTCGATAAAGACTTTTATGGAGAATTTAGTTGTAAATTAAAAATGACTATAACAATTATCTGGTTAATAAACGTGGCGCTTGATTAATTGCGAAATCGTATTTTTCTTTAAAAGCTTGCATCTCTTGCCGCGGCTTCTATATTTGTTCAAGTTGCGAGACTAAGCATCGTCTCCTCAAGTAGCGATACTCAATGATATCGCAGACTATTGCTATTATTATTTTCGAGCAATGTATCTTCGAAAAATTTTCGGAAAATAAATGGCTTTCGCATCCGATGGATGCAAGACCCATTCTTTATTCGTTGAATGCGACATCAATCATCCAGATCAGCTGATGCAGATGTATATTCTGCTTATTTAGATGTATACGATCACGCATGACACGCACGCTTATCCATGTGTATACATACGTCCATATGTTTGCATAAACACATGGATACATAATATATACATATGCCTGTACACACAAATTGTTACATGCGAGCGTGTGTAAAATTCCTACACAATGTTTTTGTAAATTAAGAGAAAATAATGCGCATGTCGAAGATATGAGATATTATATTATTTTTAAAGATACTCCCCTCCACTCTATCATGACACTTCACTACGTATCGATTACATTCGTGGAAGTGTCAAAACTGTACAAAGTTCGAATACAAATTATACAAGAATAATTGTGTGTTGGTTATAAAAAATACAAAACAATAAAATCCAGTTTCAAATTTAAAATTAAGAGATCAATTTCTATAATTCGACGTTTTTCTCTGACTTATTTAATTTTCTTCCACTTTAAGCAACCGTTTGTATATCGAATACATCAACGATTTAAGCATAAGCTGTGTATAAAAAAGATTGACGTGTTATATATATTTTTAATGCAAACATATCTGAACATAAATTAAATTCGTGTGCGTATTTTTACGTTGTTGAAACGTCAATGTTTACGCGACATATCTTGTAACGACAAATTAAATAATCGGCACAATTAAGCTGTAAACTCGTTTATTCGTGAAACGCTTGTGTTATATCTTTGTGGAACACGCGTTTTATCATAAAATTTTATATCGACACTTTATTAATAAGTAAATAGAAGATAAGCGCAGACAAACGAAGTAATTTGCAATAGAAATACTGTTTTAGTAATTCATACTCGTAAAAAATTAAATTTATACGGTAATCGAGAATTTTCGACACGCGACGATGACATTAATTTCCACAATCAATGATAACAAAATATTTCCGCATTTATAGAACAATAATGAATTAATTTGCGCGTTATCAGTGAACAGACTCTTTCGATGATCTTATCTATAATTATATATATATATATATATATATATATATATGTATAATTTATATTTATATATATTTATATTATATATATATATATATATTTTTTTTTTTTTTTTCATGCGCGAAAGGAAAAGTTTTAAAATCAATATTAATGACTTCTTAAAATTCCATGCCATTTGCGACATAAAAATCAAAAAAGCAATCGCGACTAATTTATATTCGTTATTAAAGTGTCTTAAATCTTTTGTCGAGATGTCAAATATAATTTCGTAAAAGTCTGATGGCTTTTTCAGTATCTATTTCGCGATTGCATCCTATTTATAGCGCGTTGATTATAGTATGACAGAATATCTCGCGGATTTGTGCTTCTTGCGCAGTGTGCGATTTCTAAAGCCCATGCGATTACGCGCCGTAATAAATCACATTGTGTGCGTCGAAAGGTATTTTCTGCTAATTCATACTCGAAGTAACTCAACACAAGTAATAAGAGATAATACACGTGGAGATATATCAGAGATTCGATGATAATAATAATTCCTTTTCCTTTAATCGTTTCATTTATTTCGATTGTTCCGAATAGGAAAAAATAAAACAAAAATTTTCTCAGATTAATCTTCCCGGAAAAACGATTCATCATTGAATAAAAAACAATTATCATTGTTTATCTGCCAAGTACATTCAACGGTCTTAATACTTCGAGAATACTCGAAGTGCATAACAATATAAATCCATAACCATGATAAAATTCAATCAATATCATCCTCGAATTATCGCTTGTTGACATACCAAAGTACCAACAAATGCAAGTATGCACCTCTACTTGGTATTACGATAACAACTTATAAAAAAAACCTTTATATCTATCGAATATCTTTTTGTTTCTCTTATTTTTTTCTTCATGTGGCTATAAACAAGCATTACAAATATTTGAAAAAAAAGTAAAACGGGATATAGTGATAAAAACAAGAAGTATCACAAGGCTCACATATATAGTGTATGTATGTATGAATGCGAAAACATGCCAATTATCCTTACATTTCGATGAACTAATTTCATTACAAGCACGCATAAAGTTAATTATATAACAAATGTAGCATGTCGAAAATCGGTAAATATGCCAATACTACGATTTTGTAATGAAATAAACAGTATCGTTATCTCGCATATAATCACTGCGATAATCAACTGTGAATTTCTGATTATAGAAAGATCGATGACTGTACATGCTTTTTTTTAAGATAAAGACTAAATTTCCTGTAAGAAGTTCTTCTAAAACTTCTCTCTCTCTCTCTCTCTTTCTCTTTTTTCCTTGAATATTATTGAGTTTCTTCGCGCAAAACTACCCGCATGAATAATTATCGATCAAATCTCATACGTCAATGGTTTTTGCAAGATAAACGAAAAAGTTTGCGGTATTCATATAAGCAATAAGATTTTCACAAGCATACAAAAAATATCTCCATGACCGCTCTTTCGCAAGGCGAAAGAGATATTCGCGGTTTTTCCCCGATTTGCGGCTTTCCATAAGGAAAATTCAATTGCAAAATGTCACAAGATTAATGACGAAATGGCTCAATCGCGTATATACTTAGAATCGCTTATTTAATAATGATAAGTGAACAAGGAATGAGAAAATCCTTTCGTTCGATTTTCCTCTTGAAATGTTTAATTTAACGACGACCTTTCTTTCCTTTGGTTACGTACACATATACATATGTATAGACACGATGATAATTTTAAATTCTTCGCTCTTACTTTTACTTCATCACGCGTTCTCACGCTCGCACGCATGTCAAGCATTTTCCACATTCAAACAGTAGTTAACGGTATACGGAAAAGAATTTTCACGCGTATGCCGTTGCATGACGCATACTTGCTCCGTGACTTTAAATCGTCGAAGGAGAAGACGAGGAGAGTTCGAGGTCGTCTACGAGGAAAGAATAATGATCGGCTTGGTTGTTGACTCGATGGAAAGGTAGGCTTGACAGATAAATGTCAGGCAGTCGTCTCTATATAAAGATAAAGATCAATAGAAGACATTCTAGCATGACTCATGGATCTTAAGGGAAGATACAGCAATTCTGATCGGAAAATCTTTAAAGAAGCAGAAGAAACTTTTTCAAGATGGTTCCTCTCTCTGGATTTCTTATCCTGGTTCCTTTCTTTTTGTCACACGATTTGAACAGATGCCTTTTCATCGAAAACGCAGGACGCACTCTTCGGCGAGATATATATTATGTATGTCGAGGCACGTACATGCGTACGTGATCGCACGTGGGCGCATCAGCTGCGGAATAGAAAACGCGCGACCGGAAGTAACAGTTTCCTTTCCCGTTCATTTACTAAAACGGGAAAGGAAACTGTTGCTTCGTGTAAAACGGAAGTGTCTATCGCTTACGCAGAAGATCTTTGTCGCACCATCAGAATTAGAAAGCTGTAGTCATTTCTTTTGTAACATATTGTTCTTCTAATGTTAGGAATAGTGATTTTCGTGAGATTCGCAATCATATATATATGAGTACTATATCTATATTTTTTATATATCTTGTATGTCTCGTTATAGATAAAGAAAGTCTTGTTTCGCGAGTTACAAAACGTCATCGCGCATTCAAAGTGACCGGTGGTAAGATACAGTGAAAGTAAAGTCGTGCAAAAATTTCCTCGCGCGAATAATTTATGGGCGAAAGAATCGTAAAAAAAACGTACGGTGATAATGGTGAAACAGGCGACAAGTAACGGGATAACAAAGTCTATATAGACAAGATAAGTGCTCCGTAACGCAATCCAAGTCCAACAAAAAACAAATCCGCGAGAACTGCGCAAACAATTTCTGTGTAAACAAATCGATTAATCCATTATAATCTGAAATGTTTTCGTCACAGATTGCATTCCATCCTTTTTAATCGTATATAAAAAAATATAAGATAATATAAATTTTTTAAATAAACTATTTAGATATATTTTTTATGTGTATAATAAAATTGCGCTTTGCATTCGTAATTATAAAAATCGCGTTGATCCAAGTCTCGCTTCAATTTATTTCATTTCTCGAATGATATGAGAATGATAACGTAAAATTAAAAAAAAATGTTATTTAAATTTGCTTGTAATTACAGGTGGCCGATTACCGCAAAGATGGGTGTTCGCCGTCATGGGATTTCTGGCAATCCTGAATGCGTATAGTATGAGAGTTTGTCTTTCGATCACTATTACGGAAATGGCACCTACAACACATAAAGAGTCTATAGATGATTCCTGTCCGTACAATCAAACGATTAATAAAGATGAAAATAATAAAAAAGATGTCAAACTTTACGACTGGGATGAACATACGCAGGTTTGTGAAAGACTTGTTTAAAAATATATATTTTAATTATTAATACTATCAAACTGTGTATGAGAAAGAGAGAAAGAAATTTATTTTTAAAAACTATTTTTATAGCTAACTATTATATTTATTTATATCTTACTTTTAATAACGCCTCTCTTCTTATTTCAGGGTCTGATCCTCTCGTCCTTTTACTGGGGCTACGTTATCACACATTTGCCAGGCGGGATATTGGCTGAGAGGTTCGGTGGCAAGTATTCCCTTGGTCTCGGCATTTTCTCCACAGCAATCTTCACCCTGTTGACGCCGGTGGTGGTCGATTTTGGTGACTCGGCTGGCCTAATAGTGCTGCGGATCTTAATGGGCTTCGGCGAGGGAACGACCTTTCCGGCGTTGAACGCCATGTTGGCGCAATGGACGCCGCCGGAGGAGAGATCGATGATCGGCTCCTTGGTGTTTGCCGGTGCCCAACTCGGTACGGTACTAGCCAATCTATTGTCCGGTTTAATTCTACACTCCTACAGCTGGCCTGCAGTTTTCTACGTGTTCGGTGGGATCGGCGTGTTGTGGTTCCTCGTGTGGGTGCTGATATGCTATAATAATCCATATGAGCATCCGTTCATTTCCGAGCGCGAGGTGAAATACCTTCACGAACGTATGAACGAGCATACTCACACGAAACCGCCGCCTGTACCTTGGCGTCACATGCTGTCTTCGGCGTCGGTCTGGGCGTTGATCGCCGCCCAGGTCGGTCACGACTGGGGCTTCTTTACCATGGTCACCGATCTCCCCAAGTACATGAGCAGCGTGCTTCACTACTCCATCCAGCAAAACGGTTTCGTTTCGTCGTTGCCCTACCTCGTCATGTGGTTCTGCAGCACAGCATCATCCTGGCTGGCCGATCGGATAATCACCAAGGGCATCATGTCGCGCACCAATGTACGAAAACTCGGTACCACGATCGCTTCCTTGGGGCCAGGTGCTTTCATCATCGCCGCCTCGTATGCTTCGTGCGACGGAACGTTAGTGGTGACCATGTTCACCATCGGCATGGCTATGATGGGTACGTAATTTCGCTCAGTATATTATTGCTTACAATTGGCACACGAATTCTCTTTGACTCTTTCTTTCTTTCTCACAGGCACCTTCTATCCCGGGATGAAAGTCAACGGGCTGGATCTTAGCCCCAATTACTCCGGTACTTTGATGGCTTTGGTGAATGGAATGGGAGCCTTCACCGGTATAATCACGCCGTACATCGTCGGCGTGTTGGCGCCCGATCAAACACTCAGTCAATGGCGGCTCGTCTTCTGGATCGTCCTAAGTTTCTTCATCGTGACGAATCTGATTTTCGTTCTGTACGCGAGTGGCGAGGTTCAATACTGGAATGATCCCGAGTTCGTTATACGGGACCGGGAGGAAAGGCAGCTGAGTAAAGAGACGAATAGACAAACGCCTTCGAAGAAATCATGAAAGCATTGTTTTTGGCGCGGTGCCTTACAAAGTTAAGCGCTCTTAAACGCTTAACGAAACAGTCAAGCTTTTCTTCCGAAAACAAAAAGATCTCGCGTAGATATCCTAGATATCATTTTTTCGACAAGCGGAAGTTTCATCTCTCGTTTCTCCATATTCTAGGTAGATAAGGACTTCACATCGCATCCGCATAACGACGAGATGATAGATGAGAAAGACATGCGTGTTTACTCTCGCACATGATCCTTGAATAATAATTCAAGAGTTAAGTTCGCAACGTTAGCTCTGAACGTCGCAAATTGCGAATGTGCGTTAATCAGCATTGCAATGTGCACTTTTTCGCAAGTAAGCAGTTTTTGTCTGAAAGGAGGAATTGTAAATTAGAGACAACTGATAAATAATGACTTGTACATATTGCGAATTTTAAGGATTTTTATAAGATAAAAAGAATGTAGTAGAATTTAATTAGTTAATTAAAATAATCTGCTAATTGTATACACACATCGCCAATATATCGCTATTTCGTCATCGCGAAAAATTGAATGATAATTAATAAATTGAAATAGCTAAATTATTCGAAAATCTCTGAAAATTTGTAGACGAATATTATTGCGAAGGAAAAAGCAATAATTAATCAAATAATTAATCAAAGCAATTAATTAAAATATATATTAACGAATTGTCGAGCTAACTAATTGTATCAGATGCTACTATCGAATAAACAAATGAGAACAACTAATCTCAGAAAGAAACACATATTTGATTAATTTAATTAATTTTTGAGTAGTTCTATATTTCGCTTTATAAATATCATTTTTTATGTAATGTACATAGTAAGTCGATTTTATCGATATTATATACATTGTAAAACATTATTTCGTATCATTAATTAAACAGCGCAAATTCCAGTTTACCAAAGGCTCGATGAAAATTGCATTCTTTACGTAATACATGTTTTCTTTTCTTCTTTCGCAATCACATCATTACATATAATTATAGATGCTCGCGAATTCCATTTGTCGTATCATTATAATTCAAAAAAAAATAAAGTATCTTTATAAAAATGCATTTTACAAAAAAAGCATGTAATAAATCGCGTTACGTTTTAATATCAATTTATTCAATTTAAGTTTTATCACAAATTAAAGAACCATGTATGTAAAAACTATTTACGCTAATTGTTAGAAACAGAAGAATGATATTTGTAGTTTTGAAAGCAATGAGAAATCTTTCTCATAAAAATACACAAGATTTATTCAATTATCAACATTTCGCGCGTATTTCAAGAACCCGTTTTGCAAAATCCAGATTGATCCAGTTACACTCTCTATTATTACCCTTTCACTGTGTTCCACGTTAGCATTTTAATAAAATTTATCCTGATAATATGTCGAGGGTTTTTTTAATTACAAATAGTTCAAAAACGCACAAACAGTATATATAATCTACAAATATAATTATAAATGAAAGATTCTATTTTGATGAAATTGTAACTGATTTATAATATACGACATTATAAAAATTTTTTATTCCAAGACTCACAATGTATTCAACATTTTACGTAATCGAAAGCGAGATTGTGCAAGAAAAAAAACAATAAAAATAGCATATTGATGTTAAAGATCAGCCGAGATATCTCCATGTAAATATAAACCGGAAATTTTAATCTCAATTAGATGGATATTTAATTTTAATATCACGATGGGCACAAAAAATCATTTTACTCGATCATTATTAATATCAGATATGATTAATCTCATCAAATACTTGGCATAGTTTTACGATTGATCTCGTTTTCTTGAGAGTGATGTAGATATAAATTAAACATATGATGGTAATTAAAATTAGATATGATAATTATATATATAATATCAAGCGAGAAAAAGTATCTTTATGATCTGTTTCGTTATCAAATTTGTATATAAAATTATATAAAATTTTGCAAAAAAAATTAATTAATTTTATTTCTGTGTCACATTCAGTTTCTATATCGTTCTCAATATTTGATTTCATGATACTTGCATGATGTAATTGAAATTTACAGAATGTATCGCGTGCATTGTTACGTTAATAATAGCCAGATAATACAATAGTCATTCGCTATAATTGCATGCTGCCCGATTTTTAACGAGTTTTGATGTAAATGGAATTTTGTAAAATAAGAGTCAATTAGTCGACATACCTATAGAGCAATATTTTCCTGCGAGAAATATAGCATGTTGATGTTCAAAATGTGTTTTTCCACAATTGCAAAGATCGTGCCATTTGAATCGCACGAATGATTAAATCCATAACACTCTGAAAACGTGTACATTTTACGTAAATAGATACGCAATTTTTACATAGATTGTGTATAGACGCAAAAAATGCAGCCAGAAAAAATGTATTGCGTAATACGCAATACATATAATAACATATATGCATTACATGCCTTTAGTTGCAGCGTTCTTTTCCTCTTTCTTTCTCCGAAATCTGAAAAATATATATTTCTATATGGAGATATAATATTGTTTACGTCATCAAAGTCGAATATAATGTTATTGATAATTCGTTATCGAAATATTTTATATACTATAAACTATATATACAATACTTATATACTATAAAACAATTTATTGATTAAAATTGATTATTTATTAAACAATTTATCACGGAGCCTTTCGTTATGCTAATTATTTGCATTTATAATTCGATTGTTTTACTTCGTGTTCTCTCACAATCCAAATTATATTTACATTGTCAAGTAGAACGATAAGATAACACGGATGAAATATATTTGTGATTCTAAATATATTAAAATAATAATTATTGTCCGTAAAGTCGCAACTATCGAAGCAATTATTTAATATTTTGGATTCCTATAATTTAATCGATTCTCGATTAAATTGTATATTGTTTAATTAACAAGGATTGAGAAAATTTATAGCATTAGTCAAAATATATTTAATTCTAATATTGTTAAAAAAATATTATAATTAATAATTAATCGAAAGTTCATAACATAATTAATTTTCTTATGGCCTTTTGTATCTCCTGTTCCAATTTTTAATCGCGGTAATAAATATTTGCAATTCAATAAAGTTTTATCATAGCGATAATACAGCTTCATGTCGTTAATTAATTTTCAATTAATTAATTTGTATTAATATTTAAAGCAAATTATGTTTCAATGTACTAATCGTGTTTAATAAGTAAAATAATTAGCATATACGAAGCGTTTCTCACCACTACTTTATTACTCGAGAGTCACCGTGCGAATGATGACAAAGCAATAACACAGCGCGCTGCTGTTTATATTTTACATTGCCAAAGTCGAACACCGTTATCAATAATTCGTTGTTGAAATATTTTATATATTATAAAATATACACTAACGGAATATTAAATTATGGAAATATTTTAATTTATTGATTAAAATTGATTATTTATTAAACAATTTATCATGAAGCTAATTATTTGAATTTATTCATTTATTTTACCGAGTTTTTTCGAAGTCAAATTCTATAATATTTAGTTTTGCATTTTAAAAGATTGACTTATAGCGAGCTAAATAAATGATGTTGAGAAGAAAAAAAGACACATAAATAAATAAATAAATAATAGCGTAAAAAGAGAGAACGTACTAATATTTTTATATAATAAATTTTATTATTAATTAAATTATTTATATTTTTATTTATATTATTTATATTATCAGAGAGACATATATGTTACCCTCTGAGAACATTCGTGGACTTTGGCTTTGTAGTTCATGTTTTTAATGTCCACAGAGGGAGTATCGCTTTCAGAGATCACTTAAAAGCAGACCATGACATCTCTCAGTCTTCTCTTTGTTTTTATTAACCTAACCTGACCTGACATATAAGTGTGTTCGGAAATTTTATTCGTAGAGTAGAGTAGTTTTTAATTGACCAATCAAGATATAGAAATCCTTGTTCTCTCTCTTTTTACTCTTTATTTCCGAACGCATTTCTAATGTAACTTCCATTTAACTCGCCATGACCTGTCACATGAGTTGTATTATTTACTCTTTAAATTAGAAACGTTTTCTTCAAAGAAAAAGAAAAAAAGAGCCTGTGATAAGATACATAAAATAATTTGAATAAAAATATTAATTTTTTAAATATATATATATATATATATATATATATATATATATATAGAGAGAGAGAGAGAGAGAGAGAGAGAGTGAGAGAGAGTGAGAAAGAGAGAGAGAGAGGCAGAATAAAAAACAAAATTAATAAATATTGTACACGATGCCAATTATCAAGAAGATTACGAATTCTGGATCATTATTACAATTTCGCTCCAATAGCATTTACCTGACATTTAGTTCTATCATAGACATTCGATTTCGACAGCAACACTTCAGGAATTGGTAAATTTAAAATATATTGAGATTAATTAGACGGCTTGATTGAATCATGAATATGAAATACGATGAGGACTTGTCGGAGAATCGATTTCTGCAGGAGCTCAGAAATGAATATGAAGCTACATTCCAACAAATTATCCAGGAAGGCTGGATCATCTGTGTTCCACGAAGTGGAAGTTTCTCAAATCGCGAATTGCGGGAAGACGAAATTAAGGCTCATATCTTGATCCCCAAGCAGGACTTCTCCACAGCTCGATTTTACAATCTGAACAACAGGGAAGTCCTGTTGGTGGACAAAGTTCTGACTATCAAGTACAATGACAGCAAACAATATTCTACGCGCTTGCTCTTTGAGGAAATCTTTTACAGCTCGAATTTGCTTAAATATTGTGTGTGGTAAGTATGCATTAAAATTATAATATCAAACATTAATTCGTTAATATAATATTTAATATGTTCTACAGGTGCATAGAACAACCCTTGGATGCTAGTATGTGTGTCTCAGACAACTGTGTGAATATAATCACAAATCTTCAGGAAGCTGTAAATTTTCTCCAAACAGAACTTGATAAGCAGCTCCACGATAACTTAGAAACCAAAATCAAAGACTTCTTATGTATCAACAAAAACTTAGCGTGTAAGTCAATACAAATGCAAAGAGAGTTAGTGCAAGAATTGTACATTGATTGTCTTAAAATGCTATTGGAATATACAGCATTGGAAGAAAAAGTTTCAGGTAGTAAGCAGTATTGTTCGAATATTAAAGTATCGCTAGAAACATATATTCTGTATGCTTTAAGAGAAGTATTGCTAAGATCATTATCCACTTGTACTGCTGTAGAAGATGCGTGCTTAAACAAGATCATTAGGAATCTAGATGGGATCCTATTGAGCGATCTTCGAATACGATCCGACTTGGAATCTCGCGTTTATGGAGGAAAGATGGAACTATCACGGTTAGATTGTTATGTGACTGTGTTAGGTAAAATCGAGTGTCTCAGGAGAACTGTAAATTATATCTCGCATGGAACGTCTGTCGTCTCGTCTGATGATCTACTACCGATACTTGTGTTTCTCGTTGTTAATGTCGGTTTGTCAAACTGGACAGCACAATTATTTTTCATGAAGCAATTCCGTCTTTCCTCAAGTTCTGCTTATGAAGCAGACGAAACCTGTTTTTTAATAACATCACTGGAGGCTGCGATCGAACACATCAAGTCTGGAGTAATCTGCGAAGGGGACAAGTATGCGATTAATCCGGATAAATACAATCAATTGATAGATAAATCGGATTGCTCGTCTATCAATTATTTGTTTGCATGTGTCAAGAATGGAAATCTATCCGAAGTGGAAAGGATACTGACCTACAAGAGATCTAAGCAGAACGATAAGGTCTCGCTTTGCCATCCTTTATGCACCTGTGCGTCCTGCGAGCGAAATTGGACGAAACATCGAGAGTTAAATGAATGTCCTAGGGACGACAGAGGTTTAACTTCATTGCACATCGCAGTATTGTATGATCAAATAGTGATCGTGGATTTTCTTCTCGATCATGGTGCGGATATAAATGCCGCCGATTTGGATGGCTTAACGCCCCTTCATTACGCCTGCGTCAAAGGCCACCAAAATATTCTGCTACTGATGCTGCACGCTAACGCGGATCCTACAGTGACGGACTTACAGGGAAATACACCGCTACATCTGGCTGTGGACCGCGGTCACGAGAACTGTGTGAAGGCGTTGCTATATTTATCAGAACACATGAAGATTTCGGTTAATCCAAATGCCACGAACGACAACGGGGACACGCCGTTGTATCTCGCAGCTAAGTGGGGCTACGGTGCGATCGTTGGTATCCTTTTAGAATATGGTGCAAACTGCAGATTAATCAATAAAAAGGGTCAAACACCGTTGACTGTTACGTACAGCAAGAGCATCGCCGAGTTGCTCAAACACTACGCAACATCTGCGAACGATATCCGCAACAATGTTGCTTTGTCCCAGAAGAAATGCGTAACCCTCGCTCAATCCCAGATGTCATTTCAGCAACGTCGTTGGACTACGTCGGATTTGGAGAGTTTATCAACGTCACATCCTAAGAACTGTGCCAACCCACAACATCGTATGATGGATAAATTGCTTGCCGCAATAGTCGATGGTGATGTATGCTTGGCATGTTACTATCTGGGATTGGAGGTTTATCGGAGCGAGGGACTGCCGGGCTCTTGCGCGAGTCTGTGCCATCATCCGCTATGCGACTGCGAGCGTTGTTCAGCTCTCGGTGAGCGCAAATTCGAGCGCGAGCGGAGACAACGGGTGCTCGCGATCAACGCCTGCAACGATCTTGGCGAGACGGCATTGCATGTGGCGAGTGCAACAGGTCGCGTCGAGATGGTACAGCTGCTCCTGGATGCTGGCGCGAACGTGAACGCGATGACCAAGTCGGAAGGTCGTACTCCATTACACCTGGCATGTCTCAACAATCACGTCGAAGCGGCAAAACTACTGTTTAACTGTGGGACCTGCGATCTAGACGCCAAGGATCATAACGGCGACACATCGTTGCATCTGGCGACTGTTGCTGGCAATGTGAAACTTGTCAGTCTGTTGATAAGATATGGTGCAAACACTAATATTCGCAATGCCCTAAACAAATCGCCGCTGCGACAGGTGGAGGAATTGAAGTTATCCGTCGTCTTCTCCACAAATCATGCCAGTATACTGAAAATTCTACAACAAAACACTCAGTCAATAGGCGATTAGTATAAGCCACTCTGTTTTTTTTTATATTATGTGCGTATCGTTTTATTTACATAAATAATTTAAATAAAAAAGTATAACTCTCTTTTTAGTATAATATACATGAGTTTTTGATATGATATTTTATTATGATAAAGGAGGAAATGTTCATTTTTTTTCACTACTTAGTCTATACTGAAGATTCTGAAAATGATTTTTATACCATGAGTGAACGTATTTCTATTTATTTTTCTACATCTTCTCTTTTGCTCTGTTTCTTTTTTTCTTTTCTCTTTTTTAGAAATAATTTATTTTAATCAAAAAAATATTTTTCTTAATATAATTCTAATATAATTTCATCCAAATGTGATTTAATTCTAATCGAGTATAATACTAATTATAATTTTAATATTAAATTTTAGAAAGAGAGAAAAATCTCCCATATACACGTGCGAGTGTATATTGAAATCTTTTTTTTTAATGTTGTACAAATTACATATAAATGTCAAAGAGAGAACTGTCAAATATTATATTCATATTGAACTATATATTAATATTAATAGATGTATTAACTATATAATATATTAAATGATGTGTTAATAAATTATATATATATATATATATATATATATATATATATATGTATATATATAAACAATATTAATAAATTAATTAATAAAATAAATAAATGCAATATTGCATGTGGATTAAATAAAAATTTCACAAATATATTTTATATAGAATTGTAAAAAAAATATGTAACAAGATTTATAAATATTTGTTTTGTATGAAATAAAAAAAAATATATATACGCAAATAAAACGAAATAATAACAATTATAACACGTGTTTTACTGTCTTGAAAAAAATGAAAAAAATTTTGAATCTGTACTCCTAGTGAATTGTCAAATAAAACTAAACCAATAGAATTTCTTACATGGTAATTCCCTAAAAAATAATCACATTGTTATAACATCAGTGTATTATTTATAAAAAAGTATGTTTCATAAATTATTATTATTATTATTATTATTTGTCGATTACTACGTACACGTGATAAAAAGAAATTTCTGTCATTAATGCCCGTAAATAATGTATGTAACCTAACCTTTAACACATTCTATCAAATAAGAATCTGAGTGCAATTCAATTTTTTGTTACGAAAAATACAAGACAGCAAGTAAAAATATTTAACAACAAATTGATGAAGAAATATTTTGATCGTTGTTGTTGTAATATCAGTAAACTCTGGCAAAGTGACAGGTAAAATTATTTATATTAACTTTCAACGTGCAGTTGGTTATGTCTTTCTGTTATTCCGGTAACATCGGCATTTGCTATTGCGAATATATTGCATCATTAAGGACTATCTTATTATATAGTCATTCTACTGCACTAACTGACATTCCTAATTTTTTCAAAGTATTCTTAACATTTTTATAATTTTTAATTGATATCTTTATTTAACATAATTTTTTTAATATATTAATATTAGTATCCAATTAAAAACTTCATTAAAAAATATATATTAAAGTGGAATGTCCGTCAGTGAAATTGTGTTTGGTTGCAATCAAAAGTTTTACATATAATTTAAATTTACTTGGAATTATTCAAGAGAAATTGGTAAGTATTTTTATATTTAATATCATTTATGAAATGTATAATTTTCATATCACTCTTTTAGCATATGAGATCTATGATCTTAAACTGTAGTTTTCTATGTGTATGGATATATGACATGTCACTATATATTATTTTCAGATACAATTCTTCCAAAAATGTTGAGGCTATTAAACTTATCAAGAAACTCCTCCTTAAGAAGTACAGCTTTGCAACAACATCTTGCTTATCCTGTTCTTCATTTTTCAACGAATGTCAAATCAAATCCTCTATATTCGAAAAAAGGGTTGATACAGGATAAATTTAAAAAGGGCGAAGTTGTTCATGGATTTATTGTAGATGAAGTATCGAAGATAGATGAGCTATTTCTCACTGCTGTGAGATTGACACATCTGAGCACGGGTGCGCAGTATTTGCATTTGGATAGGGACGATACCAATAATGTATTCTCCATCGGATTTCGTACAACTCCTATGGATTCCACCGGTTTACCTCACATATTGGAACACACTACTCTATGCGGTAGCGAGCGGTATCCCTGCAGAGATCCATTTTTCAAGATGCTGAGAAGATCTCTGGCCACATTCATGAATGCCATGACTGGGCCAGACTATACCATATATCCATTCTCGACACAAAACCTGAAAGATTATCGCAATCTACAATCAGTCTACTTGGATTCTGTCTTCAAGCCAAATTTGCGAGAATTAGATTTCCGACAGGAAGGTTGGAGACTGGAGCACGCGGACGTCGATGACAAAAATTCTCCTATCATATTCAAAGGTGTAGTCTTTAACGAAATGAAAGGTGTTTTCAATGACAATCAAGCCATTCTTGCGGAACGTCTGCTGAACTCTATTTTACCGAGTCATACGTACTCGGTAATTTCCGGTGGTGATCCTCTCGTCATACCTAATCTGCAGTACATCGATCTTCTTAATTTCCATATGAAGTACTATCATCCCTCTAATGCACGTTTCTATTCATATGGAAATTTCCCGTTGGAAGATCATTTAAAGTTCATCAACGATCGATATCTCTTCCTATCTGATCGGATAGACGCTTCCATGTCGGAAGTGCCATCGGAGAAACGATGGAACGAAGCTAAAAAGGAGCATATAGTGTGCAGACCTGATCCACTGCTCGCAGATCCTAGCAGACACGGATCTATTGCCATATCGCATTTGTGTAATGATATAACTGACATACAGACGACCTTCGAAATGTATGTGCTGTCACAACTGTTACTCAAAGGCCCGAATTCGGCGTTTTACAAATCTCTAGTTGAATCGAATATAAGCACCGGCTTCGGCCCAGTCACGGGTTTCGATTCGCAGTGCAAAGACACGATGTTCGTTGTAAGTTTGCAGGGTGTAAAGCCCGAAGATTTCGAGAAGATTCAGAGTATTTTCGATAACACTGTAGAAAAAGTCATCGACGAGGGATTCGAGAAGGATCACATTGAAGCTATTCTTCATGGTATTGAACTTCAGATCAAACATCAAACATCGAATTTCGGGCTAAATCTGCTCTTCAATCTGACATCCTTGTGGAATCACAACGGCGACTTGATACAGTTATTAAGAATTAACAACGCGGTCAAGAAACTCACATCGCGAATGAAAGAAGATCCCAAGTATCTGCAAAGCTTGGTCAAAACTTATCTCGGAGACAATAATCACAGATTGACGTTGACTATGTCGCCCGACGAGAATTATGAGCAAAATAAAGCTCTTGCTGAGCAAGAGTTGCTGAAAAGGAAGCTGGAGGAGCTTTCTGCAGAGGAGAAAGAACTAATATACGTCAACGGGAAAATCTTGCTTGCCGAACAACAAAAGAAAGAGAATGTCGGAGTCTTACCGACACTGAAGATGGAAGATTTAAGAGCCGACGTGGAGCGATACAATACGTCCAATCTAGAGATATCCGGAGTGCCTCTTCAACTGTCCATCCAACCGACAAACGGCATCTCCTATTATCGAGGAATACTTAACACACAGGCATTACCGATTGAATTGAAACAACTGATACCGCTTTTCAATTACATTATCACCAACATGGGCACACGGAACTACGATTATAGAAGCTTCGATCAGATGATGCAGTTGAAGACCGGCGGTCTGAGTTTTGGGAATCACATTGCTGAAGATAAGGAAAGCGAATTGAAGTACGAGGAAGGGATTCTCATAGAATCATATTGCCTGGATCGCAATTTGAACTATATGTGGGAATTATGGACGGAATTATTCAACAATGTTAAACTGACCGATCCTCAGCGATTCGAGACACTTGTAAAGATGAATGCGGCTGACTTGATCAACGGCATCTCGCACGCCGGTCACATGTACGCGATGAGTAGCGCCGCTAGTCTGGTCTCTCCGACAGCCCGGGCCAAAGAGAATCTTTCAGGATTGCAATATGTGGGGAGGATGAAGAGGATAGCTCAGATACGTGATCTATCCTCTCTGATACACAACATGCAGGAGATAGCCGAGCACGTCTTGAACAAGAAACACTTGCGGTCGGCCATTAATTTGTCCGAGGAACACAAGGACAATGCTCTCGACGGTATTCGCGTGTTCTACGAGTCATTGAAGGGCCCTCCGAAGAATCCGTACATCATCACCAACGATCAAAGCAATGAAACGAGTGAAAGCGGTAATCACTATGTGCTACCTTACACGGTCAATTATTGCTCCAAGGCTATTCTAACAGTACCTTATACGAATCCGGACTATGCTCCCTTACGTGTGCTTTCCAAGTTGATCACCTCGATATACCTGCATCCGGAAATTCGAGAGAAGGGCGGAGCTTATGGTGGAGGCGCGAGATTAACATCAGAGGGAATCTTCTCCTTTTATTCTTACAGAGATCCGAATTCCACTCGTACCTTTGATCTGTTTGACAAGACGTACGATTTTTTAACGGAGTACTCGTTACCCCAAAGTGACATAGATGAGGCAAAGTTGGGAGTTTTCCAGCAAATAGACGGTCCTATTCCTCCCAGCAATCGTGGCATGACTAAATTCACCCATGGCATCACAGATGATGATCTTCAAAGGCAGAGGGAACAATTAAAGGCTGTGACTAAGGAACAGCTCTTGCATGTGGCTGAAAAGTACCTGAAACCTGGTCGAAACAGCGTCAAAATTGGTCGTTCACTTATCGGACCTGCGAATGCCGATATTTCGAATAGACGCATGGAAAATTGGATAGTATTAAATCAGGAAGAAGCAGATCAAGCACGAGCCACTGAATAAACGTCAAGATATTATCTTTGTTATTTTTATAATAAAACATGTTTTGCTTATGTTAAACTGCAAACACATACAAATGTTTAAGCATTTCCTGGTCATGTTTCATAGTATACGTTTGACGTTAAGTATTAGAATCTAAAGAATAACAACATTAATGCAATTAACATTTGTTAAATAATTATTGTAATTTATGCTATATTTTGTATATTAAAAACGTCCTGTAGTAAAAAGATAAAAAAAAATAATGCGTTTTACTCATTTAATTCTCAATTTTCATAATCTTTTTGTGTTTATCAAAATCATATTTATATTGCACTTATTAAAGCATCATTTTCTTTTTTCATTTTCATCAGATGCGCACATATGGATACCAATGCTGAAAAGAAGTATTTTTTCGAAGCGTTATCTTTATTTTATGAAATGCAATGGCTTCATAATATAGCAGTAACTGAGATCTTGACTAAAGCGTCTTTAGATGCAATCCCCAAAGAATGGACTGAGCATTTACGAATTCTGAAAAATGATGAATTCAATAATTTCATAGCAAGAAGAGTAACAAAGGTTAGTCAAAAATTCAGGAATATTACATAATAGATTCTTCAAATTTTTTTAATAGAATATTTCAACATATTTTTGTTGTTCCAGTCTGAATGGCCCGATTCGTTAAAAACATATGTTGAGAAATGTCAAAATATCAACAAACTACCACCTATACAGACATCACCTAGAATAGAATTACCACAGAAATTTAAAATTGGTCTCAGTCAAAAGAAGCAACATGAAATAATACATTTAGCTCATTTGGTGCACACGCAATGCAAGTTGTACAATATACAAACAATCGTCGATTTGGGTGCAGGTTTGGTAAGAAAGTAACAATATGAAAAAAGATATAAATTTTAGACTCTTGTGTGCTACTACAATGATAATTTTTCAGGGATATGTATGCCAAATGTTACATTATTTATACGGCTACCAAGTCTTAGGTTTAGAAAAAAACAAAGAAAATGTGAATAGAGCGTGTACTAGACAAAAAAAATTGTATCCTGATTCTTTGGCCAAAGTTAAATACATTCATTGCGACGTGACGTGCGATTCCGCCGATATGATAGAATCTATCTTGCAGCAGGAGTTTCCTAACTTTACGGATGCGTGTCTGATTGGTTTGCATGCTTGCGGAGACCTGAGTGCGAGCGCGTCGAAAATTTTCTGCAAAATAAATTCCATTAAACTCTTTATTCTAATATCTTGCTGTTATCACAAACTTTCCATTTCCAAGAATATACAGACTGCATTGCAGGAGAAACAATACTTTCACAATTTTCCCACGTCGAATTGTTTGCGAGAAACGATCACGGCACACAATTTTGATATAGGCCAGTTCTTAAGAATACCCTTTCTACGATTAGCATGTCAAGAATCGGCGGATAAATGGTATGGCATGTCCAAAAAAGAGCACGACGAACATTCCTTTCACGTTCTCGCTCGAGCTGTGCTCGAGTTATACTCGCAACAAAGTAAGCATCTGTGATATATGATATGTATGTATTCCATAGATCAATTGTTTTCATAAAGAATTTATTTTAGATAATCTCGTTCTTAAGAAAAAAGTTCGGAAAGGTACGAGAAAGTCTCAATGTTCGAGTTTTCAAACTTATGTTAAGGATTCATTATTAAGATATGATCTGATACCGGACATAAACGTAAAATTTACAGGTGATACTAATAATGCAATAATATTTGCAAGATTAATATAATTTTTAACATAAATCTAATATTTTATATATATATATATATAAAATAAATAAATATATAAATAAATATATTTATTTATTAATAAATAAATAAATATAAATAAATATATATAAAATAAATCTAATATTTTATATACATATATATATGACTTTCATATATGTATAGGTAATGTTATAGTACATGATGAATTAGAGAAAGACATAATGCAAGTATGGGAAGAACAGAGTAAAAAATTAAAAACTGTAGAAATCTACTCTGGTCTGCAAATGATGCTACAACTCCCGGCAGAGTCGTTGATTCTGCAGGATCGATTATTATGGTTACACGAACAAGATCTAGAAGCTGTAATTGTGCCTGTGATGAACAAGTGCATATCTCCTCGTTCATATGCGATAGTATCTCATAAAAGCTGAAAATTATAAATTACAAATAAAAGCTAAAATATATATGGAGATGATTAAAATAATACATTTCATAAATAATTCAATATTAATAAAAAGTTACTGAAAATATATTTGAAATTTAAACAAGAATTATATATCATTGAATATATATATCTTTTATTACATCCTTCATTAAAATCATAGACATAATTAGATTATATTGAAATTATTTAAAAAATTAAAGTTATAAAAAGATATTATTTTTTAAATTCGAAGCTTTCATTGTATATCTTATACATACTGTCACATTCTTATCTATAAGGGTGAATTTGTGATGCTGCTTTGATATTTGTCTTAATCGCACTCGGTGCCTTATTCATTTGTCCCACTATAAAATATTTAAAATTAAAAGGTAATTAATTATAAATGGCATAATTGCATGGAAGTAAACGGAAATCTTCAGAGAAACACTTACTTTGTGGATTACCCATTGGTCCTTGTCCTGGTGTCTGCTGCTGATTGCCAGGTCTACCCACCATCATGCCGTTATTTACTGAATTTACACCAGATTGAACCATTTGTATGGAATCAGACTGTGAAAATAAAGTGCAGATAATTAGTTCTGATAGATATATGAAAACATAATACTGTAAAAAGGTAATTTTATTCTTTAAAAACTTAATATTTTCGCTCTCTCAAGAAGTTTAAAAATAAGATTACAAGTATACCTTTAAACCTTTACCCATCCCCACAGCAGCCAGAAGAGCATGAGTATCTGCAGCGCTACTGGTCTGTGCTTGTGTCGCTCTGGCTCCAGCTTCGCTCTCCCATTCTTCGCGTGCCTTATTTGCTATATCCCACACATGACCAATTACCTTTGTATATTGTGTCAGTTGTTTCTGAAACGAAGCACGCGAAAAACTTGATAAGTAATGGAATTCTTATGTTCCACTCGCTAAATGGACAAAAATTTCTGATTGCATAGCGAATATAATTTCAAACATTAAACATCTATAGCTATTTATGTAGCTATAAATAGGCTCGTTACATAACATCAATCTCAGCCCAAAGCGAATGGAACAAAGCTGAAGCTATTTGATTAATAGCTTACATTGTAGTCCTAGTTGTTGTTTAGTTAGCACATTAACAGAAAAATAGAACACATTTTCAATTAGCTTCAATTGTATTGATCTTATCAAATACTGTATTATATACTTAATTGTATATGAGCAGATATAATCTTAAAAGAATTTCTAGTTGTATCATGTATATACTTTAATATTTAAATAATTTACAAAAATAACTTTTCACCTTAACTTGAGAAAAAAATATATAAGGGGATATATTGAATAAAAAAAAAGTAAACGCATAAAGAATTATATCTTACATGTGATGTCTCAATGTTAACATTTGCAGCTTTAGCTTCCAACTGCATCATTTTCTGTTCAGCTTGAGGTTCCAACTTTGTCCTTAAGTAATCTGGAACCAAATCATGGGCAAATGTAGGGATTCTGCCTTCAGTCAATCGAAGCAACTCTTCATCTTTCTCAGGACTCAAGCGTAGCGGTAGAACCGTCAGGTTTCTGAGATTGGGCGCTTTATCGTGTGCGAGAATCTTTGAAAGACTAGTCAACTGCACAAATGTGACATAATATAATTTAAGAAAAAGTAATATGTATATAAGTACTATTTTATCATTTCTTTTCGATTAATAAGATAAAATACTTACATGACCTGAAATAAGGGCGAAATTGTCAAGAAAATTTGGCCAATTCAAGGTCTCATATTCATGTTCTATTTTAAATATCATTGCGGCGATCGCAGTTTTTAAATCGTTTACTCGCATTATTATGGCTTCCAAGGCCGAATCCAATTGTTTCTCCTCCCTTTGCATCGTGTTTAGAGATTTAGAGGTTAATCTTATGTCAGCACACGATTATGTTGCAGCAATTATCAGCAATCGATTATGCACAGGACGTTTAATAGCTTGGATCTATTGAAAGTATTATTTGAAGAATGTTTTTTTATTAAAAAATTTAAAATTACCTCACATAAAATATCCATTATAATCGTAGCCAAATTTTAAAATATTAAGATTATACTGATATTACATTTGTACAAAATTATAAAATTATAAAGGATGAGACATGAGTGACAATTTCTTCGAGCAGGAATTCAATTTCCACATCTCAAAATACATAAAATGCACGGAACAGAATAGGAAATCGTAAAGTTTCTACGTCATGGAATAAAGTGCATGGAACAGAATAAGAAATTGTAAATATATGTATATATTACTTACTGTGAAAAGTTTTTGGCTACATATTTTTCAATGTTTTAAAGGTATCTCGAATATGTATTTTAGCTTTCACTTAAATTGGTAGAATAGAATAATGAAGAGTATAATTAGAGATGGATGATCAAAGTCGAAGCGTTTTCTATCGACCTTTGACAACTATCGCGATGACATCTCGCGGCATCAGCTGTTTGTCAGCTGATCGCCAACACATGATTACTCGCAAGAATTGTTATGCTAACGATTACTTGCAAGAATCGTTAATTAATTTACTACGAGAATACACAGGGGAATATACACACGCGTTCATGCATAACGTCATGAAGTCCTTTCGTGAGGCCCTGTCGAATGCCAGTAATATTTTGATCTTAACCGGCAGCGGTATCTCCGCGGAATCCGGGGTGCCAACTTTCAGGGGTGCCGGTGGATTTTGGCGTAAATATCAGGCGCAAAGTCTCGCGACACCGGAGGCCTTCGCGGCGAACCCGTCATTGGTATGGGAATTTTACGAATATCGCAGGCAACTAGCAAGCAAAGTCCAGCCGAATAAGGTAATTCGATGCTCAAAAGACTTAAATATTTTTAAACAATTTCTAACTTTTATGACACGATGAATTACAAAGTTTTTTATATCATATATATTTATATTATATATATATTACATATATATTTCTCCATACTTTAAGCAAGTTTAAAATAAACTTTTATAAAAAATTTAGAAATAATAGCAAAATAAATATAATGTAATCTTGTTTTTTAGGCGCATGAAGCTGTTGCTGAATTTCAAAAACGCAAAATAGCAGAAGGGAAAAACGTGTCAATTATTACGCAGAATATAGATGGACTACATCAAAGAGCTGGGGCACAAGATGTAGTGGAATTACATGGTTCACTTTATAGAACACGCTGTACCAAATGTCATAATATTGTTATTAATGAGAATGTTCCCATCTGTCCAGCATTGGCAGGAAAAGGGTATGCTAATGATAATTGTGTAAGCAATTGTAGACAGTGGAATGTGATATATTAATATCCATATATGATTATATATAATATTTCGTAATGTTAATTTGATAATAAATTTAAACAGATCTCCTGACCCAAACACTATGTCCTCTGATATTCCAAAGGAGGAATTACCGCTTTGTGAAATCAAAGATTGTGGAGCTTTGCTGAGACCTGATATCATATGGTTTGGTGAACAATTAAATGACGATATATTGCAGAAGGCTTGTACGTATTTTCTTCAATAAATATAAATCATATAAACATTTTACTCATATATAGAACATGCATATGTTAAAACATGGAAAGTTTTAATATTTAATAATAATAAATAAAATAAAATTGTTACAGTTAACATTGTTGAAAGGTGTGATGCTTGCTTAGTCATCGGAACCTCAGCGATCGTATATCCAGCTGCAATGTTTGCACCGCAAGTAGCGCGACGTAACGTACCGGTAGCAGAGTTCAACATAGAAGAAACACCAGCCACGAAACAAATGCAGTAAGTATATATTATCAACTTCTCTCTTTTTAATTTAAATTGATTGCTATACAAAATACTTTCTCAATAAAGTTCCATGACTAACAGCGAATTCAGTTGGATGCACCAACGCACACTAGTACACATTAAAGGTTGTAGTATATAAATTTATAGCATAATTTTAAAACAGTAAGATAATTAATACTACAGATTATTATATATTATTATTCCTACGAGAGTATCGATATTTATAACTCATAAAATTATCTTACTGTTTTAGTTATTTATGCTATTGTAAATTTATCTAAAACAGTCTTTAATGTATACCAATGTGCATTAGTGCATCCAACCGAATTTGTTATAAGTTTTTCACATCCTAAATTAAGATACAGAAAAAAATTATAATTATGTAAAATAAAATATCATACAATAATATAAAATGTAATGTTTTTTTATACATGCATATTCTCTTTCTCAAGCACCTTATGATTACTTTATGACGTTACGTCATAATTTCTTCGTGTTTGCGTTTACGTCCGCTTTTAGTATGACTCGTATTAGACTGTAACAAAAAAAAATAAATATATAATGCATTATATTTGAGATTTGCATGTTGATTAAATAATTTGCGGAAGGATATTTAAAGGCGAATTATCTCGTAGATACCACTTTCAAGGTCCCTGTACTACTACTGTGACAGAAGCATTGGCGCCTTAAAAGAGGATATATAATACATATTATATAATAATTAATTTGTTTTTTATAAAAAGATTTATTACCTTACAATAGCACACTTCTGTATTTAATCCGAGATGATTCAGGTAATCCAACCATAATTTTTGTTTGGTTGATAATGAATCGCCTGGACCTTTTACTTCTACAATTTTGTACTAAAAAATAAGATATATTAAATTACAATTTACGTTTTAAAACCTTTCTCGGGTATTATATATACATATAATAATATATATATATATATATACATATAATATGTACATAATATATATAAGGTAATACATATAATATATATATATATATAAGCTCTCTTAAAATTATGTACATAGAAAAATAAACTTACTTGTTTTGTACTTGCATTCCATACAATTAAATCTGGAAAGCCAGCTCTCCAGAGTCGGTAATTATGAATAAGTCGTTCACAAATACCAACAATTCCTTCCACCCCTAAACAAAATGCTATCTCCTGAAAATATGCATATACATAAATTGCTTTTAATCAAATTTTGTCGATGGCTTACCTGAAAGCTGTTACTGTCATCAAAAAGAGTGCCTTGACAGAGAGAGGTATATCCGCGATATAAATCAAATTCGTGTTTCAAATGTCTGCTCAATGTTTCCGAATCAAATGTTCGAATGATTTGAATCTTCATGTCTATCCGCTCTTTTCTATTCTTGTAAAATTCCGATGAGTATAAATCTAACGGTGCGTTTTGATACGATGATACGCAAGTGCCGGGAATATTCATATTGTAAATTTCGTCCCAAAACAATATGGCAAATAGGGTAACCGGAAAGGCACCTTCACAGTGTACACCTTTGGGATATCCTTTGCATTTGTATTGATATAGCGCAAAACTTTCGACTGTACCATACATTTGTTGATCTATGCTGTTACTGATACACCAAGTGCTTTTTCTCTGCAAAACATTCCTGAAAGCATGCACATATATCTCTTTTCTAAATCCTATTAAACTCATTTTTTTTATTTTTTTAAGAGGAATTGTTTCATATAAATTACCCGCATAACATTCCTTCTATTGTAATAGAACACATCTGAGATGTTGGTCGTACTTTGTCGAGCATATTGTCTAATATATGTCTAACTGTAGCTTTTGCACATTTACTGATAGTTTTTCTCCTAACGAGCATCTCTGCTCTGTCCAACAAATCTAATCTATCAACTTCTGTCAAATCCTTATATGATACTGCTTCCGATAGTAGCGCGACACTGCCATCAATATTCTTCATATGATGCATTTCTATCTTGATCAATTCATTGAACCATAATCCTTTTTTACTCTTCATATGATGATCTTGATCTATTAACGTTCGCAAGATTTCTATTGCTTGTGGCATTGTCTCCTTAGACTTTTTAAATGCGTCAATGCTTTTAGACAAAACTTTGAACCATAAGTAACCTGGCATAAAACATTTAATGTGATGAGGCAATATGGAATCTTGAAGACTGCAAACAAAAAACAACATAGCATAAAACAAATTCATATTAACATAATTTTATCTATTAAATAATTAAACATACTATGTAAATTAGATTTTCATTACCATTCTGTTTCTACTTCTAAGAAGAGTAGTAAACGTTGCGCGGCCAAAGATCCAAGATTTCGTACGACATCCCATTGTTTCTTCTCAATTGCATTCAAGATATCAGATAATGTATTTTTAGCTTCAATATAACTATAAAATAATAAATATTCAAATTAGGAAAAAATAAGATTCTATTCCAAAATAAAATCGAAATATATAATAAATCATATAATTAATATATTACTTACTCTAACAGATGTCCTTTACTAGCAAAGATAGGAAATTCACTTATTGTTACTTCCGGAAACTTTATCTGATTTGTTTCGACTCTTAGTATCATTAAGAATACATCCGACAAAGTTTCAGTGGGATCTCGATTTGGTATCAGCAATGTAATTATTCTATCAACCATTTGTTTCATTTTTACGTTTAATAATACGCAAGATCCTAAGCGCTTGTTGACCGACGCGCGTAATTTATTAGCGGGATTCGGCATCCCGGGGAATAATGACTTTGTCTGGTTGCTAAATTTTAGAATTGATTGTACATTTTCTTTCTTTTTACTACAATTTATTTTCAATTCTTGACAGATCTTGCGAATTTCGTCGACTTGTAGCAAATTCAGCAAAACCGATACATCTTCTTCTTCTGTGCTACTTTTGAAAATGGATCGTGATACAAGCTCATCAAAAATTGGTTTTAAATCATTGGATATTTCGTCGTATTTAATGTGACTTATCCTGTGCCACATATGTTTTCTTTTTAACATACGTATCAGCAATGCTTGCGCGTTTCTTGAAAGAGTAAGTAACGAAAATATAAAATCTAATTCGTCTTCGTCAAAATATCCGCAATTAATTGGATTGGAAAATACGGTAACAATGACTGAAAAGAAATGTAGCGCATACGTATCTACAGGTATGATTACATCGTTAATTTCGTATCTCGTTGAAGCTGAAGTATCTATAGAATTATATTTGTAGCTAAATGTTCCACTCGAATAAACTTTCTCCAAATTAATATCATTATTAGCAATGGCTCCTTCTTTAGCTAAATTCAAATTATCTATCATCTTAGAAAGTAACTCCTCAGTTTTATCTTTGAACAATTTCCTTCGTGCTAATTTTGCATGTCTTTGTGACTCGTTCAGTGCGTTTTTAATTGGAGATGATGTCTTTGGACTAAATTTTGAGCCACTATTGGATGCAAGAGTATGTTTTTTATTGGTAGGAGAAGTGTATTCAATAGCATATGTTGGCGATATCATTGGTTTAGTTGCCATTTTAGGACTGTTTTTCACATCAATCTTTGACAAACAATATACCTCATCACTTAATGAAACATCATTTTGCATTCCTTGTTTTCTATTTATTTTGCATGGACTTTGCTTGATATTTTCATGTACAGAAAAAGTTTTCAATTTTCTCGATAATCGTTTTTCCTTGTTAATAATAATAGAAAAAATTAATACATATAATACTATTAATACCATTAAAATGTTATTATATTTATTAAATATCTTACTTTTTTTTGAACTATTGGACTTTTATGATTAGATGATTTCTCGATATTTTTTACACTTGCAGGTTTCTTATTGCTACTTGTAATTTTATAAAATTGATCTATTGTAGTTTGCATCATGATCTATTGTAGTTGATACCTGGAGGAACAAACAGATCACATATTCTACATTATACTGTGCTCTCAATCTTTGTTTATTTTGTTCGTACATTAGCCTATCCTTAAAGTAAAACTTAATTTAGACTATAGCGAATCGACGAAAGAAATTACAATATTTACATAGTTCATACAAATTACCGGCGAATACAAATGTTCTTTTATCTAAATGACAAAGTCAAAATATAAATCTCGTACCACACAATAGAACGGTAAGTATCAACGGCATAATATTTTAGTTTTAATCTTTTCTGTAATTTTAAAACTATACACGAATGACGAAGAATATTTAGGAGATGAAGCCTTAGTGAAACAAAACATTGTCAATTATATATATTTACGCTTTACCTCTAAAAATCCGGAAGTCGCATGTAACATGTAAAAAAAAGAATCAATCAACGATAAGAAACTATTTAAATCAACATCGTCGGAAATCACTGTATAAAATAAATTCAACGAGCAATCCGCACAATCTAACACGTTGTAAGTACTTTTATCTCTCTGTCAGATCTCACTGTCAGATAAGGTTAAGATCAACATTCTGCGCAGGAGCGCGGAGTATCATATGGCGGGAAATTTATGTAATGCGCAATAGATACACATAACCTAATAGTGAGAAAAAAATCTTTTTTTGCGAATAAAAATTAGCCAATTAATTCAATTCAATGTTTTTGTCGGTACAATAATTTATGTCGCGCTCGATATAAACATTATCTCTCGTCCACGAATAAAATATTAATTTATAAGAATAATATAAGTTTCGCAAAAAATATATTTCCTCTCCAATAGAACTATTACATAGAAAAAGAATGTTCAATCTTTTGTAAGAAAATTAATTACATTTAAAATAAAATATAAAATATAAAAAATTAATTATATTTAAAATAAAATATAAAGAATATAAAATATAAATATAGTGTTAATTGCAACAAAATTTTTCTTAACGTTATTTCCGAAATACTATTTCTTGAAAAAAAAAAAGTTTAGTAGTTAATGTAATCAGAATTTATTCTTTTTTGCAAGCTCACTTCGAAATCGTTCAATATTCAAATTTAATTTTTTCCGTTTTATCGATAATTCATTAATTTAATCAGTATAATAAGAAACATAACAGCAAAGTCTTTTTTTTCATTCCAAAAATAGAGTTTTGTTCTCCGCGTGAAAAACTGAGATACGTGTCCAATATATTTAAAATAATGTATGATTGCACTTTAAAATATAATAAGTGAATTTTTGAATTGTTTTCAGACTCGAAATGCTCGGAGATACCGTATACAGTGAATTCGTGACTTAAAACGCGTGGCATTCTTCTCTCTCTCTCTTTCTCTCTCGTTTTATATTTCTATATTTGTATTTATATATATATATTTATATATGTATGTCGTTTGCATGTACAGGCTCACGAGCTGTGTTACGTGTATACGTACATATGTATACGAATATGTACAATAAGTCGTTCAGAGTTTAAAGTTTGCCGATTTTCCTTCCCTCTCCTCATCCTCGGAGTTACATAGTAATTAGAATATATTTAATAGCCAAAATGCAACCCGTAAATTGACTTACTTATATACACTCAATTAGTTACATCGTCTGCTATCAGTGTGTTAATCGCAATAATCACGAATATTAATACTTAGGTCTCTATACATAAGTCGTAGGAAATGTTGACTCATCTACCTGGTAACACCTCTATTCACTTCAGAAAAATACGAGGATCAACGAAATCTCGCTTAGATGAAAAAAAAGACGTTTCCTTAAAAGAAACTGGAGGAATCGTTCGCATGTTCCATAATCAACTCTCGAACCAACGCAAAATAAAAAAACATTTAAGGAAACGTATATTGTACGGCGTGTAATAGTTAATTCAGGAATGTAAATCATTCGCCGGATGGTAGTTGTTTCAATAAATAAGACGTGTATTTCAGTATATTTTTGACAATTACATCTGACAATCTGCCGGATTTCCGGACAGTCGGACGAGCCATGCACGTTTTTTTCAAGTAAAAGGTGTTATCAGGTGACAAAAGATTAAATAATCGTATCGAAGAACAGGTCGAAGGGTTGTGTCTCTCTAGAGAGAGTGAATATTCTATATATGTAATTATATAGAACTCTCTACGTCACTTTCCCTCTTCCGCAAGTTCTCCGACTCTATTACAAGTTATTCTTTTCGAGAAAAATTTTTTTATTACTCGCGTCCAAAGTTTCGTCCAAATCGGAGCTTTGGTTGAGAAACGCTTTATTTCGTCTCTTCTCTCTTTGTTTTTTTTCCGATTACATCTTCCTGTCGCACAGCGACGCAGAAGCCCTACTGTATATTCACAGAATAAAATACATGTATAAGTAGATACACATCGTGTGTCTCGACGCGTCAGTCGATATTATCGGTAAATCTGTTTTTTTAACACGCAGAAAAATGTCGTGGAGCTTTTTCTCGTCTAGATACCTATTAACCATAAGCTCATTCCTCTTCTCGATAATCTCTTTGTTTTTTTTTTCTTCGCGCAAATTAGTTTCCTTCTTCTCTTCTCCTCGTCTCGATCATTCTCAGAGAATATTTGCATTGATCTGTCTTATTTCTACTTACATGATATACTATTGTTTCTCGCGAATGCAACGAATTGGGTAAACACGAAATCTCACCGTCTGATACGACCGATTACTTTTATTTTCTTAATCACATTTCTCGAAAATATCTCCCAAGATATTTCCAAGCATTTTTAATAGTCTCAACTCACATGGGAGTTTGATTGGAACAAATTTTATTTTTCCTGCGAGTTTTCGCAGAACAAAACGGTCTTAACTGCAGTGGAATTTCGTGTTTGCCAAATCAGAAATGTAAAGCGAACTCAGTCTTTGGTTGGAGCGATCAAATCTTGATGATTCTCGACGTTTTATTTAATTTTAAAATGGCTATTTTGGGGGGTCTTTATATTTTTAACATTAATAAATTTTATATAAAAATTCATATATACCACTATACTTCGTTTTTTTTAAAGCGTTCCAACTAAAATAAACAAATTACTCTTCTTCTTTACAAATACATATTCTCGAATTTCTTTTTTTTTTTCATTCACATAAAATCGCTCGTTCTTCTCAAAATCATTTGGCGGAAGAGTTATCGTTTCTTTCTTTTTAAGGCGTCGCTAAAAATCTCGATAGCAGCATATATATATGCATGTATACACACATGTATGTATGTATGTATGTGTATGCGTGTGTTGTGTGTGTGTGTGAATGTATGTGTTTTTCATGACGAGCAAATAACACTTATAAAAGCCAAACGCTATACGAATACGAGCGAATAAAGTGGAGAGAATGGAGGATACGGCTTCGCGCGCAACAGTGAATCTGAGAAAAACGAGAGAAATAATGAAATATCTAAAGAGTATGTACAAATATGTGTCAGAAAACGGATTTCACAAAAAATATTATTATAATATACAGGCGAAAAGTGTGTGTGAAGATCTTAACAAAATAATAAGTCCTATCCAGGATAAAATTTCTTTATTACTCCTCCCTTCTAAAATCGTCTTGAATTCATAAATTTTCGTACACGTTTCGCTGTGCGCCTACCACAACAACATTTTTTTTATTACAATTATTTAGTTAATTACCTAAAAATAAGAGATACAATAAGCGTAATTATTTTTATATGTACAATATATCCTTTTTTTTGTTTTATTTTATTACGATTTCGAGAAGTCTGCCTTCTTTTTTTTTTACACAATTTATAACATATTCGCATCGTAATTTTATATCCCCCGTTCTCGCGTTACGGCTGGCGACAAATCAGTTTCATTGCTCGCTAACGCGAGAGGTTTCTTTGAAATAGGCATTCATAAATCAGGAATTCATTTTATACCGGCAATTACTCAATGATCAGTGCCTGCGTGTTTTAATTTCTAACAATAACAATCAAGAGCTCTCTTTCTCTCTCTCTGTGCAATCTCGAAACTTATATTTAACTCTTTCATGCGGTTATTCTGGTTGCAGTAACAAGATACAACTATCAATGTATTAAAAAAAAATAAGAATTAAATGTGACTGTAGAAGGTACAAAAGAGATCTGTTTTTCGCAAAGTACTTCGACAAAATAAAAAATCACCCGATATCGAATCTTTCGATATATCCTAAAAAGATAGCATTCGGAAAGAATGCCTTATTTAGGACATAACGTATATTCAGAAATAAAATGTCCAGTCGATATTGTCATTTGATCGTAAAAATATTCTCTCGTGTCTTCTACATGTTTTTTTTTCACAATTTTCTTGCAACTTTTGCACTCCGATCAAATAGCAGAAAAAGATAATAGAAAGACTAAGGGAGGAAGAGAGCGTCACGCATATAGCATGTGGAAATACTATAACACATTAGTCATTTTCCAAGATAATAAATCAAAGTTTGTCTTTGTGAAAGTTTTTATATACTTTATCAGAAAGAACAATGTAAGCGAATAATATATATCGATTAAATGTGAAATGACAAGATGTTTTGAACGAATTGTAAATATTTGCCTTTAGGTAGATAATTTGTTCAGTTGAATCAATAAATTCTTCGCTTGGACTTTGCAGGTAATTACATATGCATGCCGGTGAAAGAATGAATATCATTCGTATATAATTTGGCATTGCCTTTTCGATTGAGAAAAATATCTATTCAAACAGAAATTTAACGATGGCACGCCTGTAAATTTTATCCACATGCTCGAATTTTCAAAATTTGTACGTAATGTGCAACAAGATTTGTATGGGCTTGAATTTCGATATTCATATCCAAGTAATATAAGAATTCTATTCTATAAGTAAGAATGAATATCGAACAGCTTTCGAGCAGCTTTCTTATATTTATCTATGGTAAAATGTTATCGAGTCTGTGAGATGGCAGATAAAAATGTGGTAGAAGGAAGTGCAGAATATCGTATAATAGAGCTTTTTTACTTCATTTCTCATTTCACTTAAATTCACACACATTTGAGAAATGAAAAGAAAAAATTACGGAATAAATTGAGTCGCGTGAAATACATGAAGAACAGATATATAAAGTTATATTAAGAAATCTGTCTTTTCAAAGGCAATGAAATTTAATCATATGTATTTACTTTGCCAAAGACTTTTGTCAAAATATTTCAATATTTCAGTATCCCTAATATCGATAGTGGTAAAGTTTCTCTCAGTCACTAGTGTGAAAGACATAAGTGTTCTTATACATTGCCCCAGTGAGCTTTGTAGATTCTAACACAGTATTATATGCTTTTTTTCGCAAATCTTGTGATACAAGCTTTTCCAAACGCAACATTATAAAATTATCCTATAATCGGACATCAGTCGCATATAATACGTAGACCACCGATGTGCATGTATCAAAATGTACGTTTTGGCGATTACTGGAGAAAGAGAAAAAAAGAAAGTTCTTTTATGATTATAATGACTTAATGCTATCAAAAGTTCATTGATAACAATAGCTTCGATATTTCACAGCCTGGAAGCCTTTAACATAGTATTTTATATATATGTATATATATATATATATATATATATATATATATATATATATGCATATATATAAGGAAATAGCATTACTCTATATAAAGTCATATAATATTCGAACCGAATCTTTTTTTATATATGTACAGAGGAAAATCGTACGTTTTCGTAAGAAATTAATTAATCTATCTTTCGTTTTCTGTATAGTGTCATTTATCTGGAAAGCGATGAAAAAAATAATCCAAGCATACTATTGTACTTATAAGAGCAGATTATTATAAAATTTCTATTGTTTTCATTGTTAATTTTATTGTTAATGTAACGCTTTGAATTTAATTTCTTTAGATTTTATTATAAAGAAATTTATAGCATAAATTATTTCTAAATCATCCTTCATTTTCTGAAATATTTCGATTACACGATTTTGTAAAATAATTGTTGATCGATTATCATAATAAAATAAAATTAAGATAATTATTGATCAATATCTATTATAAAACTCAAAGCCTCTGTATTCTTGAGTGTATATCTTGAATGTGTGTGACAAATGTTACACGAGATGTACAAAGTTAAAAGGGCTTTATTTGCGATAATCCAATAATTAATGCTGTGTCTGAGAAAGCTTGTTGTATGTGTCTACCAATTATTTTATTGAAGCTGATAAATAAGGGATTTCGATAACCTAAACATGTAATAATTTATATATTTCTGATTATAGTTTTCCTTGCATTGAACGAATGAGATTATTGCAGACTAAAAACAACAAAACAGTATTGCACGCTATGTTTTGAAGAGAAACTTAATTATATGTATAATTTTAAAACTTTGCCTACATTAATATGTATTCTTCGTGAGAGCCAGGATGTAATTTATCCTCTGGCTATATATATATATATATATATATATATATATATATATATATATATTGTCCTCCATTTTTACACGATATAAAGAAAACGAGCACTGTTATTAAAAATATTAAGTGCTAATTTCGGGCAATTGGATACATTAACTTCGGAATATTGTATCTACACAGGAACAATGGCAACATTTTTTTACATGGCTATCATGGTCATATTTAGCAATCGTAAATGGCTATGGTCGTTCAATGAGCAAGGAAAAGAGAAATTTGAAAAATATGGATCGATTACAATCCCCTCTCAATGAAGAAAAAGAAACTTGATACTTGCATCAGAATCCACGCTATCGCTGATTTGCATCGCCGTATAATAAAGCAACTGATCGAAAGAGCAGTTTTGCAATTGTACCTAGCCGTATCGCTCTTTCACGTCAACATGTAGCGCAGTATATCATCAGTACGTGTCCAATCTCCCGTCCGAGGCAGACATCATAGGCAAGGTAAGAGAATTTAACGAAGCCCCCAGTGACGTATTGGCGGCAACAGGGGTGCCGACAGCAGGCATCATGTCACTTCCATCGCCAGTGAATTTGTTTTGTTCGCTCGTACGAGCTGCTGCTGCTGCGGTTTGCTATCGCACGGCGAATTGTCCACTCCATCCACCTCCATATCCAAATTTTCACTAAAAACAAACAATTAATAAGATGTTGTTTAATTGTTAAAGCTGAAATATACTCTGTATATAATCAGGCAATCGCGTTTCAGTGTTGTTGAAGACACTTTGTCAACAATGTTTCTGCCAATTCTTTTATATTTACATAGAAAAGTTTATTATTTTCGTTTAAAATTTCTAATTGAAAGTTATAAACTAGAAATATCGAATTACCTATTACTATTAAGCGTAATTTCCCCGGACGTTGGGACCTGTTGCGCCTGATTCTGCGTCTGCTGCTGCTGCTGCCTCGCGAGACTCGCCAATTTACTTTGCGCTATCAGGCCAGGTAGCAAATTGGACGGCGGATGCTTCTGTGGCAAAACTAACGTGGACTGTTGGTTGTTCACGACATGGGTGCTGTTTGTCAGATTGTTAGAATTGTTTATATGCGGCAGCGGACCGTTCTGGTGGCTGTTGCCAAAGTTTGTAACGCTACTACCATTACCACTACCACCGCTACTGCCGCTGCCGCCACTGCATGCAGTGCTCGCACTGAACACTCTAATGTTTGCACTACTACCACTACCACCACCATTTCCACCACCACTTCCAACGCCGCAATTGCTGCCATTCCTATTATTTGTTGGACTAGTCAAGGATTTCGAGAGAATGGAGGCAGCGTTACTATTGTTGGGTAATTGTCTGTGTTGTTGCTTGTTGAGTTGATGATGATTTGACTGCGTGTCGACCGTGACACCCATGCCGACATTGGTGCACTGCGTGGACACTGTACTTGATGCTACGGCAACTTGATTAGTCGTACACGTGACGATAACGGAGGACAACGGAGGAATCGACGAAGAACTCGTAGAAGTATGTACACTAGAACCACCACTGAAACTGCCACCACTGCACTGAGGAGGCCGAGCCTGCTGCGTCGTCGTGGGCGGCGCAAACAGATTACTCATGAGCGGTGTTACCACAAAGTGCGAACTGCCCAGCTCGTCGTCTGTCCGCGATTCTTTCACGCCACTGTTGTCCGACAGACCGCTGGTATTACCCGTACTATTGAGGTTCGCTACCGCAAATTCAAAGTCCGACACGGTGTCTGTCGGGAAGTAATCTGCGATATTAAATTCCGATGTGAACGGTGACTCGTCACCCGCACGTTCCGGCTCCACCTCGATGCATATGGACGTTGCCTCGGGTGGAAACGGGTATGGAAGCTTGGATCGAGACGTCATCGGCTCTACATCCAAATCCATGTCATCGCTACTCTCCTCGCTTGGACTATGCACTGACACAGGTGGAGTCTTTGGTCGAAAATGTAACCTGCCAAACAGAGATATAAGTGTAATACGTGATATAGTTGTAAAAAGAATTCTTTCTCTTAAAAATTAAAACTATATAAATCCTTAAATAAATATAAAAACATTTATTAAAGCTTTTAATAAATATTAAAAGCATATTATAAGAGCGTATAATTTATTAATAAATAATAACAAAATATAATAAGGATATACCACTCTTTTTTAACAGTGGTCGTCGCTGTGGCAGTCGCGTTTGAATCCATTTGTTGCTCACGCTTGGAATCATGTATCGTAAAGTCTAAAGAAGACCACATGTCGTCTATATCGGCCGTACAACGATCTAGTATAACTCTGAAAATAATATTGACAATAATAAACAAACACAACATCAGACAAACATAATTAAACATTTTCTCACGTAATATTCGCATATATCATACCTGCCACCTCGACCAATCCTCCGTCGTGCAAGGCCAATACACCTTGGCACTGGTTTGCTAATGCTAGTCAGCGCAAACCTGTACTTCTTCTCAGCTAAACCGCCTTCGTCTTTATCACACCAAGGCCAATTTCCAAAACCACCTGATACAGGCTACAAAAAAAATTTTATATTTATAGTTCTAAAAAAAATTTTTAATTATTTCCATAGCTTTTTAAGAGCTTAATTGCAGTGACACATACGAAAAAAAGTTGAAACATCTAAAACACGTGTCATCGATATTTCGGAGTGATAAATTTAAAAAAATCAATTAACTTAATAATTTTGATAATTTAAGTATATATTTCAAAATATATTTTCAACAAGTTTCAAATATCGTATATAATAAAACAAATATTTTTGCATTAATCAAACATTTAACTAATTAAGTGCTTTGAACTTGTTTAAAGAATAAATTAGAATAAAATATTGTGATGCAAAATATATTTTAACATTTTGTCAATATTCTTTGCGCGATTTGAATAATGAACAAAATATATCATAACGATAGACAAAATTGATAATTTAAGAAAAAAGGCAAATAAAGCGACTTACCGGTAAATAAGAGTTATTCCTATTTCGACGAAACGCAAATTGACCTTCATCTACGGTGTCTTCATCATCGCGGTCGGAGGATAATGAGGGCTGGGAGTGTGAATGAGATGGAAGCGGACTGTCTTCATCCGAGCTAATGAGCGGGTCCAGCCCGCCTCCGAGAACTGGACGATTTCCTCGACCGCTACCGCTACCCGTACCGCTACGAACACTGGTGTCTTCTAAATTTCCTGTCCTGCTGTCTGTTTTATGTTTCCGTTTCTTGTACTGTCTTTTTTCTTTCCTGGGCATTACTTCATCCTAGATTAAAGCAGAATTAAATCATTATACAGTACCCATTACACATTAGATAGTACACAAAAATAATGGTTCTTTAATGTTAATATATATTTTACTACAAACTTTGTTTGTCCAATTTTGATGAACAAATTGATTGGTAAAGAGCGGAGCAAATGCTGGTCTTGGTGTCTTTAACGCCGACACCTCTGCCAATATTTGCCCATTGAAATCTTGCGCTTGATACCTAAACAAATCGGAGATGTGATTTTAACTTAGCAAAAACAAAATACATGTAACAACACTTATATTATACGTATAACAATACATTATTACAATTTTATACTACCGTTTCTCATAAATTTCGATTGTGAGATGCAGATGTTCCCGTTTCGTCTTTTCTCTGCGTTTCACCATTTCCAAAAGCGTGACTGCCCTGCTAAGATCCCTACGAAGCTTTAGCATCTTCTCATAGCTTGTCTCATCATTTTTGCGATTCTTGCGAGTCTGCATCTTCTCCGTACGTCGTCTAAATGCGAGATACGGATTGTTGGTGGTCGAACCGAATCGATTTTCCGTTTTAACTGTTAATAACAGTGGATGTTGCTGCAAAAAAAATAGATAAACATAATTAAAATCAAACAATATTTAAGAAATTAATTTATAAAAATTTAACTAATTTCATAAAAAGAAATGAGAAATAAACTAATAAAATACAATTTCTACATATTTGTACATTTCTAGTAGATAATATAAGCATATACATATAAGACAAAGCAACCTAACCTCAAAGTCACATTGGACAAATGATGCTTACAGTTTTAAGACGTTTGTTGAGCCAATAATCAAAAACCGCAATAATTAAATCATCATCCTCTTTCAAAAGTGCCTTGGCTTCACTAAGGGTAACTACAGTTTGTCCTGAACTCTTCTCCAGACGATCCATCATCTCTTCAAATTGGAGAGGAGTCAAGTCCATTTTGCGGCTTTGTACAGCAACCCATTTTTCGTCTTCCGAATCCATATCATAATCAGGTATATCTTGTTCCATAGCAAAGGCTGTTAACAAGGAAGAAATTAATCCATTAATTACTTATCAGAAATAATCAGTTGTAAAAATACTTTACGAAATGATATGTTAACAGGTTCTTACGTTGCATGTGTATTAATTGGCGAGGCATCTTATAATCAGCAGGATATATCCTGTCATAAGCTTCCGCATCTGCCAGATCGGTTACTTCAGGAGTAGGAATAATTAGACCTGTGCATATTGCTCTTTGAAGATGATGTTCCTGTATAACAAGATTTTCTTATTAAACTCATAGTAAAGTATTTGTTAATAGCAATTATTATTATATGTAAATAACATTTTTACATATACACACACAAAGTATAATATATTTACAAAAATGTATCTTGAAAATTTAACAATTAAATTTAAATTTCCTAGTACATTATCATCTATTATTTTGAGAAATTTATTTTAACTAAGATTAATCTAATGTTTCCATATGTCATAATTATACATGCATTACCAACAAAAAGGATAGTAATATTAGATATGTTTTCAATACTGTCAAGTAATGTTTTTTTTTCATAAAACTTATAAATATAATTATCAAACATTGATACATTGTTATCTAGACATAAAACTGCAAAAGATGAGAGATATTTACTATTGTTTTGATATTACAAGTATAAGTATGTCTGTAACTCGCTGCAAATAGCATACAACGTAATGCGCATAATAAAGTTAAGGAAATCTTCATAAGAATGCATACATTTTCAAGTTTCTTAATAAAAGTAGATTCCAGAGAATCGTCGCGTGCATGTAAAAGATTCTAGGGTGTAAAAGGCATCGCGAGAGGGTTTGTCAAAACGTTGAGCAGAGAAACATTTGACATTTTGTGCAGGAAACCAGCATCATGTAGCGCAAGGTAACAGTTTGAGATTGCTGGCGAAGCAAACGTTGACAGCTGTCGCGGCGAGTCAGATCGGGAAGGGAAGCGCACGGGGAATAAGGTCGAGGATCGCGAATGGATTGGCAATTACGTTAAAAAGTGGAAAATTGCAACAATTTTCCAGGGTGCACGATGACGGGGGACTCGCCATCTGCCGGTTGTTTACGAAATCGCGCGCCGTGGGTAAGATGGCGGACGGGGAAAACATGCTGGAACGAGAGGCTGGACGTTCCGACTTACGCATTCCTCCTCCTTTTCCATGCCGCTGGGCATTTGGGGCACCGCGCGGTTAATGGCCGAATAATCTGGCAGATCCGGCAGCTCCTCGGCCATGTAGACCGGCATGGGCTTGGAGGCGTCCAGGGCGCGCGCCCTGAACGACAGCTTGCTCATCCTGAGGGCGGCTGGCTCGCGCGTGTTGACAACCAACAAGGATGGCTGGCCGCAAACCGTGAGGCCAGTCGGGTCGGTTGGGGGGGCTCGCGGAACGCCGTGGACCTGCTTTTGAGGCCTGGCTGGGGGCCCTGGGGCCGAATTACCCGGCACAGAGAGCGCTCAGGGCCTCATCGTTCCCCGGCCATCGCGCTGGAACACGGTCACTCAGTCACCAAACGAGATATATCACTTCGAAAACATGTTTGCGTGACACGGTCCCTGCTCAAAGCCATCATGGCCGACGCACAGCCATTTAACACGTTCGGCCGCCGCCGTGCAGTTCCGTGAGCCGACGTGCGCCGCGCGGGAATCGGCGCGCGAGGCGCGTCAAGCGTCAGGAGCGTCGCCGCCACCGGCGCGAGGCGCGAGATCCGAGCGTCCGAGCGTCCGGCCGTCTGGTAGACGGATCGGTTGTCCTCGATGCCTCGTCCTCGACCAGGCTCGACCGGGCTCGACTCCCCTCGGCCCGCGGCGAGTACCGCGCTCGACTCGAGCCGATCCCAATTTTCCAATTTTAAACACGCGACCAGCGTCTTGGACAAGTTACACGCTCACCGGAAGTTTCGTTTCACACGAGGCAATTCCGCTCGTAAAAGCACATTGGCGAGAGGCACACGTGCGTCAAGCGTGTTGCACTATTTCAAAGTGTTCACTCGACCCTCTCTCCTCTCGTCGTTTGTATATATTTTTACTTTAATCGCGCGCGTACAGTCCTCGGTTCTATCTAATCCTGAAACATACAAAACAGCTTACATAAAGTTACAAATATAGCGCGTAATCTCTCCTCGCCCGATCTATATACATCGATTCTTTCGTGCTGCGCATATCACCACGCTGACGTTTCCCTCGGTATTAAAATCCGATTATTGCAATATTAATAGCGTGAATTGACATTTCTATTATTACATGCAGAATGATTGGGAGAAAAAGTTGACGTTCGCTACCGTGTTAAACGAGCGATATCGTTATATAAATAGAAAGTTCGGTTAGCTTTAGCTGCACTTTCTGCATCTAAGCTAAAATAGGCATGTACCTTGGATGTTGGAGAGAGGAGGATGCGAGAGAGAGGTGTAGAGAGTGCGCGTTTGAAATCGCCCACGTGTTGTGTCTATCGTCGAAACCGCCTTGTCGATACGAGCGAAATCGTCTTATCAGCTCCGCTAATAAGGGGAGATGATGCGGAGAATGTACAAAATGCATAAAAAATGCGTGAGCGAGTCACGCGCCTGACTCACGTAGCTCTAATCGCATATGGCGGAGTGAGAAAGGCGTGTAACATGACGCAGATTGTCGTTGTTCTGTCTACGATTCCTAGGTTATCTCACCATCTGCGACTGCGGCTGCCGAATCTGCGCGTTTCCGACGTTTCGCCAGGTATTTCATATTTTGTTTCGTATCATGCGCACAACGCGACACATTAATATGCGTGCCTGAATCTCCTCGACTCACTTAATTTTCCCCTCGTGCCCCCTCGCGACGAGCACGTGTTAATTCCCGCTGCCATTACGGTCCCCTCCCAACACTTTCGCGTGGGTGCGTGCACGTAAAAAAAAAGTGCAGCAGAGCGGGAAGTTTGACACATTCGAATTTTCGCGCGCATTTTTCCGAACGGTCATTGATGATCGAGTCTAATAATATTGATTAATAATTATGCAGAAAGAGAAACTGATTAGAAACAATGTCGTAAGAAAATATTCTCGTTGCCTTTACTACTTTTTAGGACTTCATGTATGTTGTTGTGGTTTGAAAACACAGTGGAGTTGCATCAATATCTGAAATATTATAATTGTTACAAAGTTAATAATTTAAATATATATTTTTAATTTTGCTTAACAAAAATATATAAGTTTTTTTAATTTAACTTATCCTCTAAATCACTTTAATTCATATCTAAACCATATATATGTATATTAGATATGATTTATAGAATTATTTTCTAATATAGGACAAGCAGATATTTTGTCTAAACTTAATGCAGCAGAAATATTATTGGCCGATTGTGATTTATTGATACCTTATATAAACAAATTAACATCAGTCAAATGGATACAAGCAACCTGGGCTGGTCTGGACAAACTTATTCCACATATACAGAATACTCCAAAAAATTATGTACTCACTCGTTTCTCTGGTGAATTTTTTGGGCTGGCCATGTCTGAGTACGTGATAGCGCAAATTGTCAATTTTGAACGCGATCAAAGACAACAGTATGAGAATCAAAAGCTTGCTGTATGGAAACAAGAAGGCAAAATAAAAGATCATAGGTATATACGTGAGTTGACCATAGGAATTCTAGGGCTAGGAACGATAGGGAAAATTAGTAAGTTATAAATATCAAAATTTAAACATAATATTAAATAAAATCTGTAAAAATTCATTTCTTATTGTTCTTTATAGTCGCAGAGAAATTAAAGTTATTTGGTGCAACTATCTGGGGAATGACAAACAGTACTCCAAAAGAAAAATTATCATATCTCGATGAACATAGGACTGTAGATAGTTTGCAAGATATCTTAGAAAATTGCGATTATATCATTAATATATTACCATCTACTCAAAACACAGAAGGGCTTTTAAATGGGACTGTTTTGCAGCATTGCAAAGCCAAAAATAGCATTTTTATTAACATAGGACGTGGATCTGTTATTAAAGAAGCAGATCTGATAAATGCTCTTGAACAGAAGTGGATTTCGGCTGCTATTTTAGATGTGTTTGAGAAAGAACCATTGCCAAAGGAAAGCAAACTATGGAATTTTCCACAAGTAATTATGATTTTTAATTATCGAATAAAAAGATTTTTATTTAGATTGTACTAGTAATATTAATTTGTTTAGGTGACTATTTCGCCACATAATTCTGGTGTGACAAATTTGCGTGATGTTGTAGAGCAATTTACTGCAAATTATACTAGATATGTGAAAGGAGAAAGTATGATGAATATGTTTGATTTTAATAAAGGCTATTAATTTTGTATTATATCTATATAACACATGTATCTAATCTGTATGTTATAATTTAAAAAATGTTATATTCAAAAAATAAGCATTATATATAAAGTATTTATTACAACTAAAAATACTTATAAATTCAAATAAACAATAAAGTTTAAGATATTTCGATGTAGATACTATTGTACATCAGTACTAAAATTTAGGTATACAATTTAATTTTATACCTATATATAATTTTCAAAAGAATTATAGAAAAACTGAAATATATCTATTTTTCTTTATTTTCATTATATAGTATTTTAAATTAAATTTTGATTTCTAAATAAAAACTTTATATTAAATATAATATTACATGATACGATAAATACATCATAAAAAAATTCAAGCAACAAGTTATATAGAATACTTATATTGTATAAATATATTATATAAATTTATCTAATAATAAAAAAATATATTAAATTTTAAGTTTTACTTAAATATAAAATGTCAAAAGAGAACTATATTTTTGTACTTCTTATTAAAATTGTAAATAATCCAATGACATCAGTAATTTATCAAATTTTGAAAATCTAAAGTGGAGAAACTAAACAAAAAATATATATAAATTTTTGCTATATATTATATGAACTCACCATGTTTTTGCACGACTCATTGTACTCATTATGCTCATTATGCTCATTGTACTCTTATGTATATGGAGGTATATTAATGTAAAAGATTGCAAAAAAATATAAAAAAAGATTTATACAGTCGGTGTTTCTTCAGTAGGCCGAGGAGAGGGTTTTAAACCGCGGATACACAAGTCGTACACTACCTCTTCGATTTTTTTTACATCATATTTAAGGGCGTCGAAACGTTTCCGCAACATATCATTTTTTAAGTTTAATAGTCGAAAGCCAGCATTTAATTCATTGACGAATCTTGCAATTTCTATTGGCCGATCGTAATCACCATTGGTGACACTATTTACAGCAAAACGACTCTAAAAAGAATGAAGTATTATAAAATTATCATATTAGATACTACAATATCATATTAGATAATACAAAAAATACCAATTCTGAAGATAATTGAAGTAGGCCCAACAAGAAATCTTCTAAATCTAAATGAAAACCTTCTTCCCTGTTATCCTTTACTGCAAATAGAATGAGAATTATTCTTAAGTATTACAATTATATGTGTAATATGTGAAAATAAATATATTTTATTCACATACCTCCTAATATTTCTGCGACTGTATCTTTGGTAACCAAAACTTTAATTTCTAAATATATAACTAGAGCAACTAAAAAGCATAGTCTCTGAGTAACAAAGCGCCATTGATCATGATAACGATAATACTGATTATTTGGTACTACTTTAGCGAGATTTGCATATTGTATTCTCACTTCGCCAAATATTTCTCTTGCCTTTGTACAATATTCTGCTACAACTGTAAATTAAAATAAATATCATGTATAATGATCTGGAAGAAAAGTTAAAAAAAAATATACTACTAAAAACGTACTTATATTCTCGTTTACCGCATCATATACTGTATTGTGAATATTTTGTAATATCATCAAAATGTCTCTGGCGCTCTTCTCAATATCCTTGACAATAACACGAATTTGCTGTAAGAAGAAATAATTTATAAATTTTTGTCTACACTTCTTAGACTTTAATTTTAAATAAATCAATAATAAAAAGACAGTAACAAATTTCTGTGCGTCTTCGTTAGCAAAAAGATTTGGATCTTCACAAATTTGCAAGATGAAAAAAATTTAACTCTGAACATCAGAAGGGTCAATGACATTTTCGTATGTAAACACACATTAATCCACATATTCACGTAAGAATCTGAGAAGAGATTCTCCGTGCAAAGGATACCACGTAACATTTTATATTCGCGACTTTATATTTGCACTCGTGCGACATTTTTATGAGTTATCTGTCAGAAATTGGAAGGGCGAGTGTCGCAGGTGGTTCAACGACTTTAACATAACCTCCATCAAGACTCACGATCGTTGTCAAGAATATTAATACGCACCTCGCGTATTTCTTGTTCGTTGTTTAGATAATCCTGGAAGGAATTAAAAATGTCCGTTATTCTCGTAGACATTGTGTCTATCCCGTTCCCGTTCCCGTTCCCGAGGAATAATTGTTACCGCGTGACACTGGATTTGCGTGTAAATCATGCACCGATCAATTCTGTCGGTAAGGTCAATCCCGTTTTTGACGGTTCGAGCGCCAGTCGCATAGTAATTCGCTGAATATATCATAGATGACGCTGTCGTATAATTTCAGAATTCTCGAGAGATAATCCCTCTTCCACTCACCTAAAAATGAAAAAAATTTTTCAAGAGATAAACGATATTTAAGGGATCCAAAAAATTTTTTATATTCGTATTTTTTGTGTATAAGTAAATATAAAGACATCATATTTATCTGCCGCGTTAAAAAAGTTTACGCGCATAAATTTAAGATTAAAATAAATTTAAATATAATTTACATAAAATTAGTTATGAAAATAATAATATTAAGCTGTCTTTTTTATTTCAGCGAATTATTATTCAAGCACGCAGTATGAAATAAATGAATATTAAAACGATTTACATGTGTATGCACAACATTATGATGTCAGAAATCTTTGAATCGCACTTTTGATTGTATAAATAATTTGATTGATAAGCGTCCGCGCAATTAATCTCTGACAGCTCATCGCTTGCACATCGTTTCTTCATAATATTAAAAAAAATACGATAATTTTCATACACGCTTATTTATATTCTCAAAAAATAAATAAATAAATATATCTCTTCTTTAAAAAATATATAATTTTTCCTCATGTATTACAATGCTTATATGCCAACGAATTATTTTACAATAAAAGAGATATAAATAATTGAATTTTGAAGCCCTCTCTTCCAACTTTGCGTCTCTCGAAATTTATTAAAGGATGCGACATAATATATAGCAAATTTGAGTCGGCGTGAGAGGCGCGTTCGCTCGCAAGGTCTCGCGGCGCGCTCAAGGTGTATAAATAGAAACCAGTAGGTCCTGCTGCGTGCGCGCGCGAAGTCGAAGGAAGGAAAGCGACGACACAGCGGCGGCTTGGAATTCTGCATACACACGCCACCCGGCGCAGCTTCGCGCACGGGTCGCGGAGGATACATCCCCCCGAAGGGGGAGGAGAATCCGCGGGCGTGTCATTGATCCCGATACGAACCGCGGTCGAACAACATCCGAGCGAGGGGGACTCGTTTTATGGAAAAATCTCCGCGCCCACGTCCAGCCAACGTGCGCGCTCGCGCTCCGAGTATATCTCGAGGAATTCGCCGATCGATCGATACCGAGGAAGTAGACGTCTTCATCCGCGAAAAGAGAGAGGAAACTTATTTTTATCGATACAAGTGGCCGAGATGGTATTTTTCACGCTAAAATACTCTCCGAAGCATGAATATTAATCTCGACGGAAATATATTCGAATTTAATCCCAGATGAAGATAATTCTGTTAATCTCGACTAATAATGGAGTTAGTTTCGGAGCTTTACGCTAAGTGGGAATCGTTGTCGCGAAATTACCGCGTAATTGACGCTCTCGTTACGCGCTGCGGGAACTCCGTTTTGCAAATTACCCGATAGAAACGACGAAGAGAGACTCGGCCTTGCGACGGCCTTGTACGGAGACTCTTTTTATGCCATACTTCATTTTCGATAACTTCGTTGCGCGAATCTCGGCGCATCGCGTTTTACATCGCACATACGCAGAGTCCTGTTGATAAAAAGATGGCAAGTTTCGTCCAGCGCTGAAAAAAAGTTTGCGCAGCGCGATATAACGATGCCGATAACATTCGTGAAAGCTTGCGGTATCTTTTCTTGTTATGTAAAGCGGTCAACAGCCCGCATATATGTATAAGTACGTACGTACGCAAACGAAGCTCGTCATGAAGGAGAAAGAGGAGGAGGAGGGAGGGGGAGAAGGCGATAGGGCCACAGGGAGGGCACCGTTAAGCTTCGCATTCCTACTCCTTGGGAGACGTCAATCTCAATAAAATTTTGCTAGGGCAGGTTATCGTAAATTTTTGGTAACCTCGGGAGTGCTCTCGCTCGTCGAGGTATCGTCCGATGGTGTGCGTGCGCTATTTTTAGCGGCGCCGATCTTATCTCGGCGAGAAAATAACGCGGCCGTACATACGTACGCGGGTCCCACCGACGACGTAAAGGAACCTCTCGTCCTCTGCGGCCCCCGAGGCGTTCCCGCAGTTAACAACGACTCGCGCGATTCGCATGAGCAACACCTCGCGTGCAACAATTGCGAAATTGCAATTCCCTGGAAAAGAGAAAATCCCGCTTGAAGAAAAGTAACATTTCCAGGGAACGAAATTATGATTCGGTTGATTGGCGTCGAGAAACGATGTTCGCCCGTTAATTTCACGCAACTGCTATAATATTACGTAACGATGTAATTTAAGGATTTGATCGTCCCCCGCAACGAAATCACTGCGGAATCTAATAATATGGTTAAGCGAAGATTCAGATTGAATTATTTAACGTATAACTTTACGATCAAAGTGATTACTGGGAAAAGCATGTAGGAGAATTATAGAGTGAAACGAAGATTTTAGATAACCAGCAGGATTGAAATTCTCGCCTGCCAAGCGATCTATAAATAATTCCAATATTTTGTAATCACTTTCGCCGCATTGCTTTCGAATCACGGACAAACAAGCGAAATGCGTACATCGAGATAGTAGCAACGCGATGGCGGAAGCGTTTTACAATTCAGTGTTTGCGCTTTAAACAGGTTTGCACAAATTAACATAAGCTCAACGCGCGTGCAAAGCAATTCATCATATGTACTCGCATAAATATGGAAACGGATATATTCAAGCCGATAGTATGAAAAATAAAAGGTACACACATTTTCTTTGAGAACTCAGTCGAGCAACGCATACAAGACTTTATTATCATTCAAATGTATAAAACATAATCATTTGAGATTATATTAATTTTTATCTGATTTAAAATCAGAGTAATTATATACATTGTATATTTCACTTTTTTTCTATATATAATTATAAAGATTTAATAATCACATATACATTTACGCGGCTTACGCGCGCTTAATTATATTCTGAGAGAATATTATAAATTGGAGGTTACAAGTTTACGTAGGTATCTGGCGAAATCTCGAAACCACGTCTACGTGCATCGACTCGTTAAGGTGATGCACATCCGTGATGTGAACGTTGCTTAACGTGAACGAGTACATGCGTAACACATGCAAACTGCAGCGGCGTAAATGTCAGGGTCATCAGCATACGTAGTAGACTCGAGTAAATACCAATTAAATGCCAATGGCTTCGGATTTATAATTGTAGAAACATATATTTTCTCACATCTCAATTTCTCTCTCTTTCTCTCTCTCCTTTTTCTCATGATGAAAGCCGTGGAATGTGGTGAGATTATTAAATATCGGGCTCGATTATTATTACTTCACAACAATGTTTGTGCAGCAACGAGGTATTCGAATAAAATCGAAACGAGCCTGTTCGAGGCGATTAAAATACGCGCGATTAATATTGTAATATTTTTCTGCCTCTCGCACAACTTCGTCGTCGACGCTTTAGTTACATGACTTTATTTTTAGATTTTGATAAAAAAGCGAGTTACATTTTTTCGCATTGCATCTGGAGGGAAAATAGAAAAAGACAGTAGAGAGAAAAATAGAGAAGAACAACAGTGAGAAATAGAGGAGAACTTAAAGAAGTAGAGCTGATACATTGGGAGATGCATGTATAAATGTATAAATGATCGAAAATGTGTGTGAGCTCCTCAAACACATTTTCGATCATTTATACATTTATACATGCATCTCCCAATGTATCAGCTCTACTTCTTTAAGTTCTCCTCTATTTCTCACTGTTGTTCTTCTCTATTTTTCTCTCTATTGTCTTTTTCTATTTTCCCTCCAGATGCAATGCGAAAAAATGTAACTCGCTTTTTTATCAAAATCTAAAAATAAAGTCATGTAACTAAAGCGTCGACGACGAAATTGTGCGAGAGGCAGAAAAATATTACAATATTAATCGCGCGTATTTTAATCGCCTCGAACAGGCTCGTTTCGATTTTATTCGAATACCTCGTTCTCATGCCAAGGAGAGGACTCGGGAATGAGATTCACGGGATGCTCATCTATCGCGAAAAATTGCATGGGAGATAAACGAGTCTTGCTACATCGTTAACGCGTCGCGCGCGCGTCTATTAATTTCCTTCATCGAAAAACATATACCGTGAAAAACGCCGATAGATCTTGTCCGGTAGCTCGTGGACAGCTCGAAGCTGGTACACGTCAAGCTGATGCCGGGCGTTTGCTCAACAGTGCGTTTAGATTGCTGCGATTACTCAAAGTACGGTTTAACTAACGGGGTATCCATTATATTCGCGCAAATTCGCTCGCCAATTTACCCTCGCCTAGATTCGCGTCACTTTAATCAAGATTTAATCGCTCGACTCGCCTCTGAAAGAAACAATGTAGATCGAGACGAAATGATAATTGTTCGTCCACACGATGTTCGCGCACAAAGCGGCTCTGAAAAGCTCTTTCTCTCTCTAGCTTCTAGAGAAGAGGACTGTGCTTGTAATTAAAATCGTAGATAGCCGAGAATGTAGGTACGCTCGTCCTAAGACTGAATCCACACCGGAAACCACAAGCGTTACTCATTTAAATGTAAATGCATTTACAAACTATGATCTCATTCACGTATGAAACTGTAACAACTAGCCTTTAAACTCAACGATTTGTTTGTTGAGAATGGATTAACACAAGTCTTTTTATATTATTATCCTGCAAATTTTGTTCTCAAATGTAAAAATATAAAATATATATGTTTTATTAATAGTTTTATTAATATTTTTTTTATTAATAAAAAAATTGTTTTAAAATGTGCTTTTAATAATAATATTACTATTGATATTAAATATATAGAGATCATTAAGCTATAAATTAATAAAGTTTAATTTCTTTATAAATTAATAAAATTTAATCTCCAGATTCGATATACAAGTTCGCTCGTTGGTGTGGACTTAGTGTAAAAGATCGAAGTAGGTGGAAGACACGCGGAGAAGATGGGACGCGTTCATTCCGCAACTAAATGTTTCTCAGTTCTGTATTGATGGCGCCGCGTTGAAAAAACGCCTTCGGGCGTTATGTCTTTTTTTTATGTCACGACTTGAGAATTTCCTGCTCGCTGATTGCGAATCGTTGCCGGCTTAATATCGGACCATTAAGGGCCACGAACGCGATTTGTGAAGAAATCCGCGAAGATATATCCGAACGAATCGACTCCAAAATTGTACGCTCGTGCTCATTATTGTCCAACGTTCTTCTTAATCACATATCATATCCATACATGGCAGAAAATGAGTATTAAATTGTTAATTAAAATGAACAGTCAATCGGTTAGATATCGAAGATTCATATTTCGTAGCTTTACGACGTGTGTATTCTTGTCAAAGATGAGTAATTAGATAAATAACTAGTAAGATGAAGTAATTTTAATCAGCCTTTCTCTTTTTTTTTAAAAAAATGCGGATCAAATATCGCGAGCGTGTCTCCCATCGATCGAAAAACGTTTATGCGTTTGTTTCACGCAACACATGTGCGTCTCGATTGACTGTTAAAGTCCACATCGTACACATAGTTATATAAAAGCTTAAGTATAGCGCATAAACGTCCAGGCTATGTAATTATGAATTTTATGCATTCCATTACGTGAGATTGCGCTCGATGCGTCGTTTGTCAACGAGATGTATATATTCGCCGGCAGTTTTCTCACCGCGCATCCTTCTCGTGCACCAGGTGAATTCGTCGCGTATGCAAAACGCACTGCGAGATACGAATCTCAGAGAGCGAATGATAAAAACTTGTTGATGCATTATGGATACTGCACGCTAAATTGCCTTGCTAAGAACCTTAAGCTGACCTTAGCTCGCCGGTCGCTCTCGTGACATACGTACATGTTGAGTAATGAAGAGTAAGATCCTTTTGAAAAATAATTCTCTCAGAATGAAAGACAGCCGCTCGTGACGTATTTTGAAAATGAAGAGGAGAATATTTTCCGCATTCGTACACGTTATAACATTTTTTTCTACTTTTAAATCGCTTTCCAATGAGATAATCGTTAATTTTTACGATCATGGACGAAACGATCGGCATCTTTAATACGGCATACATATTCATAAAGCTTATCAAAGCTATACCCGCAGAGATCGCCGCTTCGAGAGGTAAAACGGCAAAGGAACGCTGAACTTTGCTCTTTACCGTACGAACCTTACGCTGTCGCTGACGAGACGTTATTACGATCATTATTTGCCGTTTCCCCTCTCGAACGTGTACGCGAGGTCGCGTTGAATTTGAATTCCGGTGAGAGACCTCCGAGTAGCTCTCGTGCACGCTTCGTCGCATTTGCATATGTAAAACGCCTCGCGCGAGATGCGCGAATGATATCGGTTATCAACCTCGATTAGGTAAATTAAATCGCGCGCAACAATGTACGAAACGAGACACGCGAGAAGAGACGCTCGACAGTTTTTCGCTCGAGCGGAGACGCTTTCGCATTTCGTCGCGATTTCGTCTGACGTGTAACCAGCCGGTGTCGACTCCACCAACAGGTCCGGGGGAAACCGACACTCGCCGGACTAGTTAATAAATTATCGTAGTATCCGCCATCTTCATCCGCGTCGCCGGCAAAATAAAAACCCGCGGAAAGTATAAGAAAAAAAAACAGGAGAGATAAATATCTCGCGTCGAGATGTTTTTCTCTGACTTGCGTTTTAACGAATCCCGAACGCGGGGAGTCGCGTCGTTGCGGATTGGTCTGCCCGTTAATGGAGTCGTTGCGTATTGCCGTAGTCGGACTCTGTCGTATTCTAAGCCATAATGGTCGACGATAAAATCTGCCTATATATATTCCTGCGCGCTCGACCGACGTTAATTAACGCCGCCGGTTCTCGCGTCTTGTCCATCGATGGACTTCGCGCAGACGAAATCGTCCGATTCTCGGAAGATCGAACACCTACATTCGGTCAAAGAGAGAGAAAAAAAGAAATTTGGGCGGCCTTGGTGGTCTTCAACCAAGCCTTGGCGCCTAGATTCATTTCCGATCAGCGGCTGATCGGAAATATATTAAACTCTAATAAACACAACAGATGTGTAGCGCACTGACAAGTATTTTTAGAAGATAATTAACTGAGAATCTTTGTCACATTTTTTTGCTTGAAGTTCGAATAATGCCTGCATTTTTTTAAAATATGTCATATCATGTATGATTTTATTTCATGCATTCGCGTCATTGAATGCAGAAAGAGAGAAAATAAATCTCTCCTAAATATCGCAATTTCTAAGGAAATGCAACTGCGATATATACACGGCTATCAAAATGAAATTATAATAATTTAATTTAATTGATGAACGCGATATCGGATTAATTGTATCAATAGATTGATCCGATCACGAATTTAGTGGATCTATAAGAAGGGCATTTTGTAAAAATAAAGATATAAAAATATATACTTATACTTTACAGTATCTTCTCAGTCAGCGGATATAAAGACGTGGGTGTGCATCGATTCGCAAAAAAGGCGACAAACGGAATTCGGGCCGGTGCCGAAAACTAACGCATGCCGTACTTCTTTCTGCGAGGAAGGTCGCGCTTATTTGCGCGGGACTGCCTTAACCATAAATGGGACGCAGCCTCCGGGCGGTAGCTTTTTACGATCATGCCGATGTTGAATATCGTCGGTATCTGTAAACAAAATATTAAACAGCTTTAACGAACCGAATATTTTTTAAAGATCCACGATATCGATATGATATTCGAGTGTAACACCGTAAAATTCCGAGCTCCGTAAATTTAATTCGTTTAAACGAGCATTTAAAAGGATGTATCGTGTATACAAATTATCCGGCGCCATATTTCCAAATTATGATGCCCATAATTTACAGGGTTTCAGCGCTCTTTAATCGCGCGCGCACGGTCTTGTCTAATGTAAGATTAAACCTTACAAATTACGGACTCGCCGCGCTCTCGTGAATTCCGAAAGGACGCGTGCACCGTGAATGGGGCCCAAACGTGTGCATTAAACTCTATACCATGGTTTCGGGTAGGAGAGGCTTTCTTTCGCGTTAGTTCGCGCGACCTTCATCGGACCTCGTCGATGAAAGATATGCCACGCGAGTGAGAACACGGCGTGATTCTACAGGGTGGCGAATAAAAAGAGCCAGCCGCGTTAATTGTCTCTTGAGGTACATTAAAATCACGTCGCCCGAGAAAGGAAAACCTCGATTGACATCACGAAGAATCATTTTACGTCTCGCTACAAATGGAGAATTGAAAATGAAGATTTTTAAAAGCAAAAGACGAAAACAAGATACATAGACAGGACGGATGAAATTTATCAAATTATCGTTGCTAACAGATTAGATTGAATAAATAGAAAGTAGACACGGCTATCAAATCTTTTAGAAAAGAGAAGATGGAGTCAGTTTCGGTCCACATATCTACATTTAACGTACAAAGTGTAAAAATTTATTCGCGCAGATATTGAATATCAATCTCAATCTTTTATTCATGAAAAGGATAAAAGAAGACAACTTGTCTTTCTCTTTCTCTCTCCCTCTCTCTCTCTCTCTCTCTCTCTCTCTCTCTGTCTCCCGAAAGCGATCGCCTGGTATATTAAAGTCGTTCGATACTCGCGTTTCTTGCCTCGGCTTCTTGTCTTCTCTCACGACACGTTACAACAGCTCGAACAATTTGTAGAGGAAAAAGAGTTGCGGTTATACGCGTCGAGTTATTCCGCTTCGTATCTTTCTCGCTATAATGTATGTGCACGTACGCGTGCGTATGTGTGTGCGTTTCGATTAATTCCGCGAGAGAAGTCGGCCAAAAGAGCGACCGAAAGCCACGAAGAGGGTCCGATCTCTCCACGAATCCGTGACGAGACTGAGGGACGAGATGTATGTGTGTGTGTGTGTGTGCGTATAATGAAGGAAAGAGAACGAGAGAAAGAGAAAGAAGGAGACCGGCTCTCTCTTATGGGCGAAGTATACGACTTCCCCTCTCGCTCTTTCCCTTTCCCTCTCCCTCTCTTCGTTCCCTCTACGAACGGCCGTCGAAAGATGCTGCTGCCCGCCGTTCTCTCACGTGGCTTACGCACATAGATACATACATTATCATCGCGAGTGAGCGAGCGAGCGAGCGAACGAGCCGCGCACCTTAGCCACCCGCGGTTAGTTCACCGGTTAGCGGTTAGTGGGTGCCAGGCTCGCCGATGGGTCGCGCATACCGTGCGTGTCATCGTCGTCGTCTCATCGTCGAGGCATTCCGTTTAGTCGTCCGACACGCATGCCACGTACTACGACTGATACGGAGAACCTCGCGCGCGGTACACGTGACAATTGGAGAACCTTGCGCGCGCGGTTGACGTACACGTCACGTTGACGCCCGAGCGAGTGCGATCAAGTCGGAGACGGACACGCGAGATTAATCGCGCGCGATGGGAATCGAGAAGGCGGCGCCGATTAACCGACGAACGCTGTGAAAAAAAGGAAGAGACGCGAGCGAAATCGCCGCCTCCGAGAGGCGGATCGTCGCGAGGCGGATTTCGCAAGGACGTCTGCGAGACTACGTCCACGGTGGGGGATCGATCGCGAGCGATCGGCTGGTAATCGCGCCTCGTCGTCGTCGCGCGACGCTTTTTCCGAATCGTCGTCGCGCCGGGAGTGTTAATTACGACACAGCAAGAACCCTCGTCGTCACGAAACGCGGCGAAAAACAGTAAGCTTTCGTAACGATTTCCTTCTCTCTCGTAATTCCTTCCTCCTTTTCAGTCGCCGTTCGTCGTTCGATTTTCCACACGTTTCTCAATCAGTCCAGCCTGCTTCCGTTTACGTAATCATACCCGTCACCCGGTGATACCGGAGACGAACGGAGAGATATCGCACGTGCGGGCATCGAAATCTCTCAGAGTCGAGTCTCCGACATGGATCGAGCGCGCGTTCGCGCGATTCTCATCTTTACGTCCCACTGCGTTTTCTACAAAGCAAGAGAGAGAGAGTGTGTGTATATATGTGTATTTACAAGAAATTGCCACATAAGTGCAGCGGACTTTCGTCATCAACGAATGCGATCGTAACCGCAGTGTCCCGATAACGAAATAGTGAAATCACGCACGAGTACGAGAAATTAAACGACCCGTCTGTGCGGCTCGCGACGATCTCAAGAGTGATATATTTGTTATCGTCTTCACGTGTGTTATTCGCGCGATTTTTTTTTTCATCGATGTTTTGTATCTGTCTCTCGCGAATTTCGCTCTTCGACTTCAAGCATTGCTCTCGATTATATTTGGTAATGAGATGTAGAGTTAAACAGAATAGGAAGTTTCGGTGCGCGCGTAACACGATTTCTTTTCTCCTACTTTCAAGTTATAAATTGGCGTTTCGATGTACAATACACACATACCGATTCATAATCAAGGAATCATCGTAGCAGAGAAGAGACCTTGCACGCACTTATAACCGAGGATACATCGAACGTTTATATAACGCCAGCAGCTTTCGAAAGCGTGCGGATTCTCTTATCCGAGAGATTTTCAAGAACACGGTAACGCGAAGGAGAATTATAAAAAAGACTAAAGAAAGAATAAAAGAGAGAGACAGTAAAAAATAAAGCAGACTAATAAAAAAGTAAAATACTTTTATACTTTGCATCTGTCAGTAGACATATTTCGCTTCCGATTATTGCACCAATTATATTCAACTTATCTCCAATTATACTCAACTTATCTCTGCATCTTGCTTTTGTACATATTTTATTGCATCTAGGAAGACATCAAGAGACTAAGAGAAAGATACTCCGTAAAAGAGAGGGAAAGAGAAGAGGAGAGACGGGCGTGCGCCCGCCCGGTGATTTGAATACCAAATCACCGCCTCTTGTACAATTCCCTCTTGCCGTGTTTCTTTTTTTTTTTCTTCTTTTGGTATTCCGTCCCGGGTACCTACGACCTTTTCACGTCTACCTGCGTGCTCCGCGTATTTTTAGGCGTGACACGCTTTCATTGTACCGGTCGGTTGGACCACCTCCGCAAAAATAACTCCTCGCAAAAAACATTTATACGCGATAAAACTGTTAAAGAGTGCGACGTCTCTTCTATCTCTTTCTTTCATCCAGAATATTTTGCGCTTATTAAATTCCTTCATTCTTACAAAATTTAGCAATGTTAAATTATATACACACGTTATCGATAATTTATAAAATGTATAAGCAAGTAGGTAAAAAATGCCATATGTATTAATTTAAAATATTTTTTGCAATTCATATTTGTAATGAGTATGAAAAAAAGATTTTCTTCAACTTTCATGCTTGTTAAATATTAAATCTAGCTATATTTTTTGCCTATTTTATTTGAAATTCTTTGTTATCTGATACTACATCATTTTCATGAATTTGAAGTTATTTTTAATGTATGTACATAATTTTAATAATCTGGATATTGAAGAGATAATGTGTATATATAAAAAAAGAGGAAGAAAATACATAATAAATTTTCGTAGGACAAGTTCTTCCCGTTAACCTTCCTCAAAATTCTGATTAATTTTGAAAGCCTCAAAGCCTTCAGTCGATGATGTTTCGTGACTCGAGAAATGAGATTTTTAATATCAAAATTAATCATACAATGTTAAGTAGTGGTATAATCATAGATTGAGATATAAAACTACATAAGAAAGTCCTGCACTTATGTTAAAAACTTGTACAATTAGCTCTCAATTAAGATTATCGTTATACTCGAGCAACATTTTAATGAATCCAGATACCACATCACGGCGATATCGTGAAGGCGAGTGGGAATTACCGTGGGAAGAAGGCTGTAAAAAGTACGGACCAGACGAAGACGACAAAAAAAAAAAAGATCAGAAGGAGAACCGAGTAACTTGGTTTAGCCTCTCCTAGGCTTTGTCTGTATGAGAGGACAGAGACATAGCCTAGAATAGGTTAGGTCAGGACTCGTTCGACATGGATCATCTCTGGGTACATGATCCGCGGCGCCAGCCGCAAGGAGGGGAAAGAACAGGGCACGCCCAAGGTCAAGCTCAAGGTTAACAATCTGTGAGAACCATCTAAAGGACGTTGCGCGCGCCGAGATATATTCCTCAGGAATTTTGACATTTTTTTTTTATACGTTCGAGAAGTTCGCGCGTACATGATATGAAATAGTGCAGATTATATGAAGGAAATTTGTATTGATATCTCTGAAGCTAAGAATCATAAATGTATATAAGTACATACGTGTCAAATAACGTGAACAGCTGTTAAAAATATTATCCAGAATAATATTCCGCATATATAGAATTATGGATTCTTTTAGGACTATATGTATATCGATAGATGGCTCTTTTCGATTAAATGGTCGGATCCAAAGATTGCTTTTTTATCGATAATTGACAAGTGAATTTTCTGCATTAGCTACTGCAGAACAAGTGGAAACGATTTTTATCTGTTGATTATTATTATTCGTAAAAAATAAGTAAATAAATGTAAAATTAATCAGCAAATTACTTACTAATGAAATTAAATAATTTTACGATTTCTACAATTTACAAACGAATGCACTCTTCAATTTTCCATTTATCGAGATTCATCGATAGTTTTTAATCAAAAAATATTGACTAAAGTTTTTCATTAATAGCGCATGCTGAAAAAAATATATTTTAAAAGCTTAGATGCAGGATTAATCGCGGAATATTGTATGGAGTAGAATAAAGACGTTTATAGACTCAATAAAATTCTCATTAATCCAATACGTACATTTCGCAGCTTAATCTTATTTAAATACCGTTACAACTCGCGACTCTTATCGTAAGAAAAATACGTCGAGATCAAAATATAAACGGATACTTGAAACTATTCGCGATTCTCCACGCCGCTGTTTTCGGGAAAATCAAAATTTATTCGCAAATACACAGTATACAGCATTCGCGCGAATTGCTCGAAACGCTTCTCTATCCTTATCCGTCGACTCGCATATTCTTTCCTCCATTAAAAAGTCGATTTTGAAGGAGCAAAATGTATAAAATGATCGCTATGACGCATTCATGAATTCGATTCTAAGAGCATAGAAACGTATAGGTATACGCTCAAAGATACATATATAATACAAGCATATAAAATATATCGTTTTCGCCTTCATACATAATTGCACTCGTCCGATTCCACTTTATAAATCGCATCGCAATCGAAATAAAAACGGAGAGTTACATTTTTTTTCCTCAGAAATATTTTGTAAAAAAATTATGACGAGGAGCACTGACCTCGCTAGCAAAATTATTATTTAAGGAATTACATTTTGTAATCTCTCGTTTTTATTTTGTTCAACTCTCCTAGATACGCTGATAATGAGCAAAACCATAACACATGCCAATGCCCTCCTGGTCGACGGCGGAAATATTGGCTAGATATTATTTCGATCGACACGAAATTACGCTCTATCACTATAAAGATTATATACAAATGAATTAATCGAAAGATAAATAGAATAACTTGTATTAAAATTTTACCTAGTTGCTTTGTAAATTAATCGCTTTTTTCTATTACGTATAGTATAATAATGTGCTCTATGCGCAGTTCTTTCGAAATATATATTCTAAAGACATAGCTTCTCTTAGATTAAGTATTTTCTGATAATGAAATAGCCTGTTATCCCATAAAATTTAATATAATATCTCTCGTTACGATAAAAAGTTTCTCGATATTAGTAATGAGATCTAAAAATCTCTTTAATACAACAGGCAAAAAACTAATTTCAATTACGTAACTAAAATTTGTTATACTTTTAACCCACATAGCATGTATATCCAAAAGATCCAGAAGACATCTTTGGACGATTAGACATCTTCAGGATATCCTGTTAATGTCTTTTGGACATAGGATGCTATATGGGAAATTGCTAATAGCTTTGAAAAATGTTTATATTTCATTGCTTTGAAAAGATACAATTGTGAAATTAAATTTTATCAAGCTATACGTAATTGTGCAATTGTCAAACGAGAAAATTTGAGAGAAAAAGTGCAAAATTGATTTTCCTATCCTAATATGCAAAATATCGATATACAATAAAATAATATTATTAATAAAATGTCTTTTCTTAACATTTTAAAAGTCGTCGAACATAATATGATTGTATTTGACTCTGATAGTATCATAATATGATAGTATTGCTGTATAATTTTATATTTGTAAAAAATAATATATTATATAAGTCTTTTATATAATTAATTTCAAGATAGATATAAGAATTTCGCAATAACAATTTTCAAAAACATGTTTTATGCATCCCCACGTTTTATCCCTACACGTAAAAATCTCACTTTGAAATATTATTTCTATCTCTGTATCACAAAGATTAAAAATTGTGATCAGTCAAATGTGTGTTTGTGATCAAATGTAAAATTCTAAAACAAAAATTAAAATATTATAAAACATGTTTATATCATTTTTACATAATCGCCTCGACTATGTAAAAGATCTTAATTTAAAATTAATTATTTTTAACTTTAACACAATTAAGAAGCAGTCTCTCTATAACACAATGATTATCAATTGATCCAGAAAATTCTAATTTTTTTAAATAGCGATTTTTGTATATATAATATATTCTTAATTCAAGTTACAATAAATAATTTAATATTACAGTTATATTGCACACGATTTGATCAAAGTATATAGAGGTTAAATCTCAACGGGGTATTTTTAATCATAACTTGATCAATTGATAATCTTATGTAAAACAAAAAATATACGTACACTATGTATATCCATATCGACTAAACGTAACTCTTGCTAAAGAAACATAAATTCGGGAAATAGTGCCTCGGCAGATTTTCTATTCTCGCGATCAGTCTCTACTTTTTTTTGAAAATCATCTCGCACGCGATTGCCTTTTACATATTCCTTTCTGTACGTGTATTTCTAGTCAATAATTTGACTAAGGCCTACGAATCTAGAGTGCTTGCTCATAAATATGATATGTGTAATCGAGTAAAATGTAATATGTATATGTATATATATATATATATGTGTATATCTTATGTGATGAGAAAATTGAATATTGTAGCAGGATTAATTAAGTGGAGCTGCGTTATTTGTCGGCATCAGTGTTATCTCAATATTATTACACATTTTTATTCTAACTTCCAATGTAAAAAAAAGCTGATAAAAGCTGGTCGTTACATGGTCCCGACAATGAACATATTTACGCTTAATTTTATCATAACTTCGTATTCAAATTGAAATACGTTGCTCGCAAATGTATCTTTTGTATCTTTTGTATGTAATATGTGTTACATAAATGGATATAATATCACAATAACGATACCGACACAGATCGCGCTCCACGATCAAGTTTACGAAAATTGTGATTTTCCCTAAGCAGAAACGAACGATTTCCATTATAATTATACACCATTGAAAATAAACGAAATTATTTCTAAGACAGTCACTGGAATGTGGTAATGGCGCTCGCGTGTCGGCCAATTCAATGGTCTCTTTCGTTTCTACTTCTCTCCATACTCAAATTGGACATCCGTAAATCTCGGCTTGGATGTTAATCCTTCTGTATATATTGATCAACAATCTGATATGAAAAAATTCACTAACCATGATGGGACGTAAACATTTATCCTATTAAGTCTGCCAACAGTAACTCTTCTCTGATAAAGATTCGACAAAGTTGTATTTTCCGAGTTTCTGTATGCAATAACATCGCGATAATTGCTCGTCGGATTCTCTTTTCATTCTTATTGCCTAGAAATAGGTTGTCTTTCTAAGAACTCTCTTTAAGTTCTTTCAGTTTCATTCATTGTCATTCATTGTCTGTTATTAACGATGATAAAACTTTAACAAAGAATTTTTCCAAGTAGATTACAGATATTATATCTTGTATATATACGTTAAGATTTGTGTGTGATTCTGATTCTTGTAGAAAATATTTCTACATGTATTTTAATATATGTGTCATTAGAAAGTCAGATGTATGTTCATAATTGATCGTACTATAAGCTTAAAGACGATTAACGTTGACTAGAGGCGATAATCTCTTGGATTTTTATGCTATAAAGCTGAATCTCCTCTATTTTTTTTCATTCAAAAGTTTTCACCTAGGAATTGAAGTTTCATACGGCAGCGTTTACATAATGTGAATAATGCCTCTTTTTTTCTTATTTATCGAATTAGCAATATTTTAATGTCTAATAAATCTAATGCATGCTAATAAATCGGTAAAAAGCAAGTTTACTGAATTATTTAGTTATTTTCTTTCATAAAGAAATGTTTTCCATATGTTTAAATGTAAATATGTTTTCATTTTTCCTCTTCAAAAACAAATAAAATCTGATCTGTATTGTAATCCATTTATATATGCAGCAAATATTCACATAGAGTTTTCTCTCTCTCTCTCTATGTGATCACATCTGAGTAAATCTACTTTCTGCAAAATATATCAGAGTATATTGAAAAGTTCCATGTTGTGCATCAATATTATTGATCAAAAGTAAAAATAGCTATATATTCTATGAGCGTTGAGTCTCTGGAATAATAATTGAGATATCAAACAACACTGCCAATTTCTAATTAATATTTACCAGAATCTAATTAATATTTCTTAATATATATGTATATATCATGTTATATTATATGGATGACTATACATCCTCTATTAAAATTGACACGTTTCGTGGCATATGCCTTATTAAAATAGTTGCACATATGCACGTATCCATTGCAATATTTGCAGAACAGTGTACACATATTGTATCAGCTGATCTTGAAATTTCTTGTTTCGTCAAACATCATTCGTTTACATTTCATAAAAGCAATAGGATACAAGAATACTTTAATCCAACTCTGGATTACTTTGTGTCAAGCAAGCTAAAATCGTTATGAATGTTCTGTGCGCTTCAAATATGCAAGTGTCTTCAACGACAACAGTGCTTATCGTCGTTATTACTTAGGATATGTCACTTTGTACAAAGTCTTATCTTCTAAAAAATCTTTTTTCCTTTTGATCAACAAATTATTGACATGTCTTGAACATCGTTTTTTCATTAATAAACTCTAAGGTAAAGAATAAAGGATAGCATGCCTCATTCTCTTCTCTGTCTCCTATCTATTTGAGATTATTCTCTGAAAATCCAATTCTTTAGTTTACAGAGCGTTATATGAGTTCGCTTCATATGCAACAACATTTCCAATTTTGGATGTGCATTCTATTGATAGAAAGCTTATAAGAAGACATTATGAGTATGGGGCAATTTTAAAGTTGCAACGCTGGCAATCAATAATGCCAATGCTGTCAATAGCGCGGGTGCGATTATTGACACACCTACTAATGTCTGATATGTTGTAGTTCCTATCAGACCAGATATTCTTATAGCTGCTGCTATAAGTCCAAAACCAGTGCATCTAAAGAAAAAAAAGAAAGAAAAAACGCATAAACATGATATTTTATAAAATACACGAATTAAATCCTCATAAGATTTATTTTCTTACCGCAAATGTGTGGGGAAGCTCTCGACTGTCACCAAAGTTAACGATGTCCATGCAACAGCAAACAGGGCTGTAAAGCCACCTTCAAAGCCCAGGACTGCTGAACTATTTTTCTGAATTAATATTAGACATAACGCAACAACGGAAGAGAAGAAAAGCGAGAGACCTAAAAAAAAGTTTGTTGTTAAAGTTTGCACTTTTAAAGTTTACTCACTATCTCCAATTAGATTATCAACTAACCAATTAATTTTGGCCGCTGGAGAACGGTAAGCGCCAAACCTGCGAGCGCGGCAGCAGGCACGAAAGCCAATTGAGCAACGAGATGAGCATGCAACGCCTCTTCAATATAAATATTATAATCCAAATCGAGAGTCGGACAGGGTCCACTTAAACTTAACTCTGTGTTATTTTCCAATATACATCTAGTGAAGACTTGTGCATATAAATCTGTATCAACAAATCTGTAACAAAATATGTATACATATATATTTTTCTTTTTTTGTTACAAATATATGCATATTGACATACAAATAAAAAAATTTTAATATTATATAAATGTTACCACTTACTTTGAATATACAATAACACTGTCTCTAAAATGAGTTTTGCTAGACTTAATGCTACTAAACTCCACTGATTGGAACGTACAATTGTCAAAATCGACATGACTAAATATCATTTTAGTGAATCTGTAAATATACATGAATTATATAATTATGTATATAATTGAGAGGTAATATACTTTATAGTGATATTGAAATAATCCATTTTATAATGATATATTAAAATATATTAAATATATGTTTTAATTATATATTATTATAATGTTTTTGTACCTGCAATTCGAAAATATAGAATCTTTGTACTGAAGATTTTCCCAAGAACCAGTAAATGTTTCACTACTATAATTTTGTTTATAAATATGTTTGGTATGAGCTTCATATTCTATTGCACGTAGAAGTTTCAGATATTCAGGACACCATATCATAAGACCATAAAGACTAAACATAATGCATAAAGAGAATAAACTTAGGAAATTCTTAACTGATAATTATTATAATGATGATTATCTAAATACAGACATGCAGAGAAATTTACCTGAATGAAGCAGCAGACCAAACAATTAATAAGATTAAAGTCACACGTAAATGGGGTGCAGTAAATAATTCCAAGAAAGAATTCCAGAACTACATGTGTACAAAAAAATTTATAATTACATCTTATATTCAAATATATGTATAATTATATGATTATTTGAGAAATCTTTCTTTAGGATATTTACCATTTCAATCGAATATATTATATCTGCCAAAACGCTAGTATGGTTACTTGGAGATGGCGGTGCCAAACCGCGAGGTCTTTTAGTAGGAAGTTCCAATTCAGAGAGTTGATACTGAGTACCTGTTGCACTTTTCCGGGCGTTATTTTTTTTATATATCCTCTGAGACATTAAATTTTACCATGAGAGATATAGGTATTATATAGCGAAAGAACTAAATTTTATAGTATTTGCTTGTATTATACATATATACCTGATAAACCATCATTGCTTCCACATCTCGACCGGCCTCTACAAGATATCTCGGACTTTCCGGTAGAAAGATAAGACCAAATGTGGAGCACAACGCTGGCAAACAACATAATAACAGGAAACGATGCCAAGCGCTAAAATGTTCCTTGTTTTCCAAAACGACCATCTCTCCAGTCGTGGGTACCACCGCCCAAGCTAAAAGTGCAGCGTATACGCCTCCTAGCGCACCCGCTGCCACGAGTATTCCCGTCCAACGGCCTCTGCTTAATCGTGGACAACATTCCGCGAGATATGCATATGCCAGCGGTACAGCTCCTCCTACTCTATAACCGGATAGATTAAATGATGTTAAAAAATTATAATAATTATAATAATTACTAATTGGATAATCACTTTCAAGTTTTTAGCTCAATTTGGAATACTAAATGCACAAAAAAATTGCTTACCCAAGAGCTGAACAGAATCTAGCTGTCATAAAAGTGCCATAAGTGGGCATAAATGTTGCTACGCCGCTGAACAGAGCGTGCACAGACATGGCTGATAGGAGAGACCTGCGTCTTCCCAATCTGTCTCCAAGGCCACCCCAGAATAAACCACCCAATGCAAGACCAATAAGAGTGATATTGCCTAAAAAATTATGTTATTTAGCAACACAAATTTATATATTATGAAAAATATATTCGATAACTTACCGAGCCATCCTTTCTCATTATCTTCGATGCACAACTCAACTTCTGCACTTGGCAGTATGTAAGGAACAACGAAAAATTCAACAGTGTCTGCTGCAAGACTCAAGCCTGTACAGAAAGCGGCAAATATTTGGAAGTAACCGACACCAGCCTGTAACATTACAATAACATTGTTATATATTTTATTTATGCCACATATTTTCAAGAAAATTATAAATTTTTGCAATATTAAATCACGAAGGTTTTATCAAACGTCAATAATTAAAAAGTACAGGAAAAGTACATGTATGATTTCTCAGAATTATTAACAAAAGATGTTTTAATTTTGTCAAATAAAAAAATTCATGTGCATTATCATGTAATCAATTTTAACAATAATTATTTGAATATTATTAGGGTGCAGTTACATCTTCCTTTGTTTAAATTAAAAATTGACGCAGCTGCAGAGAGGTTTCCAATGTCCAAAAAAAAATATTTACTGGGAAATCCTTCAAATAACCCGGTACTTCGCGAGGTACGTATTTTGGTTTGACGATCGACTCGTCCAGGACTTCATCCATTTTCCTAAGGTCGGAGAAAAAGACTCGGGTTCACGAGTAAAAGAATGAAATCATTCACTTTAAGCATTCACAATTCGGCCCCCAAAAAAACGACGCCGTTTTATCCAGGTTATGTTTTTATTGCATCCCGCATATTTTTATACAAACTGGACTCGATGCATCGACAAGCCAATAAGGCGACGGGCTTTCGAATCCAAGCGCTATCATTGGTACGATTAGCTAAACGTAATCGATATGCATCTCGATAATCGATTAGATGATCGTATTCAGATGTTTGAAACTGACTCGTATGTTATTATCAATCGGACAAATGAACACAAATTTTGAAACCGCATGAGAATAAAAGACTCGCAGTTATCAAGTAATTTCATCGACAATCTCTCTTATGCTCGACGAATTTAAATGCTAAAATTATACCATTGACATTTGACATTTGGCATAAAAATTAAAATCCTTCTTCACAAGGTAAGGTTATAAATTCAAGAGGAAAGTGATTTGAATCAAAGATTTCCTTAACCCTAAGATTTCCTTAACCCTAAAACTCTCAAGTAGATCTTCAAATATAATATTCTGTAAATCACCTGCTTAATGGCGTCCTCGTGAAACTGCGCCAGGAGGGTCGCGTCCGCGGTGGAGTCGATGAGATCGTGTTCCGCGGAATCGGCCGAGGCCGAGTTGACGCCGGCCGTGGCAACGTTCGTCGGCTGCGTCGTCATCTCCTCGGTGTAAAGACCGGTCTTAGTGTTCGGACCGCGCTCGCCCGCGCTCGCCTTCGTCGCGCTGCCTCCGGAGGGTGCGAGGCCGCCCCCGCTGCCAACGAGCCACTGGCTTTCCTCCTCCGATGAGGGCATCACTGCCAGAAACCATCTGGCGAAACGGATAATAAGATAATAAATACGCAATAGAGGCGGGCATATCTCGTCAATTATATTCTCTGACGCATTGCCAGTGTCTTACGGTAATTATATCTCTCTAATATAATTATATCTCTTGATAAAAAACGATTGTATAATCCTATGATATGTTTTTCTAATTTAATCCTAAATATTTATGAAATTGAAGACGCGATGCAATCGCAGCGTAGTCTATAATGGTACATAGGTCGTCTCTTGATATGTCACACTGCACATTATTAACGCAGATAAGATAACATGAATTCCGAGCCGAGAGATAAAGGCGGGAATCGGTTGCGAAAATATTGACATTTTTGAGAGACAAAGCCGGAAGCTGAATGGAAGGCAGAATCGGAAGCGAGAACGACTTACGAGAATAAACTAGGCTTTTTTTTCGATAGAGAAGTACGTGTTTTATATGAGACGTGTCGTCGTATGCGATCTATTTTACGATTTTATTTGCCTTTACGAGGGACGCATCTCGTTTGACTGACGCTATCGATCTAATATTAAACGGTAGATTGCTCCGCGTGACAGCGGAGCGTAAAGAATTGCACGATCTTCAAAAAAAATATATCTCTTCTATATATATATATATATATATATATATATATATATATATATATATATATAATTTTATTATACTATAAAATTATCTCTAATATAATTTTATTATATTATAAAAATTATGTTCCTTTATATTGCAGATCAAGGATAAGATTCGTTGTAATATTGAACGATGATTTTTCTATCTCTCTCTATCTCTCTCGTGTTACTACGCAGCACGTAAGGAACGACACAGACTAGGGAGGAGTGTGTGTTAACAATGCACGGAATGATATTGTGCTTCGCAATTGTAAAATTTATCACGCGGTGCACGTGGAAAGGCATACGTCACGTCTATAAGCGCGGTTCACTGACCATATTTCTTAATATATACGATATTCATCTTGGTGACAAGTGAAATATTCAACATTTATCGCGAGCGCTTTAAAATCTAGTGATAAATAGGCATCTGCTTACTATTAATGAGAACGGAATGTTATTGAACTTGTGTTGCCATCGCGTTTATCGCAATCGATATACTTACACGAATTAATTGCTTTAGTCATCAAAATTTCAATATATCTTTGGCTGAACAGCATTTTAATAATAATAATATGTCTTTTTTTATAGGCAATATTTGTATAAAATATCGCAATTTGTTGCAGATTTGCGCATTTTACGATGAGTAGACCGATCTCACTTACCGTTGACCTTAGTTAAAATAACCGGAGAGTCACTTTCGCGTGCACTTATATTTCGCAGCGGTAATTCAGCGTTTATGAGCCCGCATTGAAGCACGCGGAGGTCGCGCGTTTTACCAAGGCTGATTAACTCCCGGAATTAATGCAAGACCAGGGTAATGCGTGTATTACATATAAGCTCTCGTTTGCGTGTTCATACATACTAATTCATCGATCTACATATGTAGGAACAACTTTCCATACACAGTACATATGTGCATATAGGAAAAATTCTACGATAATTTAGAAAGGGGTTGCAAAAAAACAGTAAACAAAGCTCGCAAATTTGCGCGAGAACTAATAGCAGACAGTTCTAACGCAAGATATATCGTAAAGTACGTGAAATTTCAAAAATATTGCGCATCATAGAAAAATTTTTCATCTCAGACTTTCAATTTTCATTAACGTTCTTTCGTGTTGCTTACAGTCGCCTCCGTCAGCTTCATCTCATCCTGAAAAGGTGCAATTTTACGTCAACAGTTTCCGACCATTAAAAACAGGAAGAACCTACGTCATCAAGTTACAAAAAAAGGAAGCGTTAAAATTATATTCCTCAGCCCTGCGACGATAGAACATTAATCTTCCCGAACAAGCAGTGCACGGACATTAACAGTGGATACGATTTGATTTCCGCGACATTTTCATGACATATACGTATTATCACGTAATTAATTACATTTTTCAAACGTTCAACGTCGGCATTTTGTTGTCGCGGGCGCGACCGCATACGTACGCGATTTATCGATCCGAAACCGAGATTATATACGCGGCTCCATAGTCCCCGTATATATGCATTTTCCGAACATCAAAGTATATATGTAGACGGACTTGAGTTGCCAGTATGTAAATGCTGTATGTACATATATATATATATATATATATATATATATATACGTGCACGTGCCAACGTTGCCCTCGTATCCGCTAATGTCGCCGACAATCACGTCCGCGTCGCAGCTCGCGTTTTCGCAGTCCTCTATTTTCTCGTCGTTAGTTATTTTTGAAACGCGACCGAACATCTACAGTAGCAACCGTAGACGACAGACATTAGCGTTTTGTTTCATATTTGCCCTTGTACGTGCGCGAGACCGTCTTGTAAGCCAAGTATAATATTCGGAGATAAAATTGGAAAAATGCGATATGCGTACTTTGGAGCCGATTTTTCTTTAGAGTAATTTTATACAAAATACTACTTTGTATCTGATTTATTTCGGAACTAGTCTAGAGAAAGAGAGAGAGAGAGAGAGAGATTATGTTTTAGATTAGACTAGCACTTACTTGCCAACAGATTTAACATTGCAAATTACGGATCGCAACAAATGACGGATGACATTCTGCGATGTTTTCGCTAGGAAAATATTGACTCTGAATTGTGCCAGGAATTTATCCGGCATACTTGATTACAACAATTATATGAATACGTAAATATGTGATTACACAATGTCTGTTTTGAAGATTAACAGCAGCAATTAAAAAATATGCTAAAAATATGCTAAAAAAACGATGTATCATTCGCGACAAAATTAATTTATCTCAATGTTAATGAAACGAGAAAAATTATTTGATGATTAATTATTGTTTGAACTCACATATCTGCCAACACAGTCATCTCCATAATTATGTGTTCATTATTATCACCGTATTCGGCTGTCGTGCTGTCAACACGTCACACGTATGCGTCGCACGTGGGGCCATACGCGATATTCATAGATAAACACGACCGATGAACACGAGCCAAACAACAAAGAGTCGTGTAACATGCGCGCGCGATATACAATTTATAAAGATTATTCTCGGACGTATGTATGATTATCGGATGCAAAACCGGTCGCCAACGCAATACTTGTCTGCATACATTTACATAAATTAATAATAATAATTCATTCTTGCGAACTGCTTTAATTAACAATATAAACGAAAAACGGAGTCGTAATAAAAAAAATCTGCTCCTCTTTACAGTCACGACTTTTAAAAAAATTGTTACAGGATTTGTACAGGAAAAAAATTATATAGGATTGATGTATGAAAATATAGCCCGATTTCGATATTAAATGTTAATATCGAGTTTTTATATGAAATAATGATTTTTGATAACATTATTTAATGTGATAATGTATTAAACAATCTTTCGTTAAATTTAATATTACAATCGTTATATATTCTTTATATTAATATATTCTTATCGTGATGCTGGGCTATCTTTTCGCACGCTATTTGAATGTCATAGGTAGAAAGAGAAAAAATATAGGAAGATACAGAGAACATAACTGATAATGAGAGGAACAGACGCGTTCACAAGATTGTACGAGAATTGATATCATTAGAGCCGCTTATCACATCAGTGTTTTTATCGCACCGCGCATAAATCACTTACCTGGTTGATAGGAAGTCGCCGTGAAATACCGCACCTTTCCAATGATAATGTCGTTTCTCTGCTCGCAGATTTTTCGCACCGGAATGAAGAAAATCAGTTGGATGGATCGATTAATTTTGGTGGATCATGAGATCGAGAGATTGACGGAAAGCCAATCAATGCGACGAGGACGATGATTTTTCGACACTTCGACTTGGACTTCACGAGTCTTTGCAAGGGATTGCTGTTTTATTCAACATCGTGTGACGCGGCGCACTTCTTCGCCAACAGCTGCAGGCGATCACTCGTCACAAAGTCACCCTCGCGTCCTTACACGCGACATACGTCAGCGGCAGCACAAAAGTGCGAATATAATCGGACGTGCGAATAAATTTACGTAACAATGTCGTACGGTGATTCCGTACGTGAACGGACGTACGGATGATTCGTCGATTAACAATATCGATTAGCGATTTCGTGTCACGGATTAATGTCAAAATTTAATTTGAATATTTACACAACGGATAATGTACAGATACGGAAAGTATATCAATGAATCACGATACCCCAATCACATCATTATATATATATTTAAAGTTGATATCTTTGATATTTTTCAGTAGAATTTTTCCATCTCCTTCTCTCTCCCTTGATCGTCACGACACCAAGACCTACCTCAACGAGGAATCACCGCGCGGAGCGGAAATCCAAATCACTATCGCGCTCAAATGGGCAAATTTTATTGTAAATATAGGTGCAAAATAAACTTTCGTCGAATAACAACGTTTCTCGCTTCCTCGGAAGATGCGACGCAGTCCAAGACCGCACCACGTAGAGTTCGTGTCTTTTCGTCGAGGATTGATTCTCGGCGGAGCAGGAGACGATTTCGCTGCGGAACGCGATGATCGGTCGTGACGCGGCTTTCCGAATGAAATTGCGAGATTGCTATCGGATTTGTCTCGCGCGATTTCTATATCGCGATCGCGCGCTGTGAGCAAGGCGGGGACACCGGGGTTCGATCCCGGCCCATGAAAAACGATCGTGACATTTTCACGGTACGGGGGAAACAACACTGCCGCTGCATATACGCTGCCGTCGACACGCCGCCTGCGCCGTGTATCGATTCGCGTTGCGATGCCCCAACACGTAGCGCCTTCGCCCCGAACAGAATTCCCCTTGCGAATCATTAGCCCGATAATTATTAGCGGAACAGCTTCTAAACTTGAAGAGATTGCGAGCAAAAAAAGTGTATATTGTAAAAAAGTATATATAAAATATATATCGTATTCTAATAAAAAATATATATATATATATCATATTCTAATTAAATTTTCGTAATTAAAAATATACATATTTAAAAAATTTCATATTTGATAACAAGATAATGTTTTGAATTATATTTCTTTGAGGAAGTATAAATGTTATTTTATATATTTCTATTTCTTTGAATTGTGTACATGAGTATTCTGAATGTATATGTACACAATAGTTTTATATTGAATAATTCGAACGAATTCTGCAATTGAATAATCTTCATTTCTTTTTATTACATAGGTAGGTATTACATATATATCTCTTTATTAATTCTAATATTCATAACGAATTTAACATATTTTTGAAAGATGCTTGTTATTTAAAGAAGTGTAAGAAAAAAATTGGAAAGCTATCCAAAGGATCGTTTACTTGCCATTAAATACTCCACAAAATATAATAAATACATTATATATATTGACAACATATGTATATCAAAACAACTTAAATTAAGCTTACAATTCCTAAAAATTGTCATTCTTCATATTATACATTAATTGTCAAAATTTATATATTTAGAAATAAAGATTATTCTATTTTTGTTAATCCTCATTAGAAGCTTCGCTTGCTGTAATTATTTTTTCCTTTTCCTCCACTTTAGTTCATGCAATGATTTCTTTTGCAGGATTAAAAGTGCCATTAGTTTAAATATTACAAATATAACATCGTGTACTTTTTTATATTGTCCCAAAGCATATTTTTCATAAAAATAATGCTTACATCTAAAATAAAATAAGTCAATAGATTAGTACAATATTAGTATAATATTTTAAATATTAAAATCAACTATTTAAATATTAAAAAATATTTATCAAATATTTATCAAACTAATATTATCATTATGTTAATATAACAATAATATTGAACAATAATAATGCATATCTTGTGACAATGGGATCCGTTAAATTGTTTTTACAAATGAAACATTTACATGGCAAGTTTTCCTTACCACTGTCAATTTACTTTTTATCGTTAAAATCTCCACTATTATATTCTCCAGCAGGGCCTCTTTCCAATTGTCACCTTGATTTATAATCGGACCCATGGACGTAAGAAATACTGGACAGAGTGTATTGCTGCGGGGGTGAAGCAAGCTCAAAGGGTGAGGGGAAAGAAATGTCTACTGCAACGGAATATGAGGCATGTAAGATGGCGACGGATATTAATTTCACGGAGTGTGATATTTTTGAATTTCTTAATATTCAAAAATGATTCGGAATAACACAGCAATTTCAGATGATAGATGATTTCACGGAATCTCTCATATTTTATTCGATTTACGTCCGTGCGACGTGAAAATAGACGCTAAATCTGATGCATCTAAGATGGCCGCGACAATAAACCCCTTATCCCTCAGATTTCACTCCCCTCGTCTAAAAGAGTACTTTATGCTCTGTCCAGTATTTCTTACGTCCATGATTTATATAGATTCAAAATACATGTACAAAAAAATATTAATTAATCACATCAGCGGTTGAGTCCTTCGGATGCGACCATATTATTTGTACTAGACGAATTATTGATTGATTTTTCCATGCGTATATACATTACGAATTTTTCGTATATACGACTCACGTGGTGGCCAATCAATTTCCTGCTTCGGTCAAAATAAAATAGCGAGAGATGATTGGCTGGAGGCATTAAAGGTACCTTTATATGGCAGCATCGAGAGCGTCCCATTTGACGTTGCAATTGATCAATTAAGGTGCAATTTCATTGACGCTAGAAACCAGCGGCAAATTAAAATAGACTTTCTCTAGATTTGGCGTCAATAAAATAAAGTTCAATAGTTTCAACTTTTTCAGTGTGTAAAGCGGCCTTTTCATTGACGCTACTTTTTAGCGTCAATGAAATTGCACCTTAACAGTTGGCAGCCCTACGAGATAGGCTGTGCAGCATTGCGCGTATATAAAATAAATTTGAAATCGCTTCTAGCCTAACCATCTTCACGCGATCGACTTTATTTGAATTGCACGGCATCGCATTGAATTATGATGCGGCGCCGATTTGTTCGAACGTAATTCGGGACATCGCGATACTGTATAAGCGTCGAATGAGCACGAATTGTCACGCAAATATGATAAATCACATCTACTCACCGTTCACCGGCTGTTCCACAGGCCGCTCCACTCGCTCACCTCGGGACGTCCCATTCCGATCTTAATGCACACGATATCATCAACGCGAACGCGCGACACTTTATTCGGCACTCCTGATATTCGCTCGCATCCGATAATCATCATCAAGGGCGCAAATAACGCGACGCGACTTCGCTCCATCTTCGCGATCGTGCTATCACTGAACTGTGAAAAATAGCTGTCGCGCACTTTCACCGACATATTATGAAAGTCGCGCGATCATCCTTGGACACTTTCGACGCTCTTTCACTCGCGATATTCATTTAAAAACGGTTAAAAGACGCGAAAAATGCGGACGTACGACGATCCGTGTAACTGCGTATGATTCCGATTCACGTATGACGCGTATGACGTAGCAATCACGCGCTAACATGGCGGCCGAACCAGTGCGCATTCGTTTCTGCGCACTGGTTCGGCCGCCATGTTGGCGCGTGACGTACGTCATACGCGTCATAGTACGTCATACGCGTCATACGTGAATCGGAGTCATACGCAGTTACACGGATCGTCGTACGTCCGCATTTTTCGCGTCTTTTAATCGTTTTTAAACGAATATCGCGAGTGAAAGAGCGTCGAAAGTGTCCAAGGATGATCGCGCGACTTTCATAATATGTCGGTGAAAGTGCGCGACAGCTATTTTTCACAGTTCAGTGATAGCGCGATCGCGAAGATGGAGCGAAGTCGCGTCGCGTTATTTGCGTCCTTGATGATGATTATCGGATGCGAGCGAATATCGGGAGTGCCAAATAAAGTGTCGCGCGTTCGCGTTGATGATATCGTGTGCATTAAGATCGGAATGGGACGTCCCGAGGCGAGCGAGTGGAGCGGCCTGTGGAACAGCCGGTGAACGGTGAGTAGATGTGATTTATCATATTTGCGTGACAATTCGTGCTCATTCGACGCTTATACAGTATCGCGATGTCCCGAATTACGTTCGAACAAATCGGCGCCGCATCATAATTCGATGCGATGCCGTGCAATTCAAATAAAGTCGATCGCGTGAAGATGGTTAGGCTAGAAGCGATTTCAAATTTATTTTATATACGCGCAGTGCTGCATAGCCTATCTCGTAGGGCTGCCAACTGTTAAACGATAAATTTTTTCGATCTAACCTAACCTAACCTAACCATGACATCTCTCAGTCTTCTCTCTGCTGCTTATAATCTAAAAAGGTGCAGCGCAGAGTACAGAGTACAGTTCAGTGCAGTTCTCCGGTGGTTGTGTTACATCGTTACATCATATCCGTGTTTGGTAAATATTTCCTTTCGGCGTGCGACCGGATTATTTATCTGTCATTCGTACAACATTATTTTGTATAAAAAAAATACAGTAATCGTGGTAATCGATCGAAAAATATTTAATCCCCTAGAACTCGTATAAATTTACACAAAAAATACATATTTCTGGAGTCGTTGAACTTTGCTCGCAAGGGATTCGATTATGTCCTCTGACGCTCATCCTGAATACATATCATATTTATAAACATTCGTCCTAAATTCTAAAGGTACGATTAATGGTAAAAATTGAATTTATTGATAAAATAAAAAATTGTAGAACTTTATCGATTTGCATGAAGCATCTCAAGAATATATTATTATTTTTAAAATCTCGATCAATTTTTAATTACAGATTCTCTATATTTGTTAAATAGCTTAATTTTGAAAAAAATAATGAGTAAAAAGAAAAATATGGCAATTGATTTTCAAGACAATATGATATTGCTTACACGAAAATACTTGAAGCGTAGAATAATGTGTCCTGAAACCAAGTTTAGACATCATGTTAAAGAGCGACTACATGTATTGGATTTAGTGAAACGTACTGTTGAAATGGGTGAAAGCAATTCTGCTTTGCTAATTGGACCCAGAGGCAGTGGAAAAACAACAGTAGATATCTTTTACAATTATACATATAATATATATATATATATATATATAAGTAATATACATAACTTATATAATTTCAGCTTATCAATAGCGTTTTAAAAGAATTATCAGCTTTAAAAAGCTTTAAAGATAATGCATTAATAGTGAACTTACATGGACTAGTTCATACTGATGATCGTTTAGCGCTAAAAGATCTGACTCGTCAAATGCAATTAGAAAATGTAGTTGGTGATAAGGTTTTTGGAACATTTGCAGAAAATTTAAGTTTCCTTTTAGATTGTTTGAAATCTGGTGATAAGAAACGTTCAAAACCAATCATATTTATACTTGATGAGTTTGATCTTTTCTGTGGACATCACAATCAGACATTATTGTATAATTTATTTGATGTTGCACAATCTGCACAGGTAAGTATTCAAATACATCAAAATTTTGATTAAAAAAGATTTTAATCAAAAGTAAAAGTAAAAATTTTACATGAATGAAAAACTTTTTGCAGGTGCCAATATGTGTATTAGGGATAACTTGTAGATTAGATGTTGTGGAGTTACTGGAAAAGAGAGTCAAATCAAGATTTTCACATCGCCAAATATTTTTGTTTCCTGGTGATACATCATCTTCAGAACAGCCTATGTCTGCGTTTGATGATCGTCTGGAACTCTTTCAAAATCTTCTCAGCTTACCTGATGATGAGAACGTAAATAAAGTCGAGCAACAATATGATGATTGTACAATAGATCCACAATTTGGTTCTATGTGGAATGATTACATTAAAAGTTTAACTAGCAATGTTACAATGGTGAACTTACTCAAGAGAATGTATCATATCGATGTAAGTGAGAGGAGCTTTAGAAATTTTCTCGCAGTCGCTGTTTCGACGTTATCCGAGAAACATCAGAAATTGGAAGTGAACGATTTTGTGGAAGCGAGTAAAGTCTTTTCAGAGGATGATAAACTGTTGATGCTTGAGGGATTATCCATTTTGGAAATGTGCTTAGTGTGTTTCTTACAATTATTTTATATGAAATTAATTTTTTTATAATAAAATAAAGACTTAATGCAATATTATTATAGATCATAGCAATGAAACATGAGGTAGAGATTTATGATGGTGAACCATTGAATTTTGAGACGGTCTACAATCGCTATATTAAATTTGTAAATCAAAATTCCTCTATACAGTCTGTTCAGAAACCAGTTATCATGAAAGCTTTTGAACATATCAAGGTAAGGAATCCATATTTAAAATTATTTTTTTCTATTAAATATTTGAAGAAAAACTGGATAAGCATGCATATATATTTTCTAGAATTTAGAAATTTTGGTACCAGTTGGAAACACAAAATTTGAAAAAGAATATCAGTATTACAAATTTACATTAACTTCGCAGCAAGTTATGGATGCTGTAAAAAATTATTCAGGCCTTCCTACAGAAGTTTCTCAATGGGCATTAAGTAATATATAATAATGACAAGCTAATGGTAAGTTATTATAAACCTATTGTGTTCCATAAAATTACATATATTAAATGTAATTGGTAAGTCTCCTTCTTTAGCAGTCTTTGTAGAACAGGTTTAGATATTACAATACTTTATATCACACTTATATAGACAATATACTATAAACTACATATATAGAGTAGCATAGAATACAATAGTTAATTTTTTTAGACACACAGTTTTTATATGTTGAATTTAATTATTGAACTACTTTTAAGTAATAATTATGACAAAAACGATATTGTACGAAAAAAATTAGGAAAAAAAAATACGCGGAATTTTACTTATACATTATGTAAATCTAAAAAAGGTGTGATATTCTAGTCTATAAATTCTTCCAGAATATTTATAAATCCTCCCATTCATGCATACATGTGTATCCAGTATTAAATTTTAAAAAATCAGTTTAGAAAAGTATTTTAAAGTATTATTTGCAACAAAATTTCAAGAAAAATATTAGGTATAATGATATTGTAAATATTCTTAACATGCGCTAGTACAATATCTGAAAAGGAAAAAGAAGGATGGTATTTTGTGAATATATACTGAATGTATAGTTTTCAGTGACAATTCCTGCCAATATATAAACGAAGTAGAATATAATCTAATTTCTCTCTGTACAATCGTCTTTGGTATATGAAACTATAAAGACACAAATATTTATGGAAATATTTTATTTCCTATAATAATGAACATTAATATAATACGAGAATAATGATCATAGATATTTTATCGGGGATGATCTTAATGTTATAAATAATTTTAAAATTATTTAACTGAAAAGATATCCGTGCCATAGGCTACATATTAAAATTCAGTTTGTCTGTGATTTGTTTATCATGTCCATTTATCTCTGTATCGTGTGTGCGTGCGTGTGTATGTGCATGAACAATATTTATTTATGTGTGAATGCATAAGAACTTAAAAATATTTATTAAGGAATATGTGTCTTCCGTATACACATATTTTTCGGACATATTAGGGAATGTGCGACGAAATTAATGCACGTGTATATGTTTATACATTTGTAATAAATTTAAATCCGATGAAGTATATAGGTCTCGTGTTATACGAGTTCTCTCTTAATTCACCCAAGCAAAATGCGACTTTGTCTCTGCAGATATCGCGGAATTTGTAATCGTTTTAATTTGAGAATTTTTTGTTATTTTTTTTGGCGGCTGTTTTTTAGAAAGATTCATTAATTTTTTGCTCTTATGTTGAGCGAGAAACGAATCATGACCTGTATTAAAGAAATGAGTAATGTATAGTATTTCAATGTAGAATTTAAATAAATGATTTTTTTCTTACCAGGATTTATACCCACAGGAGGTACACTTTTCAATTGTTTCTCCATAGTAAATGGTCGAAGCGCTGACATGGCACGACTCACACCTATCTGTACAAACATATATCTCATAAGTTGGAGATGGCTTGTATAAAAATACAAATTAAAAAATTAAGAGATTAAAACATAAATAATAGAAATTAAAGAAAATTAATGAAATTTATACTTTTGAATGACGTATTCTATGCTCTACAAGATCTGCTCCGAGAACTTCTTCGTAAACCGACATTCTAATCGGTATTATCTTGTCTATTATCTGTAAAAAAACAAGTGTCTCTTATATCTTACTCTAATATTTTTTTAAAGAATGAAATCTTATATGATATACCCAGAGTAGTAAAATAGAACTAGTAAAACTCCAAACAGCTAGACAAAGCGCGGATAAACTTTGTATTCCTAATAGATACCAGCCGCCTCCTACAAAAATTTATATAAATTATATAATATATTTATATAATATATAAATTATATAATATATAACTTGTATATATATTTTATATAAGTTTATATATCTTAAATATTTATCATTATACTTATATAATATATATATATATATATATATATATATATATAATTATATAAACTTATAATATATATATATATATAAAATGAATATTTAAGATATATATAATATATAATGATAATGGCGCAAAAGATATATATATACAATCATTGTAAACCTTTGAACAAACCCTTCCTTCCACTTGTGGTATCTAGAGGATACGGATTATCAGCAAATAAGCCGATGGCGATAACTCCCCAGACACCACTTGCACCTATAACAAAGTGTTTTTGTTATCGCGATAAATATAAAAGTTTATTATGAGATTATATAAAAGTTCAAAAGATGAGATTAAACACACCATGAGTGGCAGCAGCTCCAACAGGATCATCTATATGAAATCTATCTAACGCTGGCATTGCAATACATGTGATGAAAGCACCTATCATCCCAACTATTATCGCTTCCCAGGCTTTATATAAGAAACATCCACCTGACATAACATTATGATTAAAAATCAGCTTGATTTGATTTTTATTATTTTTATATTCATCAACATGTACCGGTAACCGCCACTAGTGCACCAAGGATACCATTTATCTGACTAAGAATATCGATTCCATTCGGATTAGTCAAGCTGAATCCCAAACCGATCAGACCACCACCCATACTGGCCATCATCGTAGAAACGGCTGCTCGAGCGGCATATTGCCATCGTTCGCCGGTTACCCCGTATGTACTACCACTGTTAAACGCTAACCAACCCCACCTACATGATTTGAATTCATTTTATATAATTAATATATTTATTTCGTGTTTTCTCGATGTGGTAATCTATTATGATTGTTTTACCATAATACAAATAGTCCCATGATCGCATTAACGGGACATCCGAGCGGCAGAGGATCGATGCCGTTATCATATCTACCTATTCTGGGACCGAGCATGATGGCACAAGCCAGTGCTGCATAAGGGCAAATAGATAGGTAGAAAGATTGATATATCTTCTATTGAAAATTATTACTTCTATTACTATCGATACCTGATTAAATACGTTGTCATTGTGATTATACCTGAAATACCGCCGACAAGATGTACTGGCCCTGAGCCAGCAATGTCGACAACTCCAATGTTCTTCAGAAAGCCGTGATCACCCCATACCCATCCGGCTGGTATGCAGTACACAATAGTATTTAGAAACGAAAAGACACAGTACGCTTTAAAATTACATCTAAAAAATGTTAAGTATACATAAATATAAAATGCAAAATTTATATTACTATTATTGTCCTCAAGATTTATGGAATAAATACCGTTCAGCCATAGCACCACTAACGATGGTCGTGGAGGTGGTGGCGAAACTTAATTGAAATAAAAACGCGGCACAAATAGAACCCATGTATTCATCTTCGATAGGAGGATCTATGAATAAACCTCCGATACCGACAAAAGGATTATTGGGTTCATATAATCCAAAACTGAGTCCAAATCCGAAAATCCAATAAGTTAAACCACCAAGGACTATGTCGACTACATTCTTCATCATAATATTGACCTCATTTTTCAAAGAGACGCAACCGGACTCTAACATTCCAAATCCTACAGTTTACATGTAAAATTATTAATATCTGCACATATAATAATAAAATTTGCGACAATCATTAAAGACAGTTTATACGTTTTAATCAATTAGAAGGAAAATAGATCAAATTTTTTCGAAAACTTGCTATTTTCACAATACCTGTTTGCATTGTAAAAATCATAAAAGAACTCGTGACGATCCAGTTGCTGTCTTCTTGACTAAGATTATATAATTGACTAATATATCTATCAACGGTAACATTTGTATCATTTTTTTCATAACTTGCCATTTCCATAATATTCAAACTTTTTTCGTTAGTAGAAGAAAATTAACTACTGATGTCTTCTAACTAGAAGAAAGTTGACTACTGTTCGTTCTTCAAGTATACATTGAGCGCGAAGTGTTCGGGGGACAAACAAGTTAAAAATTTAGAATGTTCGGGCAAAACAAGTCTAGAATCGGTATATTGAATGTTGCTTCTGTCAGCAACTGATCAAGCGAATCTATTAAAAGGAAAAGATTAATATATCGAGCTTAAAAAATACAAATCTAAAAAATCTAATAAGAAAAAAGTTTGGCATTTTTGTCGTGTTTTAATTTTTTTTATTGGCCTCACATCATTTAGCCATTACAGAAATTTTTCTTCTCACTTGCATGTCTAACAATTTGTCTTCGTCCTTCCCATAATTAAGTAATGTTAAAATCATGTACAATATAATATATAATACTAATCTAGACTGATGAAAATAATATCACGTATCGAATCCTATACCATACTTTAAATTTATAATGATACGATATCTACTATTATCTCAAAGAACATTATGATTGTAATGTGCAATAAAACAATATGTGACAGCAAGTAGTAGTGGTAATCGACAATATAAAGACTTTTTTAATTTCTTTTTTCTTTTTCTTTTTCTTTTTTTTTATACCTAGGCTAGATGTTACACATAATCACATAATTCTGCAAATTAATTGTTCTTAAATTATATAATGAACTAAGCCTTTTTAGGTGGTAGAATGAACCGACAAAAAATATCTTTATCATCGCAAGACAGTTATGTAGTTCTTTGGAGGAAGCAAATGTGCAGTGTCAAGACATAAAATTTTACACAAAGTATTGATAAATGTAATTTTGTATGCTCAGTTTTTGAAAGCATCTATGAGGACTACATTGATAGATGGTAGATTTGGTTGCTGAATCCTTTGTCGGTTTGGCAATTTGCTCATTCCGGGAAGTTTAATGACCATACACATTCTCATCGCTGTATGCTATATATAGGAAGAAATCCTCTTCATGGTGTTCCTAATAAAAAGATTTTGATAAGATTAGTATAGATAAGCAATAATTAAAAAATCAAGATATCTTATCGATACACATTATATTGTGTTATATTACTATATTGTAATGTTTATTGTTTACCGCATAAAGAGAACCCATGGTAGCACTTGTTGGAGGAATGATGTTGTTGACAAAGAAAAACAGAGCATCTTCAGGACGTAAATGGATTCTTTTACGAATTAGAAAATAAAATTGGCCAACAGTTAAATCAGAAGGTACCAAATACTTCTGCTTGTCCAAATCGCTAATCTTTGCTTTAGGCGCCTTCTCGACTATTACCTTTAACAATATTAACATTTATTTTATTAGTCACCTCACAAATATTTTTTAAATACAGAAAAATATGAATTATATAGTTTGACAATATTAGTAGGAAAATATATTAATCAGTCTTCCATGTCATTAAAAGCTACAAACAAATCAATTTCCATAAATCTATTTTCGATAAAGTTGCATTTGTTTGGCAAACTAAATTTTAATATTTGTTAACAAAACTTTTAAGTAGGCTTAATTGCTGATTTTTTGCTTAGATCAAAGACAAGTTTCAAATATGCATTTAACATAATATATTTGAATCTTGTCCAACTATTAAATAACAAGATCTAGATTTAAATCTTGTAATATTGACCTTGGTTTGCGTATTTCGCGAATCAATAAAAATTTCTTGTTATTATACTTTGATGATTTACTGTGGTGATTCATGTACAAGAGATAAAGTAATCTCTTCTTTTTGATAAACAGATAATTGTGAAAGAGAGAGGTTAGATTTTCAGGTTGAAACTACTTTGTCACGAATTAATATGTATATTAATATATGTAAATAATTGTGAAAATAATAAAAGTATTATAAGTAGTTACAAAAAAATTAACAGACTCTTGTTTCATCAAATATAAGCGAAAAATAAAAATATTCAATTCGATTTGTGAATATTAAAATATATTTGTGAATTTTTAATTTTTTAATGAATTTGCTAGACTGAAGATTGACATTTATTATAAAAGACAATTGGGAGGAAAGGAACATTAGTGGCACAGAAACATTAAATGTAATTTAAATTTCGAAATAAAAATCGTGCAGTGCAATCATGTACTGCGTAAAAAAAAATATACTTGGTCATGTGTCGCGCGATCGTAGAGTAGCAAATAAGCGTAAAACTAATGGAAAAATGATGCTTAATAAAGATAGACTCTACGTGCCTATAAATCTAAGAAGAAACTTTAGCCCGATCCAACAACAAAGGTGTAGGAAATCATGTCTTCGTCAAGGAGAGACAAAGGTCTAGAACTTCTCTCTCCTTTCAAAGTCTACTTTAAAATCTATTCCGACATGGAGTCGGAAGCGCGCCTTCACTTATTGTTAGATAGGCATATATACATAATGCTAGTGTAGAAAATGAGTAATCTTATCCGATTGCGATCGAAGTAAACAGGTTAAAGGTGTAAATAATCTCGAGGCTCGACAGCGCATATTTGGAGAGGCTTGAAAAAAGCCTCGTCGATTGCACACATACGTGAAACAGATCAATACGCGTGGAGGGGAGGATGCACGAAAAAGGAATGCGAAAATAACGTTAATCGCGCGATGCCACAAGGTGGATGAGGGAAGCGGAGGAGAGGATTCCCGAAATGACGTTTTTCGCCAAACGAAATACGGGCGGGCCGATTTAACGCAAAAAAGAGAGAAAAAAAATCCCGCGACCTTGGGCTCTCTCGGAAAACGCACGTTGCGAAAACACGATTGGATCGCCCCGGATGATCGTTTTGACCAACGTGTCGCCCCGCTCTCGAACTTCCCGAATAAGGAAACCGCATCGAGAGACTCTCGGCCTCCTGTCTAAATTGACGTGCATGATTTTCGTCGAGCCTCTCGAGCCTTTAATTTGATCAAGACGCAAAAGCGATCTCTGTACTCACAGGCACTCGATCCGGGTATTTCCGTCGTATCTTCTCGCCCTCGGCCTTCCTCTTCTCGAACGGATGCTCCTCCTTGTACTGGAACTTCATTGTCCCCGTTTACGCGTGGGGATCGCGACACGACGAAGCTCCCTCGGTTTCGTTGATCGCACGCTCTCTTCCCGCTCTTCCCGACAATTGCGCTGACTCAACGAAAGCGACGACGACGCGAGAGATCCTCGGCAACACAAGCTCCGTTCGCTTCTGTCATAACAATAACCGAGTGCCACTGCGATTGCGCTACGTCAGCGCTCTCCGCCGCGAGGAAATAGATCCCCCGCTTCCCCCGGTGCGATATCGAAAACGGTTGGTCTTATTCAAGCTCGCGTGGCTCGAAAAATTCACCGTACATCGTTCGTTCTATTATTCGAATATCGAGTTGGAAACAACGAGCCAAAGCCGCGAATCGCGAGCGTGCGAGGAGAAAAACAATTGCACTTGCACGGAAAGGTGGGAATGTCACTTCGAGAATCGATATACTTCAGAATGAATATTTCGATAGTATCGATATTGCGATATTGCGATTCTCGAAAGTTGTCCAACAGCGAGGAAGTCACGGTCGCGATCGCGCTTGAATCACTTTGTGCGCAGATAGGTAATTTTCGCGAGTATCAATGTTAAAAGTGAATTTTGTGCGCGAAAATCGGGAGTGTAAAGTGCGTGCGGTTTAACGTAAATTGAACACGTGAGATTGTGGCCAATCGACATTATATATCAATATTCGTAATTTCGAGGTCGACGACTTGGAACTACTTGTCAGGACTGTCTTTGCATATTTCACGAGTTTTTCGCCCAACGAAAGTACATAATTGGTGTACGATAATTGTCAGGTATGCATATTCTATAATTGTTTACTGTATCGATTGTACTTTTTTCTAATATTGGAGAGCAAGTAAATGAAAAACCCGCGAATTTTACCGCGGACAAAAAATTTACACTAATGCCCTCTCAGCAGTTAAAGTAGAAAGCTCTTCGTTAATAAACATATGATAATAGAAATAAAACATGATAAATATTGAATGCAGTTTTGCTTTTTCGTGAAGAATAATAGATTTTGATTGTATATGAAAAGTACTGGACAGTAACATAATTATATATAAATCCATACCTAAATCAAAATATTGCAGCACATTTACGGCGTGTTATATAACTCGCTTTTTAAAATCTTACATATTTCATTTAATATTGTTTCCAAATTTATCAATATTCTTTCATAAAATAATTCTAAAAATTCAGTGTAACATTATTTTTAAATATTAATGTAATTTCTTCTCTCAACTTTGCTCTATGAAATATTTGAAAATAATTGTAATAAAATAAAATTAAATATTTTTCTTAAATAAAATTAAATATTTTAATTATTTAATATTTTTTTTAACTTTTCTATCTTTAATTTTTGAACTAATATTCTAGTTAATGTCATTACCTAGCACTTTATCGATTATTTTCAAATATTTCATAGCAAAGTTAAGAGAAAAAATTACATTACACTTAATATTTAAGTACATATCAAATTACACAATGTATAATAATTTGAATAGAAAGAAGATAGATTTTATCATTCTTTATTAAAAGAAGTATGTACAGATAAATCTGTAATTGAATGAGAATTTAAAAAAAATTACTCGGCATCCTCTTCATCATCATCTTCCTGGCTGTTGATCTGGAAGTACCGTAATTCATATGTCTCTTTATCTTTCGAGACTACTCGCAACCAATCTCGCAACTTATTTTTCTTCAAGTATTTCTTTGTCAAATACTTAAGATATCTATAACAACAAAGTTTTCTACATCAGTGCAAATATCGCCCTTTCTGTAGCTTACAATAATTAAGGGGTTATCCCTAATATTATAATTTAATATTTATAAAGATCTTTTTTTACAATTAATCCAATCATAAAGGAACACGAAATTACTCACCGTTTAGAAAAATCCACATCACTATTAATTGAGAGTTTCATCTTATTACGCTCTAAAACAACACTATTGCCGAAATTGTTGGTTTTACCACCAACCTTAATTTTCTCTTGTAAATATTTTTCCTGAAAATCATTACGTCAAAATCAGTAACAATTTTAATTTCATTGATGTTAAATAATATAAGACTAAAATTGGAGCAGGCATAATTTAAGACAGATGTTTACATAAAATTCTCCATGTATAAAGAGGTTAGCATTTACACACTAGGTTATGTCTCATTAATATATTAAATAAACATCTCGAATAGAAATTTCGTTATCGGAAGAAGAAGCTATTACGATAGTTGTACGATGTGTTATGATAATTCAAAAAAGTAACTTACAAAATTGCTAACATCCATAATATTATCTTCTACAGGATGAGTGCAATCGATGGTAAACCTTAGGGACACCTTTTTCTTCTGTCCTTTGCCTCGAAGGACCTGTTTCTTAGCCGGCCCCTTGGCCTTCTTTGTTGTCTAAAAATTCGAAAAAAATAGATAAAATCCTTTTGACGACTATCATCGTTGCATAAAACACGTGTCATTATCCAACGTGAACGATACACAAATCTGACTCGATCGAGTCAATCTCGAAATAAAACGAAAATCCGACGTAAGGCGACTGATAAGTCGAACGCGCTCTTTCTATCTGCGATATTATTTCGTGGAAATTCGGTCATAATTACGAGTGATCGCTCTATTTTCGCGAGAGCGAGAACTTACCGGAGCCATGACGTGCACGGTCGAAGGACGAAAGAGACAGAAATGAAAGAATTGGCTACTGAATGATATGGCGCCACAATCGTTTACACTAGTTTACGCGTGCGTGTATATTCGCTCTGAAATTTTGGCACAGAGCAAAATGCAAATTGTTTCAAGTATTTGTTTTTACGTGAAAATAATTACTTTTTATTCGATTTAATAAAAAATAATATAATAGTCAAAATTACAAAAAATAACGTAATAGTCAAAATTATAAAAAAAGTGATATTTATAATCGATTATTTTATGCAAAAAATAATTACACATATGTGTGTGTGTATGTGTGTAATAAATTTTTTTTTATGAGACAAAAGAATACATGGGATTATTTTTCACAACGTTATTTATTTAAGCCTAATATGCAATAATATTTCTATATTGTATAATATTTCTATTATATAATAATAATCTGATGCTCTTTTCAGTGAGATATACAGTACAAGAAATATTGCAATTAATATAATTCTATTATTCGTACACAATAATATATCAACAGGCTAAGTGTTAAAGCATTTTCCTACAGTAGCTATACTTACAAACCTAAACTTTAGTTCTTTATAATTACTTTAGTGTATAGACAGCTTATATCGAATCTATTATGATTGAGTGAAATTAGCAACATAGTGTATTTTATTTGATAGCAACATAGTATTCCATTCGATAGAGGACACGATTAATACATTAACATTTTTTCTTAAATGACAGCAATAAGTTTTTTATATTTTTGTTGGCGCGCGTTATCGTCCGAAAATTTTACTTAGAGACAAAAGCAGTACGATGATGATGTGCATATGAACATTGTAATAAGAAAATAATAACTATATGCCAATTATTTAATATAGGAAAAGTCTTTTACTTTTTTTCTTCATTTGAATAACATTATTAAATTACATGTTATTATTTTCAAACACTTCAATTTTAAATTTAATTATCGCACGAAGTCATTACGTTAATACTTGAAAATATATGAGGATCAATAATTTTTTTTTCTATAATTCGATTACTTATTCGATACTATAATACATTTATAAGCTAATATTGTTGTTTCAGTTTAAAGGGGAGCAAATTTTCCTACAAATCTATTAAATCTATGAATTGTCTTTAGGTGATACTTACACATTTTTCGAAAGTAACAATTATATTTTTTATATAGAAAGTAAAATATATATCTCGAGTATAATATATAAAGAGTAGTATTAATAATAATTAAACTGTGCAAAGGAGTATTTAGGGAATTACTCGCGTTATTGCATCGAGTATAATTTTCGCAATCGATTGATATAAAAAACTGTATTCGTAATTACATCAATCGCGAAAAGAGATTATTAAAATTTGAAGAACTTTGGCGCAAGAGGGAGTGAAATAAATTCGTGTTCCTTGTCTCAAAAAATTATATTATCCGAGACAATGTTTCATCAAGCCGGATGTCCGGACAAGCGTGAAAAAAATCATTTGTATGGAATAGTCTGTACATGACGTACATTCGAATATTTTCACATTTTTTTCTCGGTCAAGATTGAATTCGAATGATACTTGTATCGATTTTTTTCATGATTTTCTCTGTTTATTACCTCCACATTTTAAACTTTGATATTTAATATACGAATAATGTATATATTTATTTATACGCGTACATAGAGATTTAATTTTACATTGACCATTCGTAATAATGTATATATACATGTATATACGTCGATACACGTACTTGTGTATTTTCTCATCAACAATCTCGTCAACTTCCTCGTGCTTTTCGTAACTATCAGAGCGGAATGAGATTCGAAGGACCTTCCGTGCATTCGCATTGAAAATAAAATTTCGGCTGAATTCTTAATAGGATTTTAGAATTTATAGGATATTTTTTTCTTCTTAAAAAGACTCAATCGATATTTTCATTTAAACCTAAAGGCTAAAGACTAAAAATCACGATATAAAATACAATACAATCAAGTAAAAATTACTTGCATTTAAATACTACATGCATTCGAAGAAAGTTGCTCATTATACAATATAACTATTAATAAAATATTGAAATTACTAATTATCACATCATCGATAGAGGCAAAAATAATTCAATGTTAAAATAATCATGACCGATGATTGAAGGGTTCCGGAGGAAAAAGGAAAAAATGAATCATCGTGAATCTTAAGACGAATGTCAAACAACGAGTGAATAAATCTGGAGAAAAAAACAAATCTGAATAAATTACGAAGTTACCGGCTTCTTCCACCGAACCCTTCATCATGTGGCGATGATAATCCGAATAAATTGCTCTTCGAGGCAAATACGTAGACTAGTTATTTCCGCGGATGAAGGCGTTGCATCAAGGTCGGTCCTTATCACAGCGCTCTTTTTCTCCACTCCTTTTTCGATCACTCCTCTTTTTCTCCGTTCAAGTGCATCATCGATATTTCTCGCATCGTTTACGCGACACTGCGTATATCGGCGTCCAGGTTGCTGATGAACGCGGCGCTGGCGGCCTGCGATGAGCCGCCGCCCGACGACTTTGCACCACTCGGTGCAGCCGCAGCATCACCCGCTGCAGGTGCGGCTGCACCGGGCGCCGCAGCCTGCATACCAGGTTGCATACCTGGCATCATACCTGGATAATTATAATTGGGCGGAGTCGGCGGCGTTTCCGGCATGAATTTCACTGAAACGTTTAAGCGTTAGTATTAGTCTCTAATATTGATAAAGCGACATCAGGGGTTGATAACATAAAATGACAATGGAAAAAGAGAAGGAAAATCGGATACTTTTTTTATAGTACTATTAAATGGCACTTTTAAAATAATCTTTTCCTTGCTGAAAAAATGATTTGCATTTTTGAGATATATCATGTCCATCAATTTCCGTGGATGAATACGTTAGGCTATAGTTGCTGTCTATCATATTAATATTCATAAATAAGGCTAGGTGTATTGATTGCGTTACTGTCGCATTATTCGCAAAAAAGATTAAATTCCAGTAAAATGTATTAATAAAAGTGCATATACCTTGGAATAAAAAATTCTTTCACGTTGGTAAGAAAAAAATTCTCACCATAAATTTTTCGACGGAAGGAAGGGACATACGAAACATGAAAGATTATGATTGTAACAAAATTATAATTGTAAGGAATAAGGAAAGTGATTGAATTGACGAACAAATAATTTCGATTTCTCCATCAAAATCGTCTGTATCTGTGAATAACACAGGATCTATCTTTTATCTATGACATAAAAGTAATGTCGTATTTGGTATCTTTTATTCCCACACTTTTATAACGTTTAACACACAGAAACACATAATTTGGACAAATGAAAAATATACAGGATGTACAACGCTAGAACATAGAAGTTGTATTGATATCTTCATTTCTTTCTTAACAGCTGTATTTTATATTACAGAGTATTCTTTCTTCTTTCTCTCTGTTTTTCTCTTTCTTCCTTTCTCTCTCTCTCTCTCTTTCTCCTTTCTCTCGTTCTTCCTCTCGAAATAATTTCATTCCGTTAGATAATATAGTGTATAGGTATTGTCGCGTTTTATTTTAAATCTTGATACGCTCGGCACCATTTATATACTAACGATAAATTCGAACAGTTATACGAATGGACAGCGAATCAAATAATCTCAAAGCGACGGTAATTAAACACACACGCACAGACACACATACACACATATATCACTGATGTGTCTTCTATTTTTGACACGATCACAGGGACAACCTAAACTTATACGTACAATATAATTCATCTTGTTAATTCAACGATATTTAATCGCAGTGTAATGATTTGATGGCAAAATGGATTAATAAAAATTATAAGTTGAATGAGATGGATTATATTGGTAAAAGCACATATTCTACATTAATTGTCACATACAAGAAAAGAGAAATTATGAGAGAATATAAGTAATATTCTGAAAAATGAAAATAATAAAAAATTTTACATATATAAAAAATCTAAAAATACGATTCCTCCCTTTAGATCTTTTCAATATTTCAGGTATATACGATTCTTTTAAATTATCGATCATATATTGTATTAACCGATAAAAGATTTAAGAATCTGGAACACAGGAATTTTTTAATGAAAGAAAATCGACTATATATATTTACCAAAAAATTAATAATTGAGGAAACACACACATATATCTGAAAAATAATTTAAAAAAAAATATATACATACATATAAATATTGCTTTTTTGAAATTTCATACACGATTCCGCGTGTGGAATGTATTATAAAGTTATACAATTGTCAGATTAAAAAAAAATTCTAGATTGAAGAAAATCAATTAAGAAAAAGATTTAAAATAAAATTTTTATGGATAACCACAGATAAAAACATATCGGCATGTAATAGCAAGTTTATTATTCTTACCTCCTGCTTGGATTTAACAGACACTAGGCTCTTTAATGATCTTCTTCCTGGAAGGCGCGATGCAATATATATTCGATCTTTAATTGATCTTTAAAAATTGTAATCACGTTTAACCGATCATGGTCGAGTGAAAATTCTGCTCTCGAAAAAATAGTATCTTCTTCACATTTACGTGCAGCACTAGTATGATAATAAAAAAAGCAACTGAAGCATCGGGCTTCATTCATTGTCGAGTAGAAATTGTAGAAATGCTGGTGCTTACATGTAGATATAGTATGAGAATTTCACGATCGAAGTGATTTGGTTTAAAAACGGCAAAAAAAAAATTAATTCTCTTCTTCGTTATCTCTTGGTAACTTCAATTCAACTACGCAGTGTATTTTTTATTCGATACTGTACAATGTTCAAAGCGCAGCATCATGATCGCATATTCGCCATTATTAATTAGGGATACGTCGACGGTTAAGATATGACGTACAGCTATGTGTTTATAAGTTTGTGAACATAGAATGATCATTTTAAACATTATATAACTCGGGTCATCTGTGTGCGGCCACTTAGCCCGACAATATCGAAGAATTTCTCATTCGTCGATCGGTTTTTCGCTTTTCAATTTCTGCGATTCTTACGTATTCCACAAAGCAACTCTAGCGACGCGTGGTCCCCAATTTTATTCCCATCGATTATTTTCAATAATATCATAATTTACGCTAAATAATGATCCGTGCTAAAATAATTTGGAAAGAAATAAAAAGTAGAGATAAATCTCATTTTATATATGTACACTTTTTTCTGTCAATTAACGCTAATGATATTAATAATTATAATTCAATAATTGTAAAAAGTTGATATTTTTGAGATTATATGATTTGCTTTTTTTAAAGTGAACATCGACGCAAAAGCAAAAATGATTCGATATCTTGTCGATCAACATATTGAAAAGTCCTTCTCTTTCTTTCGGTGAATTTTTCGAAAGTCACGGTGGAATCTGCAAGAACTCACAGACATCGCACATCGGGACAGGATCGGAGGGAGGAATATTTGCGAAGGATTACGATCGGAAAGATGATCGCTTTGTCTCTCGAAATTATTGCTGAATCAGCAGCAGCAGCAGCAGCACTGAAAAATTAGGAAAGATTGAACGGAAGAAAGAAGGGTAATCGGGTAAAATCGATAGAAATTGACGACGATTTCGAACTCATCGACGAATGATCGATGTATCGCGTGCGATGTGTCATCATTATGAACGTATCTTATCTCGCGAATAAACAATAAAAAGATAATCCAAGGCTGGAACTTTCTGAGCTCCCAGTATCTTCGAATTGAAAAACAACATTCATTTTTTTACGTTATCTGTGAAGCATGAAAATCGCCTCCTCTTTGTCACCAAGATGATCGTTAATGTTTATTATTATTATTAATGTTATCGTTATTATTATCATCATAATTATCATTATTATTAACATGTATACATAACATCTTGTAGATAATTCTTCTTTAAGCCTTAAAACATTATCTATAGCTGCTGTACTCCTTTATATCAAGACATTTCTCTTTTCTATTCTCTCTTCATCCGTTTTTTTAATTCCTTTTTCTCTTACTCGTATTCTTTTCTCTTTTCTTTATTATTTTTTAAATTCTCTGTACACAGATTGTGTGCTCCAAAACATTTATCGCCGTCTTCGACGAAGGCAGGCGACTATCGCAGATTTTCCTATCCCTCCTTTCCATCGCTCCGCTTCGCAATATGTTCTTCGTGTAATTCGCGAAAAAACGCGAGATGTAAGATAAAGGAACAAAGGACGCGTGTGACTTTCTTCGATATAATCAGAGCGGGTTGATCAATCCGATACACAATTCGATAAATGGCGCATGAGGGACAAATGACATATTATTTACAGTTTACATGATTTACATATATGTGTCTATAAAGTAAATGTCTCGATATACATCGTGAACATTTCGTTCGAGTATGTGCGCGAACATGCACTACAGCAACTGCCTTCGCCGGAGAGGTTTTACGTGGTGATTTTCACGGACACCCTGTTTTTTTTTCTTTTTTCCTATACATACATATATATGTATACATATACATATACATATATATATATATATATATATATATACACTTATATATTTATATATTATATGTCGCTGCAACGAATCTTTCTTTCTTTTTCGCAAACATTTCGCGCTTCTTTTTATACAACCATTCTTTTCTCTCTCAGCATTTTTCATTTTTTTCCGTTTTTTTGCGGACAGTCCTGATTAACAAAAATGAAGGAAAGCGCGATGAATATTTAGTCTTATCAATCAAGCGCATTTAATCGCAAACTAGTCCCGCTGCGATAATATCTCTCGAAAAATTTTTGTGATTTGAAAGATGAACAGATCAGTTTGCCAAAATTCAAGAGATAAATATTTCCCTCACTTTACAAAACAATCGCAATAATAACGAAATTGCTACAGTACTTGCGAAATAATGGAATATGATAATAATGAAAATTCTAACAGGATTTTGTGCAAATGTAAATTATATATCGTGCGCAATCTTCTATAATGAGAGTTACGAAGATAGAATCGGTTTAATATGGATATATATCTCTCTCTCTTCTGCTCGATCCGGAAAAAATTGTAAGAGATAACAAAAAAGTTTCATCGCAACGGCTCTCTTCGTCGTTTCCGCTTGAATTAACGTCCTCTGCTTTTGATCAGGATGACCGCCGTCATTCTTCCTCCTTTCCCGAATTGCAAGGCCGACAATCGATCGATTTTCGCGCATAATCGATTCGACGTTACGTCGCGAAGAACTTGGGCAGAGCTCGTCAACGGCTCATCACAATTTCCGTCTCACGAGATCATTATTCATCCTATCTATCTCTTCGTCTCAAAAACTACCTCCTTTTTGTAAACTACTCTTCAATCGTCGCTGCTTCTTCTTCTTCTTTTTTCCTCTCCTTCTTTTACTTTTCTTTTTGTTGCTGTTGTGGTTGTTGTTGCATTATTTTACTTTAGCTCTTACTCTCACGCTCAATTTTGCGTATTGCTGCCGCCGGTGACGCTCGCTGAAAACAATAACAAGATTTGTTCTCTTCCATTGATTCATGGACAGCGATGGTTCAGCCATGCCGTATTCCTCTTACTCTCCTTTTCCTCGGTTTTTAAATCTGTGTTTTTTCCGTTCTTTTTTTAAATTTCTTCTCCTTTGTTTTTATTTCGCATTTTTTTCGCATGCAGAAACTCGCAATGAATCGCGCTCGTCGTAGACAAATGTTTTTAAATTTAACTAAAGAGATATTTAGTTGATTTATAAACATTATTTTTATAATAAAACTTTTTATAATAAAAGTGTATTAGTGTGTATATGAAACTTTTAAATTATCGTTAATAAATATACATATGAAACTCTTTCTCTCTCTCCCTTTTAATATTTAAAAAAAAATTTCATAATTATAAAGAAAAATTTATAAATATAAATATAAAATTACATATTTAAAATTTACATCTTTTGCATACAGTTGTCTTCGACGAAGCGTTTTGTAAATTAGAATCATTCGCAGTTTGAAGCTACATGACACAGCCCGTTAGCTATAAAGACAATTTGCATGCATGTAGATACAAAAAGGCACAGATGAGTATACGAACGGCATTCGGTATGTGAATTTCTTTTTGTGAAAATAATTAGCAACAGCAATAATTGCAACAGCATTAATTGCTCTTGCCAGAAGTTCCATTTAAAGGATCTTTTTTAAACATGATATCTAAATCCATGAAAAATATCGTTGCAATTTGTAGGAAATTCTGGCTAAATCTTTGGCTGAAATTTCTTTCTGTATTACAAGCTTTCGCCATACACGTTTCACATAATGGATAAGCCATGCTATATTGAGATATTGGTTTTTAATCGAGGGAGAAATAATCAAATCGATGGTACATGCATAATAAGAGGTCAAACACGACACGCGAAGATCGTCCCAGAAACATTTATACAGTTAATTCATATCTATATTAAAATGCATTATTAAAATATTTATTTCTTGAGGATACGGTGTATGAGAGAGTTTCACGCTGTACTAGTTGAAAAATGTCGAATGAAAATAAAAGGAATGTGAAGAGAAAGAGAAAAACATGCAAAATGGAATATATATAAAATCGTTAATATTAATTTATATTATTAATAATATATTTATCATATACATTACATAATATGTCATTAATATATATTATTTTAATGTGCAATTTTAATATGCAAAAAAATAGAAATGAATCAATTATTAATATGTATCGAAAAGTAAAAAGTACATATATTTAAATATATTTTCAAGTAGAATTAATTTCATGTAATTACGAAAAAAACAAAAAATCTTTTCTATGTAATACAATGCACATTATAAATTTGAATGAAATTACATACAAAATTTTTGCAAAGATATAATCAGTAAAAAAAAGTAAATAAGAGAAAGTGCTTAAAGAAGATTTAAATTGCATTTTGGTGGAATAATGAGAGAGAAAAAGATAGATAAGTTATATCGGGTGCAACAATAAAATCATAGCTTACCGTACTGAAGAGTAGAATAGGATTAAACAAAAACTTTGAGAGAGACCTTTTTGTTATAGTTGTTGTAGTTGTAGTTGTTTGATAATTCTTTCTGTTGTCGATATTGTGGTTGTTGTTGATGTTGTCATTTGTCGTTGTGGTGTTTTCATTTCTCGGTGGTATTGTTTCTTTATTTCTGTCGCAGTCGCGAATCACAATTTTTGAAGCTTCACATTCTTTAGGTTGTTTCACGTATTTACACACTTTTTTGTGTTTTTCTTTTTCTTTGTTAATTGACCACCAGAAAATTGAAAATCACTGCCTGGGACCAACTTCAGAAAGAGGGTATCGCCGAAAGTACAGACAGACACATAACAACGATTACAATTGTAACACAGACACACACAGGGTGAGGTAAATGATTGTGTCTCGGAAAAGTGTCTTCTTCATTAGAAGCGAATCTTTCATTCATCGGTATCCCTTAATGAAAAATCGCTGATTTTCAATATATTAAGTATATATATATATACACAGAGTATATATTTAAATTAATTAAAAAATGACAGATATGTCATGTTAAAAAGATATAGATTTTATTATAGCGAGTTTCTCATCTTTATGTGGATTTTAAAAACACGCTGAACATGTGAAATAAAATATTGAGAAGATTCCTAACAGAAAGATATACAATGAATTTTACGAATTATTTATACTTAACGTTGATTTGTACGTTGTGTTGTGATAAAAAAAAGATTCAGAAATGAAAGAGGACATCGTCGAAAATTTATGAAGATGTATAATATATTACCATGATATTTTTAATTGGAGAGTACTTTCCAATTAAATTGATAGTTTATAAATATGCAATGACTCAGAGTAGTGAGGGATAGTGGGAAGAATAACGGTTTTTATAGAAAATACACGTAGCAACAGATAAATCAGCAAGTACCTATCACACAGGCAAACACAATGTAACATTGACTAGAGAGATGCCAGTTTTATAAATGCATGAACAATTTGTTCGTTTCTCACAAAAAGCGTAATAATATTAATAATAATAATAATACAATATAATTATAATTATTGTAACATTGTGTCACATTTTATTACCTAAATTTTTGAGTTTAATAATAATTTTGATAATGAAATGTCCATTTAATTCCTTATAAAACTGGCGATACTTGATACGTGACATTATCAAAATTAAGGAATATTCTGAAAGCTCTGGGTGAGTGGAATTTCAGTGTCGGATGATAAACAACGAGAACGAAATCAGAAAGTTTGTAGATTTAGGGGTGTACATTTTCTACGACAAGTAAAAAAGAGGTACGAAAAACGGGGTGAGAAACAACAATGGTACGCAATGTCGCAATTGTTTTGCTTTCTACCTTCAGATTCACTCACACACAAATCTCTTCCACCAATCAGCGCGCCTACATGAAGTTCGCTAGACGGAAAAAGAGAAATACATACATTTCACACATGTTAGATGATGAATGGACAAAAGGAAGACAGAATGACACCTTTTTTCAGGCGGATCACACCGGTAGCGGTGTCTTTCATCTCATCTCATATCCCTCGTATGATAAAGACGTATTCTTATAAAGAAGCAATATTTTCATTTCGTTTATAATAATCCACCAGAATGATATTTTTGCGAAATAGAACTTTAATAGATTCGAAAATTATTCGGAAATAGAAAGGAAACGTTCGCGAATATGATGTTTTTGAAAAAATCCGTGAAAATGGATTGAGGTCAAATAATTGACATAACTCAAGCAAAGCACGATAGACAATTTGTTTCGGCACATTTCTTCGAGAAATCTCGAGAGATCCCTTCAAGAGGATTTCTCAAAAGCTATGCAAACTCGTAGACAACATTTTGCTTGTCACATCGCGTCGTTTTTCGCATCGTGCAAACATAACCGTTTATAGATGTCTCCTTAGCACAAAGGGTATAGATTGACAGAGAGACATTAATCAAGAACGACTGATTCAGATGCGAAACACGATGAACATCAAGCTTTAAAAAGAAGTTAGTCTATTTGCGGTAGAAGGTTCATATTTGTTTGTATCGAGATAAGAATTTGAAAATAAAATATAGTTATTAATTTCTGTAACTACATCTATCTAAATAATATTCAATTGATTAAATCTCGACAAAGGGTCGACACTTCCACCATATCAAAGCAAAGAGCGCCTTAAAGAGAGTAACACTGAATTAGTCGCTTGAAATCGGGACGAGATATACATCGGGACGAGATGGCACAAAACATTTAAACAGTTACAGTGGCAGTGTTGACAGCTGTTAAACGTCAGTGTATTAGTGAGGCACTTACCGACAATAATGGCCAGTACGATGAGTCCGATGACACCCATGATGATCATCATCTATTAAAAAAGAATACAACAATTATTATTAAATGAAAAAAATTTCAAGCATTGTGATAAATATTTCTCAATTATTAAAACTTTACGCTTACCTTTAGATTCTGTAGCCAGAACTTTCTCTTCAATTTTCCTGCTTGCTGTTCAAATTGTGACGCTCCTTGTTGGAGTGCATCTGTAAATTACGCAATTGTATGATATCGGGAGTTGCATTTTAAATTAAATTTAAGTATAATTTTATTATTATTATTTTATTATTATTTTATTTTAAGTATAATTTTATTAAAAAGAAACAAATTTCTGTAATTTATTAAATGCAGATAATGTGAAGTACGAAATATACGTTTGCACAATATATAGCGGATTGCGTGAGAAAAGATCGACCAGCCACATAACGTGGCATCGATTCGAGCGTGTCACAGTAATCGATATCAACGTGTAGTCAGACGCGCAGGGTCGAACTACTTTGCCATGAATGGAAGATGTAGCCTTCACGCGAACATATACTTTCTACTTAGTCAGCAAAAACATAATGGATGTGAATATTATAACATCATATCTTGTAACGCATGTGTGAAATAAATTACAACAAATTGAGTAAATCTATTGTACCGTTTACAATTGTGCATTATAAATCTATAGCGATACATTTTTTGTATAGTATCTTCTTATACACAAGAATAATGTATATTTCATTCTTTTTTGAAATGAAATCATTTTCATTCTTTTTTAAAATATTAATTAATCTCTCAGGGTACAATAAATAATGTCCAGCATGAATGAACGCATGCAGATATAGAAGCGGTAAACAATAGAGTGACGTGTATAATAATTAATGAGCATATATCAGTAATGGACAGTATATAACAGAGCACAAAATGTATATAATCGCAAAATAAAATACGGCAATAATTCGATGAAATAGATTTAGAAGATTAATGATCGATGAAACTTGCAATGAAACTTTTAATCGGGAACGACGATCGCTACTGATTCTCTTTCTCTCTCGCGAAATTTTTATTATCATAAAGGCCTCACCTGCTCGATCGTCAAGCTCGGAGAGCTTTTGATCGCGCTCGAGGACCTTCTCGACGTTCGTCTTCATGATGTCGACGACCTCGTCGACTTGCGCTTGCGTCGCCTGCAGCCGCTTCTGCGAGGCGATCTGCTGGGGCGTCCTGGGGCCGCCGACGATGCCATCGGTGCCTGCGCCTGCACCTGCCGCTGCATCCGGTGCTAAACCACCCTCTGTAGCCCTAGAGAAAAAGACGTGGTTTTTCAAAGATGATTGCCATAAACGATTCTTATAAAGAAAAGAATATTTATTTAACATTTATATTAAATATCGTGTATATTATATAATAATATTATATAAATAATATATTATATATATCGTATGCAATATTAATATTAATTTTAATGTTAACATTAAAGTACGCGAGATATCATAAATAAACGTGCGACCTTTATAAATGTATCAATTGCCGCTTGAGAGAGAATATTGGCAACATAAAAGTGTTAATATAACTGTTTCAATAAAATCTAATAATTCAAAAAAGAAATAGTAATAAAATAAAATATAATAATAATAGTATTTTTAAATGCGCGAATATTATTTCAGAAATTGAATGTGTAAAATAAATACGCGTTAAAAAGTATAGCTATCGTGTATAATATTGAAATCATATATTTATTAAATATATGATATTTATTATCGATGCATTTCACGATTTGTTTAAACTGCGTGATTTATTTGCATTTTTGTAACGTGCTCTTCTAACGATTCTAAAAACGTGAAATAAATGCGCAGATAGAGCGTCCTGGGACATGCGAGCCAGGAATTATAGTACCATCATTGCATGGTGCTTGGATGCTGCGAGATTTTCCCCATATCAAGCCGCGGGTGGAAACCGTCGCAAAAGGGCAAAGTTCATGACACGATTTCACCATTCACGCTGTTTAATGGCAAAACTCGATGCGTATTACCTACGCATTTTTCACCTACTATTTTCTAAGAAGTATAATAACGATGGTAGTAACGCGAACATTGGCTGAAAGCGCATTAAAAAACTTTCTCGAGATGAGCAGAGTGAAAGGTCATTGATAAGGTCGACTACTCGTGTGTGGCCTCAGGAGATTGTAATTCATAGTCCACGTGCATACGAATATTCAAAGTTAAACAATTGCAATTATCTGTTATGAAATCAGTTTGTGAAGCCTTAGCATATATAATCATGGATAAATCCATATCAAACAAATAATAATTATTGCATATTTTTGATTAATTATATTCAAAAATTATTCATGAAATAAGAAAATATATTTTTACACTGCACGCTTTTTCAAATATATTTTTTCCATATCATCCATATCAAACAAATAATTATTATTGCATATTTTTGATTAATTATATTCAAAAATTATTCATGAAATAAGAAAATATATTTTTACACTGCACACTTTTTCAAATATATTTTTTTTCAATAATTTTATATAATTTTATATCAGAATAAAGCACTATGTGTAACCATTTTTAATTGTAGCATTTTTTAATGTAATATTTTTCTGTAAAGTTTCAAAAAGGATGAATACAAATATCATTTTCTATCCACTGTATATGGAAATGTCCTGTACAGGGATTTGAGAATTATATATAATATTATATGCGTATATCGGTCGTATTGCTTATTTTTACTAGATTTCCGACATCAAATCGTATGACCTTTAGCACAGAACGAGACTTTTCCGGAACTGCTGCGAGTATAATGTCAATTTAATTACCCAACAACTTATGCGCGTATTGAGATAATTTAGTTTTCCATTTCTTTCCAGGTCGTAGCATATCTTTCATCAATTTCCATTCATTCGTCAAATATATAGTATATATAATCAATTAATTGATTAAAAATTATTCATGAAATACATAGATAGTAAAATTTATTAATCAACTAATTGATCAGACAAAGTTACATAATTATACCGATAAAATCAATCAACTTATATATTGCATGAAATTAATTCTTGTTGTGAAAAAAATTTCCATGATTATCTAATATTTTATAGTTGGCGATATCTACGATTCGAGAAACGCTAGTTAGGGCGAATGAAAAAGCGGTCGACGATAGATTGCGGGTTTTATTTTTGGCCAGATACGATCGAACGACCGAGTGGCAACAGCCGATCGATCGACTATTCGAATAACGCTGGCAGAATAGTTAAACATAGAGAAATGTCGTACGTGCCTATTCCCTGGATTGTTTTCATTGAGATGTCGGATGCAATATCAACAGAATATTTGGCCATGGCGTCCAGTATTTGCCGCGATATTTCGACGGCAATTCCAGTTGATACAGTTTACATCAATCAACAATGTAATTAATGAACAATTATATTGAAGTAATTATATGAAGTAATTATTTAATCCAAAATTAATTGAAAAATAGAAAGATTATGTAATTACATATATATATATATATATATATATATATATATATATATATATAAAGTCTAAATGTCTACATTTTTATTGATATTGTTTTATTAATATAACTTTTCGATATTTATTGAAGTATATGCAACGATAATTTTCTTTTTTTTATGTGATTCAAAAATTCCTTTTATTATTGATTATTTCAATATAATTATTTAACATTAAATTGATTTGTTTGTTGGCGAATAAATTTTCTGATTTATTGAAATGGTTTTTTTTCGAAAATTTCTGCTGCTCTATTCTTTTTTTATTGTAATAATTTTATAGATACTTGAGAGATATTTGTCGGATTATTTTTCGATATAGTTGTGTGCATCATGCGTAAAAACCAAGAATTATTCACCCTATGACGTAAAATGGGATACGTAATGGAATTAATATATCGATCGCAAATATGTCTTCATTCTTGTTATTAGATTAGTAGAACTGGCACTGAATAATCAATAATTATAGAATTTGTGTAAAAATATTATATTTAAAATCTTTATTTCTCATTTGCAACAATTAAAAGTTCGTTATAAGTACTCTTCAAGACAAAATAACGTTGTTACTTCTAAATAAATTAATAAAAAATAAAAAATATTAGAGCAAATGATAAGAATATATGGTTCGAGACAATTAATCGAATTTTAATACATATAGTGAATTAATATATCAAATTACTTATTCTAAAAATTATTGATTTAATTTTGTATAATTAATAACTTGCATATCTCTCATATGTAATTTTCCAATAATTTTCAGAATTATGCCATTCAAAGGGAAACAGTAATTTCATTAAATTATCTCTAGAGACTCTCAAGGAGTAAATTGCAACCGATATATCGCGATAGTTAGACTGTTGCGCCTTGAAGATTCCGTCTTTGATCGACGTACAAACAATCCGACAAATGGTTCATTGTTCGCCATACGCGTCACAACGTTACGCGCGAACCTTTCCGTCTAGCAAAGCCGTAGAACATTGCCGTAAATGTGCTCATCATTGATTATCTAAATATAGAAACTGCGAGTCGACATGTAGTAGCAGAGCGGTGCGATTCGCGCGATTGATCCCACCTATATATACAAGTATATATGTAATAGATTCCCGAATGATCCAAACGTATCAAACGTGCAAAAAAATACTGCGTAAAAAATATACATGGAAAGCGCTAATCGTCAAAGAAGCAGGAATTTTTCGCGCGAATAGATAACATGCGTGATAATGTTCGTCAATCTCCGTTGTAATCCATCGCGAACGCGAAACAATTCGAAATTATCATGTGTCCTTCAAAAAGATAGAGCCACCCTCCCTCCCCCTTCTTTCTCTCTCCTCGCTTATCGACAATGTGTGGGTGCTATAACGATAGGCAATGTTTGAATCTATCAAAATTATCCAAGATAGCGAAATACTCGAGCACGTAACAACTATATATATTGTTTATAAATATATTATCTCGATTGACCGAACAAATGTAATATCTATAATCGAGCTAGAGTGAAGAGAGATAAAGATGAAAACAGGAAATGTGCAAAGAATTGAGGAAAGCAAGAAATAGGAAGCTACATATTGGTTTTCAAAATTATAATTAACATATAGTTGTACCATCGTCATAAATAATATTACCGTATATATAAATAATATTAACTGAATAAATAATATAAATAATATAATATAACTATAATATAACTAATATAACTAATAATATAAATAATACATACTAATTAGTATATTAATATAGTGAATGTTAGAAAGATTCGCGAGAGAAATTTAATATATAAGAGTGAAACTTTTTTCATATGCAGCATCTCGTCAATATTTTCCACAATCGATTTCTGCCGTTTTTCGAATCAAAAAAATTCGCATCATACATCATTGAATGAGATGCGTTATTCGTATCTTGAAAGTTCAAAAGATCACGGCGCGTTGCGAGTCGCCTCTCGATTTATATCTCTGTCAACGAAATCGAGTCCGCGTATATATAACGGGCTCCGAGAGACTCTTCGTTGCACTCTATCGGAAATTCTGTCGTGTGCTGCGAACGGACGGGTCGTGCGAGGAGGATCGATTGGCGACGACAAGGGCCTCGGCAATTGCGTCTTAAAACGCATCTTACAACGTCGTGGCTGTCGCGATATTCTCGCCCTCCTCGCCAAGTCTTGCGCGATCCTTACGCGGTTTTGCGCATTCATACATCCGCGAAAAGTCGAATCGATTGCTGCTCCCCGCGAAACTTTTCGCGTGTAAATCGCGATGAGCGATTTAGAGCACGAGGTATAGTTCCTGTTCTATAATCGCTCATTGATCTAGTTACACGTCGGACGCGTTTTACAGTTTGCGGACAGGACATGGGAGGCCATTTATGCAAGTGCTTTTCGATTCATTGATCACGGAAAACGCTCACGAAATTCACTCTCGATGCAGCTCGACGGGACAATCGCCATTTGTATTATCGGTCCAACGCCAAGCAGAAACTAGGAAACACACCTTTTCAATTTTCTTACGCGAAACTGATGTGCTCGATGCTCGCGATTTCCTACTTCTCGCTGAAATACAGTGCGGTCTTATATAAAGTCTAGTCGGGAAACTTTGACGCCTTCGAAACATTAATACGTCTCTTGGACCATCCTTGATTAATATTATATTCCACAGCCGCGTGTATCTCGATTATCCTCAGATAGCATTTCACAAGGACTCGTTCGCGATCGAAGACCGTTTCCGAGAATCTCACGTCACGAGACATCATCGGATAATCGCGAATACGTTGAATCACGCGACATTTCCGCGGATCCTCGCGCCTCGTTTGCTCGGAAAGCAATTCCGGCTCGGAAAGCGGCGGACGCGCGGATTATCACGTGTACTCACATGCTCGTAGTAGTCGATCGCCTCGGGCTCTTTCTATTCCGGCAATCCTCGTCGGTTAATCGGTCGGCTCGGCGTCAACCCCCGGTCGGCGTTCGGCGCGTAACTTTTCGCGAGCGACTGCCACAGCGAGACTAGATGGCCGCCGCGGTATTGATAAAATTTCCAGCGACACGCCGCCGCGCCGCGATATCGCCGGCGCGCGCGCTTCGACGATATATCTCGATCGTATTCCTCCACCCTCGAACTTTGGCCGTCGCTTCCGTCCGACTCGCCGCGACGATCACGCCCGAGGACCGCGGCGAGGATTTCGCCGAGGAACGCGGCGAGGATGTCGCCGATCGGCCGACGTTTGGTGCGAGACACGCGCGGGGAAACGTCAGACAGGATCGCGGGGATGGTGCGTTTGAAAGCGCGACGAGCACGCCGAGGATCGATCTCTCGAGAAGGAGTCGACAGGGTCGACGGACGATTCTCCAACCCTCCCCGAGCGCGCACGCGCGGCCGATTTTGGTCAATACGACGGTCCCGATGCCGTTTCGCAACCCCCATGCGCGAACACACCCTACACCACCGCCAGGAACGTGCTCGCGTACGGGGCACCATGTGCGTCCTCACGCATGTCGATGCGTATGAGAGAAATTGTCCCATCTGAGACTCATGTAAAATAGGGGTAGAATTTTATTGATAATGTTTGTTTTACGGAAATGACGCATCTCTGCGAAATGTAATAATACAGTCGTTACGATGAAATGATTTGTCTCTCTCGAGACAAATTGATATTTGTGTGTTTATGATTCTAGAATCATTATCAGCTGATTGTGCAATAGCTGTTGAATGAATTTGTAGGATACCGATTCTCAGACTTTTCGATTGTCTACGAGTTACTTCACACAAGCTATACCAGCTCATGTGAATTGACAGTTATTTAAAATATGATTTTTTTCAATAATGTACTTTGATATGTGTAAAAGAATTTTTATAGAAAAATCTTATGATAAATCGCATTGGCATAAATTTCAAGTGTTTACGCATGTATCATTGCGTAATGTATCAGAGACATGGGAAGAAGGTATCGCGGCCTGATCGCGCTTTCGATACATCGAAATTAATATTTGGCGTACGTTCCTGGCGACGCGGTGCAAATACGCGCACGTGCGCAAATCCGCAACATGTTTTATTTATGCCTTCGTCCCTCGCAATTTTCTTGGTGAGTCACGTCGGTGTCACAGTGAACGACGACGCTCGTCCAAAATGCTTCTGCGATATTGCTCGTACGCTCGATTATGGCAACTCGTAGCGGTAAGTGCGATCGTAACTTTTTGCGGCAATAACTTTCTACGTATTATTACGTATTGTCTGCGTTGTCGTCGCGAACAATTGTTTCAAGCCCGTTCAATTTTATTTTCCGGTCAACGAAGATGGCCGCTCGAGAAACATCATTAGACTTGTCATTCGCGATTGAAGTTTCGAGACGAAATTAAATTGCAATTCCATCTAATTAACAACAAATCGTTACGAGATACTTTGGTAGTTTTTTCTATTTTTATTTAACTCTTTTGCGCGTTTATGTAAATACTCTCGATTGTACTCTTGATTATGAAAAAAATATTTCAACTTGATAACATCTAGTTAAAATATGACAATATAGAAAATAAAAGCAATGCAATATTCATGCTACAAATATTGTGAAATATTGAAATTGTAATTTTTTAATAATGATAGATTGCTTAAAAATATACATAATTGATTGATTTGATAACAATTAATTCTGTTGTGTATGTATCGATTATAATTAAATTATTTTATTTACATTTATTTTAATATTAATTTTAGTATTATTTTAATATTGATTTTATTTTAATGTTGTTATTTTAATAATTGTTGTATATATATCTGTTGTGTATATATATCGAATATAATTTAATTATTTTATTTACATTTATTTTAATATTAATTTTAATATTATTTTAATATTAATTTTATTTAATATTGTTATTTTAATAATGTTATTTTAATAATTGTTATTTTAATATTGTTATATTATTTTAATAATGTTATTTTAATAATTGTTATTTTAATGTTAATTATTGTGCATTATTATATTAATTTGCAAATTAATATAAATTGATGAAAATTTATTAATGTATAGAAAATTAAATTGATGTATGAAAATTTGATTGATGACTAGTAGATTATCGTTTTTATCGACACAGAAATTTCGACTATTGCTAGATGGCGCGAGGAGACTGTAATTTGACGAACTGTTATTAATGTGATAGCACGAGGCAGCACGAGACTTGTACCACATTTTGTTGACTCTAATAAGTTATTATAAACTGTACACACAAATTACGGTCGAAAAGAAACGACTTTCGATTGATTCAATCGTACATTTTTGCCATTTTATTCAATCCTTGGTGAGCATATTAAAATATCCATGACGTCATAATTATCGCCATCTTCGGCCTGTCATTTCACTGTTGTCGCTATAAACTGTAGTCGTCATCGTAATAATTCCCATTATATTCGTTGTGTCTATATAGATTTTATTGATTATCTTGACTTGTTCCTGCATTTAATATCTTTAAGTAAGTGGCAAACAAGCATTTATGCAGTATTGAAATCATTATAACATAATCGCTTTAGATACCGTATTGATGATTTCATCACTTTTTACAATTGTATCTCTTTATTTTTTATTTATATGTGCAAGAATTTCTTTGTACACAAATTTATTAATGACGGAGAACGATAAATATTTCGCAAACTGCCAAATATATAAATAAAACTCGTCTAAAGAGAAACATATGTATGACTTTTGAGGTTATGGGCGTGTGCTTATTAATTATCGATAATATAATTCCTTCAAAAATTATCGAATAAAATAGACAAATGCCTTTTATATTATTTATTCCACAATCGAAGATAATCCACGTCATTAATCCACGTTATAAATTGGCAAATGGAGTAATTATAAATTTTGGGGGAGAGGTTAATTGTAAAACATTTTTGCTTCAGGACTATGGAAAGTGGAGGTGCAGGAGAAGGAGAAATGGGTGGGCCACGAAACACTCAGCAAGCAGGAGCGAGCAAAAAGTTGCAACAAACGCAAGCAACAGTGGACGAAGTTGTGGGTATAATGAAGGTTAACGTGGAGAAAGTGTTGGAGCGAGATCAGAAACTCTCAGAGCTTGAGAATCGCGCTGACATCCTTCAACAAGGCGCAACGCAATTCGAACAACAAGCCGTAAAATTGAAACGGAAATACTGGTGGAAGAATCTCAAAATGATGATTATCATTGGCATCATCTGTGTTGTTATCTTAATCATCATCATTGGTGAGTACATCATTGGTGAATATACGATGTATTCACAAATCTTTAATTTGGTATAGTTATATATTATTCTTTTCAATTTTTATGATAGCTTCGGTTGTACCAAGTTCATCTTCAGACAATCCTGATAATTCTCCATGATAGCATTATACCAAAGGGTGGATACTGTGTTGTCCCAATCAACCATCCTCTTTCTTAAGATAAGTTATGCATTCGATGAATTATGTACAAGGGGATTGTAAAGCGCTAGGTGAAACGTGATTGTGAATTATATATTTATATAATGTTTATGTAATATTGTCACCCACATATACAATCTGCATCAAAGAGTATATTTTTGAGAACCAATATTATATCGAAATGCACGCACAATTATTAGACTAACAACCAGTATTAATAAGAGTGGCCTTCTCTTTTTTAAAAAAGCAAAAGAACTATCTGGTGTTTTTACAATGTTAATCTTGTTACAATGATGCTTATAAATTTATTGATGATATGTAATATATATGTTTGTACTCTTTCCGATCGAGTTTGTCAATATTAATTCTCTTTCAATCTCCTTCATCTATTCCATCCCATGTATGCAGTAATTGAAATCAGACCCAAGTAATTTTTTGTGAAATGATTATAAACGTTTATATCCTACATAATACACAATTGACGTAGTTTTCTTTAAAAATAACATCATGTTTAACGTTATTGAAGTCATTAGAAATATTACATGAGTCATCTCTCAGCATTGTAAAAACAAGCATTGCACAAACGCATAATTTTATCGCGTTCGAATTCGTGCCCTTTCTTCTTCTACCTCGATTATATACGTAGAAAATGTCAGTTGTTCATAAATATTTATTTTTTATCTAACAGTCCGAAATAACATCGATTTTAATTCAATTCGGCAAAAATAGTTTGGATAAAATCGGAAATTCAAAGTTGACTTTGCGAAAAACATTCATTTAATTAATGTTGCAATGTGACTAATTGCATCATAGAAAAAGAAAGATTTACATAATACAGTGATAAAAAATCTGTAGATAAACGTGAAAAATATTTAATGGACGTCTCGCAAGTAGCGCGTGATAAAAAATCTGTAGATAGATAGATAAACGGAAAGAATATTTAATGGACGTCTCTTAAGTAACACGATTCAAATTGAATATGAGGAAACATTTGGTCATTTTTAATAGCACAAAATAAATTATCCATATAACTGTTGCTCTATACATTTGTGTGTAAAATATATACATATACGTAAATAATAATATATGCTTTTTTTAAATAGAAAATAGATAATTATTTTTTAACAACGTAATATTTGTTAAAGAAAAATTTATTACGTACAAATATTAATATATAAAGATATAATTGAAATCTAATACTTTATATATATACATATTTATGTATTAAATATTTGTTGAGAGTAATATAGTTTATATGTACAACTATACGTATATTACTCTGAATAAATATATGACATATAAATCTGTATGTATATATATAAGGAATTAAATCTCTCAACAACATCTTATAAATAATTTATTATTTATACACTAACATATACATGAGACTCACTTTGAAACAATACAGAATAAAAAATGAAGCAAGATTATTCTCAGACATTGACGCGTTTTTCCTATTCATCATTCGATTGTTTGGTAGCATGATTCAAACTCGGAAGCACCATATGATTGAAATGTCACACGAAAAGAAAATTAGAGTATTTCTTTAATGATCCATTAGTATCGTTCTTCTATCGATTGACGCACGTTAAGTCATTCGGCAAATGGTCAAGGTCGACTGTTGTTACTCGCGTATCATAACACCTCATATTGCGTGCGAGCGAAATGACGATGGTTAGTGAAAAAGGTCGCCGGCCACAGCCTCATTAAACGAATTCGTCGAAAATTGCCCATGGAGTTGAGTCACTTGTCTTTCGCATCGGTCCATAAGAAAAATGTTTACGAGAGAAATGTCGATTCTAGTGTTTCCTTCAGCGAGTCATCGCGTATAATCGCAAAGCTCGATGATAGAACCTTTCTTTATCGATGTTATCAATCATCGTACAGTCTCGGAAAACATCATCAGATAATATTAGATTGCGAATACAATTTATGATTTCACGGATCAAAGTGGCTACGATTTCTTCGTTCTCGAAGGCGTTCATTTTCAAATTTATTTTTGAAACTCGAAATTATTATTTTTAACGCATTATTATGTACATATATTTTATAGTAAAAACTTATCGCGAGAGAATGAAAATCACGCATCGTTCTAATCCGCGTGCACGTCTCCTCTCGCCGCGGCGGAATTTCGCGAAACGCGGAGATCTGTCACGTGCTCCGATCATCATCGGATCCTCGTCACGCGAGACGTCGAAGGATCGATCGCGAGGAGGAGCGGCACTGTCGCTCGTGCCACCGCCGACGTATAGGATTTTGAATTTCCTGCAAACACAGTGACTGAAATCTCAGCCGCTTCATTCATATACCTATCAGTCGGCTCACGACCGTCCAGCCGGGCAGTCAGAGGCGCCCGCGCGCTCTCGCCGCGTCTCGACAGTGATTTCGCGTCGGGTTCATCTCTCGAATCGACGATAATTCCTGACAGAAAAGTCCCGCTTTATTCGACGAGGTGTAAACCGCATGCACATACATGGTAAACCGGTACCACTGCCGTCTTTTCGTACAACGTAACGCGAAGTAAGTCGGTGTCTTGGAGATTTTCCGCGCATCTCTTCGGCTCCGATCGGTCGAGAATTTCGGAGACACGAGACTTCAAGTAAGATGTTTTTTTCAAGCGTTTATCTAAAAGTGTCCTTTCGATTTTTTTTTTTGAGAATTTCGCGAATGTAAAATTCCCAATATCGAATTCGATCGATTCTGTCAATCGCGATACTTTGATAGAATGATAGAATCACGATTCAGGAATAATTAACTTGATAAAATAAATAAATAAAGTATTTTTAAAGTGACAGAATCGCGACCGAGTGATAATCGCGCATTGTGACGAGCGTATTTGGTTTGCAAAACACCCTCGGTGTCAATATTTACCGGCTCGAAGGTTCACTTTGCGCATAAAAAAACCTATAAAAAACGATCGGTGTTTCTCACCGATCGAGGTGCAGTCTCTGATCACGTTGGACCGGCGCGATTTTTACATATCAGGCCGCGAGTTTGCACAGTGACTGGACGATATTCTCAGCCTTACTTTATCTCGCTCGCGATTTCCACGCTGCAAAGATCGTGCGCGGTTTTGACATGACGCCTTTTGTGCATCTTTTTCGAAAACGCGGTCTTCACGATTTAAATCGCCAGTCTACGAGATTTTATGCTCTTTGTAACGCGTTTAACGGTTCGCTAACAGCCACATAATATAGTGCTTATTTTACAAAATATGTAAATCAAATACGAGGTCATATTTCTTGAGTGTGGTTTTATCAATGCGATAAATTTGGAGTGAGTCGCAAAGTTAACGGAATCGATAGCTATCGAAGCAAAGATACAGGCGTTATTTCTGCAACTGATTCTCGAGGTGTTCTAACGTTCCGCGACAAGAGTTATATTTCGTACAATAAATCGGGATTTTATTTTCGCATTACGGAATAAAATAATCATTTTTTCATTTGTCAGAGATTTATCTCGATGAGAAGAATTTTTCTCTCAACACATTGAATTTAGTTTCAATTATTATCACCGCGTAATCGATTTTTGAATTTTATTCCGCTCACGAGAGATTTTGTTAACTATAACATTTGGGACTCCGAAAATCTTGAGGGTAGTGTGTTCTATAGGTCAATCATCGATGAATTGCCGCTGTTATAAGGGAAGAGAACGAGGAAGAAGAAGATCGGACGCCTTCAAGAATCAATCGTGGACAAAATACTAAATTTTAGTCTGGATTCATCTCCGATTCTTCTGCTCTTTCCATCCCTATCTTGTTCTTCTCATCATCATCTCTGACGGAAATTTTTTGCTGACGGAAATTTTTGTTAAAGACAACTTTTTGATTAAAAAATTTTATCACTTTCCGAAACGAAATAAGAAATCAAGATGATGTCACAAGAAGAAAACGAGGAGTACGGACTGGGGTATCAGAATACTTTGGTAAGTACCCCATTTGAATCTTATGCAATTATTACGAATTGATATCGATGCGAGATTATTGCAACCTAATCAATATATGATGATTGATCGTAAATAATTTTTATTTTTTAATTCTCGTATTTTACGAGCTTTCCTAAATAGTAAGAAGCTTGTATAAAGTGAAGAGAGATTTTTTTCTTAAATAAATTTCTGTAATAGAAAGAGCGTGATTTAATGCATATATTAAATAGCTTGATTGCTCTCTATGTTGATTCTAAAAAATTTATTTCAGTCTTCGACAAATTATTAGATACAAAGTAACATTTCATAAAAACATTCGTAAAAGATTATATATTTTGGTATTACCTGATAAAAAAATGTCAAAAAATTATTCTGAACATTTCACGTGCGGCTTTAAAAAATAAGAGAATTAAATAATCGATAGCTTTGAATACTGATAACATTTGAATAATGATACCATTTCGTATCTTTTTTTAAATTTATTTTGTCTTTTTTTCTCGTCTTTCAAACTTTCTCCGTTCTAATATACTAACGAGATGCGTAATAAAGATATGACTCTTTAATACCTTTTTTTAGACCTCTCGAAAATCGCGAGCGTGACGCTCCCACTTTTTAGTATGGCTATTAAAATTCGTTTCACTTAATCTTTATGACTATTATAATCTACGCAAACCACCAAAAAATATTGATAAGAAGTATCGGCAATCGAATCTCTCGAAGAAGGTGATTTGATTTCTTGTCGGGATTCATATCTAGCACATTTTCGTGTGTGAATCGAATAAAATCCTCGCTTCTTGGCGAGCTGCCTCTTTATTGTTTTCGAATTGACTTAATACATATATATTTAAAATATATGTATATGTCATTGTAATATTTGTATTAAAGAGATGAGAGGGAGGGGGGGGGAGAGAGAAAACAAAAATAACGCACAAATAACGACAAAGGTTAAAAACTTATATATTTGTTTAATTCTTGGCAACATGTTATTAGTCACAATAAATGTCATTACAAATTCTATCTGATGACTCAAAACCATTCTCAAAAGT